AAGAGTCTCAACAGCAAAGCTTTGAACAGCTAAAAAAGCTGATCACTGAAGCTCCCACATTGAAGTTTTAAAACGTCAACAAAGCTGTGACACTCTCAGTAAATGCATGCTAAGAAGCATTGGAGCAGTGATCATGCAAGGTGGACAGCCCGTGGCATACGGCTCAAGAGTGCTCACAGAATGTCAGATAAGATATGCTCAAATAGAAAAGGAGCTCCTAGCCATAGACTACAGGTGTGAGAAGAGTGTGATCACAAACCGTTAGAGAGCATATTCAAAAAAACTCTATCAGGCATCCATGAGGCTACAAAGAATGCTACTGCAGCTGCAAATATATAATGTCAAAGTAACCTACAAGCCAGGAAAAGAGCTTCATATTGCGGATGCATTAAGTCGTGCTTACCTGAATGAGCAAGAAGAGGATATTCTGGATGAGGAGCTGCAAATGAATAGGTCACATCACAGCTGCCAATCTCGGGGCAAAACCTGCAAATGTTCAAAGAGGCAATGGCAAAGGATGAGGTGTTGCAAGCTCTAAAAACAATGTCAATGCGAGGCTGACCAAGGGACAGATCTGCTGTGCCAGAGTGCATAAAACCCTTTTGGATGTTCAGGGAAGAGCTCAGTTTTTCTTCAGGGCTAATGTTCAAAGCAGATACGATCATAGTCCCACAGCAGCTGAGATCAGAGATGCTGAAAAAGATACATGAGTCACATCTGAGGGTCGTCAAATGCAAAGAAAGAGCAAGAGGATGTGTTGTATTGGCCAGGAATGTCTTCTCAGTTAGAACATCTGGTGGCACAGTGCCCTACATGCAATGAATACAGGAACAAGAACCAAAAGGAGCCTATGATACCACACCCATTGCCACGACGACCATGGAAAAAAATAGGTACAGATTTGTTTCACAGCAATGATTCTATCTGCATTCGTTGTGTTGTCTACTTCTCCAAATACCCAGAAATCATGAAACTGACAGACACGACCAGCAAAGGAGTAATTACAGCAATGAAATCCACTTTCGCAAGGCATGGAATTCCTGATGTGCAGTGGTGTGGAAAACTATTTGCTCCCTTCCTGATTTCTTATTCTTTTGCATGTTTGTCACACAAAATGTTTCTGATCATCAAACACATTTAACCATTAGTCAAAGATAACACAAGTAAACACAAAATGCAGTTTTGAAATGATGGTTTTTATTATTTAGGGAGAGAACAAAATCCAAACCTACATTGCCCTGTGTGAAAAAGTAATTGCCCCCCTTGTTAAAAAATAACCCAACTGTGGTGTTTCACACCTGAGTTCAATTTCTGTAGCCACCCCCAAGCCTGATTACTGCCACACCTGTTTCAATCAAGACATCACTTAAATATGGACTTAAAAATTCTTTTTCTGAGCTTTAGATTAATGTAATGGTATTAACTTGACTTTTAAAGTATTTTTCTCAGTTGTACATTATTAAGATACTTTAAAAGTCTTATTCTGAGTCCTAGATTAATATAATAGCTGGCACGACGTACTGTTGATAAGAAATATAGCTTTGGGGAAAAATGTTATGTGAGAGTAGAACCCATCTATTCAGGTTTTTAGGGAGACTTTCATCATCCTATCTCAAAAGTGGTAGTTCTGTTTTAAACCACTTGTCCTTCTTTTGTTTTATTCAATGGTTCTGTTTTTATTTGATCTATAATATTCCATGAATCAACTATTTTGATTCATGACACAGATGGAAACAGACCTATAGTGGTTCTGTTCATGCCCGTTCCAGGTTCCAACCTCTTATGTTTGCTAAAATGTTTGCTTGGTACATTAAAAACACAATATTTGCATCTGAAATTTGTATTCTGGGGGAATATTAATGGCATTAGTAAATTAACCGGTACCTCTTGACTTACAGTACGCACTGCACATAGTAATGGGGGCCAATTGTGACTTCAGAGAGGTATGTGAAAATTGTGACACATTACACTTAGTACGCAAGGTCTTCTTCAACACAAATCTGAATCTTCCTGCATTTCCTTTTTCAAAGGAAAACATGCAGCAAATTAGGAGATGGTGGTGTCTTGTTCTCCTGCAAAACTTCCTCATGCCATAAGTGACTTTCATGATCACACTTTCTTTTATCAGATACTTTAAAAAACGGTTTTACTCACTGTTAAAAAAACAACAAAAACAATGTTTTCATAGAGACTGAATGTTGTCATTGCATCACCAAGGTCTGAGGAAGACAGATTGCAGGAAAGAAAAAGACGGAGGGAGCAAAAAGTAAAACAGGTGAGAGGTAATTGGATTTATTAATCTTGCAGTCAAACTATTGCTTGCAGACTAAAGCATAATCCGTTCACCTGTTTCAGGATCTGGAAGTGGTCCCTCCTAAAAGTTTCAGGCTTTCAGAATCTGTCTGTGAAGCATCAGGTATTGTTCAAACCAGTATTATTACACACAACCCCCAAGGTTGTAGAAATGGGATGTGACAAAGCGGGTTTTGCTGTCAATACTCCACTTACATTAAACCAGTATGCTTAACATAAGCTAGTGATCTTTTATACATTTTGTATTGTTAATGTGCCTTTAAGAAGCACAATCTGTTTCCTTTCTAGCGGAGGCTGAGAACAGGCCAGAACGGTAAACAGGGAACCGAGTTACCTGTTGTGGGCTTTTCTAATTTCACTGTTTCTGCCTTCTCTAACTTGTATTTTAATATTTATTGTGTTTACTTTGATTAGGAGAATTCTCTGCTGAAGGACACCTTTGAGGCAGCAAGGTGGTGTGGCACCAGATCCTTCAAAGGAAAACTTTCCCTTCCCTAGGTCATCACCAAGGACAAGGAAGCTTCCTTGAGGGCAGTCCAGATGTTACACATGTGTGATGGCCTGGATGACAATGATGAGAAGCTTAAAGATGTGAGGGAACCGTTCCTGTTTGCTTTTAGTTTGCAGGAAGACTACGAGGAGTTCTGTGTTGAACTTTGTGACAAGAGGAAGATGCAGGTGTTTGCAGGATTTGACACCCCATAAAATCTTTTTCCCTGCAGGAATGTGTTTAGAGTGTTTGTGTCTGAGTGTTATGGTAATAATTGTTGTGTTCAGTTTCCTCAGTAAGTTGTTTTTTAGAGGCTTTTTGTGTGTTTTTTGGTTCTTTTGTTTGTATTTATTGTACCTGTGTTCTACTGTTGGCTTTTTGTTTGAGTTATTAAATTTACCTTTTTAAAACATTAAGTCTGCATCCTTGGGTCCACTGTCTCACCACCCCACCTAAAACCCTGGCATGTTTTAATAAGTGTCAATGGCACGATTCAGTCTCTGTCCCCCTTAATGTAGCTGACATAACTGAGTGCACAATTTTTTTTTACATTTGTCTATATCTATACTGTTTTAACCCTCACTTGTAAAATTAATACTTAAAAAAATATAATGGCAGCATGGATACAATACTGGACTTACAGTTAAAAAGACTTTAGACACGTTATAAGAATGTTTATGTGTATCAAATGCATGAACCTTGTTCATAGCTATTTCTGCTTTAATATAGTTAAGAGCCCAATATTAAATGTCAATTTCACTTCACTGTTCCTGTCCAGGTGGACTAGGTAATACGATTTTAGTTTAGTGGGAGATGAACCTCAGTAAATGGTTGTGAGGGCTCGTGAAAATGTAAACGTATTACCATTTTAGTACTGTTTTTTCTGTTAGAAGACCAGGAGTTTTTATTTTTACCTGGAACAGTTCATCGACCTTGCACTCTCAGATGGAAGCTGGGATCAGAAGTTCTCCACCACACTCCTGGGTCTGTTCAGGGGTGTAGGCATACAGTGGTGTGAAAAACTATTTGCCCCCTTCCTGATTTCTTATTCTTTTGCATGTTTGTCACACAAAATGTTTCTGATCATCAAACACATTTAACCATTAGTCAAAGATAACACAAGTAAACACAAAATGCAGTTTTGAAATGATGGTTTTTATTATTTAGGCAGAGAACAAAATCCAAACCTACATTGCCCTGTGTGAAAAAGTAATTGCCCCCTGAACCTAATAACTGGTTGGGCCTCCCTTAGCAGCAATAACTGCAATCAAGTGTTTGCGATAACTTGCTACGAGTCTTTAACAGCGCTCTGGAGGAATTTTGGCCCACTCATCTTTGCAGAATTGTTGTAATTCAGCTTTATTTGAGGGTTTTCTAGCTTGAACCACCTTTTTAAGGTCATGCCATAGCATCTCAATAGGATTCTGGTCAGGACTTTGACTAGGCCGCTCCAAAGTCTTCACTTGTTGTTCTTCAGCCATTCAGAGGTGGATTTGCTGGTGTGTTTTGGGTCATTGTCCTGCTGCAGCACCCAAGATCGCTTCAGCTTTAGTTGACCAACAGATCTCCTTCAGGATGTTTTGGTAGACAGTAGCAGCAGAAGATCATCCTGCTACAATGTTTGGGTTTAGATTATTCAAATTCCGAGCTCAGTCCGGTTCCTAAACACATCATTGATGACGCGTAGGTTAATCTGATTGGCCCATTTCAAAATCAGACCGCGGCTGTATTGTAGCTCAGCGTTTCTTATGTAGCACAATAACAAAAACATCGAACAGGAATATCTACCGTGTTGCCGCTAAGCTAGGTAAGTGCCTTTAGATTCAACGTCTTAAAGGACATTTAAACGTTATGTATTTTCTTCAGAAACGTTAACGCATTTGAGTGAAATTGAGTTGTTGACAGGTGGGTCTGCTGGCAGGTGAAAACACCAGCTAAATGCTAACTTAGCCTGGTGCTTAACTGCCGTCGTTTTCAAGTACAAACACACTTTACGTTCTGAATTTGAGCGTTATGATGCTGCGCAAGCCTAAAGCTGAGTCATGCTGACAAAACAACACAGCGGCACACTTGTTTTTTAATGACAAACTAAACATTTTAGGATTAAATTAGCAGATAAAAGAGAATTTATACTTTTTGGTCTATGGAAGTTGTCGTTTGATTGTACCGCTTATAGCCGTTGAGCTTTCCTCTTTAGTTATAATTTAATAGCAATGTATTATTTACGTGTTTTTTTTAAATAGGAAGATGGACCCGTGTCTGAACAACAAACGAGGGCAGGTTGAAGATGTGAAGAGTGACCTCTCATTGGACTTGAGTTCATTACCTGACCCACAGGTAAGACCAGACGCATATCCTCCCTGACTGCTCATACCTCCTCTCTACTCACTATGAAAGTGATCCAGATATTTCCACCACCCTTATTCTGATTTATGCCTTCTAAATCTGATTTTACGATAGATGATTTGCATTTTTCCTCCGTTGCTTTATTTCTCTCAGCATCATTAACATTTGCACAATCAGTGGTTCATTTTACTACTTTTATCTAACATTTACAGTTTAGATTTAAACAAAACATTGAGAATAAAATTAACAAATTGTTTAAAGTGCTGAGAACATAACCAGCTCTTAATTAAAACTGACAAAAACAAGCCACAATCAAACACAAATGTCTGGCTGTGCAAGTGTGCTTAAGTACTGAGGGACATGTTTTTATGCAAGAGCATGGTCAACATGTTAAGATGCAAGTGCGCTGTACAGTAACAATATCTCCTGCTGTGAAGAAGACTCGCTCCGCAGAATCACTAGTGCCTGGAATGCACATGTATCTCTTTGCCACCTTCGATATCAGAGGAAACATTTTCCACCAACTTAGAGGGCCCCCAGAAAGAGGGAGCGATGAAGAACCACAGTACTTGGTCACTTCCTCCTCAACTGTAGCACAGGCAGATGTAGGCTGCTTCTGGACTTTAGCATCAGTGTAGGTTTGCCCAGTAGATCCTCCAGCAGAGGGCGTTGCTGCTGCTCCACCTCCTCCTCCTCGATGGTGGGGCTGTTTTCTTTCAATCCAGTGTGCTCATTCTGGTCTTTTCTCAGTCTCGTCTCTTGCTGTAAATACATAAAATGAGAGTAACAAGATAAACCATATAAATAATTAGTTAAGCCCCTTGTTATGTTTAAATTAAAATTAATGAATGATAACTTACTTCTAAGGATGTAGCCTCAGCAATCAATCTTCCATACATCTCAGCTCGCTCCTCCTCAGAAAGGAAAGGTAGGCCCTTGAGTCTTGGGTCAAAGTGCAGAGACCACAAGAAGAAGGTTTCTCTCTTGTTCACTTGTGTATCTCTTGCTCAGATCCCCACGGATGGCTTGCTTTATCACCCGATCCACTGATGAGTCTCCCATGCTGTTCTTTGCATTCTGGATGTGTTGGGCTTGCGAAGGAGCAATCAGACAGACTGTGGGGCTACTTTCTTCTGACAGGAGAGTAGTTGTATCTTTCATTTAAGGCCTTGATGATGTTCTGTGCATTGGAGATGCCTGCTTCACTGACAGTGCAGATGTCAGACTCACCCTTCCTCACCTGGGCTGCACAGACTGCCGACTGTTGCTCTAGAAATCTGTTCAGCATCTCATAGGCACTATTCTACCTGGTGCTGACATCAGTTATTCGTATATGTTTTGGCAGCTCAAGTAACTTCTGCTTTTCTTCAAGCTGATGCTTTGCAGTGGTGCTCTGGTGGAAAAACGTAACATGCCGCACCCTCCCAAGACGTTTCGCCAAGGTGGGCAGCTTAGTGCTCGTTGGGAAGCCAGGTTTAGTGTGTGAGCGTAGCCTTTCACGTGTGGAAATCAGTTCAGCAGCAGCCATGTTAGAAGTGTTGTCAGTGACTAAAACTAAATCCTTCTTGGTTGTCAGCCACTCTTCTGCCACAATCTTTAACAGCTCAGCCATATTTGCACCCATGTGGCTCTCATTAACAACTCTTGTTTGAAGCACACAAGATGCTAGCTGCCACTCATTTGTAATATAATGTGCAGTTACAGTGATGTAAGAGTCTGTACCAACAGAAGTCCACGTGTCACATGTTAGAGCAATCCTATCTGCTTTCTGCAGTGATTCAAGGACATTGGTTTTGGTCTCGGTGTGCAGTTTGGGGATGGCTGAGTCAGTAAAATACCTTCGAGAAAGTATGTTGTGTTGTGGCTCCAAAGCATGAAACAAAGAGCGAAAACCCTGGTTCTCCACAACTGAGTACAGATGCAAATCTTTCGCGATAAATCTTGCTATGGACTTTGTATTTCTGTTCGCCTTTTCCGAGTTTGATGAAAATTTTAACAACGTCTGATCAATAGTTCTCTGGTTGGTGGCCGCAGCCGCAGCTAGCTTTTTCTCCTCCGGGTGAAAACGATTAGCGTGGTTTCTTATGTTGTGTTTCTAAAATATTGCAGTTTTGTTTTACACAACTTTGATAACATATGGCTTTTGTCCAGGTCCCTTTTCTCTTGTTCTGTGTGAACACGAAGCGGTACAAGTGATAATGCTGCTGGAATTCATAATTTTATCCTTCTCAGCAGCAGCACTGCAGGTGCTCTCCATGTCCAAAATGTGTGTAAGCCAGGTCCTTAGTCAACTAACTGGTGTCAGTGACTTTACAGCAATCCTCATACTAAGCAAGCATATAGCGACAGTGGACAGGAAAACTCCCTTTTAACAGGAGGAAACCGCCAGAGGATCCTGGCTCAGTATAAGCAGCCATCCACCACAACTCACTGGGGATCGAGAAGACAGAGCAGACACACACACACACACCAAGCAATGTGTCCATGGTTACACCGTGATTGCTTAGTAAATATTCTACTTGGCGAGATATAAACTTTATTGTATTTATCCTAGTGAATCTATTGTTCAATGGGTAAACTAGCAGTAACACATCCAACGTCAAGGAAATAAAAAGTTATTATCAGGAGAGGGAGAAAGTTTAAGTGGTTAGCAGCAGTGAGTTAGACGATGGCCCCCTCCATGAGGCCACCACAGCTCAGCAGAACATCACCGTAGCTTCCTCTGGGGAGAAAAACACTTAAGAGAAAAAATAAAGTTAATAGCTTAAATAGCAGGAAATAATACAGTTAAAGAGCAAATTGTAGAAGAAAGTAGTAGAGTGTGAAAAGTGGTCAGTGTGTCCTCCAGCAGTCTAAGCCTATAGCAGCATAACTACAGAGATAACTCTGGATAATCTATCCTATTTAGATGGAGGCATGTTGGAGGCAGGGCAAGGGAGAGCCGTCTTTACCGACTGTACACTCCACCTCCCTCTACTCCCCCACTTGTCCAGATTTAGGCTAACATCAGATTTTAACCATAGGCCCTATCAAATAAAAATGTTTTGAGCCTCGTCTTAAAAGTAGACAAGGTGTCTGCCTCACGGACTAAGGCTGGGAGCTGGTTCCACAGGAGAGAAGCCTGATAACTAAAAGATCTGCCTCCCATCCTAATTTCAGATATTCTGGGAACCACCAGTAAACCTGCAGTCTGGGAGCGAAATGCTCGGTTAGGAACGTATGGAACAATCAGATCACTGATGTATGATGGAGCTTGATTATTAAGAGCTTTATATGTGAGAAGAAGGATCTTAAAATCTATTCTGAATTTAACAGGTATTCAATGTAGGGAAGCTAAGACAGGAGAGATATGATCTCTTTTTTTTTAATTCTCATCAGAACTCTAGCTGCAGCATTTTGGACAAGCTGAAGACTTAACTACATTCTGTGGACTTCCTGAGAGTAATGAATTACAGTAATCCAGTCTTGATGTAATAAATGCATGAACTAGTTTTTCCAGCATCACTCCTGGAAAGGATGCTTCTAATCTTAGCAATATTCCGAAGGTGGAAAAAGGAAATCCTACAAACCTGTTTAACCTGGGATTTGAATGACATGTCCTGGTCAAAGATAACACCAAGGTTCCTTACTTTGTTCTCTGAGATTAATGTAATGCCATTCAGGTCAGGCGATTGGCTAAGCAATTTCCTTTCCTGGATTTCTGGTCCAAAGATGAGAACTTCCGTCTTGTCTTGATTTAAAAGCAAAAAGTTTAGAGTCATCCAATTTTTATGTCCTCAAGACAAGCCTGTAATCTACCCAACCGATTAGGTTCATCAGGGTTAATGGATAAATATAGCTGAGTATCGTCAGCATAACAGTGGAAGTTTATCCCATGCTGTCTAATGATTTTACCAATTGGGAGCACATACAGTACATAGTAAAAATAATTGGTCCAAGCACTGAACCCTGTGGTACTCCACAAGTAACCCTGGAGTATGAAGACGATTTGTCATGTACATTTACAAAAGGAAATCTATCAGACAGGTAAGATTTAAACCAGCCTAGCACTGTTCCTTTGATCCCTACAACATGTTCAAGTCTTTCTAAAAGAACATTGTGATCAACTGTGTCAAAAGCAGCACTGAGATCTAACAAGACTAGAACAGACACAAGATTCTTATCTGAGGCCATGAGAATATCATTTGTAACTCTCACTAATGCAGTTTTAGTGCTGTGATACTCTCTAAAACCAGACTGAAATTCCTCAAACAGAGCATTAGTGTTTAAATGCTGACATACTTGGATTGCCTCTATTTTCTCCAGGACTTTGGATAAAAATGGAAGGTTAGATATTGGTCTATAATTCATTGGGTCATCTGGATCCAGAGAAGGCTTCTTAAGTGAAGGTTTGATTACAGCAACCTTAAAATCCTGTGGTACATATCCATTTACTAAGGATAGATTGATTATACTTAGAATAGGGGCAGTAACCAAAGGAAATGCATCTTTAAATAATTTGGTTGGGATTGGATCTAAAATGCAAGTGGAAGGTTTAGATGAAGCTAATATTTTTGATAACTCTGAAAGCTCAACTGGATCAAAACGGTTCAAGCACAGATGAGGTTCTACAGTCACCTCTGATGCTGCCTCACTTACTGAGGAAGAAGAAATCACATTAGGGAGGATGCTAAAGATTTTGTTTCTTATAGAATTAATTTTACTTGTGAAAAATCCCATGAAGTCATTACTGCTGAGGGCTAAGGGAATAGATGGCTCAGAGCTATGATTCTGTGTAAGTTTGGCAGCTGTACTGAAAAGAAATTTAGGATTATTCTTATTCTCCTCAATTAACGCTGAGAAATAAGCAGTTCTAGTTTGTCGAAGCTTATTTTTATACAACTTCCACATAGAACCTTTAATGTTCCATTTTTGAAGGACTTATTGGTAAATCTAGTCTGAGACTGCACAAACTGGAAGAGGTTTAAACAAGATTTAGACAACCACCAGGACTGTTCCGTTTCCACCTAGGAAGTGCTTCAAGTCTCCTGTGAGGGAATATTTTACACTCCCAAAGCTGCTAAAAGAGAAATTCAGAACAATGTCTCGTCCATCTGCAGAGCTGGCAGAAAAAAAAGTTGCGACATTCCTAATATATCATCTGAGATTCTCACACACAGATTATCTCCAACTGAGTCAGATTACATTAGTGACAACAGATTTAACAGTAATTTTTGAACAATCCAGTGAACAACAGTTCATATTGTGGTGTTCTACGTTTCTCCTGACAAGCCATTTTAATATTTAATCAAAAACACCTCTCTGTAATTCGTGTTCTACATAGCAATAATATAATTTATCCTTGTCCAAATAATATTCTTACTGATTAAATAAAAAAAAGATATGAACAAGTAGTAATTACATTTAAGTTATAAGTAATATTACTCATCTCTAAGTAATATATCACAGCAGACCCGTGTCACCCTGGACACAGTCTCCTCGACTTGCTCCCATCTGGCAGGAGGCTCCGCCACAAAAACAGTTTCTTTCCCTCTGCGGTCGGACTCGTGAACGACAATCCTAGACCTGCCCACTCCAGCTGCTTTGTTCCAGTCACATGGCCCTAGTGTTGTTTGCACCTGAACTGACCAGGACCTACACTGACTTGTTTAAAGTAGCTGCTTCTCTAATTGTTGAGTTTGTATATTATCATTTCATTGTGTTTATTTATTAATTCTAATTTTGCTTATCATTTATTTTGTTCTTGCACCAAGTACCACAGCTATTTCCTTGCTCATAAGCAATAAAACCATTCTGATTCTGAATATTCATATTAACAACTGCACTAGTAGGAATTTAGCATCTTAATTTGTTAAGGTGTGACCATCCCGATCACCTGTTAACTCATTCACTACCAATGACGACTTAAGTTGTCATTTGCATATTTTTTTATTGTGTGGGCATCGGAATGAGCCCCCGCACCGTGAGAACAAACATTTCAGCTCTGAAGTCGATCTTCATCGTCACACGTCACATGATCAGGAAGCAGAAAATCCATGTGCTAGGAGATCGTTTTGGGCCGCTGCTGTAAAAAAAAAAGTGAGGCGCGAACCGGAAAAGCGTCTGCCGATCACAATTCGACAACGGATTATAAAAGAATGGATAACGCTCGAAACACGCGGATTCTTCCTGATGTAAGAGGTGAGTCTCTTCGTTGTTTTGGCTTCGACATCATCCTAACGCGCAACGTTCTGTCACTCTTAAAAAAACAGTAAAAATTTCAAGAAACGAAAGCAGCGAAGGCCTTTAGTGATCAGGAAACGGCTGGCAGTGAAGGAGTCAACAGTCCTTTTACAGAAACTCAAAAAAAGGCTTTTAGGCATCTATAATTAAAGGTGTGGAACACTGAAAAAACATGTTTTAGTGATTATTTCTGATAAATTACTGGGTTTTTCATACAGGCTGAACATGAAAATAGTCTCCTCCACCTTCCTCCTGCATTAGGTGCTGATAGAAAGTAGACGGTGAAACTCTAGGATTAGAAAATCCTGACAGATCTACATCACACTGTCACTTAACATTCATGGACTCACCCATCTGGACTCACATCGGAGAAGGCTGTTTAGCATCCAGGAAACATTAGAGACAAGCCTCGTTTTTAAGACACACCATGCCGGCAAATCGGCGTAATATTACCACAATGGTATGTCTATAAACATGTCATGCTGGCATGGCATTGCACCAATTTGTCGGCATTCGTTCCGCCTCGCTTGGTAGCAATATTGCTGTAATGGTCTGTCGTATGCACCCTGGCACAACAGGCAGATGTCATGATGACGTGGGGAGTTATTGCTGAGCTCCGGCTGGCAAATTGATTGAAAATGAAAGTAAACACAGGCAATAAGGTTTGCTTTTTGAACAAAATCAGCTGAGATGGCAAACTGGAGCGCCGCAGCGCTCCATGAGCCTCTCTTTTAGAGCTGAAGCTCAGATCACCAGAGACCGCACAGGGACTGATGGGGACAGACACATTTAGGAGCTGCTTGTTTAAAAAAAAACGTAACAATCACGGTTCAATCGCAATAAAAAGCAAGTTATGTCCAAGATAATTGGAAGTCTGCGGCAGCACAGAGACTGCCCCCATACCCCCTTTATGTCGCCATCACCTAATCTTTTATAAAATTGACATGATTGCGCCACATTACCGCCATGGTCTGATCTTGTAAACAACCTTTATTCTCCCCAGGGAGCCGCGGCAAATCCCGGTTTGCAAACACTATGGTCCTGTAAAAACAGCTAAAGTCTTGACTAGTAGAAGCCAACTATTGGCATTAGCAACTCCACCAAACAGCAGAACTGCTCCAGGCTTGTGTTATTTGTGGAGGTAAAACATCAACATTGCAAATCAGTAGTACCGGTAGATAGAATTTTCCGAAGCAAAATCTCTGAAAAGGAACAACACATATTTTAGGGGTTCAAAACCTTTATAGAATGTAATCATGCCTTTAATCAATAATGTCCAGAGTATGTGTGTTATTTATATTTATATTAATACAGATGTGAAGTCAGTTCATGTAAAATAATCGTGGTAATTGTGATTATTTCTCAGACTATAATCGTATCACAACATTTATATTGTCTGTATGCCAGGAGGTAGAGAGGTGACAGTAGACGTGGATGGGTTGTTAACTGGAGAACTAGAGACTGGCCGTGGGTAGGATTGAATGTTCCCAGAGATAAGTAACTATAAAAAAATGATAACCCGAATTTCAGAAGATTTAGTAGTGGAATGTGTCTCGCTCTTTGTGTCAAATATATGATCTTTTAGGAAATGTTGACAGCTTTATTGCAGCTTTATAACTGATGGGTGTCAGGATGGATTTAAAATAAATCTGTTTATTCATTTTTTGTTCTAATTAGTGTTCTCCTTCATTTGGTTCTCTTCACTTATAAATGATCCGTTTCATGGGCGTGCGTACACACACACACACACACGCATACACACACATGTGCGCGCACACACACACATATAATGAAGGTCCTATCTCCTTTTTCTGAATTATATATATGGTTTCTGTTCTGCAGCAGTCCTACATGGATGAAAGAGAACACCTAAAGGTTTTCCTCAGAGTCAGACCTTTCACCTCAGCAGAGCAGACCAGCGGGGAGTCGCAGGTAAAACTCAAGAAATTAACCAGAATTATTTTTGATCAGTTCTTATTTACAACGAAAGCTGCTTTAAAATACACCTTTCTGGTCTTTAGAGGGCCGCGATGTCATCAAGGAGAGAAGAAAAACGTTTTTTTATATAATGCCTCTCAGGATAAAAATCACAAGGAAAAACAAAAGTATAAAAATGACAACTAAAAAAAGTGTGATTTAAAAATAAGAATGTAAGGAAAAAGAGAGAAAATAGAAAAGAGGGAATTCAGTGTATTTGGAAAAGCCAAACAAGTAGAAGGAGCAGAATAAGGAAAGAGTGGTGACGAAGGTCACGCAAAAGCCAGCGAGTGAGTTTTCAGTTGCTGTTTGAAGATTTGTTGGATGTACATCCATGATGTGAATCTTCCTTCCCACTAGGGCTGAACGATCTACTGTTTTTGGACTGAAATTGCGATTTCAAACAGAATGATGACGTGACCATCAAAGCTGCAGTTTTAGTGGCTTTGACTGATCCAGGGTCAGTTGTGTAACCTCTGTTTTTTTTTTACATCCGGGGTCTTCCCCCTGTGTTATGGCGGCGGCAAAAGCCAGCGCGGAGGAGGGGGGTGGGGTGTACCGTCCAGAGCCAAACCCAACTCCACAGCTGACAGAGCTGCATGTTCAGGTTATTTTCCCTGTTTTATGTTCCCACACACAACGCTGCTAGAGCCGATAATAAAGGCACCGTAGGTGAGCCCGGGACAGAGAGAGAATGTAGGTGAGTAAACTTAGTAGTTGTAGTAGTAGCTGAGTAGTTGAGTTAAAGCTTAAGGGAGAGAGAGACTCCTCCCACATCAGCAGGTTCAGGCTGATTTCTAAAGCTTGGTTTATGCTTCATCAGCTCGAGTGCGCATTTTAGTTGACTTGAAAGCTCAACTTCTCTTTTAAAAATGGTTTGAATGTTTCTGATGGCACACATTAGTTCAAACAAGCTAACGTGTCAGAATGAGTGCGTCTCTCACAGAGCTGACATTTTAGTGAGGAAAAGCTATCAGACGGCTTCGGAAAACGTGCAGCCAGCCTGCCGCGGAAAACTGTGCATTTTTAATTGAATACATTTAAAAGCCGTTTGTCACGGCCTTTAAACTTCCAAAAAGGATTTCCAACTAAAGGCCGTTGGTGAGAACGGGTGATTTCCTTTAAGCACGCACTTTTAGACTTGATTTCTCGCAAATTTTATAAATGGTTTATTCTTCCAAAAAAAAGTTCAAAATTCATTCAAAATGTTCTACTTTTCATCCAACGAAAATTAACCTTAAATTAAATTATCAGGTCTAAAAAATGGTCAAAATCATTTAACCAAATCCTCCCATCTCCCCTGACACTTGGCAAACACGTCTCTAAATAAAGTAAAAATTTGTAGTGCAGAGTGGAGACAACCCATAGAAGCACTGATTTGATCTCAATTCAGAGAAAAATAGAACAGGTTAGATGCACCTAATAAATAAAATTACTAACAAACTCAGGAATCTTTCTTTGCTTCACTGTTCTGGTGCTGAAAACATCACTAATGCGGATCGAAGTAGATACACAGATGAATGCACCTCTTATTTATTATTTGGAAACTACATTTACTGCAGCTGGCAGAGGCAGAGATTTTTTCTATTGATACACGGCATTTACAGAATCATTTTAAATTTTAATAGGGGAAGACTGCAGGAGGGAGCGGTAAAATACAGGGGGTCCCAGCAAAAACAAGAAACTTTACGGGTCTCATGAAACCCGCTGGTTTTCCATCAGGCAGTCACGGGGCAGCTCCAACGACCCAGTGGCTGTGCTAGGTCAATGTTATCGACACCAGCTCGGCCGTGAATGAGCCGAGGCGACGTCCTGTTCTGCTTAAGAAGAAGTGTTATTTTCCTGCTTCAGAAGAAGCATCCAACGTGTTTTTACGCTTTCTCCGAGACATGTCACGTTGCCAAGTTGTTAGCGTCGCGCGCTAACACATCAATAGTGCAGCGTAGCCTGCTGGAGGTTTTAAGGGTTCAGATGAAAACACCCGACCTCTCAGGCTTCTCACACATCGATCTTAAGTTGTTGCTGTTGCGCTCACGCCGTAATACAGTATTAGATGCGGTTAAAGTCAGACATGAAAAACTAAATTTTACATGAAAAAGTGATGCTTAGCTTGGTGGGGGGAGGAAAACCTGGCCTAATAAGTACTGGAGGAAACCCTGTCAAGATCGTCCACACTCATTTATCTTAACGCTATTGAAACATGTAAACCAAAAAGCATTATATCCACTGTTACCTTTCTAATTTAAACTCAGTAACTTATGCTGTAACTTCACCTTGCCCTGCCTGCTCCTCCTTGCTGCCGCCGGCTGTGATCACAAGCGACAACATAGTAGTTCCCGCTGCTTCTTCGGGAAACAGCGCAAAAAAAAAAAAAACTTGGGATCTTGTAGGCGTGGCGGTTGGATTTCAGCCGTGGCGGGCCGCCACGGCTACGCCTATGTAAGGGAAACCCTGGCTACAATCAATCAGTCAATCATTGGCTCTAGCAATGCTATGTAAGGATAATAAAAAGGGAAAATAACGAATCGAGCTAATGCAAAAGTCTGATGTAGCATAAGGTTGAACGCTATGCTAACCACTTATTAGCTCCAACACACAACAGATAGATCCTTTTTTGTTCCCCTCCCTCCTCTTTAACAGTTAGCTTTAAGTTTATAGGCAGACTGACCTTAATTTAGCCTAGGTGCAGTTTGCATTAGAGCTTGGTCGGTGTGCTTAGCTCTGTCACCCTGTAGTGCATGTTGGGAACTGTGGCTCATTCCTATTTTTTGACCGCTTTCTCTTGTGGCTATGCAAATCTATTGGCCAATGCTCTAGGCTTACATAAATAATTAGTTTTGCTGTAGAGGCCGTGGGAGGGACTTAAGGCAAGTATAAATTATGAATTAAAGTTACTTTATTCATTACGTATCCCAGCTTTAAAGAATGTACCCCCAACTGCTGAGAAAATACCAAATGATAATAAAACAGACACAGATTATTTTATTGTATTTTTTTTTTTAACAGGACTGTGTCACCATCGAACCACCTGATACGGTTCTCCTAAAACCTCCCAATCTGTCTGCTCTGGCCAGACTCAGCTCTGAAAAGTTCCTCCCACAGACAGGACAGCGCTTCCAGTTCTCCTCGGTTAGTGTTTACCCACTGATCCAAACTCCAGTCAGCTGATTTTTGTGGAAACGATGTCACAGGATCAGGATTGGTAAAAATGCTCATGTTTCTTTTCTAATAATTGTTTCTCTTCTTGCTGCACAAAGGTGCACGGTCCGCAGACCTCCCAGAAGGAGCTGTTTGATGGAACAGTGAGAGACTTGGTGAAAGATGTTCTTGATGGAGGACGCTCTCTGGTTTTTACTTATGGAGTCACAAACTCTGGGAAAACATTCACTTTCCTTGGTATGAAACTATTGCTTATTAATAACTGCAGCCTTTCTTCTGATATTTGTGAGCAGGTTTACAGGCCAGCGTAGATCCTCCTGAGGAGTGAAGCACAGATGGCAGCTAGGCCGCAATACTGGAAGAAGATGTTCTGACAGTTCTACTCTGTATAGGCTTGCTCCTTTACGAGCAGATTGGGTACCCCATTTCTCAGTTAGCCACTCACTGAAGAACCTTTTTAATGTGCTCGCCTACTGGGTGGGTCCCACTCCAGTAAAAAAGGGGTGTGAACCCTTTATTTGTCTCCCACTTTCTCTTCATGCTTCACACTACAAGAGCAAATAATCCTCACGCACCCACACACCCTCTCTCGGTCTCACGACAATCAGGCACTGACACATCACAACATTGTTCCCTGTCCTAATGTCCGGAAGGACGGTCCAGAGCGTAGGCTGAGTGTTTTGCTAACCTGCAGAAAATTTCTACCACAGTTGACCAGACAGAAAGTAGCTATGGGTTACCAGAAATGTTTGTAGATTCTTCACTAGGTACTTTTAGGATTTAAAAAGTCAAGAAGGGGGTCTGAAAAGCTGTTCGAAATAGCAACAAAGTCGCTAAGCTAGTCACACTGTGTTCCTGAAGAGGAAGCAGATAGAGGAGAAAGAATAGAGGCCCCTGCACAGAGCCTTGCAGGACACCATGGGTAAGGAAGGTGGTGGAGTAAAGAGAGTTAAGAGCGTGAGGGACCTGGCTGTCCTCTGTGGCACCATCATGCCTTAAGATTTGGGATAACGGCGGCTCTGCCATGTTATGTCCTAACCCTGCTTTAATCCCTAAGAACATCACTAACTCTTTCAAATCCTGGACTATCACTGGAAGGGCTTTTCCCCTTCCTCATAATTCTGATGAGTAAGCTGTTCTCACCTACTCTGTCCAGTGCACACCTCACCCCGGTTTCACACTGAAATCAGAAGCGTGAAACATCACTGCTTCAAATAATCCATTATTGTCTATGGACTGTTTAAAACCAGCAGCAACACGACAATTTCAAGTTGCATCTAAATAAAAATACTACAGCAATGCAGTTTCATATATTTGAAGCTTACAAAGGTAGAAATTAACTACACCAACCAGCCAGCGGGGCCGGTAACTCTGAAAAGTTACTGGCCCCGTTGAGAATCTACAGGTCCTGCACTTGTTTTAGCAGGTCATCTGCTAAAACAAGTAAAAATCACAACTGAACCACCGTTTTAAACATAATAAACTTTTATTATGTTCACATTTCCAATCGACAAAGTGTCAGTCTCTGGCACCATAGTGTTTCAGGCTGATTATTTGGCTAGTGGTGGACTAGTGGTTTCTCTTAGTCTTTGGTTCCAGATATTACTCCACCTCAAAGTTTGTCTCAAGCTCGTCTCATACTTCTTGCTCCTCATTTTTGAGCAAGCGGGTCTGACCCACACACCTGAAGTCTTCCTCTGGCTCTTCGTCGATGATCTCTGGAGCAGTTCAAGTCTTTCTCCAGGAATCATTCCACCTATGTACACGCCTCTCTGTTTCATACCGTTTTGGACTGTCTGGCTTCTCACCAGTTTTAAATCTTGTCGTAGAAGGTTTCATCATGAAATCCCATCCCTGTGGAGCTGCAATCTTCGTGAGTGTTTGGGTATTTTTAATGTGGTTCCACCCCATGTTTTATAGTGAACTCGCCTCTAGTCATGTCAACATGTGCAGTTCTGTGCTCAGTGGAATCGCAAATGGCAGCTTGCTACAGGGCGCGGCCACAATGTATCCCAGAGGCGCGGACACAGGGGGAGGTGAATGCCGGTGTGTAAATGACAAACAAAGCTTTGGCGCCACCTGGGCGGTAAGTCATCAATTATTTACCGCCCGACAAGAAAATTTACCGCCAATGGCACTCGGGCAGTTCAAGTTTCCACACCTGGCTTACGTGTGACCCAACGGTTTATTTTCTCACAGCATCGTTCCAGAAGTGCAGCAGTGTTTTTTTTTTCATGGCTTTAATCCTGACGGTGGAGAGGAACAAAATCATATGACATCAAATGGCGATAACAACATGATTTCCTCTTTTTGGTTCTCTCACAACCTTCTCCAACTTCACGGAAAAAACCAAATCAAAATCCTCAATCTGTAAAACCCAAATTTTCTAATTCAATTGACTACTTACCTGTTCTCCCTTCATCACAGGTCAAGAGTTTGAGTGTCATTCTGGATAGCAACCTCTCCTCAGCTCATATAAACAATATCACCCGCTCCGCCCACTTTCATCTACGTATTATTCTTTTTTGTGCCTCCCTTACACCCGCTGACACTGTAATTTTAGTTAAAGAGCAGGGGCCTCATTTATCAAGCTTGCTTACACACAAAACGGGGTCGGAAAACTGCGTAAGCAACTTTCCACACAAACTTTGGGATGTAAGAAAACTTAGCGGAAAAATGTGTGCAACTTTAAGTTGATTAAAGACCTGGCTTACGCACATTTTGGACATGGAGAGCACCTGCAGTGCTGCTGCTGAGAAGGATCAAATTATGAAATCCTGCAGCATTATCACTTGTACCTCTTCATGTTCACACAGAACAAGACCCTCCCCCACATGCACACACACACACACACACACACAGCCTGAAGCGCAGAACACGGAATGCAGAATATCAGCAGGGGGACAGATTGAGACACAATGTCATTCGTCTGTGACAGTGTGTGTCCTGTCACTGTGACCCGATTGATCATGCTCCATTTGGCTGACTGGTTAGCGCGTGTGATTCTCACCCGGGAGTCTGGGGATTTAATCCCGATTGGACCTTTTTTTTTTTTTTGTATCACCACAGATCTCTGAAGAATTCACAACATTGACGGCTTCAGCAACGCTCTCACTCCGTGGATTTTCTTCTATTTGTTTTGCAAAAGTACTTCCTTTCATTTCTCCACCTCACCCACATGTACTTCAATTTCTGCTTCTGTGAAATTGCGCTTCCTTGATCTGCCTTGATCTACGGTCACCATGTCATTGGTGGAGCGCTGCAACAGCCGGCTTATGTAATTGCATGAGATCCACAAGGCACTTTGCATTGACCATTTATGGCAGTAAGTGGGCGCGGTGAGGGCGGGATGTGACTAAAATGCAGCTGAGTAACATTCTCGTTATTCTCCGATTTACGAAGCGGAAATTGTGCGCAGCTGTGCATACTCCATGTTTGATAGATTACAAACCTGCTTGGCGCAAGTACATTTTTTTTGCTGAGCTTAAGTATGGTTTTAGTAAGGATTATACGCAATGTTTGATAAATGAGACCCCATGTCACTTCCAGTTTTTATTACTGTAACGTTCTACTCTCCGGCTTGCCACAAAGTGTACTCTACAAATTACAACTGGTTCAGAACTCAGCAGCCTGTATCATCTCAAGAACACCATCTTCACACCATATTGCACCTGTTCTTGAGCAGCTGCACTAGCTTCCAATCCACTTCCATATTGAGTTCAAAATCCTTTTGCTAACATTCAGAGCCCTGAATAACCTAGCCCCCCCATATCTTGCTCATCTCTACGTTTACACACTGTCTCGCACTCTTCGATCTTCCTCAGACTGTCTCCTCACCATTCCGTGCACCCTTCTCTCCACCATGGGACATGGGTCATTTGGTTCTGCTGCACCGCGGCTTTAGAACAAACTTCCTCTGGGTATTTGTAGAGCTTCATCTATCCAAACTTTCAAATCGCTATTTAAAACTCATTTATTCAGGTGTGCATATTTTACTTGCTCTTTTTTTTCTTTTAATTTATTGTTATATCTGCCCTTACTTTTTAACCTGCTCTTATTCATTTTATGTGTTGCTCAGTCAGTTGCTGCTGTGTATTGCTTTTTTCTCTAATTGATTTGTTTGCATTGTTTTTAAACTGTAGTGTGTTTAGTGCGTGAGGGAGACACCTGTGTGAAGTGCCTTGAGACGACTTGTTGTGATTTGGCGCTATATAAACTTGAATTTAATTGGTACTTATGTTCATGCTTCCTGTTCAGTGACCTTGAGGGTCTAACGGCGCTTACAAATCAAATTTATTATTATTGCATAAACAGACTGTGATCTGAAGTCTTGAGGGATCGCGTGATCTCGCTAGTCCAGCGAAGAGCACAGCGAGGAAGCCGTGCTGCTGCCAAGTCTCCCAGTAAGGATTGCTTTAAAGTTTGCGAGTAAACAATTCTGCTGCCATTTTGCGCCGCTGATGCTTCCAGTATGAAACCGGGGTCAGAGCTGTGATGCTCCCAGTCTGTTTGTGCATTACAGGGACTGTCCCCTCAGACATTTGCTGTTGACCCAGTGCCTCTCATATTGGCTGTGCGAGATCATTTTGCTTGCTTATTTTCCTAGGGGCTGGAGCCCCTGGAGAAGCTGAAAACTCATTCCACCATAGGAATCTCCTTCCATGGTGCTGCGCAGAGGCGCATCAGGGGAGGGGATTTGTCTTGCCACATCTTGGTCCTCCCCTTGCACTTTTATCGCACTTTTATTTGTGGAACATTTCTTCAGCATCCTTACCTGACTCTGTACTTGGGGCTGTGATGAGCTGATTTCAGCTGGACTGTTGACAGAGCACCGGTTCGCTCTCCCACTGCGAGCGCCGCTGTCCCATTCTGACTGTTAATTGAAGTTGCGTGTCTTCTCCACCGTGCCTGATGGATTTGTTTTTCATGTAATTGTCTCCACTGCTCCCTTGTTATTGTCACTGGGGGCTTCTTCCCTGCACGATTATCCTCCCCCCGACCCCCATATCTGGGTTTTGGCAAACAGATGTGTTCTGATGGTTCGATCTGATCTAGTGACTTGAAACTTTTTTTAACAAGCCACTTCTTAAGGTGTCTGTCCCCAGCAGTCTCTTACGATCTAAGCTTCAGCTCTAACAGAGAGATGCTCAAGGAGCGCTGCGGCGCTCCAGTTTGCCGTCTCTTATATGAAACTTATTGCTCGTGTTTACTTTCATTTTCAAAATATTTTCCGGCCGGAGCTCGGCATCAACTACCCACGTCATTGTGATACCTCCCTCTGTTGAGTCATGGCACATTAGCCGTTTATAAGACAGACCATTGCTGCAATACCACTACCAAGTGAGGCGGAACAAAAGCCGCAAAATTCACGCAGCTCCATGCTGGCACGACTCGTTTATAAGGCACACCATTGCAGTAACATTATGCTGATTTCCCGGCACGTTGTGTCTTGCAATAAGGGCTTATTATTGGGGTGTACTCGTTTTTACAACATGGGCTTGAATGGATTAGTTAGGAAAATCACTTTTGTGTGTGAAAATTAACCAAATCTTGTCTGCAATCAATGGCCCTCATTTGTGGGAGTATTTTGTAGTATGCAACCTCATAGAAAATGTTGATTCTGAAAGGAAACTAAAGGTTTTCTGACAAATGTAATGGGGTGTACTTATTTATGCTGAGTACTGTATATTGTGGAGATGAATAGAAAAACAAAAATCTTACTGAAATGTTTCTCTTTTGTCTAAAACCTTCACCAGTAACACATTTCAGTTCTCAAACAAACATTGAACCATCCAGTTGTCAGACTCACCAAACCGCCACACTTCCCTAGGTCCTCCATTCATACACTTTCATATTTAGCAACAGAACACCTCTGGTGTGAGAGGTTCTCTACCCAACAACATCAAAGAATGAAAAACAGCTGGCTGTTACCACTTCAACTTTAGCCAGAAATAAGATATTTGCCATCACAAAAGTCATTAGCTGCGCTTTGAACACCGACATGTTTTTAGAGTAATTATAAACATGACTTACTGAGAGGAAACTTGTGTTTCTGTCTTTGAAGGCCCAGATAGTGATGCTGGAATTCTGCCCCGGTCTCTCGGGGTCATCTTTAGTAGCATCGGTGAGAAGATTTTCACCGGTATGTGCATCAAACCTCACCGCTGCAGAGAGTTCTCTAAACTCAGTTGGGAGCAGCAGGCAGAGGAGGCACTGTTCAAGAGAAGTCTCCTGAGACAGTTTAAAGAGGTAACCTGTTGAATCAATAACTCACCAGAGTGGAGAAGCTGCTGTCCTGCAGGCTCAATAAACACCATTAGAATGGTTGTATAAGCAGCTTGAAGGAATAATTAAACCATCTCTTTTTCTACAGGATTAGATCAACTCTGATAATCAGTTTAAAACACCTGAGACAGTCCAGCATACGGAAAGCAATATTTCAGACATTCTGATGTGTGTTTGTGTGTAAAAGTTATAAATACTTGCTATTTTATCCATTGTAGATGGCTTCCTGAGTGGCCTCTGTTAAGAGAAACTGTTTAATTCCTTCAGTTCTAGTCCAAGCTAATGGCAAGTATGAAATAGTCGCAACCTCCTGGTCCAGCTGGCCATTTTCTCTGTAAATTTGCGGAATTATTGTCATCAATGCTTAACCTAGAAAAGTTTTAATTCTAGGTGACTTTAACTTACACAATAATGATTCGGCTTGTAGCTCCACATTAGAGTTCATGTCTATGAGTGTTTGAACTTACTACAGCACGTTTCAGCTGATTTCTCAAACAAAAATAACCAGAAAGTTCTGTTTGACATCATAAACTAGATTGTTTCACCTCAAGCCCCTCGTGTATATGTGTGTGTATATGTATATATATATATATATGCCTATCTAACAACTTTCTAACATTCTTTGAGAACAAAATTAGAAAAATCAGGGCAAGTTTTTCACCCCCATCCACTTGCTATTCTCCCATCCAACCATCATCTTCAGGACATTTGCCTCTTTTAGAATAACATGAAACCAACCACATGCACGCTTGACATTATTCCTACCACCTTGTTCATTACGATGTTTAACCAAATTGGCCCATGCATTGTAGATTTTATTAATTTATCTCTAAAATCTGGCTGTATTCCCCCTGTTTTCAAACATGCAGTCGTTGAACCTATCCATAAAAAAATGAAACAGTTTGGATTTTTCTCAGCCTCAAAATTACAGAACTATTTCTAAATTACCCTTTATCTCTAAAATATTGGAAACAGTTAATGATCTGTTCTCTGGGGTACCCCAAGGCTCTGTTTTGGGTTTTCTCTTAACGCCCGGAACACACCAGGTGCGAAAACGCGGTAAAATGCTCTGCAAAGCGCCGTGGAACAACGAGCGCTTCTAATCGGTGCCCTTGCTAACGTATGCTCTCGGTCACATCCTCTGCGAAGCGCCACAAAGGCTCACACTGAAGTGATCGTAACGATCGTAAGCTCAAATTTTTTCGTTAGCTGCGTCAATTCTGGCAGAAAATCAAACCAAAACAGAAGAGGCAGGTCGGTAAATTTAAAGAGCAAGCCACCCCCTACCATAGTCTTACTCCACTCCCAAATTCTGTTGCCTGGCAGTCCGTGAGAGTGGAGCCGCTAACAAATACACAGGCTCACAACGTCACTGTGATGTCATATGGTACCAGCTAACGTCATAATGTTAGCCAATAGTTGTGCTAGATTTAAATTCAAGTGCAGTGCAGAGTTTTTACCTGATGATGGCACAGCACTGACAGTTTTAGGCAGAATATTTAAATTTTAACTAAGATGCACTAAAGTGCTGAATTATTGACTACAAATTTCTACAGCACAATTAGACACAAATTTATATATATTATCAGCACCAAAATAAAGCAGATTTGGGGATGATTTGCTCTTTAACAAAATAATGAAAATTTTCTAAATAAAACACTGCAATTGATAAATGTGATCGTTTCTGTGTATCTAAACAGACTAGAGAGATGAAAATGAACAAACACTGGTTTATCTAATAATGTCAGAATTGATGCTTCTAGTGCCATGAGTCCATGTTAATCCTCTTAAGTAAAAGGGAAATCGGCATATTTTAATGTCTCAAAGCAGAAATTCTCGCCTGATGTGATTAGAGGAGGAACGGACAGTGCACGAATTTCATGAGCGATCCACCTCACGGTGCTTCGCAGCTGATGTGTTCCGGGCGTAATTCGACTGTACATACACCCTCTTGGACAAATGATTGATTCTTTTCACAACATCTCTTATCACCTATATGCAGATGACATTCAGCTGAACTGCTCCTTTAAGATTTCTGAGTTTTATAAACTGTCTGAATTACTAGAGTGCAGGGTTTTCCCCAGCGCTCTCTAATTTCCCTCTGGGACTAATAAAGTATCTTTGAATTGAATTGAATAAGCCTGGTGGCCCGCCAGGCTTTGCTTGGCCACCCGCCAGGCTAAGCGTCATGCCCCCCTCCCCGACCCTACTGTGTCCACTGACATGGACGGTGCAACAAAACTAGAGCCCTCCATCAGCTGATACTGGTGAGAAACGGCAGCAGAACGTGTGCAAACACCCTCCCCCCCCGTTCCCACGGAGGAACGCTGCGGGACGGAGCTCCAACCCGAGCCCTCAGATCCACAAACCAGAACCTTCTAGAACGGGGCTATTCATTTCATTTCCAGCATGTTATGGCTTTAACTCTGCTTCAACACACCTGATTTCAATTAGTAGGTGATTAACAGACTTCTGCAGAGCCTGATGAGCTGCTGCACAGGTGATTCAACCACTGAATCAAGTGTGTTGGACTGGAGAAACCACTAAAACCTGCTGCCCTCCAGGCCCGGAATTGAATAGCCCTGTTCTAGAAGTTCCAAAGACCAGATACAAAAGTCAAAGGAGCAAACAGTCATTCGAGGCCGTTAGCTCAGCCGATTGCTTTCGTGTGCGGCAGGCTTAACCTTGCCACAGAGATGAGTAAGCCATAACATTCCTCTCCCCCTCTCTTGCGTGCTGGAAGCTACAAGGTCTCATGAAGAAGTCGAGACTTACTCTTTAATAAAAGGATTCTTATTTTGTCTCATAAAATAATTTCTTTCAGTCTACAGGTTGTTTACAATCATATTCTGTGCAATTTACAATGAATGTTCTTTCTAAAGTGATTTAATATTAATTATTCAACATTAATGTTTATTATTTCATGACTTATTTCAGATTTTAAATACACTAAATGAGTCAATTTGATGATTTAATAATTAATTCTTATCGGTTACATTTGCATATCAATATCAGTATATTAACAAATAAACGTTTAACAGATTTATTTCACATTAAGTGGAACCAACCTCTTCTGAGTGCCTGAGGGTCTTGGTAAACACCTATCCAGATTTCTCAGATCTGGTTGGTCCAAGTTTATAAACAACCATTTCATTCAAAGTGAACTCGCTTCCTTTTTTCCCCAGTTCCGCCAGAGCTCTAGACAAGCTCACAGCTCATGCTAAATGACCATTCTATTTGGAATCAACCCGATTTTTCAGTGGAATATTTTTAGCGGCGTAAAGAACCATCCTCTTTTGAATCAGTCAATAAATATTTGCTCAGTCCACCACCCACTCATCAGATGCGAAACCGTCCGCCAGAAGGAGCATTAGCCTGTAGAGCCTGACAACATGCAACAAAATCTTAAAGCTGTAGTCCAAAAGGCCACAGGACGCCAGTGCAGTGAGGCCAATGCAAGGGTGATGTGCTCCAAATCCCTGTCATTAGCCGAGCTGCTGAATTCTGAACAAATTGTAAGTGCCCGAGTGTTGAAAGATACAGAGTTTAGACTCTCGTCTTGTGAGATTAAAAGCTCAACAAATTCAGCAACCCTATCAACAATTAGAACACAACAGCTTATTGACTGAGCATCCCTCTCTGCAGGGAGGGAAGGTAAAATAAATCACTAAAAATTGGTGAATGGTCAGAAAAACAGCCGAAACAATCTTGAGATTGACAGCCGGAAAACCAAAAGAAAGAACAAGATCCAATGTGTGCCCCTTAATGTGAGTTGGGCCCGTGACCCATTGAGTCAGATTAAAAGAACCCAATAGATTAAAAACAATCTCTAGCTAGTGGATTGTCACAACGTCATACATGTATATTAAAATCACCAAGAAATTAAACATGATCATATTTTAAAAAGTTGTCCATCACTAGATCTGAGAGCCAAGTTCAAACAGGCACAATTCAAAGGAGGCAGGTGGCAATGGAGGAGTAAGCTGCCTGCATTTAAAACAGGATTTATAAATGACTAGGCTGCCCCGATGACCTGGGGACATTAAAACAACTGCAGATACCAGTTTCAGCAGTGCACTCCTGTCACCCAGAGGAATCCAAATTTTCACAGATGCACATAAAGCTCAGTTTGTGATCAATAAAAATGTCTTTCAAAAATAAACTCTTATTCAGTACTTACCTTGCATTTATCAGGCCAAATCGGGTACATTGCGATGCCTCCAACTGATTGTCCCTCGTCAATACTGTAGTCTTTCTTGTAGGTTCTGAAGCAAATCCAACACAACTCACAGGGCACAGATTCCCCAGCTAGCTCCTCTCCAACAAAACCACGGAAATACACAGCAGGATCAACTTCCTATCAAAACCCACCAGTGGCACCAAACAGGGCGCTGGGAGGTCCAATGACTGCCGGGGGACAACAAGGCCAGCTCCAGATAGAACTGCCAGCTCCTTCCGAGATCAAGATAGCCAAGCTCTCAGCTCCATCTGGGATCCGCTACGCTTTCCTCACACACTTTACGGTGACTCAGTTCTAGAGAAAGCTTCGGACAGGCCCTCCGTAGTAAAATCTCTTTAACCCTGAGCAATTTTGGCAAGCTGCCAAAACCCTGCTAAAAGCTGCGTACAGCTGACACAGCAAAACAGTACCTTCAGAACCAAGCCGAGACAACTTCAACTCCTTAAGAGTTATTCCTGAGACACAAACTAGTTCCAACCTGTGTGCCTGGTGACATCTCTGGACTGGAGAAGTCTGTACAGAGGTCATCCGACCTCCCTGACCTCCAGATCCGCGACGAGGGTCTCCAAAAGGGTGAGGTAGAACACAGTGGGATTGCGTCTGATGTGTCTTTGATAAGAACTTCATAGTTTATGCAAACCAAATTCTTTTCACCCAGAACTCAAGTTCTTCTAGATACGAAGGTTCTGATAACCTCATTCACACATGGTGACCATACATCACATCCTCTCCACCTAGATTCATCCATCACAGTAGCCTTGGTTAACTTGTCATGTTTTTTAATTGTTTGGAAAATAAATTCTTACTTTTTATAAACTTGACTCTCTTCTTGAAGTAACACGAAGTGTGTTTGATCACTGAAAAAGCAAAGAATCCTAGAATCTTCTGATTAAACATTCAAAGACTAAGCAGGTTGATATTCTATATTTACTTAGAATATTACATATTCCTGGTCATAAGTAAAGGTAATATAAACTTAAAAGCAACACATTTACCATCTCTACATATTATATACACACACGTTCCACCTGGAACAATCAGATCCAACGCTACACAACTGGCGGCGAGGAGAAGCACAAGAGGATTTGGATGTTTTCCCCATCATCCACAAATGTTGTTGGAAGCTGGTCAGCAGAGGATTGAGCTCCAACAATTATTCACGGTCATGTCACCAACATAAGTGCATCCCTCCCAAAAAATGCCAGAATTACTATAAAGACAAAAATAGAGGAGACGGACCGCAAGCTGCACACACTGGCGCCATCTTGACTTCACCCTTGCACTAGTTTAGACTAGCTGTTGGCTCAGAATAGCCATTCACTTGACCTAGCCGTTAGCTTATCAGTCCTGACTGTATTTCTCTGAATAGAGGCCCCTCAGGAAGCTATACTCAAGGTGTAAAAAGTAATGATTGCTAAGTTTTACACAGAAACAAACTTCAGCAGGAATGTAATGCCCCTTTTAAAAGATATTAAAACAAACCGTAAATGAGAAGTAATCAGTTAATTTTACCCACAATAATTAATTGCGTTTAAACTTTGTTTTGGTTTTCCTAAAACTGGAGATTTCTGGTTTTATTCCGAGTCTAAAGGTCAGTTCCATTGTTCCATTGTTGGTCCTGGTTCGGTTTTTTCTGATGGGTGATTGTTCCTCAGCATCCTGCTTCATTTAAGGTTTTGTATTTGAATCTGTAATAAAGCTTCATGAACATCTTTTTTTCAGAATGAGAAGAACATGAATTTGTTGAATATGACCAGTCAGACCCACCCTGATAGTGAGTGTTACTTTTTATTTGTCCTTTATTTCTATTTTTGCTATTGGTTAGGGCTCATGTGTGCGTTTTCTGTGCAGCCTCCACCATGATGGAGACTTTTGCAGCACCAGAAGATAAAATCAGCCTGAATGTTGAAACAAACACCAAGTTCTCCATTTGGGTTTCTTTCTGTGAAATCTACAATGAGAATATCCACGACCTCTTAGAGGTGGCGCCCAACGGCGCCCCGAGGAGAATCGCCCTGAGGCTGTCGCAGGATGTCAAGGGCAATGCTTTTGTCAAAGGTGTGAGGCATGGAGTAATGAACAGTCATAAAACACTGAAGTTTATAGTCTTTTATTCTGAGGTTTGGCATTCATCTATAAATGAAACATCATTTCCTGCACTTCTTAAATCGGTCTTTGCTTTAAACTCCCTTTGCGGGACATCCTACAGACTTCATTTAGTGACTGGTTGTTTATCTGCTGTTAGATCTGCGCTGGGTTCAGGTGAGCAGCACTGAGGAGGCGTGCAAAGTAGTGAAACTGGGCAGGAAGAACCAGAGCTTCTCCTCCACTCGACTCAATCAGCTCTCCAGCAGGAGGTAAAGACTTTCTGTTTTGACCAAAAACCACAGGAACCAGTAAAATGTATGTTTGTATTCAGATCATTTCCTGTTGTCCTGTACTGTTTCTGTGCATGGGTTTCTCATATCCCATACATATCTCAGATTGATCTAACACATACTTCCTGTTTACTAGAGATTTCACATTATGGGAAAATATTTTCGTTCATGGACACAAGCAGTGAATCAATTACCCTCTGGGATTAATAAAGTATTTTTGAATTGAATTGAATTGAAGAGTTCTGCTTTAACATGTTGGTTATTTATATATTTATTTTTTGCCGTCTGCAGCCACAGTCTGTTCTCTATTCGAGTTTTGAGGATTGAGGACATCGGCACTCCGAGAGTTCACACGATCAGCGAGTGAGTGAAGGGACATCTCCCTGAGACCAGCTCAGACATTGACCTGTTGGTTTGGTTTAAATGACTGCAGCTATCGATTATTTTAATAGATGTTTGATCTGCCTAAGTTATCAATTAATTAATCAGATAATTAGATAGGACTTTCTATAATTGTGATTAACAAGTTGATTTCTGTAACACTATTGAATTCATCCCATTAACTCTGATTCATAAGCCCTCCCCCAACTTTGACACTGCTTTGTTCACACCGACTGGAATGTGTTTGACCAACAGGACCTGGAGGCACACACAGAGACTGCTCTCTTCCATCTCCACATGAGGTGAAAGTGTTAAAATAGCCAAACAAGCCCGAGTCTTGGCCCAAATTAGAGGGTGAACCTCTACTTTCAGAACAAGTGACCGAAAACTGTACAGCTCAATCAAGGTGCTATACTGAGTCAGGATCCTCTGGAGTTTTCTTCCTGTTAAAAGGGAGCTTTCCTCTCCACTGTCGCTAAATGCTTGCTTAGTATGAGGATTGCTGTAAAGTCACTGACTTGCTTCAAATCAGTGACTTGATGCAATTTACCTGGTTCCTTAAATAGGAAACTTTTTACTGATTGGCTTAACGAACTGACCTGTATTGGAATGTTTACTATGTGAAGTGCCTTGAGATGACTCTTGTCATGATTTGGCGCTATATTTAAAAAAATAAAATAAAATCAGGACCAGTCTGAGAAAAGCATTCCACCAGCTTGGGCATCATACCTGTCGGAAAGGGTTATAGTTATTGCAGTTCTAGAAGATCCATTTGTAAAGTTACCCCGCTCTTATTTTGGTGGTCCAGTTTGTGACGTCACTTCCTCTAGATAGTCACTTCCTGTAAAGCCGTTTCTACTATTTTGTCCAAGCTGTTGGTGGTGGCAGACAGCCTCGTGTGCATTCATGACTGATATACCACACGGAACCACAGAAATGTATAGATGTCCATACTTCTACTGTCAATAAATACGTTAAACTGTCTCTCCGTGCCCTGCTCTCTGACCGGAGTCCTTATCTTGAAGATGCTGTCAGATCAGTAAATAACTTCCAGAGTTCCCACTCTATCACATGGTCCTTCGAGCCGGATTCACAGTCATCTATAGATATTATGGAGGAGCTAGGACAACCATCTGCAGACCCAGCAGTGCGTACTAGATCCCAGCGGGAGAGACGACTACCAACGTATTTGGAGGACTACGAAGTTGGATATCAACCTCAACTTCTCCATCATCCAGCAGCCCAAGCTCCAGCTGGGCATGAAGCTCATCCTCCAGATCAACCTGCAATGATGACAGTTGCCATCACTGGAGCCATACCTAGCCTACCTAGTAGGAGCGCATCATCAGATCGAAGCCAATCTGTCTCTCAACGCAGTAAAGCTAAGACCCAGGGCAGCATCAGTTCGTCAACAAGGAGGTCAATCATCGATGGGTTATCTGATATACAGACAGCCATGTTGGAGGAGAGAATAAAGCGCATGGAGTTGGCAGAGGTACAAAGACAGATAACGGAGGAAAGTCTGATGGATGAACAGTACCAGCATCTGGACCGGCAAACAAGAGAGGAACTCCTAAGAGAACAAGAAATACAGAGGCATAAGCTTGATGAAGAGGCGGAAATAGCATTAAAGGCAAAAGAGGCTATTACCAGACGGCTAATGCTGCAACGTAAAAACTAAAGGAAAAGGAAATAGAGTTAGAGAAAGTGACTCTCATTACATCCCTCCTAAAGGAGGAAACGAGTAGCTCTGTTGCCTCAAGACCGCAAAGCGGAGATTAATCCAACAAAGGGTCCCCAGCTGACGTCATGGGAGTACCACCACCCTCACAAGGTGCACATGGACCTGCACACTCTGCTCCTACAGTTATTGGCCCTCCACCAGCCTTTACAGCAGCAGTGACTAATCCTCCTGTCTCAACAAGTCAATTAACATCTAGAGCTTCGCCTATCCTTCAACCTTAACCTGCCATGGTAAACTTGCCGACCCAGCCACAATTCACATACTCCACGATAGCTCCGCCCACCACAGCGCATAATACCATCCCTCAGCCTGGTACGACACTATCAGTTGGTGCTATATTACAACTATAGGTTGTAAAACCAGGAAGTGAAAAATACAACAGGTAGTTGATTTAAAATAAATATTCTGTTTTCCTTCTCAGCCCTATTTTGTGTTTCTCTGCAGGTTGTGTGTCTGTGACTTGGCTGGCTCTGAGCGATGTGCAAAGACTCAAAACAAAGGAGAGCGTCTGAAAGAAGCTGGAAACATCAACACCTCGCTTCTCATTTTAGGAAAATGCATCAACGCACTTCGACACAACCAGCAGGCAAAGTGAGACTTGGATCTGCTTCAGATTCATTTTCATCTACAGACATGTCTCCAACTTTGTGTTGTTCTGGCGTCCAGGCTGGTTCAGCACGTTCCCTTCAGAGAAAGTAAGCTGACCCACTACCTGCAGAGCTTCTTCTGTGGTCAAGGTAAAGCCTGCATGATCGTCAACATCAACCAATGTGCCTCCATGTTGGACGAGACACTCAACGTTCTCAAGTTCTCTGCCGTGGCTCAGAAGGTTCATAAACTTTTATTTGCTTCTAAAAATGCTTTGTTATTTAGGTTCTCATGGAAAATTCTGGAAGTGTCTCATCATTAAGGACATCAGGTCTTCTCTCTGATTCCAGGTTGTAGTTTTGTCCTGCCGGCCTCTTCCCATCATGCTCCAGACTTCCAGCGGTGAAGTCACCCGGAACGCTGAGCGGAAGGCTCTTCTTCACAACAAGAGGAGCTGGGACAGTGGCCTGGAAGACGTCCAGGTGTTGTTGAAGTTTGACTTTTTAATGGGCTTCTTCTATTTCCACATGAACCTCATGCTGGTGTGAAAATATTCTTGTTCAGGAGGACAAAGACGACATAGAGGAAACCAGCCTGTTTGAGGCCACAACGGATCAGACAGTCAACGATGGAGAAAGTGATCAAAATGATAAAATGGTTGTCTCTAAGAAAACTCACCAGGTAGGTTGGATTTAGCAGAACAGCTAAAGGCAGGTTGATTTTACTGGACACAGTTAAACTACCTCAGCCATGAAAAAGAAGGAAACAGTCTTGTACATAGCACCTCAAGATATAAATCACAAGGTGCTTCACAAGAACAAATTTTAAAAATAAACATTGAAAGATAATTAAAAATATATAATGAAATTGGGAAAAGTAAAAATTGTGATTTCAAAAGATGTGATGAAAAAACAAAGAAAATGAATAAGAAAAAGGTTGTCACGCTGTGAGTGGGGGGGAGGTTAGGACCCAAGATGCAGAACCAGGAAGACACGAGGCAGGAGTTGGAATAAATGTAAAATCCTTTATTAGGAGTGATTGTCCAAAAGTAAATCCAAAAGGCAGGAAGCCAAAACCGAAATTCCAAAAATCCTAGTATGAAACTACCAAGAGACCTAGAGACTAAGAGCTCACTTTAAAAGGTGACCTGGAGACCTAGAGCGACCTAGAGACAACGCTGACACAAACAATGGACCAACAACACATCGTGATGCAGACAGGGTTTTATATACAGGGGCAGCATGATTGGGAGATGAGCTGCAGGTGCGTGGGGAGAGAGAAATCTGGTGAAATCAATGTACTAATCAGGGAGAGGAAACTAAGCTGAAGAGGGGAAATAAAACATGAATAATAACCAAACCTAAAGACTAGGAGAACAAGACAAATAACTAATGATCTAAGGAGGAAAGGAGAACTAATAAACCGGTGGGGAAGGGCCTTACGCAGTTTTCAGACCCTGTTTTGTGCTTAAGCAAGCGTAATAAATGAGGCCCTAGAACCAGGATCTTGAAATGAACCCTGAAGTTGACTGGCAGCCAGTGAAGCTGGAGGAGAAGCGGGGTGATGTGGGTGTGTTTGGAGGACTTGGTCAGAAGCCGAGCACAGGCATTCTGAACCACCTGTAGACGGTTCAGGGAGGTTCTGCTCAGACAAGTGAAAAGAGAGTTACAGTAGTCTAAGCGTGCAGAGATGAAGGTGTGGAGAACTGTCTCAAGTTCAGAGCGAGACAGAATGGGACTCAGCTTAGCAATGTTCCTGAGATGGAAGAAGGAAGAGCGAACAAGAGAACTGACATGAGCTAACTGTAGTTCAGATCAGGTCATGATTTAATTAATCTGTAAATTTTTTGTGGTCTGGTTTATTTTTACATAAACAACAAACCAGGTCAGGTCATCTGTGGGTGGGGCTACTAGAAGTAAACTCAGGATGAATGTTGTATATTGTGATCCTGAGTTTATTGACAAAATGCCCCAAATATCAATCAGCTACTGATAGATGTCCCCCCTTGTATCCTTGTATCCCAAAATGCAACACACACCTGCTACAGGAAGGCATTTGGCTCAAAACAGTGTGGTTGATGCCAGATTACAGTTGCACTATAAACGTACCAAGTAGGGGTAAAGGGATTAACCAGTTTGCCTATTAAGCCTGGTTAACTCCCCGTAAAGACATCTCCAACACCACCAATCAAAAACAGACAATAGGGCAACCCTCACGGACAAAGACAAAAGTGAAACTGAACACGCGCACACAGCAGAAGCAGGGCCAGTGACAACAACCATTGGCACTGATCCATTTCCTCCTAGAAAGCTGTTGGAGTCTCTTGTGTGGGAATATGTCTAAATATTCCCACACAGCCAGGAGACTTCAACTAACCTTGTGCTGCAAGATGAATTCTCGCGAGATTTGGAGTTTTGCAAACTCAGGAGAATCCATCTTGTACTGCTGCAGTTCAAACTGTCCGACCTCCAGCCCAAAATAGGCTGATCCAATCGTATGTCAGCACTGTGCTGTAGGGTGGGAGTTAGTTTTCATGATTGCATCAAGCACCAGGCTAAGCAAAACAATTATGGCCCACGCAGATTGAGGGTCGTGTAGAAGTGGCTATTGAATCAGTTGTAGAGGAACTAGACAATTTCTTCATTAAAAAATGAGCAAAGGGAAGCACTTTGTGCATTTGTTGATGGTTAAGACGTGTTTTTTTTCTTGACTGGATTTGGCAAGAGCTTGATTTACCAGCTTGCACCACTCATGAAGAAACTTGCAAACTCCAGAAGACATGGTAATTGCCGAGTGAGTGAAAGAATGAGGCTTGAGCGAGTAGTTGTTGTTTTCCAGGTGAACATGGTATACGTTATTTGAGTTGTTACTGTGATTAGCTTAAGACACAATATGGTAGCCAGTGCCAGCCAGGCATCACCTTGCGCATCCTCCAATAAGCTCAAACTATTCTAGCAGATAGCCCTCCCTCTTTCAGACAGTTTCTGCTGCAGAGATTCCATATCAAAATGTGTAGACTCGATACGGGGCGGGGCTACACACAGATCTGGCTGCAGCCAGGTTAGACTTCAACTGCCTCCTAGTTGGTAATGGAGCCATCCCAGGGGTTGTTGTCACTGGCCCTGCTACTGCTGCGCGTGTCCATGCAGGTTGTGCTATTATCTTTTTGTTTTTTACTGGTGGTGTTGGAGACGTCTTTATGGGGGTAACCGGGGTTAATAGTCAAACCGGTTAATCCCTGCAACCCTAGTACCAAGACTCCTCCTTCACCGGGTCTGGGCACGGTTCTGTTCACACCGACAAACCAACCATGCTGAAGGTCTCTCACAAACACACATACACAGTTATGGTCTTCCCATTACTAAATTCTTTATGTATATAACATGTGCTTTTCTTCTGTTTTATGTAAATTCTCTTGATTCAGGATTCCCACGGGGTCTTAAAAAGTCATAAAATCATTGAATTTAGGAATTTGGAAATAATACCTTAAAAAGTCTTGAATTTTGACAACTGGGTCTTAAAATTTGCATGAAAAATCCCTGTACTGTTTTTGTCCTCTAAAATTTCATTTGTCAACCACAATCATTTTTATTAAATAATTATTAAATTAAGTAGCATAAATAGCCTCGGCCCAAAACACTCTGAACATGTGACGTATTCAGCTCCTGCGCTACAGCAGTGATACAAAATGGTAAACGGACCACGCAGACCTCCAGCAGAGGAGAAACGTGGAAAATCTCAGCAGACTATGAGGAAAGTTGACTGACGCCTAGGGCTGGGTGCCAGAACTCTGGACCTCTTTGGGACTGAGTGAAAATATTCGCTAGGTACCGAGATCAGAAAAGAAGTATTAAAATGTCCCAGTGTGCCACCGCGGGTCACATGACTGATCCCGAGTCTTGTTATGAGTGGCGGAGACTCGTATCCTGTCAACAACACTTGTCTGCAGTTTGCGGATGGAAATGGTTAAAAAAAAAACTCAAAAGTTTGGGTGCATTCAGCTAAAGTAAGCAGCAGCTAAGTGCAACACCAGCTAGAAGATTTGTGCTGTGAAAATCAGGAATAGCAGCAATAATGCACCTCATGCAGGGCATCATCTTGTAATGGTTTAATTTACATGTTATTTAATGAGCCATGAGACATGAGATTCCATAGTAAATATGAAATCAACCTTATGGATCTGTGGGTACTTTTTAACCAGAAGATTGGAACTTTTTATTGCAGGGATTATGTAACCATTTCTTATTAATTCAGAGACAACAGAAGAGAGAGTCAAGTTTTAAAAGTTTAAAGATTTATTACTAAACAAATTAAAACTAAACTAACTTTAACGCTAAATGTATGGTGTAACGAAGGTTAAATGAGATGGCGAATGGTGTAGTATGGAATGTTGTTCAGAACCAGCAAATCCGAAGAAACAATTAGTTCTGGTCGGAGTGAAGGTGATGTCTTTGCGCTAAGCTTTGGTTAGGAGATTAATGAAACACATTTGACGCCATTCTGTCGGTCTACGTACCCTTGTGGAAGTCCCCGTCTAGATCAGGAGGTGTAGAGGTCCAGCTTGACCTTTGTGGAGCCGAAGCCTGTAGAAACAGCCGCGGCAGCCAGTCTTGAGATACTTCCGGGTCACGACAGTTTATCGGCATCTAACAAGACCCAAAACAGGGTCGTGGTGGCTCAGCTTTTATTCTGAAAGGAACCGTTGCAGCAGGTGGAACGGCAACAGGTTTTCCAGCTTGTCGTTGGTTCTTTTGGCTGAAGGGGCGAGTTACGGATTGGCCACTCCATCAACTTCTCTCTAACGCTTTGAACTGGCGTTAAAGATGACTTGGGCATAGTTTTATACTTCGGATGTTTTGGTTTATGGTCGAATGAAAAGTTGACAGATTTACCAAACACCACCAAAACCACGCCTCCATCAGATCTGGCAGATTCTGATTGGATCAGTAAAAGCAATGTGTCATGTCTTAAAGCTACGTGAGATCAGTCTCTAGAGGAAACATTTAAAGTCATATTACTTATTATATTCTATGGGATTATAATAAAGTAATTAATATTTTGATTTCACAGATTGGTCACATCTTATTATTGACTAAAACTTTGTTTGATTAGCTTTATTAAAAATAAAGTTCCTTGATTTATTTAAAGGAGAGAGTCCTTTTCTTCATTCTTCTGTTGAGCTGGAAAGAAGCAGTTTAGAAGCAAATGCATGAGACCTTGAGGCCATATCTCATGCAGATTAGTTCTGTGTCAGAGGCATCTGTGGAGAGAGGGTAAGTAACCGATGGAATAGCACCTCCATCACGTTACAATATTGAGAGCTGAAACATGGAAAGTATTTGACTCCCAACAAACTAAACTCGAGTCCATCATCTTCCAAAACAGTGGAGGAGTATGAGGATGGAGGCTTATAAAAGCAGAAATAGGACATAAAACCAACTTAGCTGCTGTTAACCAGCATTTTAAATGCAGTTCAGCAGGGTTGTTATTACTGCTATTACTGACATGAAGTCAAGCAATACAAATATTTAAATTTTGTGCCTTTAAGGTTTTCACTGTAGCTTTTCTCTGTTTTGCTTAGAAAAAAATGAAATAAAGTTTTATCACAATAAATATAATAAAATTATATAAACAATAGAAAACCTTTAAGTATTTTGTTATCCTCTCAAAAAAAATATATATATTTATTTATAGATGTAAACAAAAGTATCGTTAAGGTACCAACATCAAAAACCAGTTATTGTTAAAGTAGTAGTATCAGAAGTATCTACTGGTACCCAGCTACCCTTTCTGTGAAAGCTCAAACCACTCTGCTACTGTTCTCTTCTGAGGTATTTGGCAAAATATAATAAAACTTATTTTTATTTTGTCAGTAGGGCTGTGAAATAAGTGTGTGTATATATATATATATATATATATATATATATATATATATATTTTTTTTTTTTTTTTCACATAAGTGGTCTTGAAAAGGTGTTTAAAAGGCTTGAAGTTAACTTGATGAAACCAGTAGGAACCCTTTTGATTGCTGTTTACTGTTTTCAGAGGCAGGTGGCGCTGTTGAATCATCTGCAGGTCCAGCTGAAGAAGGAGCGAGCGGAGAATATGCTCCTGGAGGCTCGAGTCAGAGAGGAGATCTGCCAGGAGTTCACAGAGCTTTTCTCTAAGATGCAGAACGATTACAAGTAGGGATGGGTACCTTTGACATTTGAATCGATCCGGTACTAATTCCCGGTACCTACGAATCGATACCGGTACTTAACGGTACCAATTTTCGATACTTTTGAGTGTTTAATATTTTTAATTCTCTTTTATAATTAAATATATATTTTTCTCAATATATAATTATATTTGATAAACATCATGATAAATAACATACAACTGTTTGTATTTTAACATCGTCCTTGTAGTTTTATAAGCTGATAATTAAACTGAAGCAAACATCTTTACTGTGAACTAAATTTACTGTATCTTCATTCCTTTTACCGTCCTTTTTCATTTGATTTTTCCTACTGGGAAGTTAGAATTTCCAAGGAGAAAGCGAACGCACCATTAGTGAAACGGAAGCTAACAAATCAAGCTAACGTTATCTTAAACTGTTTATTTAGCTGCTGGAGCAGATTAAAACCATGATGCCTCACACTTAAATCGTTGTCACTGGTTTCATCTTCACCCAATCACCCGTCGCATTTAGTAAAGTGAAGCCAAACTTTAGAGCGCGTTCATGTTCTTCTAGTCGGAATTTCGGAGTTCCGAGGAGAAAGCGAATGCACCATTAGCGGAACGGAAGCTAACATATCAAGCTAACGTTATCTTAAACATTTTATTTACCTACCGGAGCAGATTAGGATGAGGATGTCTCACTTAGATCGTTGTCGCTGGTTTCATCATCACCCAGTTACCCATCACATTTAGTGAAGTGGACCCAAGCTTTAGCCTGCATTCTTTCTACCATGCTGCTCTGTTCACAACTGGCTCGCAGTGACCGACGACACAACGCTCTTGCGCATGCGCAGCTGTCTAGGCAAGTTCTCGTTGTGAAGGACGGGTACCGAAACGAGGCACCGTTTCAAATGAAGTGAATCGGTGCTCGGTCGGTACTGTGGAATTCGGTCGGTACCTTAAAAAGTACCGAATTCAGTACCCATCCCTAATTACAAGTGAGGTTCAGTTCCATGCTGTCACATGAGAAGGTTTTAACCATGGGGAGGGGGTTCCGTTTTCGTTCTAAAGATTAGTTCTTATTAGATTAAGCCCTGTTCTCTTCTAACTTCTTGCAGTTAAATGCCAATAAAACTGAGGTGCTTATGGGCATGAAATCTGCATTATTGAAGGCATCAATGTTCTCAGTATTAATAGACAACACGTCTGTTAATCATATAAAAATCCTTGGTGTAATTCTGGACAGCATGTTGTCTTTCCAATCTCACATCAGTTCTGACTTCCATCTGCAAAATATTAACTGCCTGTGTCCATTTCTGTCAAATCACTCTGTTGCCATTTTAGTCAACAGTTTGGTATTTTCCCACCTGGACCTAGTGCAGCTCACTTCTCTTTGGTCTGCCCCAAAAGTTAATACACAAACTTCAAGTGGTTTAACATTTGGCTGCTCGTATGATCACCAGAACACCCTGCTTACCCTGCTTCATATATATATAAAGCTTATATGTGACCCAGCAGCCTATTTACTCACAGCATTGTTCCAGAAGTACAGCAGTTTTTTTTTTTCATGCATAAACAAATCGTGACCTGGAGTCTCGAGGGATTGTGTGATCTTGCGAGTCCAGCCAAGAGACCAGCGAGGAAGCCGTGCTGCTGCCAAGACTTCCGGTCTGAAAAGGTCTGCTTTAGGTGGTTTTCCAGGAAAGCTACCCAGCCTAAAACAGCTCTGTACAGCGTGGTTTGAATCAGTCCATCTGAGTGTAGTTTTGTTCCGATGCATGGGGTGCGCGATTTTTACTCGTGACAAAATAATGTGAAGTGATCAGTAAACAGTGCAAGGTAACCTGTATGCTCCACAGAACCGCAACTCAGCTGAAAAATGGTGGAATTTGCTCAGTTTTATGGCTTTTTGTCAGACTCTGAACCAGGAATTGGATGCAGGCAGTGAAACGGCAGGCAAAAAATTCCAGCGCAACCAGTGACTCCATCCTCTAGCCGATCAGCGGCCAGAATCACTACGACTCAGCCTTGCCAGGTACTTCAAAGGAGCAGGGTCTAAAAATAAGGGAGAAAGTAGAGGGAGAATACCAAATCATGTCCTTGGAAACAGTGGTCGGGCCAAGCTGGTCTGAGTAGTGTTTCTGGAAAACCGGTACACAGAGCAAACAAACTTGACCCAGACGCTGCTCCATCGACAACTTTATCCTATACCTGTGATTACTGGCTTCAGAGGGCAGTCACACACAACAAACCACTTTAGCAACCCTCAAAACCTCCGCTCGCTAAAACCAACTCCCCCCAAAGACATCCACCTGTCTATGGGACTGTGGAACTGCCAATCAGCTGTAAACAAAGCTGACTTCATTACCGCATATGCAAACCACCTGTCACTCGATGCACTGGCTCTCACTGAGACCTGGATCAAACCATGTGACAATGCTACCCCATCTGCTCTCTCAGTTACCCACACTTCTCGTGCATCTGGGCCGAGGTGGTGGAACGGGCATGTTAATTTCCAACAAATGGATATACAGTCAGTTGCTACCCATCACTAAATACAACTTCTTTGAATACCATGCCATCCAGGTAACTGTACCGAAAAATATTCTTTTTGGTTGTCATATATCGCCAGCCAGGTCAACTCAGAGATTTTCTTGATGAACTCGACACCCTGCTCTCCTCCATTCCTGAGCACGACTGTCCCACAATGGTCCTTGGAGACATGAATATTCACCTGGACAACCCCAGCTCATCAGGCTTCCTGTCACTTATGTCATCATTTGATCTAAAACTAGTACAAAGTCCTCCAACTAGCAAAGCTGGAAAAGCACTTGACCTCATTTTCACCAGAAACTGCCATAGACACAATCTCTGTCACACTGCTGCATCTTTCCGATCATTACTTCATCCGTTTCAGCATGACTCTACATGGAAGGTCCACTGCTTCCTCCCCATTGGTCTCATTCCGCCGCAACCTCTGCAATCTGGCACCCAACCACTTCTTCTCTCTTGTTGCCTCCACTCTTCCATCTCTCAGCACATTCTCTGCTTATGAAGTGAATGATGCCACCGAGTCACTCTGCTCCACACTCTGCTCTTGTCTTAACAACTTGTGCCCTTTAGCTACTAGACCTGCTAGATCCTCAGTCGCACCCTTGGCTAAATGATACCCTCCGGTCTCTATGCACCAATCTTAGAGCTGCGTAACGGAAATGGCACCAAACAAAATATCCTGGTGATCAACTGAAATTTCATGAATTACTGTCCTCATTCTCTGCCAGCATCACTGATGCAAAGCAGGCTTTCTACACTGACAAAATTCTCAGCTCTACCAACTCTCAGAAACTATTTTCAACATTCAAAACTCTGCTCAACCCTCCTTCTCCACCTCTTACCAACAGTCTATCAGCTGACACCTTTGCCTCATTCTTCACTGACAAAGTGGCAGCGATAAGCAGTTTACTCAACTGGCCACTCCTGAACATTCGCTTCGACAAACTCCTTCTAGCCCAACCATCTCAAGCCCTACTGCTTCATTTTCCTCTTTTTCCCGTCACTGAGAACTGTGTGTCCAAGCTTCTCATGTGCAGCCGCCCAACTACATGCCCACTGGACCCCATTCCGACTAAGCTGCTCCAAGCTATTGCTCCTACAGTAGCCGCAGCAGTCACACATGTGATCAACGCTTCACTGACATCCGGTACATTTCCCACCACTCTCAAGCATGCTCAGCTTAAACTGCTGCTAAAAAAATCCATCTCTTCCTCCAAATCATGTGGAGAACTACAGACCTATCTCTCTCCTCCCTTTTCTGTCCAAAATCATTGACAGGGTGGCTTTCAAGAAGATCACAGAATACTTCTCTCAAAACTGTCTGCTTGACCCATACCAATCTGGGTTCAAAAAGGGCCACTCCACTGAAACTGCTCTGTTGGCAGTGACAAAATCCTTAAAAGCTAGAGCGACTGCCAAATTCTCAGTGCTTATCTTCCTCAACTTATCGGCAGCATTTGACACTGTCAACCATGGCTTCCATTTGTCCACACTCTCTAGCATGGGCATCACAGAGAAAGCACACGCCTAGTTTGAATCGTACCTCACAGGACAATCATTCAGTGTATCTTGGCTTGGACAATCCTCTACCGTACCATCTTGCCACAGGAGTCCCCCAGGGCTCTGTACTAGGACCTCTTCTCTTTGCCATATAAACCACCTCACTGGGTGAGATCATTCGATCACATGGCTTTTCCTACCACTGCTATGCAGCCGACACCCAGCTCTATCTGTCATTTCCACCGGACGACCACACTGTCTCTGCACGTATATCAAACTGTCTCTCTGACATATCAAAATGGATGAAATCCCACCATCTCCAACTCAACCTCTAAAACTGAATTACTTGTCATCCCAGCAAAACCATCCATACAGCACAATATCTCATTCCAAAATGACTTCCTATCTCTGGCTCCTTCAAAGGCAGTTCGAAATCTGGGTGTTGTGATCGATGAACACTTGACCTTTAAAGATCATGTTGCCTCTGTTGCTCGTTCATGCTGCTTTGCGCTGTGTAACATACGAAAGATCAGACCATACCTAACACAACATGCCACCCAGCTCCTGGTGCAATCTACTGTCATCTCCCACCTTGACTACTGCAATGCCCTTCTAATTGGTCTTCCAGGCTGTACTGTGAGAATGGTCCAGAACACAGCGGCGCGTCTGGTCTTCAATCAGCCAAAAAGAGCACACGTCACCCCTCTGTTCATTGAGCTCCTCTTGCTATCGCTAGCAGCACGCATCAAATTCAAATTGCTAACACTAGCATACAAAGTCCGAGATGGTACGGCTCCCATCTACCTGAATCCTCTTGCAGAGGCTTACGTCTCGGCCCGGCCGCTCCGGTCATCACAGGATCGTCGACTAGCAGTGCCTACACCATGCTCAGGACAATCCAGACTCTTCTCATGCATCGTTCCACAAATGTGGAACGACCTTCCAAGCACTACCAGAACAGCGGCTTCTTTTTCAATTTTCAAGAAACTCCTGAAGACCCTGCTCTTCAGAGAGCATCTTCTAAACTAGCACCCTCCCTGCACCCGTCCCCCCCTCTACCGTCCACTCTTTTGTTCCCTCCTCTCCATGATTGATGCCAAGTTGTTTTTGTTATTGTTGTTAGCCTCAAGGGCAACATGCCAATCATCACTTGTAAGTCGCTTTGGACAAAAGAGTCTGCTAAATACATAAACATAAACATAAAACCACCTTATGAAGTTCGCGAGTGAACACTTTCGTTGCCATTTTGCACCGCTGATGCTTCCAGTGTGAAACAGGTCACACGTCAGTGACCCCGAGTACAAATCCAGTTTGGGACTTACGAGATTCTGACTTAGATGATATGCATAATTTTTTTATTCCAGCAATGATATTTTATTACAGTAATGATATATGTTTTTACAGTAATAAGAAGCCTAAATTTTTATTATTAAACATCCAAAAAAGAGACTCTGAAGGACGTTTATGTCAGGGCCAGGAAAGACGTCGGTTCAACTCCCACTTTGGAACTGTTTTTCAACCATGACAGTTGGTTTGACGTTGTTTCAATGGTCGTCAAACGTCCGAATGTTTGCTGGGATACTATGTATAGTTTACCTTTGAATTAAACATATTTGTTTGCATTCACATTTATTAAATCCATCTTTTGCTGTAAAAACTGCCTTTAAAATTATGGAAACGTTACGTTTCTCCTCAGGAGTGTGTGTGTGTGTGTGAGCTTGTTTTTTGTTCATTTTCATCTCTTTAGTCTGTTTAGATACACAGAAATTATCACATTTATCAATCGCGGTGTTTAATTTTGAAAATTTTCTTATTCTATTAAATTTACTGGCCTGCCTCTTCTGTTTTGGTTTGACTTCCTGCCAGAATTGATGCGGCTCTCTCACGGAATACACAATTAGCGCACACTCCGAAACAATCACTGCACAGCGCAAGCCTTTGTGGCGGTCCGCAGCCGATGTGACCGAGACCATAGGTTAACAAGGGCGCTGAATAGAAGCGCTCTTCACTCCACGCCACTTCGCGGCACATCGTTGCGCTTCTGCGTCTGATGCGATCTAGGGATAAGGCCATTCATAATCTTACCCCCTCTTATCTCTCACAGCTCCTACAAGTCACTAAACCCTCTTGCATGCTCAGATCCTCCTTTTCCATCAACCATCCATCACCAGCACTTTTGTCACAATTGGATACCGAGCATTTATCAGATTGGCATCCTCCCTATGGAACTCATTACCTGCTCACCTGACTACTCGTTACAATTTTCAGGCAAATCCCAAAACTCATTTGTTTAGATAGCTTATTCACTGTAACTGTTATAAGTGTTTTATCCGATGTTTTATTCGGGTTAAAATTTTCTAGACAAGACAGCTTTATTTATGTAGCACATTTCCTACACACAGGCAACTCAATGGGCTTTACAGCATTAGACATTGAATGTTTAAATATTTTTTGACTTTTTTGATTTGGTTTTGTAACCAGATTGTACAGTGACCTTGGGTTTTTTGAAAGGCGTTACAAATAAAATGTATTATTATTATTATTATTATTATTATTATTATTATCACACCTGTGATGAGAATGTTTCTGCACCTTCTGTCTTTGTGTCAGTGAGCGTCTGTCGAGGGACCGAGATATTCTTGAGGAGCGAACCGAGCGTAGGCTGGAGATTTTCAAGAATCTCATTCGCAACATGTCTGCTGCTGCATCCAGTGGAAATGCAGAAACCATGGTGAGATAACCCCCCCACACACACACAAACACACCACCACTTTCTCTCCCACCCCATGCTGGTTTGACTCAGACCTGACAAAATTTATACATTTTGCGTAGAAAGTATGCAATTTGGCATCTAATCGGTCTTTGTCAGACACGTGACTTGCATGTCAACCACACCCCCTTAGCGCCATTTTAGGTGTATGACTCGTGTTGCTAGGGGAAGCTGCAGCTGAAGCAGCACAAGAGTCAAAAGGATGGTTAAAAAGAACAAGGACGAACACGTCCCTTACAGGGATAAACTTCTGAAGGAGGCTGGAGATTGGTGTTTTCAGAAATTGTCTACAGTCGACATCGTGGAGCCCTACGACCTCGAAGGAAACAAACGGAGCTCAGATGTTTCATTACTGCTGAAAATCTATCACGTAGCCCTACTTCAGCATGTTCATAATCAAGTATGGGCTGCATGGTGGCGCAGTGGTTAGCACTGTTGCCTTGCAGCACGAAGGTTGCAGGTTCGAAACTCTGCTGCGGCCTTTCTGAGTGGAGTTGCGTGTTCTCTCCATGCATGCGTGGGTTTCCTCCGGGTACTCCGGTTTCCCCCACAGACATGCCCTACAGGTTATAAATTGTAAGTCGCTTTGGATAAAAGCGTCAGCTAAATAAATAAACATAAACATAAGTAAAGTAAAAAGTAACTGTTCAAAAACATGACTCCACTAACAGGCGCTGCGCCAGGTTTCATTTCTGCATCATCCTTAATTAAACAAGTTATTATTAATATAAGTTACAAGCAGGTACAGAAACATTACCAATATTAGATAGTTAGACATGTTTGTTTTCATAAATATGAAATGTTAGTCTGATTGATCTTTGAGTGTTTAATCAGAAGATTTTAAGTTTCTTTTACTTATTCTGGGACCATAAACACACCTCATATTAATGTACGGTCCATTGCTCGTCCATTACAGCGTGTGTGTGTGTGTGTGTGTGTGTGTGTGTGTGTGTGTGTGTGTGTGTGTGTGTGTGTGTGTGTGTAGCGGACAGTCCTTTCCGTTGCTTGTCCGTGACAGCAGGGGTGGGGGGGGTGATGGTGCATGCACGTGCTCACGATGCGCTGCTGTTTCTCACCAGTATCAGCTGATGGAGGGCTCTAGTTTTGTTGCGCTGTTCGTGTCAGCGGACATGGTAGGGTCGGGGAGGGGGTCGGTGCATGCCGCTTAGCCTGGCGGGCCACCAGGCTTATGAAGCACTGGGGGAAACCCTGGGTTTGTTCCCTATTTTAGTTTCAGTCTGAGAGGGCAGTTGCAACAAATCTTTTAACTCCCTGAGCATCTTTACTCTGCTCTCATTACAAATTCACTAAACTTAGACTCTTTAAACCTGGCCACTCCATTTGGTGCAAAATGTAAAAGAATACATAAAGCAATACAATAATGATATAAATGTAAAATCAACAATAATATGTACAAATACATACACACTAGCAGCATTTATATTGTAGCAGCACTAACTGGGTTCAGTGCGGGTCACTATTGTAAGCAGAATTTGACACACATGATCAATATTGATCAATAAATGTGTGGTTCGGGTTAGAGGCCGACCGGTATGCTTTTTGTTTTAAGGCCGATGCCAGTTGTTTAAGGATTTTGTTGCCGATGGCCGATATCTAAAGCCGATTATTAACGGTGACGAATTTACGTTTTAGTAGCTCATTGATTGTGACAACTGAACACTCACTGTGTGCAATATAAATTAAATAAGTCAATAAACATCTTAATATTTATTGAACTTCAAATACAAAACAAACTCAAAACGTTAAAAAGCGGTTTGTTGGGGTCCTTTGGGCCCTTTCTTCAGTTTAGTAGTGGCGGCAGTTGGCCGCACAGGTGCCTGATTTTATTCATTTATGTTTCCGGCTTTAAAAATCATTTCAGCCAATGTCTGATATAGAAGAAACTGAATATATCGGCTGGCCTCTAGTTCGGGTTAACAGATGAATCTGGTTTTGTGTGACCTGTGCCGTCAGCCTGACGACCAGCTCGTATAAGCACACATACTATATACAGAAAGCAAGTGCAACTTTTGAGTTTTACTGTTTAATATTAAAATACATGATATTTTTGACTATTAAGGAAAAGATGTTTCCAGCCAGTGAATGGGGTCATTGTAGTGTAGAAAGCTGTTGAGCTACAAAAGTCTGCGAAAAAACGCCGCTTAAGTGGTCCTCCAAAAACTTTGACAAGGTTGGCAGAACTGTTTGTCTCATATCTCTGACCTGTTCATGTTGCTTCCTGCTGTAGGTGAACCTCCTGGACTCTCGGGCGTCTGAACTAGCTGACTTAACCAAACCCACCAAGGCAGCTTGTGTGTGTTCAGTCTCAGTCCAAACTGTTCAACCAGCAGATGAGCTGGAGGGTGGGCATGATCAGCAACTGCAGGAGGCCCAAAGGCACACAGGTAAAACATCTATCTGTCCTTCAGTCATCACTTTAATATAAACCACAAATATGAGCTTCATAGGCCTCCCTATGAGGAAGAGGATTTTTATAACGAGTTGATTCGCCCATCTCAAACTTAACTTCCTTTTCCTTTGCTGTTCTATTGGGTTGGTTAAGCTGATGAAGAGAAACAAGAACTTCTGCTTAAGCTCCAGGAGAAATCCTCAGAGGTTTGCTGGCTGCAGAAGCAGCTGGGAGATCTGCAGATGGAGTTTGACCCACGGGGTCACTCAGCTGAAGAGAGGAGACCATGTGACGGAGATCAGCGGCAGGTCAGAAACTCATGACAGGAGCATCATTTTATCATTCTGACCTCTAAGGTGGGATGGTGCTGTATGTTTTTGTTCTGACCTGAAGGGTGGCGGTTGAATTCTTTCAATGACTTTAATAATGTGGAAATTAGGAATTTAAAATTTTAAGAAGCTGTTAATTGCTGCACCAAATTTCTCAGTAGACTGCCTGTTTTCCTTTTCTTGTGATGGAAGTGCTGTTGTTTGCTACAGGAAGGCTACAATCCTACGTGTAGCTTTGGTATGTCAAGTACATTAATAGGCTGTTGATTTTAAATTTCAAAATTGTTTCATAATCCAGGGTTGAATAGTTTTACCTAGCCGATGATCGTCTGAGAGCCCACGGTCCCAAAACAGCTTCTGGTTCTTCCACAGCTTTCCTGTTTTATCCTTCAAATAGATTGTTTCAGACATATGAAGCTGTTTTTTTAAATGTTAAATACTGGCTAGAATAAATTGGGAAATGATGTGTTTGTTCTGTAGTTGGACATTTTTGAGTTTGCTGTTTTTCCTTTAGAATAATGGACTCTGATCCCACAGGAAACTCTGGCTGCACTTATCGAGGACACAAAAGAAAGAGAAGACTCCCATGATGCTTTAGAGTACCAGACTTTGGGGAAAGAGCAGGGTCTGGCCTCCTTAAAGGAGAAGAAAGCCAGGGAGGAGGCCTTTGTTGCAGCTGAAGAGCTGAGGTGGAGCAAAGAGGAAACACTAGCAATGCTTGAAAAAGAGAGAAGACACGAAGAAGTAGTGATGGAACAGAAGAGACACAGCAGTGGGGAGGCCCTGTCTGTTCTCAAGCAGGAGAAGAAGGAGGTCAGTAGGCTGTCTGAAGAGAAAGACGAGAGGCAGCAAGAGGCTGACACACTCCGGCAGGAAATCAAAGATCTGACTGACAGGCTGGAGGCTGCAGAGAGTCTGGTGAGTTTCTAATGATTTTACCTTAAATCAAATCATTTTGAACAAGTACAGCAACATAAAACTCTCAGTGTTTGATGTTAGTGATGCATTAAACCAGAGTGTTTCAGAGTACTGGTACTTATGTGTGTGGAGAATTGATACATGTCATTACACTCCTAAAATTAACATGATTTATGTTCATTGGGAACATTAAACATTAATGACAATGACATTTATTTTCAAGATACAGCAAATCACACACACACACAAGCACACAAGCCATTTTTACAAAAAATGCTCATGAAGTTTTTGTTCACAAGCTGCTCCTAAAGGTCAGTCCTCCACAGTCCCTATCTGAGCTCCAGCTCTAATGGAGAGAAGCTTCATGAGCTTTGCAATGCTCCAGTTTGCCATCTCAGCTGATTTTGTTCAAAAAGCTAAACTTACTGCCTATGTTTACTTTCCTCATCGTTTTCATTAACGATGAGGAATCGATTTCGTTGACCTCTCCATTTCAGCAATTTAATTGGCAAACAAAAAACAGTTTCAATCGGACCTACGGTTCTCCCGGGACAATGCCAGAAATGGAGCAAGGGAGGGTCACCGCTCCTATCTTTCCCCATTATAATTTTTGAGATTTTTTCTGAAAATCTCACGCCGTACCTCAACTTCTACCTGTGATTTTAGAAAAACTGTAATAGATATCAAAAAGATTTTTTTAACCAGTAATAGCTGAAAGTCTTGTTTGGTGAAACTTGAATGAAGTCTCTAGAATAAAGTTAAACCATAAGAGTAAGAGTTCAAAAAGTGATAGGATTTAGCTGAAAATTGAGCAATCCCATTCATTTCAATGGGACCAAAAATCGCAGAAAAAGCTGAATATCTCAAAAGTATAAAATATTTTAATACCAAAAGTCATTGCCGGCATAAGCTGAACGAGCTGAACTTTTTGATACCAAAATTGTGTAAATAGTTGAAGAATTGTGGAAGTAGTTAAATGCTAAAAATGTACGGAAGCAGAATAATAAACCGACCAATAACTATACAGAGAAACAGGATCACTATATATACATAGGATATATATATATATATATATATATATATATATATATATATATATATATATATATATATATATATATGATATAAGTTTCATTGCCAATTCGTTTGATCTTTCTCAGAATTTAACAAAGCTGAATAGCAGCAGCTTAACTTCTAGTTATGTAGATTATGAACGCTACACTGGGTTCCATGCTCGGCCGGCGTGGGGGTGGGAGGCTGCGGGGGGGCCTGTGGACTTGCCGCTGATATCTCCCGGGACTCAGCCAGCTGCTGGTTGTGGCCCCTCGGGGTAATCCTCTGCGCATCTCGAGGGGGGCTGGGGCTTTTCTGGTTACAGTCTCCCTGGGGTCCCTGCGCTGTGGGGCAGCTCCTGGATCTCTGGGACTTGGAGCTCCCTCCATCTCCTACACATCTTTGGGGGCAGATCTGTGGGCCCTCACACGGTCCATTGGATGCTCCTATACAGAAACCTTACATATACAAGTGGGTGTACGCACACAGGTGCTGACATGGTGCTCTCATAAGTATGGACTTGGGCGTTTTCAACACATGTCTTAAGGCTGTGGTTGGCACAAAATGCACTGTGATTTACTATCATGTGATTATTCAGTAAAACAATGCTGATTTTATATTTCCTCATTAGGTTGACACAGTGATAGCTTGCCCCTGTTGTATTGTTGTGTGTTGTTTTTCTTTTCTTTTCTTCTTTCTTTCTGCCGGTCTAGAAGCAGACTCTTGTTTATCATTGTTTATTTTTGTGGATCTCCCCCCCGCCTTTCTTTTGTCTCTTGCCTCTTTCACCTCTGTCTCCGTGTCTGGTCAGATTTAAAAAGCATCCGACAAACAACATTTTAAATATCAGGCGTGACATTAAAGCAGCAGCTTTTATGCTCCACCTGAGAGTAAATCTGAAAGGCTTGTCACCAGCATTCAGACATTAATTCTGTTTGCAGACAGCCAGAAAGGACACGGGAAAAAATAAATAAATAAACATGCTGCCGTTAAAGGGTTTGTTCAGCCCGATACTGGCACTGTATGTCATCGACTTGTTTTTTATGTGGCTTACATTCTTTTTATCATTATTCCTGAAACCTGAGTCATAAAAACTTAAACTGTGTGTTAGAGTGACCCAAAGCTGTCATCACTCTGGCATTGGTCTTTTAGTATCAGAGTACTTGTAAGAGTACAAGTACACACATGCGGAGTTGGCCTGATACCTGATGCTTGCATCTCTACTTGATATTGAGCATATGAAATAATCTGCATATTAACTAGTGTTAATCTGTCTAAATCATCACAGGCCTCATCTAAAACAGAAAGAGCTGAACAGACCTCCGTCCAACTACAAACTGTTCAGGCACTGCTGGAAGAAAAAACTCTAGAGGTCCAGGAGAAAACATCAAAGATCAGCGCTCTGACACAGGAAGTTCAACGGTTACAGCTAGAAGTGCAGCCCTCCAAGCTCAAGGATGGACTCAGAAAGCTCCTAACAGAAGAAAAGGAGGAAAATCAGATCAAACAAGCACAGATCAAGGAGCTGGAGCATCAGCTGGAGAAGATCAAACAGCAGCTGGAGCACAAACAACTGGTTTCAGACCAGCAGCTGAATCAGAATGAACAAGCTTCAAAACAGCAAATTGAAGAGCTGAGAAAGAAGCTTCAGAAGCAAGAAACGGTGTCGCAGAAGCAACTGGAGGAGCTCAGGGTCCAGCTGGGATCCCAGCAGCATGATTCTACCGCACAAGTAGAACAGCTGACAGAGAAACTTCTGCAGCAAACACAAGCCTCAGAAAAGCAGATCAAACAACTCAAAGAGCAGCTCCGAGAACAGGAGGTGTTCTTCAGACAGCAGCTGGAGGAGCTGGAACTGAAACTGGGTCAAAAACAAACAACCTCCAGCAAGCTGTTAGATCAGGAACATTCTGTAGAGCAGCTCAGGGCTGAGTTAGAAGAAGCTCAACACAACAGCACCAGCATCTCCTCTGCCACCAAAGATCTAACGAGAATCAACTCTGACCTTCAGACCAGAGTAGCATCTCTGACAGAGAAGCTCACCAGAATGAATGAGTTGAAGCAGGTGATGGAAGAAAAGAACCAACAGCTGGAGGAAAAGCTAGCTGATCTGTTGACGGCCTCTGCACAGAAAGAGACAGAGCTTCACAAAAAGCTGCAGGACATGGAGGAACAGGTCACGTCTCTGCAGAGGAGCCTACAGAAAGCACAGGAACAGCGTGAAGAGGAGAGCCAGGCGATGCAGGACGCCCGACGCAGGGAGGTGGAGAGACGCAGGGAGCTGCTGGCCGTGGCGCATGAAGCCATAGCTCAGAAAGATGCTGAGCTGGAGAAGAGAGCCATGGAGATCAGCAGGTAACAAGATGATCCACCTTAGAACAGCTACTGGCTTCAGCTGGAGCTCAAATGTGATTTTCCTGTGAGTCAGAGCAAGCTTTCAAAGGTTCTAAATTTAAACATGTTGATATTCTTTAACATTAACCAGAAACGATCTGAAATCAGCAGCTGAACATTCAGCCGTTTCTGTGGTTTGGTCCATAGATGTACTATTAGTAAACAACAATAAGAAATCCTACTTTTTCCCAGTTCTTTACCTCAACATTAATAGCTTAACCATTTTTTAGGGCTGACCCAATTTTAATTTCCTTTCTACTTAAAATTTACGTACCAGTAAAAAAAAAATACTAGATTAAAAGTGTTTTACAGGTTTTTTCACTCGTCATCCAACAAACAGGAAATATATTGCGTAAGCTACACTTCATTTAGGTCTTGCTAAGACCCCAACGCCGTTGCCTACCTGCAAACACACATTAGACGTGAATAATTACAGAAGTCTTTTACAGAGATTTGATTATACTATTGAGTGTGTTATTGGAATTTTATACATGTAACTTTCACAAATATAATCTTGGTAATCTTACACCCTCAGTACATACAATACTTTGGGGACCCCCCTTGGGGGGGTCATGAACCCCAGGCTGGGAGCCACTGATTTACATAACTCAGGAGCTGAACAAGGATCTGAAATCGCTGTTAGTCTTCAAAACCAGGATTGCTTTATTGTATGTAATTTCTGTTAAATCATCTAAAACTTCTGTGTCAACCTGCTGCTAATGAAGCTGATGTATTTGTCACACCTTCCCAGGCTGAAGGAGAACTCTAAGCAGAGCGCAGAGACGATAAATAGCCTCAGCCTGGAGCTTCAGAGGAAAGAAGACGACTCTTCAGACTTCCGAGAGAAACTAGCCGACTACAAGAAGCAGGTTCAGCAGGTTCAGAAGGAGGTACACACCTGGTCATAATGTGGATCTTTGTCAGAAACTTTAATCCGTAGTAAGTCAGTAACATTTATTTTAGTTGGACTGGAATGATATTTTAGTGAATCTTTGATTGTAAAATCATCAAAGCAAACAAGCTTTCTGTTAGCGTGACGAAGCTCTTGGCTGTGGCTTTAAGGTTAGGCTCGACTGTGGTTTCTTCAGAGCTTTTGGATGTTGTTTTTTTCTTTGAAGATATCAGCCATGAGGGAAGAGGAGAAGATTTTGAGGCAGAAGCTGTCTGATATGGATAAATCCAAGAAGCAGCTTCAGGTGGACCTGGCCAACCGAGACAGAACCATCCTGCAGCTCAGAGCGGTAACATCAGCTTTGATCTGATGCTGTTAGACTTTATCATCATGTGCTATTTTAATTGCTTTTTATTCATTGTGTTTTTATTTATTTTTTTCATTTCAGGAAAAATCGAACTCAAAATCTGACCACAATCTGGAGCTCTACCAGAAGGCCTGTCAAGGTGGAACGTTAGCTTTTGTAGTCAGAAATAGGGTTGCAAGTAGGGATGCAATGATGCCACTTTTTTCCAAACCGATACGATACTGGTACTTGGATCTGAGTACTCGCCGATAGTGATTACCGATACTTCTACCACACAAAAAAAATGCAATGAATTGGACTACATGTTTTATTTTCTTCTTGGTTTTCAATAGGAAAAGACTGTGAGGTAGATAAAAAGTAAAATATGTTAATATAAATTATCACAAACTAAAATATTAGGTGAACAGAAATGACAAGTTACAGTGAAGTCACTTTCAAGCAACTGCATTGATATCCGTTACTGGTATCTGTTAACTTTTACCAATCCCGATACTGGTATCAGTATCTGTATCGGCACAGATACCAGTATCGGTATCGGTGCATCCCTAGTTGCAAGGGTTAACCACAGTGTGAAACGCTGCGGTTAACCCACCGTGAAGACATCTCCAACACCGCAAAAAATAAATAAAATTAGCAGACCAAAGTGAAAGTGAAAGAACGCATGCAGCACTACCAGCATCAACAACCACCGGAACTGTTCCGTTTCCACCTAGGAAGTGCATAAACTCCTGTGAGGGGATAGTTTAGACTCCCAAAGCTGCTAAAAGAGGAATTCAGAATGATGTGTCATCCATCTACAGAGCTGGCAGAAAACAAAGTTGCAACATTCCCAGTTTATCGTCTGATATTATCACACAGACAAATTAACCAACTCAGATTACGTTAGTGATTTAATGGATTTAACAGAAAATTTTGAATGATCCAGTGAACGACGGTTAATAGCGTTGTTCTACGTTTCCCCCTGTATCTGTGTATAACAAGCCAGTGCGACAAGCCATTTTAATATTTAATCAACAACACCTCTCTTAATTCCTGTTCTACATAGCAATAATATAATTTATCCATGTCCAAATAATATTCTTACTGATGAAATTTGAAAATATATGAACAAGTAGAAATTACATTTAAGTAATAAATAATATTCAAAACAACTGCACTAGTAGGAATTTAGCATCAATTTTTTTTTGTTCTTACAGTTTTACAAGATTAAAAATAGTTTTTTCCCTGACATGTTTCAGCTAGTATCTCTAGCCGTCATCGGAGATCGCCGGTGTTGGTGGCGTCGCTTCCTTTTATCCGCGGGCAGCAGAGGACGATGTCGCCCTTTTTTTTTACTGCTTTTAATCAATTAGAGGGCAATAAAATAATGTTGTGAATAATGAGTGTATTCAGTATTCAGAACACTCAGATACCCTGGATAAGAAGTTCTCTTTTATCTCAGAAGCAAATAAAATAAACACAAAAAGCCAGTAATTTTTTTGTTACTTGTAAACTCCCGAAATCTTTAAATGTAATTTCATACCATGAACCGGTCTTAACTTTTAATCCTGTGATGTTGCCTGTGCATGGTGGTTGTAGATCTGGAGGCTAAAGAGCGTGTGATGGAGGAAATGCGTCTAACTCTGATGGAGCAGGAGGACACGCAGGAGCAGATGGAACAGGCCCTGGAGCAGAAACTGGGTCTCATCCAGGAGCTCTCCACTGGTGAGGACTTTCATCTAATGAATCAGGAAGGAACACAGTCTAAAGTAGGGATGTTCCAATCACGTTTTTTGCTCCCGATCCTTTTCTGAGTCATTTGATTTTAGTATCTGCCAATACCGAGTCCCAAATTGATACTTTTCAGGAAAGCGTTAAAATACGAAGAATAAAGGAAATATTCTTCTGGAAAGCTTTAAAATAAGAAGAAAGCACATCCAAGTTATTCTTTATTTGTTTATTTTTATTTGAAACGTTTATATGAACATAAGAAAACAAATTTTAAAAACCATATAAAAATAAACACTAAAAAAGAAAAAGCCCACGTCCAAAGGGAGTGGGCAGAAGCCAGATACAGAAGGGACACAGCAGACTGCAATTCTTGAGGACGCTTGGGTCCTTCAATGTCTGTAGCAAGATGCTGCAGATCTTCTACAAGTCTGTTGTTGAGAGTGTAATCTCTTCAGCCATCGTCTGTTGGGGTAGCAGCATCAGAAGCAGGGACCTGAAAAGGCTCAACAGCCTAATAAAAAAGGCTGGTTCTGTTCTGGGGACGACTGTGGAACCACTGGAGGAGATAATGCAAAGAAGGATTCTCCAGAGAATCAAGAAAATTATGGACAACCCGGAGCATTCTCTTCACAAGACTGTCCGACAACAGAAGAGTGTCTTCAGTCAGAGGCTTCTTCAGTTTCGCTGCAGCACTGACCGCTACTGGAGATCCCTCCTGCCAACAGCCACCGTAATATACAACAACTCTTTGATGACTTGATTATTATTATTATTCTGAGTTACTACAGCAATCAATTTCCCTCTGAGATTAATAAAGTGTTTTTGAATTTAATTGAATATAATTGAATGCCTGTGGACGGGGGAGTCCTGTGACTAAGTCTAAGGCGATATGGGACCATGGTCTCTTGGCAGTCGGCAGAGGGTGAAGTAATCTTGAGAGTGGTCTATTGTTGGTCCTGTTGCGAGCACACGTCTCACAAACTGACACATATTCCTTGATGTCCTTGTGTAAGGACGGTCACCAGTATTTGCTTTTGAGCAGGGCTAAAGTGCCACTGGTCCTGGCGTGACAGCTGAATCTCGAGGCATGGATCCAGTGATGAGTTTCGAACGCACTGTGGGGGGCACATAGGTTCGATTTGATGGTCCGGTGCCAGGGTCTGGTTCGTTTTTCAGGGCTTGTCAAATGCTACTCTCTGAAGAAATTTTATTACTAACAATTTTAAACTTAAAGATTTGAAACGACAATTATAAATGACAATTCATGAAAGACAATTTAATGACAATTTTTAACAACTTTGACATTAAACTTGTTTTAAAAAGCAAACCTGTGGCTGGATGGAAGCTAAATTGGGAATACGAGTTTGGATGCGTGAATGGAATTATCAGAAGATTTCTTTCAGAGAGAGAAAAAGCATTCTGGATGGAAATGATGTTTTGCAGCTAACTGTTGTTTACTTAGAGAGAACAGCATCAAACGTCATCTGTCGATTAGTGTCTACCTCACCCAGTTTCCGGAGACCCCCTTTAGGATCCGAGATGTCAAGTGGAGATGATTTCCTCCAGGCACGAGGATGGTAGAAGGACCTCTATGTGACCAAATCAGTCCTGGGTTGTCTCCGTGGGTCACACGACTGATGAACTATCGGCGTCTCAAAGTCCGTAACTCTGAAGGAGTTTTTCGTCTTAACTCAAAAATCAATAACTCTGTCAGGAGTTTTTATGTACGCTGGTTAAGGTTTCGTTTATTCTTAGCTATTCTTATCGGCGTGACAGAACAGCAGGTGGAGGTTTAGGGACGGCCGTTCCCTTCCTCCGTGATGTTGGTTCAAGAACTGAACGTGAAGCTGTGATGGTTAGTTTACAAAAGCTCTCAGGACACTCCCACTCTCTCAGCAAGAAAGCTTGGTCATGCGTCAAAAACATGTGATGCAGTTATCGTTTATCTGGACTCTGTGTTAGATGGATAAGGTGAAACTGACCTTCTTTGCTGAACACCTTTTACTGTCATCAACCATAATCATCTTAATCATTATTATACCCAAAGCAGAAATTCATTTCATGTATTTAAAATACCTTTATATTGAACCAAGTGATCATTTATGATGATTTTCATAAAAGTAATAAAATCAAATATATTTTATTAATATTATCATTTAATTATTATCCTGAACTTGAAGTGTCCTCCTCCTGGGATGGAACAGCAGCAGATAGGTGATATGTTCTTCCAGACATTGTGGCTCCTTGGTTAATCTGTGGATGTAAAAGTACTGTTTGCCCCAGCTTGACCCAGCTGGGTAGATGTGACCTTTGCCACAAATTAGAGAACCTTGATGATGCTACACACCAGAATGTATTTTGGAAAAGGATGCTTCTTATGCCTCTAAAATTATTCCGTTGAAACACGGGCCTGATTCCCCAACAAGATATTATTTAGCATAAATGCTGGACCTTTGGATGAATTTAAGTTTCAATTCCGTGCCTATTGTTAGTTTTTTTCTAAGTTTGGATTAACCAGAAGTCAGAAAGTTTGAGGCGTTAACAAAGAGTCCTCAGACATTCCCTTTTCTCAGACACTTAAAGCCTTGTTTCAATTAATATGTGAAGCAAATATTATATTACAATAATTTGTTAATATACTGATATTAAAATGTGACATAACTTATAAGTAATCATTAAATCATCAAGTAAGCTTATTTAATGTATTTAGGATCTGAAATAAGGCATTTCAAGAATAAACAATTATGTTGATTCATTCATTACTGTCAAGACATTATTAAATAACTTTAGATAAAACACAATATACTTGTAATTAACCTGTAAAGTGATTAAATCATTTTATGAGACAAAATAAGATTTTTTATTAAAGCTGGAAAGGATCACGTGTTCTCTTGGAGCCATGTGTGTCTTGGGCGGAAAGGAAGCTTGTTATGACGATGTCTCCAGATGGCAAGGCTAGAGGGACGGAAACATAATGTGTTATGGTATGAAAAGCACACTGCAGTCCGGTCAGATGAATAAGAGTAAGAATACCTTTATTAGTCCCTCAGTGGAGAAATTGCAGTATTGCAACAGCACAAGTACAGTTAAGTAAAATAGAAGTAGTACACCAAAAATACCACGCAAAAAAGATTTAAATTACTTACTTATAATTGAAAAAGTGTTGAATTGTGAGTTTGATAGTTGTTGCACATAACGGTTGTTGTTGTAAATATTGCATGTGTATTGAATGGTGATGACAGTTGTGACATTGTTACAGATACATGAGTTGTTAAAGATGCCGGCTGGACAGTTCAATGTCTAGTGACCTCTGACATTAAGGCCTTTCCTACAGGACACTCCTGATCCTGATCCTTTTAAAATCACATGATCGGTCCCACGGATCGGAGCATCCTTAGTTTATTATAACACTGAGAAACATTCAGAGTTACATTCTACACAAATTTAAATTACAACTGCAAATTGGAAATGTTGTGTTTGCATGTTTACCCTTTTCAGAGTTGGAGAACCATCGAAATAACTCACATCAACACATCCAAAAACTTCCAGAAGACCTCAAAGTGGCTAAAGAGGAAACTTCACAAGCTGAAGAAAACTTGAAGGTAAAGAGTGATGGAACTTCAGGTGGTCCAGGTTCAAATATATAACTGCTGAGTCCTAAAGGACACATTAACCTGTAGAAGTGGGTAAATTGAGTGCTTTAAGAGTTCAATATATTACCTCTACTTATGACCAAAAAGCTGTGATACTCTGTATAAATATAGAATATCAACCTGCTTGGTCTTTGTATGTTTAATCAGAAGATTCTAGGATTTTTTGTTTATTCAGGGATTGTAAACACTTCGTTCTGATTCAAGGAAGAGTCAGTTTTGTAAAAGTAAGAATTTATTTTCCAAACAATTAAAACATGACAAGTTAACTAATATTTACTGTGATGGATAAATCTAGATGGAGGGGATGTGGTATATGGTGCTTATGTGTGAATGTGATGTTATCAGAACTTTCATATCTAGGAAAGCTGAGTTCTGGGTGTAAAGGAAAATAATTTGATTTGCGCTAAGCAATGAAGTTGATTATTATCAAAAAGCATCAGACGCAATCACACTGTTCTACCTCACCCTTCTCGGAGACCCTCCTTGCGGATCCAGAGGTCATCGAGGTCAGGTGACTTCTGGGCACCCAGGTCCAGTAGACTGACCACAGCGCCGACTTCTCCAGTCCAGAGGTGTCGCCAGGCACGCAGGTTGGATGGAAGCGTTTGCGTCTAGACCCTTAAAGGGGCATTATGGAAGTTTGACAGCCAAAACGTGTAGAAATAATAAATTTCTTCTTCATACATTCTCTTGCAATGCCCTGGTCCTGTAGAATGAGCCCTGGTATTTTTACTGTGATTGCCTGTTTTTCTGTAAAATCACAGAAAAAGAGAGCTGCTCGGGTTGAGCAGGCTGCTTCATGCGCGTTCACGCTCAGGCATAGCCCATAGCATTTGCTATCCGTAGCTTTAGCTGTTCCTAACGCCTAGTGTCAAGGCTAGCTACATTTCTGAGGACCCTTGGCTACTTTCTTCTAGATATTTCCTGCAAATTAGCAACAAAATTGCCATTTTCGCTTCGAACCGTTCTTTGAACGTTGTTTCAGTTGTCATCAAGGATATAAATGTTACAGATGCAAAGGACGTCAATGGCTCACCTAGTAAAACGTCGGACTCCCGTGCAGAGGTCCTGGGTTTGATTCTGACTGTGAACATAGTTTATTTAGTTTCTGTTTTACATTGTTTTTTTTTTTTTGTTTTTTTACGGTAAGATGCCCAAATTTTTGTTTGAGACTCGCCGAACGGCATTGAATTCACAGATAAAAACGATGTGGGTTCAACTTTCATTTTGGAACAATTTTTCAAGCAGGGGAAGGGAATGATCTGAGCATGCAGGAGGACTGACCCATCATAAACCTTTGTCGGCTGTGCTGAAGAGAAAGGTACAGAACCAAATTATTTAATTAATTAGCTGCGCGTTCTCCTGTCCTCTGTCCTCCGGGCCACACACACACACACACGGGGCTGACTGTCTCAGCTGTTATTTTCGTTAAGGAGTGTGCACGTACAGCATGCGCGCCTCGTGCATGAGCCTACTATTGAAGCTACCATTACGCTTTTGGCCTGAGGGGGCAATCACGAGCATAAAAATTCAAAATTCTGTAAAGTCCCTTTATGGAGTTGGAACAAAATCAGCTTTGCTCCGCAGGAACCGTTTGCTGTGTCAGCTTTGCAGCAACCTTGACGGCGTGTCAAAGGCTGCTTCTTAGTTAAAGAGACTTCATTACGGACGGCCGTTTCCATAGCTTCCTCTAGAACTCTGTAGAACTGGAACATTGACTCACCGTGAAGTGAGTACTGTTTTTATATTCTCATATTAATTTCTTAACAAATCACAGTTTGCCATGTTAAGGGCTATTACCAAGAATCTCAGAAACACACCTTCTTTCAGAAACAGAGGTTCTGATTTGTGGGTAAGAAAATATATATGTGTCACGCGTTTGACCTAACTTTACTTTGTCCTTGTGTGAGTGTGGATGGTGATGGCCTTGCCATATCAAACATTACTGATCCCTATATAAATCAATGTAATACTTCATTTCACAGATTAGTCAAAACATTTCATTTAGTGTTCATATAACATTTGTTCATCAACCAAATTATTCTTTAATGATTAATTACCCTATAAGTTTTAAATGTTCACATCAAGTTCCTATGCTCTGGTTCGCTGGAGCGCTGGCAATAAAGCTTTTTCTGATTCTGATATTTAAGAGTTCATTCTTTGATTAAGCAACCCTTACGAGCTGAGAGTATTCACTTTATTCAGAGGCATGAAGAGTCCTGTAGAACGATAAGGGAAGCTTGAGTTCTTGAGGAGGGAACCTGATTGTTGACAATATGTTATCATGTGTTCAGAGCTGTAGAGAGGCTCTGAACTCCAGCTGATTGGATGCAGGATCCGGCAGATTAAAGGAAACACATGCAGACTCGTGTCTCAATGTCGACCAGATATTGAAGGGTCAAACCATACTTAAAACTGACCATTACTGGACATTACAGCAGGTTAAACCTGTCAGATGTTTGATTCGTGAATGTTTTATCTTATATTGCATTTCAGGGCTGCACAATACATTGCAAATGTATAACTATTGTGATATCTGCATGTGCAGTAGACATCAAAAAACAGAAAAAAACACAATGAATGGTCAGCTCAAATGTTGGCTACACATAAGGCATTTTGTCAATCAAACAGAAGCATTAAGTTTTTGACAAATCAAATAGAGCCGTTCACTCATTTCGCCATTGTGGTGGGTTCTTATAGGTTAGATACTCGCCCCTTAGGTGGACAGATCTTAATTTGGGTGGCTAGCAAACACCTGAGTTAGCTTGGAGAGCGTCCTAATGATTGTGGGTAAGATATGTGCAGAAAATGTTAGCGAACTTATGTTTGAAACAGCATGTCTCTTATTTGGGGATATTGTGGTTACAAGAGAGTCGTTCAACAAACACAAGTACTTTGCAAGACATGCTGAACACTTGTGACAACTATGAGGGAAACACAACAAATCTGTTCGCTCATGTCCCTGTAAGAAGCTGTACCACCTTGAGTCACATAAAAATGTGACTCAACGTAATACATGTGACATCCCCTTCTAGTGGACAACTTTTGTTTTGGCGCATACCTGTAGCTATCTTCCATTTATCGTTATCGAGGCGAAATCCTCAATATATTGTGATATTGATTTTAGGCCATATTGCCCAGCTCTACAATGAATACAATGATCCGAGAGCCAACAAACTGAACAGCTGGGTCAGGGTGCACAGTGCAGTCGATAAGTGTATTAATGGCCATGGGAGTAAAACTATCCGTTTAGCTCTATAAATGTTCTAAAGTATTGTCCTATTCTTATACATAGCTCCATTAGATTAAAATTATTTTTTCCAAAAATATTGAAACAGATCATGCATATTGTGTGATGTAAACTTGCATGATTTTCTTTTGTTACAGTGTTAATACTAATGAGAGGATGGAGTGGTGTGTTTAAAGTATGAAGAGATTAAATACAAACATTGCAAATTTAAGTGTTCATTTATCACACGCCATATTGTCATCACATTATTAATCACTGTTATCACGCATCTCAAGTTTTCCTGATGTCGTGCAGCCCTATTTAATACTCATATTTGCATCGCATTGTGTCTGCAGGTGTTTATAGAGAAACACCAGGCTGAACGGAAAAAGTGGCTGGAGGAGAAACTGTTCCTGATCAGCCAAGCTAAAGAGGCAGAAGACAAGAGGAATCAAGAGATGAGGAAGTTTGCAGAAGACCGCGAGCGCTATACTCATCAGCATAGCCACCTGGTAAGAAGATAACATGTCAGATTATGTCTCACTATGCATTCAGGTCCATGTCCACTCTTGTCACTTCTGGTGATCCCCAAGTTTCTTTATCTGAGCCTCCTCTGTCTATAATTCATGTCCTTCCACCATTTTGGTATACATTTTCATTTTTACATGGGTGACACCCAACTCTATGTAGCACCTGTGCTATTAAACAGAGGGCAATAAACTACTGGACCAGATCTAGGTTCTGAAGGAGTGGTGAGTAAGTAAAATGACGGTCAGAGATTGTGGCTTTCAAATGGAAAAGCTGGCAATTTAAACACAACAGATAAATAAAGACAAACCATAAAGAAATAAATGCCACTTCTGTTATCGGAAGTATGCTTTAGAATTATCCCTTTGTAATTTTTACTTTTACCCTTTGGGTTAAAGATCTATTAAAGGTCGAATTCTTAATTCCTAGTCTAAACTTCACGTTTTACATTATGACCAGTCATCTAATTTTGAGAGTCTGGATTTTAAACTTACTTTGAATCGCATACATTTTTGTTTGAGTTTGAATTAAGTTTGTACAATTAATTTCTTTCAGTTTATACAATTCACTGCATTTAATTTCAAGGACTTTTTGTCACTTTAAAATCACACAGGTACCTTTTTAAAGTACTAAACAAAACCATATATGTTCACATGGACAATTACACAGCAATATAAATACAAAGCGTCAGAGGTTTTGTGCTTAAGGTTAGCGACGTCTCAATTGTCCATTAGCAATATGAACGACTTGGGATGTGGTCCTTAGGTCAACAAATCCCTCTCCAACCTAGGAACTGTATGGAGTCAAGTTGGTGTAAGCAAGACCCCGAGTGTGCCTCTATGAAGCTCCACTGATCCTGAATGTTCTATTAAGTTGTACTGGCTTGTCTCGATCCTCATTTCAGGCCCAAGTCAGATTCAGAATCCAGATATGAAAACTTGAGTGGTTTCCGGGATGGATAACAAAAAAAAACCTTGACCAGGCCAACAAAAATCTAATTTAACTTAAAAAACTAACATTTAGCATTTAAATATTTACACTTACTGTTAAACACATGAACCCTTTAATAAGACTGCAGAGGCTATGTAACTAGCAGTGAACAGAGGATAGTAACTGTTAACAACCGTTAACCACGTGCAGTTACACAAAAAATTATACCTCATTTAAGCATAAAATAAATCACCAGCTAAAACAATCTACACAATGAATATTACAGTAGAAAATAACAGTATATTATAGGGCTTTTTACTGTTATCTGTTGTGTACTGGTAGTTTACCGTCTGGGGCAGAGGTTAATTGCCATGTTGTTGTTACTGTAGCAAAACAATGCTGTACAGAAGGTACGCCTGTGTTAGTTCTGTAGCAACGTTATGTAAAATGAGTATTTACCACTACAAACAACTCACCAAAACTTCTTCTCAAAGCTAATAAACTCCCAAGTGTACTGAAACTGCCCAGGTTACAAGTTTTTTTTTATATCGTTTAAGGCAGGGGTGTCAAACTCGCACTGGGCCAAAATGAAGAACTGGGACAACGACGCGGGCCAAATTCAGTTTATTAAGTGACTGCAAATGTGCACATTTTATTTTATCTACAGATAAGTACTGTTGACGAACCTTTTCATTAGGAAACAAACTTATCTTTGCACTAACACTGAATATGGAATAACCAAATTACACATGAGCAAGTCAATTTTAAATAAAACCTGTCAGTGGTATTTTTACTTACCCCCAAATTCCACTACCTCCGCTCCGCTCCGACACGGACGACGGAGCAAAATCGGTCCCGTTGTAATCAATCAGAGCAATTCCACTACTGCGGTCGTGCTCCGGCAGTGCGGCGCCGTGCGGCGCCCTCTGTTCCGGCGTCCGGCAAAAATAGAATCTATCCTATTTTCGCCGGACGCCGGAGCACCTCCGCAGTAAATGGACAGAAATCACAACGGCCCAACAGGAAAAGGAGCAAGCACAACTTCCGATTTTCACAATAAATCGATAAACAAAAGGCGTTTTTTGTTTCATATGCACAGGTTTAACAACTTTTAACAACTATCAATGGCGGCTGAACTTTAAATGCACAAAAGTAAGCCATAAATACAGTTTCCACTATCAAAGTAGTCACACTTTGTTGATCCAAACACTGCTGATCTCTCAACACAAATGATGGCAGATTAAACAGTTCATTTCGATGCTTCTCCCACACAACGGGTGTTTGGATCTAACTTCTGCGTTTATTGCTCGGACTGTATCGCAAGATCTCGAAAATCCCGCGCAAGCTTGTTTGCCCACCTCAGGTCTCCGCACCGGAGCGGAGCCGTTGTAGAGCGGGTACCAGTAAAAATTGAGTTCGGAAGCGAGCGGCTGCGGAAGGCGGGGGCGGACCGGAGCGGAGGTAGTGGAATTTGGGGGTCATGTTTCAATTTTTTTATTTATTTATTTTTTATTCCTTAAAATGTGTATAAATTCAGCAATTTATTTTTAATCTTTTGAATCTTCTAAGTAATTCTATTTTAAGCTTGACTCTCCTTTTTGCTCTTGTAATAAATGTAATTGCTGATGTGACACCAAGTGTTCCCCACTGAGGCATAATATAGAGATTTTCTATTCTATTTGTCTCTCTGCAATCTTTCCAGTTTTAAAATAGGTTAAATCTTTTTCACAGGCCAACAACTAAAATCCAGAAATAATAATTATCTTCACTGAAAATGTCTCAGCTATTAACATTCATGCTTTGGAGCAGAAAAAGTGCATAAAACCAAAATTATCCAAGCTCAGTTTGCTTCACTCTGATTTACTCTGATGCTCACCTGTTCCAGCCAAACACCTGCATCTGTGGGGTTGGGCTCTGAGCTGAGGAGGGAGTTTATCAGTGAGACTCCTGTGTTGTTGGTTCATCTTCATCGCAGACAACAGTTACTTTTATACAGGGTGGGCCATTTATATGGATACACCTTAATAAAAGGGGAATGGTTGGTGATATTAACGCCCTGTTTGTGGCACATTAGTATACGTGAAGGGGCAAACTTTTCAAGATGGGTGGTGACCATGGTGGCCATTTTGAAGTCTGCCATCTTGGATCTAACTTTTGTTTTTTCAACAGAAAGAGGGTCATGTGACACATCAAGCTTATTGGGAATTTCACAGGAAAAACAATGGTGTGCTTGGTTTGAATGTAACTTTATTCTTTCATGAGTTATTTACAAGTTTCTCTTTGTTCACAGCCAATGATGTGTCGAAGAGGTTAACACTTGAGGAGCGGATGGAAATTGTGTTGATATCTGGTGAATTCAGTAACTGGGTCGTTGCAGCAGACTTCAATGCAAGGCACCATACGAGACCACCCATCTCCCATGCTACAGTTAGCAAACTGCTTGCTAAGTTTTGTGAAACTAGTTCAGTGTTGGATTTGCCAAAATGTGGACACATGAAAACTGTCACTAATGAAGAAACATCAGTGGCTGTCCTAGCTTCATTCAGCAAGAGCCCACGGTGTAGCACTCAACGCATGTCACTGGAGAGTGGCATTAGTCGAACATCCCTTCAGCGGATATTAGCTACTCACAAATGGCACCCTTACAAACTCCAACTACTGCAGCATCTCAATGAGGATGACCCAGATCGGCACACAGAATTTGCAGAATGGGCAAAACAAAAATTGGAACAGGATCCTCAGTTCACGCAGAAGATTTTGTTCAGTGATGAGGCAAACTTTTATGTGAATGGTGAAGTTAACAAAACCACCACTATTGGTCTGACACTAACCCACAGTGGTTAGATCCCTCCAAGACTGTTGGAACAAAACAAGTGATGGTATGGTGTGGTATATGGGGTCCAAAGATAGTGGGGCCATTCCTCATCAATGGAAACCTCAAGGCCACTGGATGTTTGAAATTGCTATAAGACCATGTGTTTCCTTCTTTTCGCACTGAAGCTGGCACGTTCCCTGAGTTTTTCCAGCAAGATGGTGCACCACCACATTATGGGTGTCAGGTCCGAGCATTCCTTGATGAACCGTTTTCTGGAAAGTGGACTGGTCGTCATGGGCCAGTTAAATGGCCCCCAAGGTCTCCCGATCTGTTGCGTTGCATACAGAACGTTGCGTGCTAGGATGATGTCGATGCTAAAACTACCAAAACAATGCGGACACTCACCTCTTACATCAGGAAGAATCTGTGCCTTTCGAGTGTCATCCATTCTTTCATAATCTGTTGTCGAGTTGCGATCGGCAGTAGCTTTTCCGGTTCGCGTGTCACTTTTTTTTATAGCAGCGGCCCAAAACGATCTCCTAACACATGGATTTTCTGCTTCCTGATCACGTGATGTGTTACGTACACGGATGAAGATCGGCTTTAGAGCTGGGATGTTTGTTCTCATGGTGCGGGGGCTCGTTCCGACGCCCAAACAGTAAAAAAAATAATAAAAATACAAAGGACAACTTTAGTCATCATTTGCAGTGAATGAGTTAAGGTGTATCCATATAAATGGCCCACCCTGTAGATACATACTGTTGAACATGAAGAGCATTAGAGCTGCTTGACCACGCAGTTGGGTCAGTGTGTTGGGGAAGAAAGATAAAAACTACAGCAGCTACAGAGTCATACTCTGACTTGAGCGTGTCGCTACACTGGAGTTAAATCAGCTCCACCTGGATGATGGTTGGGGAGCTTTCTATGTTGGCCATGAACAGACTACTGAGCAGTTGAAATTTCCATTTTGGGGCTTCAAAGTTGGCAAATCGCTGAGTAAACTGCACTGAGTAAACTCTGCACTGAGTAGGAAGAGTGTTTTCAGTTTGTCCAAGACTGAGGACTGTAACGCTGCTGATGCCGATGCTAGTAGCATGGACGCTAATGACTAAAGACATACTGGTTTTTCTCCTTGAAGCATAATATGTATTCACCTTCCCATCTTTCTTGAAAAACCCTTCTTTCTGCATCTATTTTTCTTTTCCTGGACATTTTGGGATAATGTGGGGATAGTTATTTTCACCTGTCGCACACGGAAGTGGATACACTGCAGCCTAGTAGCAGAATACTGTCACTGCACTGATAACACAATCACCTTGCATTGTGGGAAATGTAGTTTATAGTCAATGTACGCTTTGAAGTGGCTTAGACTTATTTTAAGACACTTGAAGCTCTTGCAGATGTACACAAAAGTATGTGGCGGGCCATATCTGGCTCACAGGCCTCAAATCTGGCATGTGGTTTATGGGTCAAAAACATCATTTTTATTGAATGCAACAATTGCTTTGCTATTTCTGCTCTAGCGGTCTGTCAAAGCTTCGGCAGGTACTCAGTCTCGGTCATTGGGGAGAGGCGTCCTGTAGTGTGGTTAACCACATACTAGGATTTAACACTGTTTGCTGTCAATTTGGTTAGATCCTGAGAAAAGATCAAACAAGTTAACAAATGAAGCTTCTATCATATATAAATATCTAGGATATTATATATTCGATAGAAGTTCATATGCCAACGAGCTTGGTCTATTTTTAATCCAAAGATTAATTTTTAATTTTAAGATAATTAAATTTAATAGCAAAGTTTATTTATTGAATCAGAAGTTTAAAGGAATCTTTGCTTATTCAATAACCAAAAATATATACATTGGGGCAAAAAAAGTATTTAGTCAGCCACCGATTGTGCAAGTTCTCCCACTTAAAATGATGACAGAGATCAGTAATTTACATCATAGGTACACTTCAACTGTGAGAGACAGAATGTGAAAATAAATCCATGAATTCACATGGCAGGATTTTTAAAGAATTCATTTGTAAATCAGGGTGGAAAATAAGTATTTGGTCAATAACAAAAATTCAACTCAATACTTTGTAACATAACCTTTGTTGGCAATAACAGAGGTCAAACGATTACTATAGGTCTTTACCAGGTTTGCACACACAGTAGCTGGTATTTTGGCCCATTCCTCCATGCAGATCTTCTCGAGAGCAGTGATGTTTTGGGGCTGTCGCCGAGCAACACGGACTTTCAACTCCCTCCACAGATTTTCCATGGGGTTGAGGTCTGGAGACTGGCTAGGCCACTCCAGGACTTTCAAATGCTTCTTACGGAGCCACTCCTTTGTTGTCCGGGCGGTGTGTTTGGGATCATTGTCGTGTTGGAAGACCCAGCTACGTTTCATCTTCAAAGCTCTCACTGATGGAAGGAGCTTTTGGCTCAGAATCTCACGATACATGGCCCCATTCATTCTGTCCTTAACACGGATCAGTCGTCCTGTCCCCTTAGCAGAAAAACAGCCCCAAAGCACGATGTTCCCACCCCCATGCTTCACAGTAGGTATGGTGTTCTTGGGATGCAACTCAGTATTCTTCTTCCTCCAAACACGATGAGTTGAGTTTATACCAAAAAGTTCTACTTTGGTTTCATCTGACCACATGACATTCTCCAAATCCTCTGCTGTATCATCTATGTGCTCTCTGGCAAACTTCAGACGGGCCTGGACATGCACTGGCTTCAACAGCGGAACACATCTGGCACTGCAGGATTTGATTCCCTGCTGTTGTAGTGTGTTACTGATGGTGACCTTTGTTACTGTGGTCCCAGCTCTCTGCAGGTCATTCACCAGGTCCCCCCGTGTGGTTCTGGGATTCTTGCTCACCGTTCTCATGATCATTTTGACCCCACAGGATGAGATCTTGCGTGGAGCCCCAGATCGAAGGAGATTATCAGTGGTCTTGTATGTCTTCCATTTTCTGAGAATTGCTCCCACAGTTGATTTTTTCACACCAAGCTGCTTGCCTATTGTAGACTCACTCTTCCCAGTCTGGTGCAGGTCTACAATTCTTTTCCTGGTGTCCTTCGAAAGCTCTTTGGTCTTGGCCATAGTGGAGTTTGGAGTCTGACTGTTTGAGGCTGTGGACAGGTGTCTTTTATACAGATAATGAGTTCAAACAGGTGCCATTAATACAGGTAACGAGTGGAGGACAGAAAAGCTTCTTAAAGAAGACGTTACAGGTCTGTGAGAGCCAGAGATTTTCCTTGTTTGAAGTGACCAAATACTTATTTTCCACCCTGATTTACAAATAAATTCTTTAAAAATCCTGCCATGTGAATTCATGGATTTTTTTCACATTCTATTTCTCACAGTTGAAGTGTACCTATGATGTAAATTACTGACCTCTGTCATCATTTTAAGTGGGAGAACTTGCACAATCGGTGGCTGACTAAATACTTTTTTGCCCCACTGTACCATTCTGTGTTCCATTTCAAAGAAGAGTCAGAGTTTTTAAAAAGTTAAGAATTTGTTACTAACACTTTTAAAATGACAATTTGAAATGACAATTTAGAAATGACCATTTTTAACAGCTTTGATATTAAAACTTGTTTTAAAAAGCAAACCTGTGACTGAATGGAAACTAAAATGAAATGCGAGGTTTTGGATGCGTGAATGAATCTCAGAAGGCTTCTTTCAGCAAGAGAAGCATTCTGGGTGGAAAGTGTTTTGCAGCTAACTGATGTTACTTAGAGAAAACAGCATCGGACACCATCTGTGTGCTACCTCACCCAACAGATGACCCTCTGTGCGGATCCGGAGGTCAAGGAGGATGTTATCAGCCTCAGAGGTACTCGGTCCGGTAGAGAAGACCCGAGTGGAACCGACCCTCTGGTCCAGAGATGTCGCAGGGTACACGGTGTCGAGGGTCTGGTGTAACTCTGAAGTAGTTTTGCGCCAGCTGGTTACAGTTGCGTTTATTTGAAGCAATTCTATCGGCGTGACAGAATGCTTAGTAGAGACTTGGGTGGCTGTCCCTCGTCTCCTGGTATGGTTCAAGAACAGATTTTTTGCTGCGGAGATTTTGGTTTTAACAAAACTCAGAACACGCCCTCTCAGCATCAGAAAGCTTGGTCACAGCATCAGAAAGCTTGGTCACAGCATCAGAAAGCTTGGTCATGAAATAAAGGTGAGATGGTTTACCCTTACAGAAAGTAACAGAGAATAGACCTCTTATTTGTTTACAAACACTGCAGATGTGGGCGCATCACGTAGGCAGAAAGAGACGCCGGCCCTTTAAGACTGTTGTTTTCAGCGATCATTGTGTTGGAATTGTGTCATTTGTTGTTAGCTAGCTATGTTTTCAGCAGTTTCAGCGGATTTCAGTAGTTTGTCATGTCTGCTTAGGACATGCGCAGAAGGGCGGAATGTGACGGGTCGTGACGTCGGCTGATAGGGATCTATATGAACAGACATGAAAGATCGTGTGTTAAATATATTTTTGGTGGCGCCATTTTGAGAATTTTACTGTGTCCATATGCAGGATGCAGCTGCTTGGAGTGCATGAATTATCAGCCCTCTGTCACTCACGGTATGCTGAGAGTCCTTAGAAATATTGTAATATAGGAAACTGGATCTTTTTTCAGGCTCTGCCAGGGTGTGTAAGTTGAGGGTTTGTAGGGTAGCCCATCAGCCTTTCAGGAGAAGCAGGTTCTCCTTAGCTCCCCTTAATTCGGATCCTCTATCTGAATCAGGATTGGGAAGTAATGTCAGATTATGATTGAGTCTGAAACCACGTGATCAGATCTGAACATCGCTAGTAAATTATTTTTTCAAACCATTCAGAAATGCAAAGTAATGTCTAGCTCACCCTTAGCATACGCATTATGACAGAACAGAGCCATGCCAAACTAAAATTGTCTTTTTGTGTTCATATGGGTCCAATTAATGTCCTCCAGTAAAATAGTTAGTCCACATATAAACCGCTGACAACCTTCTAAATTACCTTCAGATGCATCTCTTTTGCATCGTTAAAGTTAATCAAACCCCAGTAAGCATCCTCAAATTGGCTTTAGATTTCGGATTGACATTTTACCCAATCCAATAAAGGTCCCCCCCCCCCCCCCCCCCCCCCCCCACACACACACACACACTGAAGTACATCTTGAGTTATTGGCTGTTACGTGAAAGTGCTTCCCCCTATTATTGTGTGTGTAGCTGGAAATAGTTGCAGTTGAAATTCTAATTGTTTTATCAAAGGTGATGACGTTCGGAAAACAGTAACATCTCACATGAAGTCTTGGGTTTTGGGTGGATGGCTGCATGTCGAGTACTCGTAACAAGATGAGGACAAATGAAGTTCATTTGTCTCCAGCGTGGCAGCAGTATGTGACCATAACATACACACCACATACTCATGGACATTGTGTTGTTGATGCTCAAAAGTAATATCATGCAGCTCCATCCCTCCTCCATCTCAGCCAAATCTGAGAGCATCGCCTATATAATCGAGAACTCCTCTTCAGTCCATTGCCTCAGGTTCATAGTATGGGGACCCCCCCACCACAACAGCTAATATTAATTGTTTTATTTTATTTTTCATGTCACCTTGAGTGTCTTAAAAGGTGCCCATAAATATGGGTTATTGATATTGTTGGCAGTAATGCTGCAGCAGCAGCATCATGTAAATACTGTGATAGAAATTTGGTTTCCACTTGCTTCCTCAAACATCTCCTCCTCCTGTAGGAGTCCCAGCTTGTGCAGGAGAAGAAGACTATGGAGAGCTGGAGAAAAGACAGAGACACTCTGGTAGCAGCTTTAGAGGTCCAGTTAAAGAAGCTGCTCTCCGACCAGGCTGAAAAGGATAAACTCATCCAAAAGCTACAAGAACAAAAGCCACCACAGGAGGTCAGTGTACCACATATCAGAAAACTATCTAGCTCACATCGGCATCTGTTACAGCTCAGGTTAGGAAAACACTTGATCTCCACTGAGCAGTCCCGGTGGTTGTTGACGCTGGTTCTGCTGCGCACGTTAGTTCAGTTTCACTTGCACTTTGTTTTGCTAATGTTTTATTTATTTATTTATTTTTATTTATTTATTTATTTTTGCGTGTTGGAGACGTCTTTACAGTGGATTAACCGCAGCATTTCACACCGTGGTTAGTAGTCAAACTGGTTAATCCATGTGAACCTAAATACAAGTTCATTAGAAAATGACAGGGGCCTTAGTGAGGTTTCTACAGGTGTTAGCTTTTTCATCTGGTTTTATTAAAGTGGACACTGAAGTAATCAGAGTCTTTATCCAGACTAACTGATCAAAATGTTTTAGGCACACATTTTGACTTCAGGCTTCATTGCTACAGTTAAAAAAATTGAGTTTAAAAAGCAACTCGACTCTACCATTGACTCTGTTTACTTTGCAGCGTTGATGTTTTATCTCCACAAACAGTACAAGTCTGAAGGAGTTCTGCTGGGTTGGAAGTTTTCTAATTTAGGTAGCCTTGAATTTTCCCAAGTGCAGCCGAACGTCTTTTCAGCCCTCTTCTCGAATAGCTCTGCATAGAGCCAAACAGGGCCGACACCAATCACAAACTTGCGTTCTCCTTCTCGACGGACGGATGTTTAAAAAAGTGGGCTCGACTCCGCACGTACTTGCGTGCCTGCCGGGGCCCTACGCAAGGACGGATAAAGGCGTTGCATGTCTCCGCACTGACGCAGACGGAGAAGCATGACTCAGGATTAACTCAATGTCCCCCCACTACCCTCAGGATATGTTTGATGTTCCGTCGGAGGTGGGAATTGAAGCTCCTTCTGACAGGAGACTCCGCCAGACTTTACCAGCAGACCCGCATAAAATGTTTCGGCCTGCCAGGTCTGACCGGCTTTCTCCGACACCATCAAAGCCAACTCACCACCAGGTAGTGGTCAGTTGACGGCTCCGCCCCTCTCTTCACTAGAGTGTTCAGGACATGCAGCCGCAGTTCAGGTGAAACAACAACAAAGTCAATCATCGAACGGCCTAAGATGCCCTGGTGCCAAGAGCACATATGGACACCTTTATGCTTGAATGTGGTGTTTGTTATGGACAATCAATGATGTGCACAGAAGTCCAATGACAAAACACCATTCCAATTCAGATAAGGGGGGCCATTCCTCCCGATCACATCTCTCCAAGTCTCACAGTCATTGCCCAGATGAGCGTTAAAGTTCCCCAGCAGAACGAGGGAGTCACTTGAAGGGGCGCTCTCCAGCACCACCTCCAAGGACTCCAAAAGGGGGGGGGGGGGGTCCGTCTGAACTGCAGTTTGATGCATAAGCACAAACCACAGTAAGGACCCGTACCCCAAACAAAGGCGGAGGGAGGCTACTGTCTTGTTCACCGGGGTAAACCCCAATGTACCGACACCATGATGGGGCAACAAGTATGCCCACCCTTGCTCAGCGCCTCTCAGTGGGAGCAACTCCAGAGTGGTAGAAAGTCCAACCCCTTTCGAAGACACTGGTTCCAGAACCATGCGTTGAGGTGACTCCAACTATATCTAGCCAGAACCTCTCCGCCTCAACCACCAACTCTGGCTCTTTACCCACCAGAGAGGTGACATTCAGTGTACCAAGCGCTAGTTTTCGTAGTTGAGGATCAGACCGCAAAGATCCCTGCCTTCGGCTACCACCTGACACACACAGCACCGGACCCCTTTGGCCCCTCCCACGAGTTGTGAGCTCATGGAAATGGGGACCCATGTCTCTTCTTCTTCTACATTATATATATATATATATGGAAAGTAAAACTACTAAACCTGTATGATATCCAGCTCCAAAAATAAACATTAAGCGGATTCATGTGACTTTTGGTCAAAGTTATGTCATGTCAAAGGGTCTGAAGAGGCTCTCATGGCTCCAAAGGCACAGCCAACATCTGAGAAAAAACATTTTTCTGATGGACTAAACAGAGTTTTAATTTAAGATCTGGGCAGCATTATGTCAGGTTCAACAGCAGCCAGTAAGAGTTTTTCACATGAAAGTCATCTTAACTAAATATGACAATAGTCACTTTTTAATTTAGGCTTGGGTGCTGCTCTATTTGCCACACATCACTTGTCAGCTCAACATCATACCGCTCAAGTCAGTGGGATGCAGACTTCTGTTCCTGAACTAGCTTTGGGTTCCTTCAAGAAAAGGGAAGAAAGTGATTTTAGCTTTTTTTGGTCTATTTTTAAGGGACACATAATTTAAAGTCCAGAGAAAACTAAGCAAACCTAACAAGTGTAAATGTACCCTAGGTTGATGATGGAGGTGCTCCCAGCGTGGCTGTTCTGCAGGCTGCGCTGAAAGAGATGGAGGCTGAAGTCCTGCAGCTGAAGGGCATGCTCGAGGCCTCAGCAGCTAAACAAAACCAGATGATGACACAGGTTTGTCTGAAAGCAAGAGTTCAGCCTAAGTGGGGCCTAAAAATGACTTGGTACACAGTAAAAAGCTGTGTGCAACCAGAAAGCTCTTCGCCTACAGAAACACCCGAAGTTAAAGAGTCCGGTTCGTAAGCTAATTCCATTTTTGGTTGTTTTTTAAAACACAGAAAAGTTTTTTTTTTTTTTACCTTGCTGACAGTTTTGTTTGCCGACTGCAAAACTTACTCAGAGCTGACGCTGATGGTGACGTCACTTCCTACTCCATTTATCCACTGGCAGCAGAAGACGTTGTCACCCTCTGCTGCCCACTCTCCCCTCACCGATGATGCAGTCCCATGCATGATCCAATGTGTAAACCCCATCGTCTCTGTTCATGGTCCCGTATCCACGTCTCCTTATCTCTATGGCTTCCTCTATCCATCTTTTGTATTTCTGTTGTTCAGTGTTTATGATCCTTGTGTTGTCCCAGTCCAGGACTTCCGCCATTTGGAAGGTTTACATCAAAAACAAGCGCGTCTAAGGAACCACCTTCGCTTCAATTCAAGATGCCGGTAAGAAAACATCACGCCAATAAGCCTGCAGCCGAAAACACCGATCCCGACCAAGACAGCACAGAACATAATGGAAAGAACACAGAGAGCACTACTCAAAGAAAGGATAAGAAACGTTGCAACCAGACAGAAACAAGTGGAAAACGAAATGGAAAGAAGACACCTGGACTTAAAAAGGAACTACAAACTTGATGAAAAAACGGAGGAACAAATAAAAGGACACATGATGGAACAACAGGAAAAAGAGTTCATAAAAGTAAAAGAAAGACAAAGAAAAAGAGAAAAGATAAACAAGATAACATCACACAAAGTACATGGGTATGTAACCTTTCACAATACAAACTGACAGAAGCAGAAGAAAGCATATTAAAAAAAGGTTTAAATTTAGCAGTAACACCAAAGAAAATACCATATGATGAATTTATTGTAGCAACAGAATTAGCATGTCAACAGATTACAGATGAGGGAAAGAAAGCAGAACTCAGAAATAATGTTGTTGGGATAATAAAGAACAGCCAAATTCAACACAGCAATATTACAAAAGAAGAACAATCAGCCATGACAGCTTTATCCAAAAATGAACAGATAATTATTCTACCGGCAGATAAAGGAAGAACCACAGTGGTAATGGACAGAGAAAAATATAAACAATAGATGAAACAGATGCTAGAGGACAAAAATACATATGAAATACTTAAAAAAAAAAAGACCCAACAGAAAACATTAAGAAAAACATGAAAAAATTACTGAAGCCACTACAAGAAAAAGGCTAAATAACAGAAAAAATGTACAAACACTGGGTTCCCACAGCAAACATAATACCAAGAATCTACAGAACTCCAAAAATACACAAACAAAACACCCCACTTAGACCAATAGTTGACAGCATAGATACACCAACATACAACATGGCAAAAGAAATCAGCAAAATCATCAGCCCGTTATTAGGTAACACAGATCAACACAGCAAAAATAGCTTAGAACTGGCAAAAGAACTAAAAAAGATTACAACTGAAAATAACGACATACTCCTCTCACATGACGTCACATCCCTGTTCACAAAAACACAAAAATCAGCAAAACCATACACAACAGTTAGAAGCAGACTAGTACAACCAAAAGACAAAATACCATCAGGACATTAATGTGGAATCGTTTACGAAATCCCATGCAAACTCTGCAATAAAACATACATAGGAGAAACCGGACACCAACTCAACACACGAACAATAGAACATAGAAAGACATGCGAGAGAGAAACAAGTCGAAGACACAAAAGAGCAGCAAAACAAGAAGCAGAAAGCACAATAAAGAAGTCAGCCGTCACAGATCACCGCACAAGAGAAAACCATATAATGGACTGGGACAACACAAGGATCTTATGTTTATGTTTATTTATTTAGTAGACGCTTTTATCCAAAGCGACTCACAATTTATAACCTATAGGGCATGTTGTGAATCTTAAACACAGAACAACAGAAATACAAAAGATGGATAAAGGAAGCCATAGAGATAAGGCGACATGGATACGGGACCATGAACAGAGACGATGGGGTTTACACATTGGATCGTGCATGGGACTGCATCATCGGTGAGGGGAGAGCTGGCAGCAGAGGGTGATAACGTCCTCTGCTGCCAGCGGATAAATGGATTAGGAAGTGATGCACCACCATCAGCATCAGCTCTGAGGATGTTTTGCAGTTGGCAAACAAAACTGTCAGCAAGGTTAAAAAAAAACTTTTCTGTGTTTTAAAAAAGAACCAAAAATGGAATAAGAAACTTGACACAGCAAGAACATACCAAAGACGGCTCATAAGCTATTGGTTAAATGCAAAAAAGAACATTTAGGGTTTTCAGATCTGAGGCATTTACAGAAAAACTAACTCTAAAAGCAACCAAAGGTGTTGCTAATAGGAAACAGTATTTTATCACAAAGTTTGAAATTCTTACTTATCTGAATTATTTGACCATCTAGATTTTATCCTAGCACCAAATCTGAAACTCCTGAGATGCTGATGTTCATTTTTAAGCAGATGGATAAAAAAAAGTTCTAAACTATTTTCTGTGTGACTTTTTATTTTCAGACTAAAAGCAACATAAGCCCTGTTACATCACCTGGGAAACCAGAGAGTGAAACTGTTGACAGAAAACCAGAAAAGAGGACCACCAGAGTATCAGCCAGCAGTCAGGTAATCTCCTGGTGTAGTATGAATCACGATTACAGGTGAGGATGGAGCACTTTAGAAATGAACTGGCTTGTCCTGCAGATGTCTGGAAACATCCATGGTTTGTTAAAAGTCTCTGACGTGTAAAAACAGCTAGTACAACAATAGGCCAGAGTTTGGAGTTCACTACTGTACATAAAATCCTGATTTGGCTCATTTTCAGTACAGTGATGGAACAAAGTGGGAAAATTTGTTTTTCCTTTTTGTGCACGACTACAGCTTACATGAAATCTAAAAAAAATTACTTGCATTAAATTCTATAATGAAATATTGCCATAAATGTTTAACAAAAGAAATCAGCAGCTATGATCAGTTAGTCAGTATTTGAGTGGCTTTTTACCAAATAGTTTTTGAATCTCCCTCGAATTTTAGTTTTTAGTTTTCTTTTTACTTTTTTTAACTTCAGCTAAAGTTAAACTACCGTCTGTTATTTTTGCTAGAGTACAATCTCTGAATACTCTGTTGGGCCTTCCCTCTCTGCCAGAAACAGCTGAACATTCCTGAATCAGGAAAGACCTTTTACAAAGACCTTTTGAAATAGGTGTGTCTTTGAGGACTCGTTTAAATTGGCACCAAGCTACATTACTGCTGGATGTTGGGTTCATGTTTATATTTAAAATTGATTTCAAACTCCTTTTGCATTATTGTAGGCAACGTTAAACTTCCAGGTCTCTCAAGTGTATAATGTCAATGTTTATCTTAACTCTGAATCCTGAATTTGGAATAACCCAAGGTTTCTTATTAATAAACATTCCTTATTACGGAAAGACTGGATAGGAAAAGAAATCACTGCAATAGCAAACCTATATGAGAAGGAGAATATAAAATCATTTGAGAGGCTGACTGAAGAATAAGGCATACCCAGGAATAAATGCTGGAGGTACCTGCAATTGCAATTTCTGTTAATTAGTATTATAGGGTTTCTCATCCCCAGAGTGTTCTGCAGCATAATCAGCACGTTCTCTTTGAACTTGATATCAAATTTTCGCCTCCTCTTCGTCTCCGCACGGTTAAAGTTACCCTCGCGGTCTATCACTGGCAAATCAAAAGTGAGACGGATGACACAACCGCCCCCCCGTACTTGCTTGTTACCACATTCCACCCGGCCACAATAAAAAAAAACGGCCATTATTCACCTCCGCCAACTCCGACCAAAATATGATACCCGGCAGTTAATTAAATACAGGCTAATATTAGAGGATTTACGGTAATTACTGGTAATATTGTGAAAGACATGATATGATCCACCTCTAGATGGAATTTAAATTTTACATAAATTTTAAATATGGGACATTTGAGACATCTCTAGGTCTGGTTGTGGGTTTTCATTCCCAATATGTTCATGTCACTAGTATCTTTTGGGTTGTTCCCAAAATAACGAATATTTGTGAATCTAAAATTTTAGCAAATTTTTATTAATTAATGCACTGAAAACAGAAGTATTTTGAGCTGCCTGTTATATAACTTATGTGAGAACCTTTTAGATTAATCTGGTTCTGAATGATTCTGAGACGGGTGTGGCAGCAGACAGGCTCCTTCCATCCAAAATTTTTGGCGCATTTCTCTGTAAGTGACAGTGATGCAACCCTTGACCTTCATCTCATGCGTGTTCCTGCAGGGTTCAGCTGGCTTCCCATCTGTTCTCGAATCCTCTGAGATTTCCACAGAGAATGGCAGAACGAGCCGCTTTCCCAGGCCGGAGCTGGAGATTTCCTTCAGCCCTCTGCAGCCAAACCGAATGGCTCTGCGGCGCCAGGGAGAGGAGAGCGCTGTCACAGTTAAAATCAACCGAGCAGCACGCAAGAGGAAGAGCAGCGAGATGGAGAAGGTAGAAAATTGCCATCTGCTGTTCAGACAACTCCCTCCTTCAACCTTAAAGAGGGTCTGCACACCATCAGAAAACGTAACTCCGCCCCAGTCAAGATTTGGAAAATGCCATGAAAGTGGGCATTGCCAGGAAGCACAGCGTGGCATTGCAAAGTGTAGGGAATTTCCATCCTGGGAGGGAGGGGGAGTGGGAGGAGACTGTTACGATGATGTGAAATTATTCCAGCCCCAGTCAATCACAAGTTTAAAATGCTGTAGCTGCTGTTCTGCCACAGGGGGCAGCACTAAGACGTTTTTAGACCGATTCTAGATTTAGTCATGTTTACACAAACATGTCAAAAAATGCACAGAAACCAAAAGGATTGTATTTGTAAAGACCCAATTATACAGTTAAGTAGCAAAATGAATGTTATTTTGGGGCTTAGTTACTCTTTAAACACAATCAAAATGAGATTACACTGTTAATAAATCCAACCAGCTTTACTGCAGAGTGTAAATGCTGTTTTCAGGTCACCGTCTCAATGGATTTTATTTTATGCAGCAGAGAAGCTGCTCTTCTGGTAATTAGTTTACTAGAAAAGGAGGTTAATGCCTCTGGCCACTTTGGCTCCCAGAGGCATGTGACTTGTAGAATTCTAATCTTGAAAATCATCCGAACCATAGAAATCTGTTCACATGGTGAATATTTTTATAAAGAAATTAACTAGTCTATTTATTGAGAATAATGTTATTAATTATTATTGTCTCTAGACTCAATGCTATTTCTATAAAAGTTATGACTTTCATTGCATGTTTTACTGATCAATTTATTTTAAAATCATCCCAAACTTACCAAAATATTCTCACATGGCAATGTCAACAAGTGGACTAAAATGCTGGTGTTTTTGTATCAGTAGATTCAAAGCTTTTTTCAAGAAAATATGGTAAATTTAATTTTAATGGTCATGCCCAAATTTAAATTATTCATAAAATAATAATGCTATATTACAAAGTTAATAGAGAATTCTCAGATCACCATCGATGCATGTGGAATGTCATTTTCCACAACACACACAAGGATTTTTCATTATTCATTACCTGCTGACAATTTCATAATTTGCTCAACTTTGCCATACGAGGCTGCTTTGCTGGAGAATGGGTCTGCAGAAGTAACATTTCTCTCCAACCAACTCCTTCCCAGTCACATGTCTATATCTGATTTTCCACAAGGTCTCATTACAGCTATATCTGTTAGCAAGATAAATGTCAAAGTACTGAAAACATTTAGAATACAAATTATTTGTTAAAGTACATTGTTAATGGTCAGCATGGCATTTTCTACACAAAAGATTTCTAAAGATTGTGCATAGAAATCCACAGCATTGTCTGTAATGTCTATAAAATAGTTCAGCCCTACTTCCTTCACACGCTCACATCACACATCTTCTCCGTTCCTTATCACTCATCATATTTTAACTCCTAGAAATCATTTTATGCGCTTAAATTTCACTGAGTAGGTTTCTTCTCTTCCTCCCTGAATCATCAATGGCTCCATATACTGGGACCTCTGGACTGTCTCTAAGCAGTTTTTCTTGCTTTTAGCACCCAGTCATTCACTGTGGTTATACCGAAAATGGAAGCTCTTTCCTCGCTGTGAGTTAGTATTTGTAACAACCTAATCTAACTGCTGAAATGTCTCATCAGCCTTCATTAGTGTCTACAGGAGTTCATCACTAAAACAAACAAATCAGCTGAGTTCACCATCTATAACATGCAGGAAACAGACTCCAGCTCCACTCTACATCTCTCCACCAGCAGGGAGTGACCCACCAACTCTGAAGTTGCAAGTGTGATATTCTGGTCCTTGAGGCAATGGGAGCTGGGTGGCATTTCACTAACCCTGTAAAGGGTCGTTTTAGCATGCACTGGCTCAAGAAAATGATAAAAAATATGAAAAGCTGCATTGTTTTCCTTTAATGCATTACTGAGGTATTAGATCAGAACTCTGCATCACCAGATAATCGAATGACTCAGACTCATATCAGGGGCAAAAAAAAGAACAGAACACCCCTACTAGTAGCATATTCTCAGTGTAACTGAAGTAAAACGGAACAATCGTCATGTGTGACATTAGATAGAATATAAAATGAAGCTTTTTGTTTTAAGAATTTCCTCATTTGGGGTCACGCTTATTTGCCTTTATTCCTGGGTCAGAAGCAGAAAGGTTTCACAACAACTGCTTCAGGAGGTGGTGTCAGCTTGGTGAGTCCCCACTGGGGTCAGCGGGTGTGATTCTTATTTCCAACGACCTCCACCTCCTCCAGACAGTCAAGTCATTATGAAACATTTAGGCAGTAGGGACTCGCTCCTCGTACTCTCTGGTGGGTCAGTGAACACCCAGTGATGGTGTGTTTTCATCTTCTGTGTTAACAGGGAGAAGTGGAGGCAGAGAAAAAAAGGAACACAAGGAGCAAACTCACACCCAAGCTGACCCCACAGAAGGAAGAGGTAAAAACAGGACACCCCACACACACACACACACACACACGCTCTGAGCACTGAAACATTTAAAGCTGCTAACCCTAATGCTGTAGCTCACTAGAATGAGACCCAATAAGTCCATTTCTGTTTTTGAATTAAAGGAGACATATTCTTTTAAATTCTTCTTATTTTGCATCTAAATCATTCAGTTGTGGTCTAAGTACAATGAAACTGCAATTCTTGGGTCTGATTTGCTCATTTGCCCTTTTTACAAGACACACCATGCCGGCAAATTGGCGTAATATTACCGCAACGGTGTGTCTCATGAACTCACCATGCTGGCATGACGTTGCGAGAATTTTGCGGCATTCGTTCCACCTCACTTGGTAGTAATATTGTGGTTATGGTCTGTCTTCTAAACGGCTAATATATTGAAAATTAAAGTAAACACGGGCAATAAGTTTTGCTTTTTCAACAAAGTCAGCTGAGACGGCAGGCTGGAGTGCCACAGCGCTCCATGAGCTTCTCTGTAGTTGTTAGCCATCCTCTGCTATCAATGTTACTCAATAAACTAGACTGATACTTGGTTCAGAACTTCTCCTTTATTCCGCCATGACACCATCGAACTCCCGCACAAAAAGGCCATTCCTCCGGAAGCAACCACACACTTTCAGAATAAAAGCATATATGCCAACAGGACATTTGTTTAACATAAAAGCATTATTAACACTGCAGAGAAATTCCCAATATCATTCTGCTTTGCTAGCAAATATAGTTAAATCTTACCTGCATTCTAAATAAATACCGTTAGCTTAAAGCCAGAATGGAGGAAGGATGGAGCCAAATGAAAAGCATGCTGGATCATTTGAGCCTGTCCTGTTATTTAACTACAGGATGCAATAAATGTTTACATGGCCAAGTTTGGACCAGTACATCTAAGACAGTACATCTAACCCTAACCCGGAGAAGGGTGGCTTGCCAACTCCAGGTCGGGGGAGAGGGGAGAGGTCCCACCTCAAGTGGAGGAGTTTAAGTTTCTCAGGGTCTTGTTCACGAGTGAGGGTAGGAGGGATCGGGAGATCGACAGGTGGATCGGCTCAGCGTCTGCAGTGATGCGGACGCTGAGCCGATCTGTCGTGGTGAAGAGGGAGCTGAGCCAGAAAGCCAGGCTCTCAATTTACCGGTCGATCTACGTCCTAATCCTCACCTATGGTCATGAGCTTTGGGTAATGACCGAAAGAACGAGATCGCGGATACAAGCGGCCGAAATGAGTTTCCTCCGTAGGGTGGCCGGGCTCAGCCTTAGAGATAGGGTGAGGAGCTCGGACATTCGGGAGGGACTCGGAGTAGAACCGCTGCTCCTCCGGATCGAAAGGAGCCAGTTGAGGTGGTTTGGGCATCTGGTCAGGATGCCTCCTGGACGCCTCCCCGGGGAGGTGTTTCGGGCATGTCCTGCCGGCAGGAGGCCCCCAGGTCAACCCAGGACACGTTGGAGAGGTTACATCTCCAGTCTGGTCCGTGAACGCCTTGGGGTCCTGCCGGAGGAGCTGGTGGAGAAGGCCGGGGAGAGGACAGTCTGGAGCTCCCTAGTTGGGATGCTGCCCCGCGACCCGGACCCGGATAAGCGGAGGAAGACGACGACATCTAAGACAAAAATGTACAATCAGTGATTTTTTTAATTTATTGTTGGTTTATATTAATATACAAATTTACAAAGTATTAATCTCACAGCAAACAAGTAGAACAATATAATAAATAGAAAAAATTTACTAAAATATTTGGATAAGTGGTATTGGACATAGTAATGTCCCCCCTTTTGGCTTTAGCTGTTAAACAGGCATTGTGCACACAGATGTTTGTGTCCTGGTGCTGGTGGTGTAACGAGTAGTCAGCTGGCTCGGTTGTGGGTCTGGCCCTCCGTATATTCCCACAAAGGTGGCCTCTTAAACCTGGGCTCTTCTGGATGTCTCTACCAATTAGGGTTGGACATCGAGCATCGATTAGAACCGGAACCAACTGTTAGGTTTTCTCGGAATCGTTCAAAGTGTTTTTTATTTCGATTCCTAGTATGCCGACCAGAAGAGGAATCCATGGCCGATCTCCGTGAAAAATTAACGTGATCTGCTAATTGTGATCAACGCTGTCATGAAATCCCACTGACTCACGGAATTATTCTTAGGAACTAGGCCTGCACGATATTAGGAAAACCTGCGATATTCGATAACAGTCCTTAATATTGCGATATCAACGTTACTCAGGATAAATTAACAAATACTAAAGTATGCAGTGTTGATGTTGTCTGGCGTGTGATGTCTGCTCTGGGTTCAAAGCAAACAAAAACTAATGCATGAATTCCATGACAACATAACATTTTTATTGCTCAAATATGCAGCTGCACCTGCTACTGTATTAGCAGCAAAACAACAAACTGCATGCATGCAGTTTCTCAGTGACTTTAAAACATCACCTCCACCATAAAACTTTTTCTGATGCTCCAAATACAGAAAAACATCCCTTACCAGGATTTTTTGAATAAATAAAAAAAATTAGAAAATAAGTTTAAATGTTAAATAATAGTTAGCATCACTTAAATGCAACAGCAAATTCTCTCATTGCTACTGAGCATTTTCTCTACTTATGTGGTTATGATAGAAGGCTGTTGCTGTAGTTGGGAAGTGAACTGTGCTGGGCCAAACTAGGAGAATATTAAGATTTTCTGAGGGAAAGAGAAAAACAATCGTCTACCTTTCAGAAGAGGAACTGGCAAAAAAACTACATGTAAAATATGTGAAAACGTTTGTTTTTAACCCCAAATTGAACAAGTTTACCTAGATCTTAAAAAGCAGCTCAGATGATGAAACTGCAACTATGATTCTGATAACAAGCTAACAAATTGAAATAGCTCCTCTTAAGATAACTGGCTAGCAGAGCTTCTGACTGACAGTTTATGTGCAGCAGCAAATCAACGATCCTGATTAACAAGGTTATAAAAGCTCATAAATGAAAAATCACTTTGATGTGTGGGGGAACTTTTCCAGACCCTCTTTAGCAGCTCAGGGTGGGACTGGGAGGAGAGTGCTGTAGCCTTTTAGCTGGAAGCTAACCGGAGCCTGGGGCTAACATCACCACCCGGTGGAACACTAGCGACATGAAGGTGGGTTGGTTCGCCGGCATGTGTCGGGGTCAGCCCGGTAAAAATGATTAACGACACCGAGCGGACTCACGTCCACGTTTGAAAGCAGCGCTGATTCCAGAAACCTCAGCACAAAGTGCGTTCGTTGCACTGAGCCAGCATGACGAAGAAGGGAACGGTGCTGCTAACTCAGTTCGAGTGTTGCTTTCCATCCTAAGGGTCTACGTAGGGGGCGGGCGTGTTACGTGAACGGACCCATCTGATTGGCCGCATATCAGAAAGGCTACATTTGATTGGTCAAATAATCTTTCCGCGAAAAAACAGAGCTGGTTTACAAAAAGCTGATGTATGACACGGATGGAAATGTTTGAACCAAACATTTATCGCCGTTTTTGGCGTGCTTTGCAGTGGGCCTATCGCATGTCCTGTTATTGCGATGATACTTTTTCGATATATTGTGCAGCCCTAGTATCCCCCATCTAGCAAAGATCGACTTTAAGTGTGCAATAACTTGTAGGCTAGTCATGGAGTGTAAATGTGAGATCTCAAGGTCGCATGAAAAGTAATCAACAATGACTAAATAGTTTTTCCCATTGTGAACACAAATGTCTGCTGCAGCCTTCTGCCCTAGACCATCCAGCAGAGGAGTTGGCATCAAAGGCTCTTTCCTTTGAGAATACTTGTGTTCTTGACAGAATCCACATGACTTGATCGTTTCAGTTATGTGTCCTCCAATCCCAGGCCACCACACAGACATGTTGGCTCTGAGTCTGCATTTTGTGAGTCCCTGATGACCCTCTTGTATCTGAGACAGCACTTGTTGTCTTAACACATCAGGAACAACAATCCTGTCATCATAGAGTAAAAGTCCATCCGCTGCTGACAGATGAGCTCTGGCTGCATAGAAGCTCTGCAGAGTGTTTGGAAGCTTTGATGGTTCTGCGGGCCAACCATTAACAACATATTAAAAGATGGTTTGTACATCCCCATCCCGGTTGGTAGCTTGTCTGATGGCGTCAAGTCTGTCCTGTGTTATTGGTCTTGTCTCCATCACTGCACGGACATATGCTGTGACATCATCCCCCATGTCGGATCCACTGTAGTCTGGCAAGGGTCGTCGTGACAAAGTGTCAGCCACAACAAGTTGTTTCCCTGGAACATATCAATCAATCAACTGTATTAATATAGCACTTAATCCTACAATACATGCAACTCAAAGTGCTTAACAAATTAAAAAGGCCCCACATACCCACATCCCATCCCCAGAATTTTAAAATCTGTCTGACAGTAAAAAACCCTTCACAACAGTCCTCCACCGACTCACACATGCATACATACATGCCCCCTTCCCATGGTAAAAAGCACGATTGGCTGAGATCAGATGAGCCAGACCAGCTAAAATAAGGATAAGGAAACGCCAGTCAGGGGAGCCATCCACCCCGACAGCAGCAGATCCACAGCAGCAGCCGAGGCACTGACACCGGGCGCCCAGGGCATGGAGGGCAGAGACCCCCACCACCACCCAGGCACACATGGAAAGCACCCAGGTTGCCACAGCCGACCACCGCCGCCGGGGCAGAGGGCTCCCACAGAGGAAGCACTGGAAAAAGGTTAAATTAGGGTTAAAATATAAAATCCAAAGAGCTAAAATGAGAATTTTAATATAAAAAGTTGTATAGATATTAAAATAATGTTGATCATAAATCATGGTTAAAAAAACTGTTTAAAAAGCATGTATTAAGAAAGAATACATTAAATAAATAAAATAATTAGATAAAATAAATAAATAAACTAATTAATTAATTTAAAAAGTGAGAGTATTCAGTTAAAAGCTAAGCTAAAAATGGGCCATTCCCATCTGTACCGGGTCGGGTAGCCCCAGCCTGGCCCGGTTGATTCCACACATCCTTGTCTTAAGCCCATGTGGGCTGATTCTACCCACCAATCAGAGGCTTGCTCTAATGGAAGGTGTGAATTTGCTGTCAGCAGTGGGTGTGTTGGCCCTGGTCGGCCTGAAGCAGACCCCCTCAAGAAGAGGGCTGAGAATGAGCCTTGGTTGGCCCGGAAAAATACCAGGCCACCCAGATATGTAAACAACCTACGCTGCCCGGCCCGGGCCGACCCGGTACAGATGGGAATGGCCCATAAGATGGGTCTCGACTCGAGCCTGTTTCTAAAAACATGAATGTTCTTAGCAGCCCTGAGGTCCCCTGGCAGCTCGTTCCAGAGGCGAGGATCATAGTACTTGAAAGACTCCTTGCCGTGAATATGCTTCCTAACTTTAGGGATGACAAGGAGATGGCTGCCAGAGGAGCGCAGAGACCGCGTGGGTTCATACGGTAAAAGCAGTTCTGAAAGATAAGGCCCAAGACCATTAAGACACTTAAAAACCGTTAAAAGTATTTTGAAATGGATCCTGAAACATACAGGGAGCCAATGCAGTGATTCTAAAACTGGAGTAATGTGCTCCCGCCTCCTGGTCTTCGTCAGGACACGTGCTGCTGAATTTTGTAATAGTTGTAGACCTGAAATCCTCTTTAGGAAGACCAGAAAGCAGGGCATTGCAGTAGTCTATTCTACTGGTGATAAAAGCATACATCAGCGTCTCCGTATTGGCCCGAGAGAGAATGGGGCGGACTCTGGCGATGTTCTTTAGATGATAAAAACCAATTTTGGTGATATTTTTAAAATGATGGATAAAAGTCAGTTCAGAGTCAAAGATGACACCCAGGTTTTTCACTTGTGAAGATGGATTAAGAGACAGTGATTGTAATATTGGTAAAAGCTTCTCTCTCTGGGCCTCAGGACTGATAACTAAAACTTCAGTTTTGTCCTGGTTGAGCTGGAGAAAGTTTTCTGCCATCCAGGATTTGATGTCAAAAATGCAATTAAAAAGTGTGTCCATTGACCGTGTGTCATCAGGGAGACACAGAGATGTACAGCTGTGTATCATCAGCGTAACTGTGGAAATTCACCCCGTGTCTCCTGATGACACTGCCAAGAGGGAGTATATAAAGGTTAAAAAGCACTGGGCCTAAAATTTAACCCTGGGGCACACCACATGTAATCCCATGAACCCTAGAGGAACAGGTATCCAAACTCACCATAAAAGTCCTGTCTGTGATGTAGGATGTGAACCATTGGTGAACAGCACCTGAGAGGCCGATCCATTTCAAACGAGTTAAAAGAATAGTGCGGTCTACTGTATCAAAGGCAGCACTTGGATCCAGTAGAACCTACACTGTTGCCTTCTGTTTGCCATAATTTACTCTAAAATAATTTAAAATCTTCAGAAGGGCTGTCTCTGTGCTGTGGTTCACCCTAAAACCAGACTGAAATTTTTCTAAAACATTATGGGTGTTGATAAAATCATTGAGTTGGATTAAAACAAGCTTTTCTGAAATTTTGCTTTAAAATGGTAAGTTGGATACCAGTCGATAATTGTTTAAATCATTAAAATCTAAATTGCTCTTCTTCAGCAGGGGCCTGACCACCGCCCGTTTAAAAGCAGCAGGAAAGACCCCCGTCTGAAGGGAGCAATTCATCATAGTTAAAACCTCATCTTTAAAAGAATCATAAAATTATTTAAAAAAAACTAGTGGGAATAGGGTCCAGGACACATGTGGTAGGCCTCACCGAGGAGAAAACTTTATCAAGAGTCTCCGCTTCAACCAGAACAAAACTGTCCAGTGTTTCCTCAGGTATAGACACACTCTCAGATGCGTCTAAAACCACGTTACGTTGAGAGGATGAAATGTTGCATCTGATGGTGTCTACCTTCCCTCTGAAGTGGGCTGCAAACTCCTCACTCCGAGTGTTTGAGGTGGTTTTCTGAGTTGAGTTTGTGTTGGAGTTGAGAATATTATTGATTGTGGAGAAAAGAATTTTAGGGTTATTTTTTATTATCTGAGGATTTAGGAAAAATATGCATTTCTTGAATTTCTTATGGCATTATTATATGTTTTAAGCAGTTCCAAATATATCTGATGATTTATTGTTCATTTGTTTTTCCTCCATCTCCTCTCCGCCACTCTGCAGTTTCTCTTTAGTTTTCTTAGGTTTTCATTTCTCCAGGGTGATGTTTGATTTGACTGTAATTTTTTGGTTTTGAGTGGCGCAATCAAGTTAAGAGCCGACTCTAGTCTTCTGTTAAAATCATTAAAAATGGCATCACAAGGGGCGGAGACATTGTTAAAAGCTTCAAGAAAACCAGCAGCCACTTCAGGGGTTAGATGACGCTTCCTTCCATAACGCTGGTGATGTTAAAAAATATGCAATAGTGATCGGAGACTGTCAAGTCGACAACAGAGGACACACCAGTGGACAGGCCATACGTGATGACCAAGTCTAGGGTGTGTCCTCTGTTGAGAGTTGGCTGTGTGACATGTTGGGTAAAATCCATATAATTCCAGATGTTTAAAAAATCTGTAAAGGGTCTAAAAGGTTATCCACGTGCAGATTAAAATCTCCAGCTAAAATAATCCTATCAAAGGAGTTGTGTAAAATTGCTAAAAACTCTGAAAACTCTTGAATAAAAGGTGCACTCTGTCTAGGAGGCCTGTAAACAGTGACACATAACATCTGAGGAATGCCAAAAGCGGCTGCAGTGTATTCAAAAGTGTTAAAATTATCAAATAAAACAGGTTTTGCTAAAAGTGTTGATGAACTTATAAAAGCAGTCCCGCCTCCCCTTTTACCATTCCTCGTTGAAAATTTGAAATTAAAATTGGATGGGGAGGCCTCTGTGAGAACAACAGAGGCATCTGAACTCAGCCATGGCATGCATCTGCATTGAATTTCATCAGCCTCATCGGGAGTCTCTGGCATCTGATCGGCGCTTCGTCCAGGTCATATGAGTTTATTAATGGAACGAGTGGCTTGTGATCCGTCTGAAGACAGAACTTGTCCATGCCCTGCAGGCATCTTGAAAACCTTTCACATGCCCATACACTGGCAAGGCATTCTTTTTCTATTTGAGAATATCTTTTTTCAGTCTCAGTCAACATTCTGGAACAATAGGCCACCGGTCTGAGTCCTCCTCCATCCTCCTGATATAAGGCAGCACCCAGCCCGAAGCTGCTAGCATCAGCGCTAACAACCGTCGGCTCTTTAGCGTCATAATACTCAAGGACAGGAGTTGATGTCAACAACACCTTCACTCTCCTGAAGGCTTCTTCCTGTGGATCTCCCCAGGCCCATGCCATGTCTTGTTTCAGTAGGCTGTTTATTGGATGCATGACAGAGGAGAGATCAGGCAGAAACCTCCCTAAGTAGTTGATCATGCCCTGCTGAAGTATCGGGTGTTTCTCGATTTATTTTGACTCCGTTTGTTAAAAGGCTGGCAGTGTTTCAGCTTCTGGCTCACAGCATACACTTCACATTCGGTCGTCCTGACATCCACATTTTGTGATTTAACCAGCTCAGACTGGTGGCCAATACTAATCGCTTTCTCAAGCGTCAAGTCTGCTTCGAGTTGCAGGTTTTGTGAAACGTCATTGTCTAATATGACAATGACAATGCGGTCATGGATCTGCTCATCCTTGGAAGCTCCAAAATCAGAATATTCAGCTAACACGTAAAGATGTCTGACCAAAGATCAAAGCTGGAGACATAGGCGGGGACTTCTGTTGTCTGAATACCGAGACCAGAAGGTTGGTGGGATGCCGATCTTTTCAACCTCACTAGAAACGGAGTTGGTTCAGGGAAAACTTTTCCAAACACCAGTTCCATGATGTCATCAACATATTCTGCAATCATAGAGAATAACTTTAATGGCATGGTTTATTTACAAGCAGCTTTAGGAAGGTTGATTGGCATTTCATAATATGTCTCCTTTAAAACTTGACAGAGAACTTTCCAGCAGACTGACAGCATCTCTTTGCTCTGTGAACAGAGTTCTTCTCCTGTAGGTTCATTCAACTCTTACAACAGGAAGGAAGGAACGCTGCAGAAGATTGGAGACTTCCTGCAGAGCTCTCCAACACTGCTCGGCACCAAAGGTCAGAGAATAACTCCAACATATGAGGTGTTTTTGTGTTATTTGTTAGGGAATTCAGACTGAAGAGAGGTGAAGCCAAAGGGTCGGTAGGACATTACAAAATAATAAACACAGTAAGATGATGAAAGGACGGTCAGAGGAGCAGGTTGATGGATGGATCAGGACAATGGGACATTCACAATGATTGGACAAAGTTTTACCAGGACATTTCAGACATAAATAAATTATTCATATTTTGTTAACAAAACATTGAATCTATTGTTCAAATACAATACATACTATGTGATGAGCCTTTCCAGAATAACATCTGCTGCTGCACCTGTTAAAGGTGTGCTGCAACATTTTGAACAAGCTGGGGGTGCCTAACCCTAACCCTTACTTCACACTGGAGGCATCAGCGGCACAGAACAGCACTGGGACAATTTACTTGTGAGCATCGCTGCGTGCCAGTAAACACAGGGAGAATTTCAGCCATGAAGCGGGTTCTCCACCATGCTCTTTGCAGGACTCGTGAAATTACAAGATCCCTCAAGACTTCGAAGGTCGCCGTTTGTGTTTCCCATTAAACCAAAAGGAAGTAATCATGTTTGATACTACTAGTAGATGTCATATATGATGTGGTTCCTCTCCACTGGCAGGATTAAAGCCATGACAAACACGCCGTTGCCCTTCTCGAACGATGCAGGGAGTAAATAAGCCGTGACGTCTCTTGTATAGATGTAATCTACGTAGATATGAAAGTGCATTGCTGCCATAGACTTTTATTCTCGCTGCAAGCCGCTTCTGGGACACGCCTGAATATTTCCACGTCACGGCCAGTTTGAATTAACCTCATTGACTTTAATGGATTCTGTTTGAAGTAGCGATGTTCCGCGCTGCTGATGAAGTAGGGGGAATCCTTTGATTTCAGCCTCAAGTGAAAAAAAAAACAACTTTTTGTTGTTCTTGAGTTATTTAATGAATGTAAGACGGGTCTGATTGAATATTTTGTTGAAGGTTATTTCAGGTCTTGTTTCTAACTGCAGAGAAATTCCTTACTTCTGTTTTTATTTTTTTCTGAACCTCTTGATAAAGATCATTTTCTATCTCATTGTGTTTTTTTTCCCTGATTGAATATTTAGCTGAAGGTTATTTAGAACCAGTGTTTTTGTGGAGTTTCTACATAAAAAGTGAACTTTCTGACAAGCTTGTTGCATCTGATATTGTTTTGATTAGCGATAATTTGACAACAATACTGTATATCTTATGGCATTTTTCTGTATACCTTTTCTTTTCCTACAGCCAAAAAGATGATGAGTCTGATGAGCGGTCGGGTGGATGCGGATTCAGCAGCCTCCTCTTCCTCTCTTCGTCAGAAAGTAAAGAACAACAAAAGGAAACTGTTCAGGCCTGAAATTTCTGGGCCAATGGAGATGTCCTCCCACCCAGTAAGTGTCACAAGATGATCAGCTGGTTTAACAGCTTAGTTCACCACTCAAGCCACCAATGTTCTACAAACATGTAATATGGTTTTACGAAGGTTCTGTTCAGACCACATGGGTATATATTCAATATTTTATAGCAGAATGATTGGGGAGGGAGTGCATAATTCATTACTAAATAAATACATGTTGAGAGTGAATATCGTTAAGAGAATCCCAGTTAAGACAACCTCAAAATTTCTACACTGCAGTTGTAGCTAATCCATATATATCTACAGTTAATAATCCGATATTACATATTTTATTTATAATTTCATACTTATATATGTAATAAAATACAGAATATTCACAAGTAATGCTGGTTCCATCCATTCTCCCTCCTCCCTTTAAGCAGGAATACTTGATACATTTTTTGTACGTGTTTCACCAAACAGCAGCAATTATTTTAAGAAAATCAAGTTTATCTAAATAGTTTGCCTTGAAAGCAGATTTTATTGTTATTCAGGGTATTTCCTGGCTCAAATTGAGGCAGAGGTGGTATCATCCTGACCATGCACTAGCACATACAGTGGGGCAAAAAAGTATTTAGTCAGCCACCGATTGTGCAAGTTCTCCCACTTAAAATGATGACAGAGGTCAGTAATTTACATCATAGGTACACTTCAACTGTGAGAGACAGAATGTGAAAAAAAATCCATGAATTCACATGGCAGGGGAGGGGGGACTTGGTGCTGCAGACAGACAGCTGGTGTGATCAGCTCTGAAAAGCTTTGATCACAATTTACAGATCACGTTTATTTTTCACGGAGATCGGCCGCGGATTCCTCTTCCATCAGCATTCTAGGAATCGAAATAAAAACCGTTGAGCGATTCCGGGAAAAATGAACAGTTAGAACCGGTTCCAATCGATTCTCGATGCCCAACCCTACTGACACTAGTCAGTGACTCGATGCAATTTGCTCGGTTCCTTATATGGGAAACTTTTTTCTGATTGGCTTGAGACGACTCGTCGTGATTTGGCGCTATATAAATAAATAAACTTGAATAGACAATATTATACAACAGTTAGTTTCGACCGAGTGATTTGATTGGTCAAGAGACTTTCCAAGACTGCTGATATTAGACTATAATAACACTGGGACTGTTTACAAACAGTATCACTCCGCTGTGCACAGGCGTTCTAACCGTTATTGTAGAAAATGTTTGTGTTGCCTAGCAACAGCCTTGTCTGAGTCTCTGCTTCGTGTTGTGTTGGCTGAGCCTGATAAATGATTAAATAAATGAACAAATCATAACCTGCTGTTTCTTGTTGTTGTTATGAAAATAAAATGAGCAGGTAAAACTGTTGTATAAAAGCAATATCACACTCGAGGTCGTGCGTTGTTGCTGAATATCAGCACTAGTGTGATTATCCACGGCACTCGGCCTGCCGCCCCGTGTCTACGACTGAATCACACCAGTGCTGATATTCAGCAACAACGCACTCCCTCTCGTGTGATATTGCTTATACATCATATCTAGCAAACACCATTTTGACCCAAATATTGTCTTTGTCAAAGCTGAAGAAGAGTAGCCTGGCCTGCCAGACTCCTCCTCTGTTTAATTCTGCACAGAGAAAGGGTCTGGGAACTCTCCTATTCAAATAACTCCACCCCCTGAGAATTCTAACCGAGCCAATCAGCACTGAGTAGCGTATGTCACACACCATAATGCCGAGTTTGTCATAAACAACAAAGACAGCCGCAGTGATCCCTGCGGCTCTTTCCTCTGTTCTAAATGACTTGAATGTCTTTTAAACCACAACAAGTAGAAGCGCTAACAGCATTTCTTCTATAAAAAAAGAAGAAATGCATTTCTTCTGCTTCTAGACCTGCAGAAAGAGAAAAACAACAATACAACAAGAGCAAACTATTACTGCGTCAACTTGATGAGGAAATATAAAATCAACATTGTTTCACTGAACAATCTCACGATAGTAAATCACAGTGCATTTAGTGCCAACCACAGCCTTAAGACATGTGTTGAAAATGCCCAAGTCCATACTTATGAGAGCACCATGTGAGCACCTGTGTGTGTACACGCGCTTGTTTATGTAAGGTTTCTCAATATGCATGAATGGTTTTTAAAAACTTCAAGGACAACTCTAGTGTGCTCTTTTTTTCTTGAGAACACACTAGAGTTCTCACTAGAGTTCCTTTTTTTTTTCTTCATGCATTTCTAAAGTATCGGATCCCAACTCTGTATTGGAAGATTCTTAAAATCAAGTGACTCTGAATCAGATTGGGAGCAAATATATGTGATCTGGACATCCCTATTGAGTTGGTTTTTCTAGCAGAAATTAAGATTTCCATTCAGTCCATGATTTTCTTCAAATCAAGGTTCAACTGGATCACAATATTTACAATATACCGTGATACTTACAAACATGAAATGAAATAACTTCAAACATTCCTGCTTTTACTAATTTCTTAACTTTTCTGTAGCACTGTTTATTTTTTTCCTCCCTATTCTACAGATTTGTCCCAACTAATATTTACAGGTCCTTTCACATTAATGTAATAATTGCTCCTGGCATTCCACACACGCGTCACCCCATCTCACGGTGTTCGGAAGCACGCTGTCTGTCTCTGTGTGTGTAACTCACTTTCACTCCTTCATCTGTGGGTCACATTTGGCTTTCCACATGTTCACACACACATCTCGGGAACGTGAAAATCTCCGAGCGTGTGGGGGAAGCAACAGACGCGCGGAGATGTCCGTGCTGTCTTCCTTTATTTAAACAAAGGCGGGCGTGAGCAGTTATGCTGTTGGAGACTTATGATATGAAGGACGCTGCTTCCTACCCTCTCAGTGACACCCTCTCCAGAGCTGGCTCTATTAAGACCCATCTCGTTCGTGACCGATACATCAATGTTATCGGCAGAGAGTGACAGCCAGTCAGCCACAGCCCTGATACAGCACTACGGAAGGGGACGAAAAAGCAAGAAAATAAACAAATGTACAACTCTGTCAGTTGAAGAACTAACCTCAGCTACCTTAATAAATTTAGCTAAAAACTTGTAAAAACCAAAATATTCTTTGGGGAAATGTCCTCTGCCTCTCCTTGCTGTGACATCTCGTTTAAGTCACGTGCTGTCTGTTTCGGTCTGAGAGGGGTGGGGCTTAGTGACTGAGCGTGTCTAGATCTGTGTTGTTGATCGGTTGGGAGTCTAGTATTAAGCTACCTGATTGGCTATAATGGAAAAATGCAATAAATTTTTTATCAAAGTTTCTATCAACCCATTTTTCTATGGCTCGACACATGATATGATGTATTGATATAATTATATATTCTGTACATCATTATTGATCCTTTGCACCGACGTCACCTAATCACGTGGGTCCACCATGCTGGACGGCAAAAGCATGTAAACAGTGAGCGACACGAGTACTAAACTAAGGGAAAAGTAGAGCCTGAAATTGTTTTTGCGATCAAAACAAAAACAAAACTCCTCCAGCATTCCTTCAACTAGTTCATGCTCAGTTCAGTTATCAGAAGAAGTAGCGCATCTAGCCGGGGCTCATAGAGAGCGGTATGCTAACTAGCTTACCAACGTTGGCTTACGTTCTCTCTGCAGCTGTTCACCGATGTAAACATGTTGCTGACTTTGCCTAAATTCACCCCGCTGGATTAATAACTTTATGTGGTAAACAGTGTTTTGCTTTACACCAAAGCTGATTTAAAAAAAAAGTCCGGATCCCTACTAGCTTCTGTTGCTGGTGGTGTTACTGGGTTCAGCTGCTCTCACACCGGAATGAGAAGATCTCTGAACGCTGACGCTCATATAAATAAATAATGTAATTTTAACACACGTAATCAATCATACATCAGAGCTTTAATATTGTTGATAATTATATCGCTTTACACTACAGTGGACGGAGCGCAGCCTCCGTGGTGAAATACCCATCCATCAGGATTATCAACAACTAGTATAAACAAACGCATCACATTTATCCCTGTCCCTGTCTTCCTCGTGAAATAAATTAACGTTAATCTTACCCAGTAAAAACATGTTCACTGCAAATCTGAGGGCTGCTAGTCCGCTTGATTGATCGCTGCAGTTCATCTCCATCCTCAGTCTCCATCAAAGTTATTAAAAACAAAACGAGTTGAGTTTACATCCTTGTCTGTTAGTGCAGCCAACTACGCAGCAAGCTAAAACCATTTTACTGTCAAATCAACTAAATAAAAGCGATAAAAGGCTACAAACTGGCTTGTTATGACTAGCTTCACTTGAATTTCAACGGGTGTAAACGTTTTTTTTGCCGTCCATCATGGCGAAGGGGGCGGTCACATGAGTGGCGTGAAGTCACGTGCAAAGGGTCAATTGAATTATTCCAGCCCTAGTACGATGTCATTTACTGCCTTGTTTGTAGTTGTTACTTTACATTGTGAATATTGTGAAGCTTGAATGGAAGCAAATTAAGAGTCAAAGTAATAGTGAAATTCATCCTTCCGCTATAAACCTTTGGTTGTGTGTTTCAGATCATTAGCAGAGAGACGGAGGAGACTGAGAGCGACCACAGGATCATAAAGAGGTGTCTTCGCTCCAGAGTGGCTAAATAAATCAATTCTCCTCTCATGATTTAACGGTCTGAACTAATGAAGGAGCCGTGTAATGTGGCACACACACATGTAAACATATATTTAGTTGATATATTGTTATTTTTTACTATTCTGAAACATGCTTTTGTTTTTGTTTAAACAAAAACACCTGAGTCTTAATGTGTGCATCCTAAAGACACATTAACTCACATTTACTCTACATCCACTACATTGTTCCTCGGAATCAGAAGCACTCCATTTAAACACTTTATAGCCACAAGGTTTATTCTTTTTAAGTGCAATTGTTTCTCTGGGTTGTGCAAAATTCAGTTTGTTCATTTTTACTTTTCGTTATGATTCCTCTGTAACGTAGGAAGTCTCAGTAAACTAGTAAATGATTTATCTTAGAGCTGCTGTTATTCAACGTTTCAAACAGAATTTCTGTTTTTAGTGTTTCTATTTTAATCTGCAGGATAATATTTGTCCTTGAATGTTTGACAGAATCTTAATGCCTCTCGGTTATTCCCATGTTTAACTAATGATCAGTTTAAATGATATAGCTGATTTTGGGTGGGTGGGGGGAGGGGGGGTGATGCTACACTGCTGTGATTAAAACAAGATCATATTTCTAAGCATATTACGTTTGTGTGTAATTCTTTTCTAATGTTGAACTTCTGTAACAGCTGAATAAATCTAGCAGCTCTGTGGCCTCTTCACACGTCTAGGGAGCCATATCATGCTTTTGAATTATTCCTTTTTGCATCTAAATTAGAGGTCGATCGATATTGTTTTTTATATTGCCAATACTGAAATGAGGTGGCCGTGGTCATCTGATAAGTGCTGCCGATTTTTTGGGCCAATTTCATGGCCAATATCTCGATGTTTGGCACCTTATCAGAATGCTTAATTATCACTAATAACTGGATGCACAAGATTTCTGAACCTAATCTGTTTTTAAACACTGAATTTAACCAACAATCTTACTTTTTTGCACTGCTCAGTGGTAAAATCAAACATAACAAAGCTTAATAAATAATACCAATAAACTGACCCAAGTGTTGACAAAAATAAACAACAACGAACAAGAATCTGCTTCTCGACCGGCAGAAAGAGAAGAAAAAAAAGGCAAAAAATAAACAAAAAAATGGGACACAACAACAATACAAGATCAAGTTATCACTGCATCAACTTGATGAAGAAATCTATAATCAACATTGTTTAACTGAACAATCACACAATAATAAATGACAGTGCATTAAGTGCCCACCATAGCCTAAAGACATGTGTTGAACGTGCCCAAATCCATACTTATGAGAGCACCATGTGAGCACCTGTGTGTACACGCGCTTGTTTATGTTTCTGTATAGCAGCGTCCAATAGAGTGTGTGGGGGGCCACAGATCTGCCCCCAAAGATATGCAGGAGACGGAGGGAGCTCCAAGTCCCAGAGATCCAGGAGTTCCCCCAGAGCATAGGAACTCCAGGGAGACTGTGACATACACAAACGCAGTCACACACTCCCTCCCTCATGCTCACACATACACATACAACCAAAGACTTACAAAAATACACGCCGGACACCCACTCACGCTCCCCATACACACCCTATTCACTCTTGTCCCGGTACTGCTGCACATGGGGTACAACCATTACCGGTTCCAAGAGTTCGACCCTTTCTGCTGCGGTGCTGATGAGCAGGCTCCCCCGCCCAACGCTGATCACAGCAATCCACCACCCCAGACCCCAACCGGACGGCCAGATCTCCCTTCTAGCCTCCAGCCCGAGGAAGCCAAGCAACAACAGAGGTGTGCTAAGACCCCTAGTCTCCCTCCGCCTGCTCCAATATGGTGTTAGTGAGTGTTGATGAGGTGTATTCCATGGCTGTGGTGAGCGGGCAGTGCGGGCATCATCTGGCCTATGCCAGCTGATGCCACCACACCACCCCGCTTGCACCCACAGCCCTCAGTGTCTAAATGCAGTTTAAAATTGGAAGTGGGCACTGGCACTTGGGATGAGGCTGAGAAATCCCCCTGCCAAATGCCGTTGGATGTGCTCACTCCTAAGGCCCTAAGTGTGTGTTTGCGTGGAATGTCGTTGGTGGAAGTGTTTAAGGTGCAGATAAAATTGGGGGGCAGGTTGCCACAGGAATGTGGAAATGGGGTCCATACCCGCACTCCCTGACTTGTCCACCCCCCAAGGTCCTATGTGCATGTTTGTGATGATGATGTGAGGGAGCAGGAGGAGAGAAATGTGTGGGGATTGGGAGGAATGGCTGGTTGGACTTAGCCCTCCAGGGAGCCAACTCCCCCAATAGGCATCTCTGTTGTCAAAATGCCACCCAGAGCATGGTGACCCCAGCCCATCCTGCCAGGGCCCAAAGCAGCAGCATTGCAGAGCCTCACAGAGTCCGAGGGCGCCAACCCAGCCCCACCTCAGCAGAATATCTACGCCCATCCCTGCATTTGCACAACTTCCGGACTATAAAAGACATAGGACATCCAGGTAAGGTTGGGTTCTAACCCCCCCCCCCCCGAGTTCCCCCTCACCCGTGATGGGACAGCAGAGGAGCCAAGGTCTACCCGAGGCCCCTGAACCTGAGTCTGGCACTGCTGCATGTTCCTGCCTTCTCCCTGGCAGCATGCATGTCAGGACCCAACCCCCAAGGTCCCGCCCAGATCCCCCCACGGAGCCGGCCAACCCCAAACCCCGAGCCCCCAGGCCCCCACCCAGACCCGCCCAGGGGATTTGCAGCCGCCGGGCAGTGACCCATGGCCACCGCCAAGACCTCCAAGGGGCCCCACTCACAACTGCCAGTAGTCCATCCCCCAAGGCAACCCAAGCACCTCCAGAGGGGGGCAACGGCCCCCCAGTCCCAGACACCCCCAGTGAACCCACCTCCAATGAATGTCCAGATACTCCAAACTCAGACCCTCCACCCCCTCACCCACATCATCCCGCAGGATAATATCAATGGTCCCCCGTCATCGCTATGTGATGGAACCGATCAAAGGAGCCCAGAGATGTTGATTTGAAGTGGAAGCAGAGGCTGTCTCGAGTGTAATATGATATAACAAAAGATTTCTATACTGGTTGATGCAAAGAGTATCTATTTCTCCAATTCAAGAGGATAGTTTTCTTAGCGGTGCATATGGCAGTCAGAACCACGTGAACCAAAGATGTTTCAATTGGGACATCGTCCAGGTTTCCCAGCAAACAAAGAGAGGGGGAAGTTGGGATATGACATTTCAGACACTTTGACAGGTCTTCACATACTCTACCCCAAAATTCCTGGACAGGTGGACAGGACCACAGTGCATGAATGTAATTGTCAGGAATGTTGTTTTTGCAGTGTGTACAGGTGTCAGACGACACAAACCCCATCTTGAACATCCGATGACCTGTATAGTGTACTCTGTGTAGAATTTTGTACTGAATTAATTGTAAATTGGAGTGTCTGATCATTTTAAAAGTTTTTAAAACAAGTTTGGGACCAGAAGTTCTGGTCAAAGCTGACTGATAGATCCACCTCCCATTTTTCAAAAGGGATTGCTGTTCTATCGTCTATTTTGGACAGTGTCTTATATACTTTAGACAGTAGTTTGGGGGGTTTGAGATTATAGAAGTCTAATACCCTTGGTGACGTTTGTAATTCTACTTTATTGAGCTTAAATTTTTGTTTGACTACAGATTTAATTTGGTGATATTCTAAAAAGCTATTATCTATTCCAAATTGGGAGACTATTCTGTTAAATGGGATGAAGTCCAATCCTTCATATATGTGTTCCAGGTATAGGATTCCTTTATTTTTCCAGTCCGGAAGGTTCATCATTTTATTATTTTGCAAAATATCAGGATTATTCCAGATAGGTTTGCGTCTGCATGGTATTAATGAAGACTCTGTCATTTTTAGATACTCCCACCATGCTGTCAGGGAGGTGCTGATATTAATACTTTTGAAGCCTTCATGTTTCCTTATGCTTGAGCTAATAAATGGTAAGTCTGAAAGCTCTATCGTATTGCAAAGTGTCTGTTCTATATCTAACCAGGACTCATCTAGTGGGTTATCTTGCAACCATCTTGGTATATATTGCAGCCTGTTGGCAAAGAAATAATAATAAAAGTTGGGTAAATCCAGTCCTCCTCTGTCTTTGCTCTTCTGAAGCGTTTTAAGCTTATTCGTGGAGGTTTATCCTGCCAAAGGAATTTGGTAGTTGAGGAGTCCAGAGATCTAAACGTCAGCTGGTGGTTTGTTTGGGATCATTGAAAATAAGTAATTTATTCTGGGTAAGACCATAATTTTAATTGTAGCAACTCTCCCCATGAGTGACATCGGTAAGGATTTCCATCTTGCAAGATCATCTTCCACTTTCTTTAAAAGAGGGATGTAGTTTAGTTTGGTTAGATCTGCCAGCTTGGGAGAGACATTAATTCCCAGGTATGTGATATTCCCTGACTCCAATTGTGTATTAAGTAAATTGACAAAAGAGAAATTAATTGGTAGAACTGTGGATTTTAACCAGTTTGAGTAATCTGAAACTTTTAAAAAAGTATCAATTCTATTGAGTGGGAGAGAGAGGATTGAGAATTCTGGAGAAAGAGTAAAACATCATCTGCATAAAGACTGATCTTATGTTCTATTTTCTTACACTTTATCCCTTTAATACCTGTTGTTTGCCCAATTGCTGCTGCTAGTGGTTTAATAAAGATAGCAAACAGTGAGGGGGAGAGTGGGCATCTCACATATGCATATATTTTTCTAAGTGTTGAACAGATTGACCAGACGTACCAGACTTGATTTGGAGTACCAGACTGCTGGAAGTCCAGCTGGTGCAGGAGTTGGGGCTTAATAGTGGGCTGCAAGGTTCGACTGGTGCACAAGTCCTCCATGCACATTCCTACATACTTGCTTTGAAACATTTTTGGGATCACGTGCACAAGAACGTTCCCATTCATTGCCCTGACAAATTAATTCTTCCATGTTTTGATAATTCCAAAACAATGGAAATCACTGTTTTTTGTTCAAAATGAGTCCATTATCATTTCAACCAACTTCTATTTGGTTATTCCCTAGTGCATATTCTCTAAATGATAAATGACCCGCACTTGTATAGCACCTTTCAGAGTAAGGACTCCAAAGCACTTTACACTACAGTGTATCATTCATCCATTCACACACACATTCACACCCTTGTGATGATGAGCTAGGATGTAGCCACAGCTGCCCTGGGGCGCGCTGACAGAGGCGAGGCCTAAATGCTTGGAGTGCTTGTGCTCCAGCCTTCACGTAAAACGAGCATGAAGGTTATGTTGTATCTGAACGATCTGCTCCTGTCAGCTCACTTCAGAGAGGAAGCGGTGATCCAAACAAGAACGCTAGCTCAACACCTGTCAAACATGCGGTTTCTGAAAACTGGGAATAGAGCTGTTACTCTATGCCAGCCATTTGGTTTTTTCTGAAAATGGAAATGGGTTCCTCACTCTTTTGAACCTGTCTCTCTCAAGCCAAAACAGACAGTCTCTCTATCGTGATCTCCAATGTAAAAGCTTACAGAGCTGTCGTGGCTCTGTCATTTATGAGACTATTGGACAGTGGGCTGGTGGCCCACACGGTGGTTCCACTTGGTTAATTTCACTCGAAACTACTCAGCGATTGTTCGCTCACCTTTGAGTGAAATTGATGCATATAAGAGGTGCTTGCTTCCAGTTCCTGCTTCAATGGGAGGAATCTTCATATACTGGGAATTCCCAGCATTATGACTGAAGGGATCTCCCTCGCTTATCTGACGTCATGCATTCCAGTGCTGACAGACATCTCCGTGGTGAGATGAAATAAACAAATAAAAATTCTAAACAGGAGGGGGGGGGGGGCATGCCCTTATCCCATACAGTGGTATTTCATTGGCCTCCCCATACATTTTCCCACAAAAACATGCTGGGACTAAATGTGATAAAACATTTTGTTATTCTGCTTCATGCATCATGTCATGGGCCAGGGGCTTATGGTTGGCAGCTGAAATGACATGCTTTGGGAGGGTTAGGGTTAGGTATTTTGGGGGGAGCAGGGCAGAGCCCTAACGAACCTGGTTTTCACTCAGGTGCTTGTCGCTCACAACTGCTTTGCTACTGACTCTAATTGGCATCCCAGAGGCTGTGTCACACCTCAGGATTTTGGTTGATGGCTGTCCTATCATCTCAGGCCCTAACCTGGCTTCATGCATAAAAGCATCACTGGACATTTCAGATCCAGGACTCTTCCCTGGATGGAGGTTTTCCTCCTCCAGACTATCCTGATGAGGAGGCCACTTTTCATGTACTCTGTCTGGTGAGCATTTTCATTGCTATGTCTAATGCACCATGGAGGTGCAGCGCTCACAGGGGTTGTTTGTGTATTACAGGGACTGTTCTGTCGGATGTCCTCTGTTGACCCAGTGACTTCACAATGCCTGTGTAAGTCTGTTTTTACTCACTTACACGTCTTCAGGTTGTAGCTGAGAGCGCACTCCACCATAGGGTTTTTTCCTGTTCTATGGTGCTGAGCAGAGGTGGAAAGTAACAAATTACATTTACTTTGTGTTACTGTAATTGAGTAGCTTTTTGTGTATTTATACTTTTTAAGTCATTTTTAAAGTCTGTATTTTTACTTTTACTTGAATATGTTTTTTAAAGAATTCTACTTTGCTACATTTTCAAACATGATTGGTCTGTATTTGTATAATGCCTTCTAGGGTTTTACAACCCCCAAGGAACTTGGGCTACATTCAGACTGCAGGCAAATCCGCATCAAATCCGATTTTTTTTCTCCACATGCGACCCTTATCTGATTTTTTATGATAGTCTGAACAGCACAGATCTGATTTTTTCAAATTAGTTTCTTGTGTAGTACTGATTCTGATACATATCTGATGTGTTTGAAAGCGACTGCAGTCTGAACAGTCATGTCGCTGTTACGGCAGCCGCAGTTTTTGAGTTTCGGAGATGTGCATCCACCACTTTTTTGTGCAGCACCTAGGACAGCTGCTTCCCTAAAGGCTCTGATCCAGGACCATGGACAGCGCCAGAGCTGGAGTCACTCACAGCTGGGCTGCATTCCCCTGATTGGCCTCTTCCTCTTTAAAAGCAGCCAGCTGCAGATCATCGGGGGAGAGGGGGAATGCTTGGTTGTTGCAGTAGCTTCTCCGTGCTTGACTTTGGTCTGAGCTTGTGATGAGCTTCTAGGTAACTTTTAACTCACATGAGTTTAGCGTTTTGGTGCCCTTAGTTTGTTTGTGATAACTTTTGGGAGTTTAGTCATTTCAGTTTTCTTGTCTTTTATAGAAGCTTTGTTTCAGTCACCATTTAGAACAGCATTTTGTTGACACAGAGACAATTTTGGGTTAGCTCCAGAGGGAGTTCAGTTATTTTGGGGTTGCTTGTCAGGCCTTTGATAACTCCTGTGCTAAGGGTAGTTAGTTTGGTTTTGCCTCTGCCTTTTTGGCATTTGAATGTAATTAGTCCGTTTGTTTTATTGCCCCTCCCCCCCAGCTGAGCCTAAAGAGGGGATGTAGCAGTCATGTTAAATCCATCTCCTTGAGTCAGCGGAGGTGAGCGTCGTGTGTTGACGTTACTGAGAATTGCTGACTGAAGGATTCAGAAGTATGTCTGAATATCCTGTTTTGTTTAGGAATTAAAATACAGGAGAGCATGAGAACGGGAGTGAGAGGTGCTGTTGGAGTAAAGCGTCTCACTGGTCTCAGTCTCTGTGAAGACAGGGGTGGGGGTCTCCGTGAGAACAGGGGTTTCTCCGTGAATTAACAAATCCTCCATAATTCTGCTATGAAATTGAAGCCAACAAGGAAGTGGTAAAAATTGCATTTCATCTCTCATCCGCTAGGGGCTGGTCCCAGAAGTGAGCAAATCCTCAGTGAAGCACAAGCCCAAGTGGTCCATCTGTACCGGGTCGGCCCGGGCCGGGTAGCCCCAGTCGGCCCCAGCCTGGTCCGGTTGATTCCACACATCCTTGCCTTAAGCCCATGTGGGCTGATTCTACCCACCAATCAGAGGCTTGCTCTAATGGAAGGTGTGAATTTGCTGTCAGCAGTGGGTGTGTTGGCCCTGGTTGGCCTGAAGCAGACCCCCTCGAGAAGAGGGCTGAGAATGAGCCTTGGTTTGCCCGGAAAAATACCAGGCCACCCAGATATGTAAACAACCTACGCTACCCGGCCCGGGCCGACCCGGTACAGATGGGAATGGCCCATAAAAGGTCTGTAAAAACACTCCATTCAGTGCAGTAATGTTATAAAAATATATTTACAAATGCACATCACGAAAGTGACATCATCAAACCAGACATGGATAAAAACTGGGAAAAAGGCTTTAAGTTCAGCGAACTTCAAATCCTTCCTTCAGGAGGAAGGAAACACCATTAATCTGGCCACGTGATAAGTAGCAGTTATGCTAGGGCAGAGGAGATTCTGGGGTGACGTCACATATGCAACGTACCGATGTCCAATTTGTAATCATGATAATTACAAACATTTACAAGCTGATAAATTTCAAAGTACGTGACAGGTGTGGTCAAAACACACGTCATCATTTTTCATTTAAAATGAAGTACAACAGCTGTGCGATACAGGGCGTAAGACCGAGCGGATTTGAAAACAGCTCTTTTAACCCATTAACTTGCATAGTTTTTTTGGGGGGTTCTTCCAGGGACCCATGACCCGACCGGAAAGGAAGGAGACTTATGGAAGAGAATGAGCCTCAGTTCTTAAAGATAATATGACACCACTAGCCATTGGATAACTACTCTGATGACATTCCATTTCTCATCTCATCTACCTACATGGGAGTGGAGTTTCCCCAAAGGATAAAAAATGTGTTTTGGGCGTTGGTCAGGAGGATATCAGGCTGGGCTTAAATCTCCTCCAGATGCATGCATGAATCTGTGCTGACATGGACTGGAATGAAATAAATGTTACCTTTTTTAATTTAAACTTTATCATTGAGTCACAGCTCATCATGAAAATTAACCACAATAGGATGGATGGATGGATAGATGGATAGATGGATAGATATTCCACATACATATTTTCTTCTATGAGCTGAGCTGAACTCTCTCTGATTTGTGTGACTGACTGGCTGAATGAATAACATCCTGTCAGACTAGACTTGGGCATGGACGTAATTTTCCCTTTAGAAGTGAGGGGGACACGGGGGGGGGGGTAATCTTTACAGTATGCTCTAATGGGAAACAGGCTTCAACACAAACATTTGTTTTCCGCTTGGTCCTAGAGCTCAACCAGTGTCAATTTAATATAGCGTAATGTTGGTTTTGGATGGTAAAAAGTGCAGGGGTCAAAACTTGACTTTGGAAAAAGTGGGGGGGACATGTCCCCCCCCCCCCCCCCCCCCCCCCCCCCCAAATTACGTCCATGGACTTGGGTATATATCCTGTGTTTTTAGAGTCTGACAACTGAATCTGTGAACGTTACTGACCTCCAAATGGGCTTTGGTCTCAGAACCTGAACCAGAATATGGCCTCTTGAGTTTCTACCCACCCTAACCTCAGTGATTCTTGTAGGCTAAATATAAATGTAATTATAATGTAATGATACAACATGTGACACATGTCATAAACTATGAAATAGTTTTAAAATCTGAATCAAATAAACTGAAACATCTATGTTTTGATTTCCTAAAAAAAATCGTATTTTATTGTGAAAGGAAAAAGCTGAGATCTGCTTCCGGTACACACCTGCTCGAGACCGGAAGTCCTACTCCAGGTAGTTCCTCCACCCTTTGACGCCTCCTCACACACCAGATGAGTTTAATAAAAACACAAAATATAAAAACATATAGAACGAGTCTTTAAATGTTGGTTAATTATTTCTGTGGTTTTTAGTTAATGCAGGTGGTATTTTCCTTTGCTTGTGTTTATGTCAGCTGACGACATGTTTTTCTGTTCAGTTGGTGTTTAAGTTTTCTTATAATAATAATAATAATAATAATAATAATAATGATAATTATGATAATTATAATAATAATACGTTAATGATAACAACAGGCCAAATTGCAGACGTTGGCAGGTGAGTCCGGGTCCGGTTCCGCCCTCAGCTGATGACGCTTCTCGTGCCTGACGTGCAGGAAGTTCGGTTTAAGGATTTGACAGAACCGGATCTGGTCTCCGAAGAGCTCCAGCATCTGGAACAGAGATCATCAACCCGCCTCAGACCGAAAAAAAGGATCCCGGTGGACAAAGGAGCGGTTCAAGCGAGGTCTAGTTCCGATCGGAGACTGTGGTTCTTTGACCAGAACCAGAACTGGCCCTCCTAGGATTATCTGGCCTGACATCACCGGGATGAATCATCTTCATCTTGCTCATCACCAGGGTGGTTCGGAGATGCTGTAACGGAACCTTCAGAATAGACCTGCGAGGCCCAACGCAGGTGGTCCGGTCTGACTAAACCCGGTTCGGCTCTATGATGGAGGAGATCCTCCGAAAGCTGCAGAAGGAGGCGTCCGGTCACAAAAACAAAGGGATCCGAGACGCGTGCGGGTTCGCCTGCGGTGAGTCTGTCTGCGGTTCCGGTATCGGTAATAGCGGGCTTTGGGGGACCACAACATGATTTAGAGGGTTCCAAACATTCTGTTTGGTCCAAATGGGCTCAGCTGAGCAACTGTGAGTCACACACAGCAACAGCCCAAGTTGTCTCTGAAACCCAACTGGGTTCGGTTCGGTTTATTAGAACTTCTCCAGGTAAAACATTTGGCGGTTTGGCTTATTTACTTTAAATCAGAACCAAACCAAGGGCCCATTTTGGTCTGCGTTTTCCGAAGCAGAGAGTGAATGGCTATTGCAGTCCCACCTTCATCCACTCCCTAGTGGATGAAGGTGGGACTGCACCAGATCTGAGCAAATCCCAGTTTCACAGCAGAAATAAACATGTTTACAGCCTGGTCCAAAAACCCATTTCAGATTTAATAGATCTAGTTTACATGCATGACAACTCTGAGGGGGCGTTTTTTTCTAACTCTTTAAGTGTAATTAAATGCTTAAAAATCTGAATAATTAATGTGCATTAAACGTCTGTTTCATTGTAGATTGTAGATTTTGGTTCCTTTGGCATATTTCACTTTCAGCCTGGCTGTTTATAAAATTACAAACCTTAAAGTTCAAAGATTTGATAGAATTTAGGACTGCATTATTTATGTACAAAGTTAAAAAAAGTTACTGCCTGAAAATATTTTAAATCTGTTTGCAGAAAGACGAGGTGAATATAGGGTTGAGAAGGGAATTAAATTTGAAGCAGCATTATGCTCGAACAAAATTGAAAAGTATGTGTATTTCAATTAGTGGAGTTATTTTATGGAATACTCTTGAGGAAAGAATAAAAGAAAATTTAAATATAGTGCAATTTAAGAAATTATATAAAGAATTTTTTCCAGACAAGACGATCACATGTTTGTAAATGTACTAGTGATAATATATATTAACGTTTTTGTAATTGATGTTGATACTTTTGAGTTGTTGTATTGTGATGTTGTGTTCAGAAGTTGTTGTATTCTGATATTTTAATTTTTTTAAGTATGAGCAAATTGATTTAGGGATAGGTGAAATAAGCTATGCTTCCTATTCCTTTTCGATCAATTATGGTTGTGATAAGTTGTCTAAGTTGGAAATTATTATATGTATTGTTGTATTTGTTTGAAATAAATAAAGAAGTCAGTTTAGTTTATTTTCACATTATTAGCACCTAGCTTAGCCAACATGTGGTGATAAATGCATAAACTCGCTTTAAACACAAGAAATCATTCATTTTGTTTTCCAACGTAACTCGACAACTACATTTAGTTTTGAAAGTTTGGTAAGATCTCCAGGCTGCCATGGATATTCTATAGGTGCGCACAAGTCGCCATTGTAATGAACGGAGGAACCAGGGAAATGAGGAAGTGTGGCAGTTCAGCGTAACAACCGCATGGTTCTTTCACTGCTTTTGGTTCGAAGTGTTATTGGTGGAAGTTTTTAGACAAATGCGAGAAAACAACTTCATTCATTTTTTCAAAAATTTTCTTCTTTCCACAATATGTTTATAGCCATAAAATGTCAGAATATTTTTAATAATAATAATAATACATCAAACTTGTATAGAGCTTTTTAGGACACTCCGAAACGCTTCCATGCACTCTTACATTCACACACTGCCAGTGATGGTAAGCTACTTTGTAGCCACAGCCGCCCCGGGGCGGTCTGACAGTGGAGAGGATGCCATTTGGTGCCATCGGCCTCTCTGACCACCACCAACACCGGTAAGTTGGGTGAAGTGTCTTGCTCAAGGACACAACAGCAGGATACCCCTGGTGGGAGCTGGAATCGAACCCATGACCCTCCGATCATGAGGCAACCTGCTCTACCTCCTGAGCTACTGCTGCTCCTCACACTGTCCTATCGGGTGACCCCTCCAGGAAAGGTGACCGTTGACCCGGTCTGATGGTTTATCCCTCGACGTCCATGTGGCAGGGGGGAGGTGGTGCTCACTTCTCACCCCTGCCACGTGGACCTCAAGGGATAAACCATCAGCCCGGGTCAACGGTCACCTTTCCTGGAGGGTTAGGTTTAAGAGACATGAAAAATGTTTCAGTCTAATTTGTTTTCTAAATTAGTCATTGCAGCTGCAATATGAACAGTCAGTCATTGCAACATTTTCCAATTTTTTTCTGTTTAATTACAGAAACTCTGGAGTCTCACAACGAATCAACCAGGATTTCCTCCTCACAGCTCCGGTGAGTTTCACATTCATCCTCATTCTTTCGGAGCACTTATTTTACTCTTTATTTATTATTTATACATGAACACAGTAAACAAAAAAAAAGGTCATTAACAGGAACAAAAACAAAACGTAGGGGTATCAACTATCATGTCGTCAGTTAGTTTCTCACAGGGTCTATTTCTTCAAACACTTATCAAAGGTGTTCATTTTGAGTCTCCGCTTAAAAGTCAGCTCTTCCCTTCTATATATTTCGGCCACAATCTCCTTCCACTGACTTGCTCCTGGTGGGTTTGTTTTATGCCAGGTCCTGGTGACGGCTTTCTTAGCGAACGCAGTCATTATTTTAAAGGTGCAGATGTCCTCCCTTCTTATCAGCCTGTCTGGAATCAGACCACGATGTAGCAGCCGAGGATCCCTGGGTCGTTGCGGGAGCTCCTCTATCGATTCAATAACTTCAGACCAAAAGGGGTGTAATTTGTCACATGACCAGAAAACATGTGGGGGATTTACATTGATGTGTCCACACTCCCTCCAACATTGCTGTACCACTTTAGTCTGTTTATTTTTTATGGGGTGTGAGGAAACACCTTATTCAATTCTTCCATCGATCTTCTCTCCAGGATCTAGAGCCGGTAGAGCTAGAATGCGTTTTACACATCAAATTCATTCTCTGAAATCCCATCTTGTAGTTTCCTCTCCCATTTGATTTTAATTTGGATTGATTTATTTCCATTACAATCTTGAATATCACTACAGTGTTTTGAAACTTTCATCTTCGACGGGTTTGTGATTTATTGAGTCTAATAAGGCTTTTACTAGCTTATTACATGCAGACGGTTGCTGCAGTTTTCCCTCAGTGTTACAGAAATGTGTAATGTAACAAGGCTAAAGGCCTGTAGTTCATCAAATTGCTGAAAGTTAACTTTCTCAAACATACAGGTTGTGACAGCCTGACACAGGAGATGTTGATTATGAAAAACGCATCCATTATTCAGTACCTCCAGACTCCTGATGCCTCTGAGGACACAATAATCTCTATCTATCTCCTTTTAATGAAGTTACCTTTTGTTTTTGGCTCATAGAATAACTTTTCTAATTTTAAAAGGTCTTTACAATCATAATCCTGTGGTACCTACAGTATGTCAGTCTGCCTCACTGAAATCTTGTGGCGTACAATGTGCCGCCTTTCTGGAATTCTCACAGTGTGACCTGAACAATCCTGTGCGACAGCCAAAAACAGCATAGTGTGATCTGGGCATTACTCAGTGTAGGTATTTGGCTGTGGCTCCTTTTCTTGCAGCTTCATCAAGGTGTAGCATAGCTCAAGGCATGTATTTAATCGAAAGTGCTTGTGGGATACTGAGGTACTTTTAGCTGTCCTTGATGTCTGCTGTTGTTCCTTGTGGGAGTAAGACCCCTTCTTCTCCTTTTGCCCTGCCACTTTAGCTGGTTGGGTCGAGAAGAGCCGGTTTATTCATCTGGCTTCACTTACTCTCGTGTATCTCTTTAGGCGACTGGCCAAGGCTTGGAGTCTTTGTTGGGCAGTTTCCAGTGCTTCAGAATAGAATAGAAGAAGAATAGAATAGACTTCATTGATCCCACAGTGGGGAAAATCACTTGTTACAGCAGCACCCGCACTTAAGGGAATAATCAGAAGAAAAACGATAACAAAGGTACATGTGTGCACACATAGGCAGTAGTCTAGAATTGTAACCTTCGACCGCTAAAAACCACAAATAAAAAAGGAAAAAACTTTGGTTCCTACACTCTGCAACATACTGCAAGAGACATGGACACACTATGTAAATTAGTATTATTCCTTATATAGGAAACCTTTTTTCTGATTGGCTGAATGAACTGACCTGAATTGGAATGTTTATTATGTGAAGTGCCTTGAGATGACTCTTGTTGTGATTTGGCGCTATATAAATAAACTTGAATAGAAAATTGCATGTAAAGCTGGTATTGAACGAGTACTGAACGCATACTGAATATTGCATTGGTGTTATTGTGTAACAGGATAATGCCAGTACGCCTTAAACTAAGGAGTTATACACTCTTACTGCAGAGGGGATGAATGATCTACGGTAGCAGATGGCTCAGTCTTCCCCTGAAGGAGCTGTCCATGGTCTCCACAGTGGAATGCAGTGGGTGGGTGTTTTTTTAAGATTGTGGTCATCTTCCCCAGCGTCCTCCTTTCACACGTCTCCTTAACTGTATCCAGTGACTAGATAGATAGATAGATAGATAGATAGATAGATAGATAGATAGATAGATAGATGATTGATAGATGGAAAGCTTCAGGTATGGGTATCTGGCTGCAGCTCTTGAGCCCTGGTTTTCTCATTTAACCTTGCTGACACCTGGCTCACTTCTCTCTGTGTTGCCTCTAACCTTCTCTTCTATGGTGGGTTTCACATGGTTGCTCTTGCACTTATAGCCAGGCATCTCAAGGATCATTGCTGCTGAAGTGTATATCAGCTCATTGGTTTCAGTGATGTTGGTTGTAGGAATTGTTCTCAATTATTCACATCTTCAAGGATTTCGGATGGTACTTATCTCAGCCGTTGTAGTTGCCGTTGAGGTTGCCTGGTGTCCATTTGTGCCATTACCCTGTCTCTCAGTTCAGTTGCTGCCTCCTTTGGTGTTGTTTCACTCATTGGGGCTTCATACCCAGTCTCTGGATGGGGAGTTGATGTTAACTCAACTGAGATAAACTTGATCCAACATTCTTAGCAAATCCTGCGTGAGTATTACTCATGTATTCCTGCATGAGTCCTCAAGGCTGCAAGATGCAGGCCTCCTCATCTTTTACCCTCTGAATAAAATCTTCCCTGACATAAATGACTTTAAAACTTCATATTCTGTTGGATGAACAATTTGTTTAAAACCAAAGTGATTCATTAATGTGTCCTATACTTTACAGTGTGGGTTAAAATGAATATTTTCCTGTAATGATCTTAAATTACACCAGATTATTATTTGTTGATTTATTGTTAATCTATCAGTATATTCTCACCTCATAATATTAATAATGTTAAAACATTTGTGCTTCTTATAATCTGTTTAAAATTTTCACTTTACATAACTGTTATAATATTTGAACTTCACACTAAGAGTTAACTTATCTGAGTATCTGAGTGAGGGAGTGATTCTTAGAGGGACTACTGGTAAGCCCTTTAAACTTCTCAAATGCAGCTTTGTCTAAATTTGTCAACAACAGTTGATAGGGATCAGGAAGTGATACCCCCAAGGCACTTGGGCAGTCATTCACCCATTCACACACACATTCACATGCTAGTGGGGATGTGCTACAATGTAGCCACAACTCCCCTGGGGCACACTGACAGAGGCGAGCAGCTCTTTGTCTTACTCTTTGTTGGACTCTTGAAATGACAAAAGTCTTACGCCATCCTCCTCACCAAATCAACACTGGCTCATGATCAGTTTATCAGTGGAGAATGGACAGGTTTTCCTCATAATAACAGTTTTGGTGGCTCTGATCTGTGTTTGTCTTCAGAGGACGATGTCTGCTGCCTCTCCAGATGGCTCTGGAGTCCAGGAACACCAAACTGGGACAGACAGCTCTGGCTGGCATGCAGGTTCAGGATAACCCCACATCTCTCCTTTCATCTGAACTACCGTAATTTCCGGACTATAGAGCACACCTCAATAAAAGCCGCACCAACAAAAAAAAAGGGGTTTTCTATACACACACGCCGCACTCGAATACAAGCCGCGGCGCAGCAGCCACATGCGGGTCTCCGGTGCACAGCGCATGTACGGCCATAACATAAGATAATTAGACAGAAAAACGCTACACAAGTTTTTCGTTGTTTTAATTCAACAAAACAAATTTTAAACACGGGTGAACGTGCCTGCAAGTTTAGAAAAGAAAACAGCACTGATAGCATTCATATTTCTGGATGGTTATAAAATAAAAACAGAACTGACACGTTATTACCGGTAATTTGCATGTTTAGAAGAAAAGAATAGCGCTGACACAGCATTAATAAGCCCTGGATGATTAGAAAATAAAAACTGCACACAAAACATGCCTGGTTAGTAAATAAAACACACTTGCCTACCAGAAAAAGTCATTCGCTCTCATCTTCCTATTGCGCACTAAAGCCATTAAAGTCCTCTTCTTCAGTGTCGGAGTTGAACAGCCTCAGAAGAGCTTCGTCACATACCTTTTCTGTGGCGATGTCAGCGTCGCTGTCCGTGTTGCTGTCATCATCCCCGGGTGAAGCTGGCTTGAATGAGTTCTTCCCGCTGCCGTCTCTAGCGCCGAACCATGGATTCATTCATGCCAAGCTTACGTGCGGCAGCACTGTTTCCCTCCTTTACTGCCAGATCGATGGCCTTCAACTTAAATGCGGCAACATATGAACTCATACGTGTAGTTTCCATGATGAGGGGGGTATGGATTTAAAAAAAAATCTTCGTCGTGCCGGCTGCTTGCATGTGCTAAATTAAAATGAGCACTTTCTTCGATTTCCACTTTTGACTTCCACCTGTTTCACTTTCTGCTACAGCGCCCCCTGGCAGGTGAAAGAAAATATTCAGTAAAGCCGCACCTCATTATAAGCCGCATGGTTCAAAGCGTGGGAAAAAAGTAGCGGCTTATAGTCCGGAATATACGGTACATCAACTCCTAGCGTTAAGTGTGATCTGTGTGTCTCCATCAGAAGCTCCTGTGTGATGACCGGTTCCTGGGCGGGGTTGGGTCTGAGGTGGAGCTTCTGGAGAAACAGTTGCTCAGCCAGATGTTGGAGGCTCTCAGAGTCACGCCCACTCTCCATGAGGACCTGCAGGTGGAGGTCATGAAGGTGAGATCTGCAACCAGGGAAGTGATGAGACAGGATAATGTAATGTGGGCTCATAGATTCCAGGTTCTGGGCCCCTTAAGGTCCGATTTAAAGTTCAGTTTGTCTTTCACTCAGTGTGTGTGTGTGTGTGTGTGTGTGTGTGTGTGTGCGCGCTTGTTTAAGTGGACAAATTTTGACTTTAACCTGTAACGTGTGAACATTTTTACATTGTGGGGACATTTTACTGATCCACACTGAAGCACCCTAAAAGCTGGTTCTAGAGGTTTGGTGTGTATTAATTCTTAGTTGAAGTTAGTTTAGGTTAGGGTTAGGAATAGAACCACAGTGGGTGAAGGGATATTCCACCCCAAAGTCAAATGTTGTCTGTTGACATATTTTCCAGAGTTAGGTAATTGGGAAAAAATAATGTTTAACCAGCCCTGTCATTCTCCTGACCCGGCTGTACTCCTTTCAGTTTAGCTTAGTATAGCTAACAGCATGTGCATCTGTGTTTAGAAACAATTGTCTTTGGGACTGCCAGCGGAGGCTTACAGCTGTGCTTTGTCATAATGTAGTCCCAAGTCTAAAATGGCACCTATGATTCCTTTAGGCTACTTATTATTTTCACTTGCAGTCAGTCTGATTTATTTAAATCACTAAGCAGAGTTGGGACACTACAGTAGATTTTAGAGATTTTTTTTACTCACAATGCTAGTTGGAGCCATTCAATGTTTCATACTAAGCTAAACTGAAGGGAGTAAAGCCGGGTCAGGGGAATGATTGGGCTGGTTAGATACGTGTTTTTTCCCACTTATCTAACGCTGGGGAATACCGTAAATCCTCTTAATACAGGCCCGGTCTTTATTTGCGTAAGTGCATCCTGGTTCAGGCCTTTATTGGAAGGGGACCAGAATTAGAGACAGGCCTCAATTTCCATTTGGGCTAAATAAACGACCAGTAGAATGGATAAAAACAAGATTTTGTATTTACTTCAAACTATAAAACAGGTTTGTTTATTGAAAATGTACAGTACATATGCATATAGAACATTTACAACAAACTGTTGTTTCAGGATAAATGCCACTATGTTAACATAGCAAACATGCCAGTAGTGCATTGTAAACACTTGGTGATAATTGGGTTGATTCACAACAAAAGGCAACAGACACCTTAATGCTGCAAAGTTTAACCGTTCGTGTCTCGTTTGGTTTGAAGTAAAATAATCTTCCTTTAGTAAGCTTTACCTGTGATGAAATGATCACTGCTAGCTGTAGCATTTTCTGTTTCGTTTCTGCTCATCTTACAAAGACCATGATTCACTATTCCGTCTTCGTCCAGTAAGTTAAGTCCTTTGTGGGGCACTACTTTCGGGACACGAAAACAAGAACGTTTGTTTTTGTCCTGATCGCACGGAATTTGGCTATTTTTACACCCAGTCAACAAAGTAAACACAACCTGGGGTAAACCGGAGGCAGTATTGAGAAGTGAAGTGGTCTCACACGACGTGCCGCACCGCGCCACTGAGCGCTACTTGGAAAGTCACGCGATAGTCACGACATCACGCGGGACTTGAAAACAGGAAGCGGGAAGTGACTCTATTGTTTATATGTGATCAGACTTGCCGTTGTGTTTTGTGAGACTAATTTATTAACAGTGGGAAAGTATGCTATTTATTAAAATATTTTAAAATCAGTCGTACTTTAAAGTTATCAAAATTGCTGTTAGGTTAGTGCCGTAAAGCCGGCCACCATTAGAGCCCGGCCTTTATTTACCCTCCCTGAAAGTGAGACCGGTTAATGTAGGAGAGTTGGCCGGTAAGGGAGTGCAGGCCAATATTAGAGGATTTATGGTATGTCAACAGACAACATTTCAAATTTGGGTGGAATTTCCCTTTAAGGTTATGGTTAGGGTCGGGCATAGGAGTCACTTGTTACAACCCGATCTAGGAGTTGATTCAACAAACTGATTTATTTAACAAAACTAAGGATTGACTAGTTCAGTTATTAAACAGAAATAATGGCCAGTGAGGACTCTCCACCCAACAGGCTCACACACTAAACTGAATGCAAGTCAGTGGAGGTCTACACAGTCATATAAATACAAGTATGCGTGCCTGTGTGTCTCTACTCAAGGTTTGTGTGTGTGTGTGTGTTGTGTGTTGTGTGTGTGTGTGTGTGTGTGTTTTGTGTGTGCGTCTACTCAGGGTTTGTGTTTGTGTGATTACTCAGGGTGTGTGTCTATTTGTGTTTGGATCTTTCGTGTGTGTATCTTACTTGTTTGCTGTGTGTTCAGGTCCTGCTGTGCATCACCTACTCACCAAGGTTTGACATCAACGGAGAATCCATCCTGCGGCTCTCTCAGGTAAAATCTTCAGAGTTCATAAAACTCTCCAGCTCCACTTCAGCTGCTGAGTCAGCAGAACTGATCTGATATTCCTCAAACAGACCAGTCATCACTAACCAGTGTATTTATTACCTGTCAGCATCAGAACCTCCAGCTGGATCTCTTTGTTTTCTCTATAATATCAAACAGTTTTATTTAAAGGTTCCATATAATGGAAAATCCACTTTTTGTCATTTCCTCATTAAAAATACCCCCACACCCATTTTTGGCTTTATTCAAGCATTTTCCTGTGTCATTTGCAAATTTTCAGATTCTGAGGATGGACCTGCAGACACGAGGAGGGGAAGCTAGTCTCGGCAATTTAGGTCAACTGCGACTGTGCATGATTTTTGTCAAGCTACTTAAGCTTTAAACTAGAGGCTGCTGTTGCAGCCTCCAGGGTGGCCTTTTATTGTGGGCAGTATAAGGTACACCTGTGCACTACTCATGATGTCGGATCAGCATCTTGATGTGGCACACATGTGAGGTGGGATGGATTATCTCCGCAAAGCAGAAGTGCTCACTATCACACATTTAGATGTGATTTGTGAATAATGTTTGAGAGAAATGGTAATATTGTGTATCTGGAATGAATTTTAGATCTTTAAGTCCATCTCATGAAAAATCAGACCAGAAACAAAGGTGTTGTGTTTATATTTTTGTTTAGTGTATAAAGCTTACAGCAGCTCTGGATGCTAATATTCTCCCAAATCATTCATAATAGATTAAGTTTGATCACACGATAGTTTACTGTTAACTTCTGTTGACAAAAATGTGAGCTCTTGACAACAAACGCTCTCCCTCTCGGTTACCATGGAGACCCATTTGCAGCACACCCACCACCGGTTTTGTCCTGCACTCGCTTCATCCCGCCCTTCTTGCTCTTCATGTTGATGCTCGTTTTGTGAAACATCATCAGTGATGTCCTCATTCATGTTTCACTCTGGTTCAAAGTGAAAAGGCTGAACAGATGACATGTTGATGTCGCTGAACAGTCACTACAGGGTCCCAAAGCCGGCCGGTGCAACTAAGGTACAACAATATGATGTCACTACCCAGAGTGCAGTGCGGCGCTAACAACAATGGTGACCTACGAGTTAAACTATTTTACAATTTTAAAAAAAATATAGACATTAAGTTTTTTTACACGCTTAAGATGCGTTACCAAAATACCTCAGAAATCACACCCACACTCAGATCCTCAGAGAGGTTAGTTCTCAGTGTGAAGTGGAAATGTTTTAAACATTTATGTGAAGTGAATGTTAAAACCTTAATATTAGTCTTATGATGTATGAGTACGCTGATAGATTAACTTGTTAACTCAACAAACACTGATCCGGTGTAGTTTAAGATCTGAAATGGATCAATACAGGAAAAATATTCATTTTAACACATCATTGATTAATGCACACATAATTAAACACTTCGGGATTTAACAAGAGATGATTATATGACATTTATGCACTTCTTGTTTGGAGGCCAGACAGATGGGATGTTTGTGTTTGCAAATTAAAAGTAAATACTGGCCTTTGGATATGTTGCACTGTTGGTGCCATATTTGTTTTCTGTGGGACCTTCTGGCCTGGTACATCTTGTTACTGCTGCTCTCATGTCTGGTCACCATATCAATCTGTGACTCCATAGAAACTTCATATCAATCTTCCAGATGGTTCAGACCTCACAGTGAAATGCCCACTGATTGTCTCTCTCTCTCTCTCTCTCTCTCTCTCTCTCTGTCTCTGTCTCTGTGTGTGTGTGTGTGTGTGTGTGTGTGTGTGTGTGTGTGTGTGTGTGTGTGTGTGTGTGTGTGTGTGTGTGTGTGTGTGTGTGTGTGTGTGTGTGTGTGTGTGTGTGTGTGTGTGTGTGTGTGTGTGTGTGTGTGTGTGTGTGTGTGTGTGTGTGTGTGTGTGTGTGTGTGTGTGTGTGTGTGTGTGTGTGTGTGGTTGTCCCAGGTGTGTATTGAGACCTACATGTCCAGCTGTCACCAGCGCAGCATCAACACAGCAGTGAGGGCCACGCTCAGCCAGATACTGGGAGACCTAACGCTACAGCTGCGGCACAGACAAGAGGTCAGATGGGACACATTCTGTACAAAACAACTTACAGCATAAAACAAGATGTGGTAGATAACAATCACACAGGATGAATCATTCGCTGCACACCATGAAATAACCACTCGTTACAACCGAGGAATGCACCTTGTTGAATCAATGCCACGTAGAATTAAGGCAGTTCTGAAGGCGAAAGGGGGTCAAACACAGTATTAGTATGGTGTTCCTAATAATCCTTTAGGTGAGTGTAGGTGTCAGGTTGCTGCAGAAAATGTTTTCAGAAAAAATTGTACAGCAGCAGCATTCCATTGAGGACTGAAGTGAGCTTTCAAAGCCTTAACGGCGTCCTCCATAGTAGTAACTTCATCTAGTAGCTTGTAAAGCAGACGTCCCACGGTCCCAAGCATGCGCAGGAGAAGCCGTTGTTTTCTCTCCTCAAGCCGTCATCTCTCAGCACAGAAAGCGCCAACAAGTAATTTCACAACATTTGCTCCCATTTTTCCAGCAGTATGGTACGATCACCCAGACATGGCAGGAAGGGGTTGTAGGGACAAAAGTCTATTGTTGCAGAACTTTGTTGATGTAGAATGTCGCCTTTTTAGCCCCATTGCCAATTATTATGTTTTGCAGTAGGTGAGGAGCAGAAACTGTATTTACAGTCGGAGGAAAGCGGCTCATGTAATCATTCATGACATCATGATGGTGGGTGTACCAAAACGCTGGGCTGACCTGTGTCACAGAGACTTGGCTGGATAACACTATCGCAGATTCACAGCTCTCCCTCAGCGGCTTCGGGACTCCAGTATGCCTGGACCGAGACGTCGGGAACAGTCAGAAAAGACATGGGGGCGGGGTCTGTGTGTACATCAATCAGGCGTGGAGCAGAACAGCCACTGTAGCCGACTCTGCCTGTACAATGCTGGCACTAACTTTTAGACCCAAGTATCTCCCCCCGCGAGTTTGGTCAGCTCACCTTAGTGCTTGTTTATGTCCCCCCATCGGGTAATGTGTTGCGCGCATCAGAGACCATCACATCATGTGTTCAAAGGCTGGAAGGTGCCTCCCCCGACTCACCCGTGTTTGTCCTTGGGGACTACAATGGCTGTAGACCGAATAAAACTCTCTCAACCTAACAACAGCATGTCACCTGTGCCACCTCGCTAACTCCTGTGCAGGGGCAACGGTGGCACAGGAGTTAAGTGCTCGCCCCGTAATCGGAAGGTTGCAGGTTCGAGCCCCGCTCAGTCTGTCGCTGTCGTTGTGTCTTTGGGCAAGACACTTAACCCACGTTGCCTGCTGGTGGTGGTCGGAGGGACCGATGGCGCCTGTGCTCGGCAGCCTCGCCTCTGTCAGTACGCCCCAGGGCAGCTGTGGCTACATTGTAGCTCATCCCCACCAGCGTGTGAATGTGTGTGTGAATGGGTGAATGACTGATTGTGTTGTAAAGCGTCTTGGGAGGTTCCAGGACTCTAGAAGGCGCTATATAAAATACAGACCATTTACCAGAGGCGATAAAACAATCGACCTCTGTTATGGCAATATTAAGGACGCATTCAGAGCCTATAAGAAGCCACCACTCAGCACAGCAGACCATAATATCATCCACCTAGTCCCAGCATATCGCACCAAGCTACAGAGAGAGGGTGTTGTGAAAAAGCACATCCAACAGTGGAATAGTGAGGTGCCGGACACTCTTCAGGCTTGTTCTGATTGTACTCTGTGGGAGGAGCTGACCACAGGCAACACCTTAGAGGAAGCTACACATGTAGTATCATCTTACATCTCCTTTTATGTGGACATGCTGGTTCCCATGACGGCAGTTAAAATGTTTTCAAATAATAAGCCCTGGATCACTAAATCACTTAAAACTACTCTGAATCAAAAGAAAGTAGTTTTTAACTCGGGGAACAGACTAGAGGGTAAACTTATCCAAAACAAACTGAACAAGGAAATCAAAGCGGCTAAAAGGGTCTGTAAAGACCGGGTGGAGAGGCTTTTTAACCACGGTAGAGCCAGGGATGCTTGGCAGGGGGTGAAAACCCTGGCTGGGCTCCCTTCTAGAGTGACATCATCTGGGCTCCCTGCAGAGGCGTGCGTTCGCATGGCAGACCACTTAAATAACTTTTTCTGCAGGTTTGATCAACATGACTTTACCCAGGAGAGGAAGCAGCTTGTGGCAGAGCTAGCCACTTTGTCCCAAACCGTTGAGAACCTGCAGCTCCTGCCTGTGGACATGGAGAGCACACTAAAGAGGATCAACCCCAACAAGGCCTCAGGACCAAACAGGATCTCTGGTCGTCTGCTGAAGGTCTGTGGCAGTCAGCTGGCTGGAGTTTTCTGCTCCCTGTTTAACCGCTCGCTAGCTGAGTACTCCATCCCCTCCATCTGGAAGTCCTCTATCATCTGCCCCTTGGCAAAGAAGAACAGCCCAGGCATCAACAGTGACTTTTGACCTGTAGCCCTAACATCACTGGTCATGAAGACCTTTGAGAGGCTCGTAATGGCCCAGCTGCTGGTTAATGTGGGTGCATGTTTGGACCCAGTGCAGTTTGCATACCAACCACACAGAGGGGTGGATGATGCTGTACTAACTATGCTGCATGTGACCCTCACCCACCTGGAAAAGCCAAAGTCACTTGTCAACCTGGTCTTTGTGGATTTCTCTAGTGCATTTAAAACAGTACAGCCACATCTTATGGGACGTAAACTGCTGAACCTGAATTTTAACCCTCATCTCATCCTCTGGGTCCTCGCCTTTCTCACAGGGAGGGAGCAGAGGGTCAGGGTGAACGACCATCACAGTACTGTCAGGTCACTCTCCACTGGTTCCCCACAAGGTTCAGTCATCTCTCCACTCCTGTTCATCTTATACACCAATGACTGCAGGAGCACAACCCCAGGAATCACCTCCATTAAATATTCAACGACACACTGATCATGGACACTACTGACACAGAAGGAATGCTGCAAAAAGAGCTGGACTCTTTCTCACTTTGGTGTACAGTGAACTGCCTGGACCTAAACATCTCCAAGACCAAAGAAATAGTCATTAACTTCAACCGTGGCCCTTCTCCATCCATCCCTGCACTCACTGTTAACAGCCAAATTGTTGAAAAGGTTCACTCATACAAATATCTCGGTTGCATATAAGACGACAAACTCACATTCCAACACAATACTGAACACATTTTTGCTAAATGTCAACGGCGCCTCTATTTTCTACGAAAACTCTGTAAACTTCAGGTCCACCAAACCATCCTTGCTGCGTTCTATAGATGCTTTATCGAACCAATTCTTACATTCAACATTTCTGCCTGGTTTGGTTCACTCACAATTGCTCAGCGTGACATGCTCAATAAAATAATCAGGATAAGCAGTAAACTCATCGGTCAGGAGCAGCAGTCCCTTACCAGCACACACAACACTTCAGTTCTCAGAAAAGGCACATAGATCTCCACAGACCCGTCACATGCTCTCCACTCCCATTACACCCAGTTAACATCAGGCCGGCGGTTCAGGGCCCTCCCAGCGAAGACAAGAAGGGCCTCCTCCAGCTTCCTTCCCTCTTCAATCCGCCTGTTAAATAGCATGCCCCAGCAAAAAGGACTGTGACCAACACTACGGTAAATCTAGATTGAACTGGTAACCTTTTATTATCATATTCCTTATTTAAATTCCTTTAAGTGTATGTAGATGTGAGTAGTCTTTTAAATTGAGTGTATGTGTATGAGTGTTTTGATGCTGTTTTTATGTGTTGTGCTGACACTCTGACTGCAAATGAAGTTCCTAACGGATAAATAAAGTGAATTGAATTCAGCATCACCAGGGTGTTGTCTGCAGTGATTCAGATATGAAACCAGTCTGTTGGGGTGAAGAGGAAGATGAGCCAGAAAACGCATCTCTCAATTTGCTGGGTGATTTTTCACCATAATTCTTATCTATGGTCATGAACATTGACCTCTAACCTCAGAAGGAACCTGCTGCAATGTTCACAGTAGCTGTCTGAAATGTTGTCTACATCTGGAATTCTACAAAATAATTAGAAAAGTGACCTTTGACCATTCCTAACTTGATGGCATGGCTAATTGTCATGCTGAGCTGGTCCTGAATCTTGGAGTGATGTGACTCACTAATGACAACGTTTAAATGAAAAAAGTTAACAGGTTTATTACAATCCAGGTCATGTCGATACAGATTCATGCATACTCTCCTCAGAGTAGCTAACCAATGGCTCATTGTGTCATATGAGAATTGAGGCTCATTTTATTCCACATAAGGTCATTCTGCATCAGAGTAGCCGTTTCAGCCAGAGCTGATCATCTGGCCACGTAAGGTAAACAAGTTCTGCAGTCGCAGCCTTATCTTAGATGCTACATGTGGTTTGGAAAACAACAGATTCCTGAAGCCTGCCGCACACGAGAGCAATCTGCTGAGCAAACGGCCTCGAAGGACCGTTTGCTCAGCAGATTGCTCGCTGTGTGCGCCTGAGTTTTCCACCTCACGAGACGCTGAGGTGAATATCTAACCAGTCAGATATTTTCCGCCTCACGGGGGGTAGAAACTCGCCGTGTGCGCTCTACGTGAGCTGCCGGCTGAGCTGAATTATTCTAGTGACCTATCAAAGCGTGTTCTCTGATCACATGATTCCAAGAAGGCAGCCCCCCGTCTGCACGTCAGAAAATAAACAAAATGGAAGAAATGCCTCTACTTTTTTTGTTGATGAAGCGCCGCAGCCACCGGCATTTCAAGGTTAGGAAAGTGTGGGAACGGTGGCTGGAAGACTGGGTCAAGCAAGGAGTTTATGCCAATTTACTCCCAAGAGATGCGCCTGGAAGACCCAGAATTCTTCCGACAGTACCGCCGCCCGGATCCTTCGAGAGGGTAAAGGAAACAGTGGGCCCATCGACCCGCAAGGTACCGTTTTGTTTCTTTTTCAGACACACAGACAAGGCAGGGGCCTGCATCCGAATACATCTTGGGGTCATGTGAGCAGAGAACGCGTTTTGATTGGCCACTAAAATAGTTAAGCTCAGCCAGCAACTCACGTAGTGCGCACATGGTGAGTGTCTACCCTCTGTGAGGCGGAAAATATCTGACTGGTCAGATATTTGGCTCAGCCTCTCGTGAGGCAGAAAACAGTGAAAATCAGGCGCACACAGCGAGCAATCTGCTGAGCAAACAGCCTCGAAGGACCGTTTGCTCAGCAGATTGCTCTCGTGTGCGGCAGGCTTTAGGATGCTTTTTCCATGTGCCTCTGAGGTCAAAGGTTATCTTGAGAGGTAGACAATGCCCTTCTGTTGGCTTGCCAGACTGAAATGCTTCATTTGACTCAATAATTTTATAATTCAAAACCCAATACAGAAACACAATATTATGTTATTCTTTCATAGATGCATTATTATATATTGTTTACAGCAGACACTACAATGGACAGCCACAGCTGCATATCTGAGGCCACTGTTGACAGCTACTCGGATGCTCCGGAGCAGCAAACTGGCTTAAAGGTGGAATATAGAACACGAACACGAAAGGGACATCTAGTGTGTGAAAATAGTAGTTGCATCAATATAACAAGGCCTCCAGCCATCGGGATACCAGGTTTGCTGCCAAAATGTGATATTTTTATTTGGGTTCACCTGTTGTCATCTTCACCTAAACTCACTCTGGTTTTAGATCTTCTATAGTTGCGTCTCTTCTGACAAGGATAACATCTTCTGGGCTCAGAACCAGCTGCTTGACTTGCTGAGTTCACCAATTTCCACAGTGTCAGCCTTGCTGTGCTGAACGAATTGTTTGGCAACCTGCTATGGTGCCCTCCCTTGGCTGGTAGATTTAAACATAAACCCAGTGTCTAAATAAAAATGTGATTAGTTTTTATTTAAAATATAGCTTTTAAAAGAAATACTGTACCTCTATTTTGCACACCTTTAAACGCCCTGTGGCAGTATTAGTTATTTGAATATATCTTTTTTTTTATTGTTTCATATTCTACCTTTAACTTTTGCTCTTCTGTTGCTCACTCTGATGAGTCAGTCTGCACATCTGATCTGCATTTGATCCTAAAGTTTTGTCTCATGAAAAGAAAGAATCAGTAAAACCCGATTTTTTTTTATCAAAATCACTTGTTTACAATAGCTTGACTTCTAATGCCTAGTTTTTCTAGCAGCAGTTAGACAATTCTCATTTTTTACATCAAAACCCCCAAAAGCCATAAACATAAGAATCTTTGTATTTCTTTGTTCTTCAGGGTGCAGAAGGTGATGAAGTGACTGCAACGCCTCTGCAGAAAAAAGGTACTTCATTTTTGTTTATGAAAATATTTCTGCAGGCGTGTGTGTGTGTGTGTGTGTGTGTGTGTGTGTGTGTGTGTGTGTGTGTGTGTGTGTGTGTGTGTGTGTGTGTGTGTGTGTGTGTGTGTGTGTGTGTGTGTGTGTGTGTGTGTGTGTGTGTGTGTGTGTGTGTGTGTGTGTGTGTGTGTGTGTGTGTGTGTGTGTGTGTGTGTGTGTGTGTGTGTGTGTGTGTGTGTGTGTGTGTGTGTGAGAGAGAGAGAGAGAGACTGGGGATGTTAGATCTCTTCATTCTGAGGTTGATATCAGGAGACTTGCTAACATCTCTGACAGTAAAGTTGGTTCCTTTGGTAGACACACATTTAGCAATAACCATGAATCTCGTGTGTTTACTTGTGATTGGAAATTGTGCTAGAAGAAAATCAATATTGATACTTTTATAGAATCCTTTCAGTAATTGCCTTTATTTCCCAGTGGTTGCTGAATAATGTATAAATGAATGCTAAATGTGTGTGTGTGTGTGTGTGTGTGTGTGTGTGTGTGTGTGTGTGTGTGTGTGTGTGTGTGTGTGTGTGTGTGTGTGTGTGTGTGTGTGTGTGTGTGTGTGTGTGTGTGTGTGTGTGTGTGTGTGTGTGTGTGTGTGTGTGTGTGTGTGCGTGCGTGCGTGTGTGCATGCAGATGTTTCCCCCACCAGCCAGGCTCTGTGGGAAGATGTGGTGACAGTTCTGACAGTTTTCTGTGAAAAGCTGGAGTTTGTGGACAGGTACGACAGCAGATTTGGACCTGAACGCTGTATCGACTTCCTGCATGTCTAATTTAGCATTTATACTTTAGTGACAATCAGCTCCTGCAGCTGCTGTACCTGGAGTGTATCCTGTCCATGCTGAGCAGCTGTCCTCCCACTATCCACCTGTCCAGAGGTTTCACCGACCTTGTGTGGTACGAGTACTTATCCAGTGTTTTTGTTTTTTTGTGCCGGCACATGTTAGAAAGGCCTCCTCACGGGATACTTTTAAATCATCTTTAAAGACCCACAATTTTAGCTTGGCTTTTGTCACCATATAAAGTTTTGGATTTCTATTTGATTTTAGTGTTTTATTTTAGTGTGCTTTTAACCTTATGCTGTATTCTATTTTATTCTGATTTATGCTTTTATCTTTTTATGTTCAGCACTTTGGTCATTGAGGGCTGTTTTTAAAGTGCTTTATAAATAAAGTTGGCTTAGCTTGGCTTAGGAGGGAAACTAGATCTTCTTCTTCTTCTCAGAAACACTCTCTGGTAGGGATGAACGATTTAAGGACAATTTCTAAACAAGATTTGTTTGGCAAAAATAGAGATTTCAATTTGCTTCATGAATTTTTTTTTTTCAAATCAAGCTTCAGCGCATTGTTTCAATATATAAAGTAATATTTACAAACGTGACAGAAAATGAGATAACAAAATCAAAACGTAAAAAAATTCAAATGTATTTATTAACAAGAGACATGTATGCTAAGTTCCCCCTGCTCTGTTCTATTAATGCATGAATAGATTTTAAAAACACAGACACGTATGTTTTTATTCCTACTTTAATGCACCGTAACCCCTCAAGGGTTTGTCATCACAATAATCTAAATGGTTCTGAAAGAAGGAAAGTAGAAAATCGCACTCTTGCACCACTGTAAACTCAAATGTCCGTCTCCCGCAAAACTCTTCCCCAAACTGACAATTTGTTTTGCTTTCAATTTATTTTTAATCCCAAAACAGATGGAGATGGAAATGAAAAAGAAAGAATGGAGAGGAAAGGAAGAGAGGTGGGGGAAAAGTTCCTAAAAACGAATGCTACAGGATGTTCAACAATCCGCTTCTAGACTTGCAGAAAGAGAGAGAAAAGAAGGCACACCAGTTGTAGTTTTTGAGCTGGACCAGTTCCTACATGGTCCAGATGCAAAACAAATAGGCCTAAATAAATAAATAAAGTGCTGAAATCAATGTTCTGACTTACACAAATTAGACAAAAGTTTCACAAATAATCAACTATGTTTTAAGGATTCTGCCATTAGTGGGAAATGAGCTAGTTCGAGTTGTTATTGTTTTACAATAAAGAACAGATTAAAGGTGCTTGGAGGTAAAGTAAGTAAATCAATTTTATTTATCTAGCACTCATCACAGACAGAAAATCACAAAGTGCTCCACATAGATCAAAACAAAACATCATAAAGTCGTCAAATCATATTGATCTTAAAACAGAAATACATTAAAAAAATCAAGTCATAAAATTATAAAATACCATAAAACAAATGAACAATGATTACAAATTTGAGTTAAATATAAGAAAATAAAAGATTTAGGTAAAAGCAGCTTTAAATAAAAGGGTCTTTAGCTGTTTTTAAAAAAGTGTCCAGACTGTCAATCCTTCTGGCTGGCTCGCCAAATATGTAGGGTTAGACTACACGTGTATTTTGGGTTTTAATTATGATCAATATGATGTGATGATTCCATATATATATATATATATATATATATATATATATATATATATATATATATATATATATATGTATAATCATTACCCTGATTGATCTTTGAAAGTTTAACCAGAAGAATTAAGATTCTTTGTTTATTCAGGGATCGTAACACACTTCGTATTAATTCAGATAGTCAAGTTTATAAAATGTAAGAAATTTATTTTCTAAACAATTAAAAACATGACAACTAAGAAACACTTTATGTGATGAATGAATCTAAGTGGATGGAATGTGAGGTGTGATGATGTGTGAATGTGATGTTATCAGAACCCTCGTATCTGGAGAAACTTTTGAGTTCTGAGTGGGATTGAATTTGGTCTGCATTAAACTAGAAAGTTGATTTCTAATAAAATGGCATCAGACGCAATCTGTTGTGTCTACGTACCCTTTCGGAGACCCCCGTTGTAGATCCGGAATGTCAGGAAGTCCGTGGACCCCAAAGGTACCGAAGTCCGTAAGAGAAACTGCAGCACCACTAGACCAGTCTCGAGATGTCTCCAGGTCACAACAGGTAGTTGTTTGCATCTGTTGAAGGACTCTTAAGGAGTCGGAGCTATGTCAGCTTTATTCTGAAGGAACCATTCTTTGGCACATTCATTCTTTGGCACAAAAGATGGATGCCATCAAGGAGAGAGTGGACAAATCAGCACGGATTGGGATAGATTAACGTCCATTATTGGGATTTTGAGAGGTTGAGGACCAACAAACTGTAAGACAGAGAGGAAATTATCTCTGTCTGGCCCCAAAACAATTTCTAATCAGAATCTTGTGCCCTTGAGCCTGCAAGGCTCCAACGAAAACTCCCCCCTCAGAAGATATGTGGAATGTGCCGTCGCTATGGCAACTCAATTCTGTCTCCTTTCCCAGCCTGGGCGGGACTGCGGGAAGGCCGCTGAAGCATCCAGGGTCACTGCAACCCTCCAACCCTCAATGCTCCTCCCCCTATCCACACTGAGGTGACATGCGCTGCTTCACCGTGGCTGCAGGACCTGAAATGGGGATATTCCCAACCCACCACCCCACCTAGTGGACACTTAATGTTGTGATGTCTGAAGTCTGTTGCATATCTGTCTGAGGTGTTTTTTTGCAGAGCAAAGCTGCCCTCCTGGTGGGAGGGTAACTGAAGTGCCTTTTTTCCCTCCACCTGAACCAATCCTCATACAACCCCTCTTATCTCTATTAAGGTAGTGCGACTCAGGGTTGCAAATGACCACCATCACCAATTCTTGTCATGTGTCTTGCCCATGTATGTCTGATCTCTGAATTGTGTGTACTGAAACTCTAATTTCCCTCTGGGATTAATAAAGTATCTTTGATTTGATTTTGATTGATTGATGACACTGATCACTCATCAGAACTCTCATATCCAGAGAAGCAAGTCTGAGTGATGAAGTGATATTTTGCTCTTAAGCTATGATCAGAGTTTCATAAACACATAAGATGCCATTTTGTCGCTCTACACATACCCTTAGGATGAGACCTCGGTACAGATCCAGAATGCCAGGTCCTCGGACCCCCCTTCGGTACCGGAGCTGATGAAACAACGTCAGCAGTACGACAGACTAGTCTTTGGATTGTCTCCAGGTAAAAAGCGACAGTTGGTTGACCGCGTCAGATGGACCCGGAGGGTCAGTGAGTTCAGCTTTTATTCTGAAAGGAACAGTTGCTTGGTTGGTAAAGTGCAACAGATGTTATCCAGCTTGTTGGTTCTTTGCTTAAAAAGGAAGTCCGTGTGGCCGGTCCGATACTTCTCTTAGAATGCGGTGAACTGATCTAAGATGGCGTGGGGACTGGTTTTTTTAATCTGGATGTTTTGATTTACGGTCGAATCAAAGTTGGACAGATTTATAAACACCACAGAGACTGTGCCACGCTTCAGAAAGGAAGGTTCCGATTGGATGAGCAAAAGCAACGTGTCATGCGTTTACATTACGTATAATCAGGATGTCTAGTGCAGCTAGATTAAAGTCATGTTACTTAGTAAAACTTTACTAATCATAACAGTGTTATTTCACAGATTGGTCAACATCTTATTATTGACTAACAATTGGTTTGATTAGCTTTATTAAAAATAGAAAAAGTTCTTCTTTCTTCTCTTGGGCTGTAAAGGAAAACCGTTTAGAAGCAAATGCATGAGACCTTGAACAATATCTCATGCAGATTAGTTCCTGCTGAGGAGAGGGGGAAATGACTTTTAGGTGGAAAACAGTCATTTCATTCCGTTACATATGCTTTTCACAAAAACCAGATTGGAATTTGTCAAAACTGTTGTGTAGTTCCAGAAAAGTAATCAGTTGATCTGCCAAAACCTTTTCCAATATGTTAAAGATAAAGGGTCATTTAGAAATGGGTCTGTAATGTTTAAGCTGACATGAGTCCAAACTTGGTTTTTTAAGGACAGGTTCAACAACTGCATGTTTGAAAACAGATGGATCTGAGCCAAATTGTAGTGATAAATTTTAAAAAAGTGTGACCAAGTCACTGCTTTGCAAGTCACAAGTAAGTCACAAGTCTTTCCAGTCAAGTCTCGAGTCAAGTCCAAGCCCTTAGCTTTGAATTTTCAAGTCATAATCAAGTCATCTGTCCAACTTCAATGATAATAAATCAATTCCAAAAATAAAGCTTCTTAAAGCTTAATTTATTTGCTCAAACAAGCAGAAAGTACAACTGAAATAGATTCTAAACAAAGTGCTGATTCATTTAGCAGTAAATCAAACCCAGAACCAAGAATGGTTTATGATTTTTGTCCATGTCGTGCCACTTTTGTGCTAAAATATCAAATATGCTTAAGTCATCAAGTCAACAGATCCAAGTCGATTCAGTCATTGGCGTTCAAGTCCAAATAAAGTCGTTAGTCTTTATAGATTTTATCAAGTCAAGTCAGAAGTGTCTGGCTCGAGTCCAGGTCGTGACTCGAGTCCACACCTATGTAAATTAATAAAATCGAAAATGCATGGGCCAATTTGGTCAAATATCTTATTGAACAAGGTGAAACGGATAATATCAAGGGAACATTGGTTTGCATCGTCACTAAAAGTACCAGTAATAATTTTGGTTTATTTATGTGTGTTTTACCTAATTTTCTACTAATCAACAGCCCATTGTAAAAAAATAAAAATCGCTCTTTTTCTGCAAAAGTTTTTTTTTCTCCTTAATTTTTAAACCAAATAAAAACAAAATGATGAATTTTTCAAAAATAACAAATCTCATTTTGTAGATATTTAGGGAGGAGGAATAAAGAGATCACTATAACCTCCGAAAAAAAGTAAAATAAATCTGATGTTGGAGTTCTGACATTATTTCTTAGAATTCTAAAAAGAATAAGCAATCAAACATTCAATTAAATTATAACTGTTCTTTAATGTGCTTTAAAAGAGTTTGATTTGGTAAATGGCCTGTATTTGATATAGCGCCTTCTAGAGTCCTGGAACCCCCCAAGGCGCTTTACAACACAACCAGTCATTCACCCATTCACACACTGGTGGGGATGAGCTACAATGTAGCCACAGCTGCCCTGGGGCGCACTGACAGAGGCGAGGCTGCCAAGCACTGGCGCCACCGGTCCCTCCGACCACCACCAGCAGGCAACGTGGGTTAAGTGTCTTGCCCAAGGACACAATGACAGCGACAGACTGAGTGCGGCTCGAACCTGCAACCTTCCGATTACGAGGCGAGCACTTAACTCCTGTGCCACCGTCGCCCCAAGGGCATGGATTTGCATGTATCAGAAAAAACACAACCCCAGCACCTTGTCTGTAGAAACTTCTTTGGCTGGGAAAAATTACTCAGACTGTCAGTCGCCCTGAAAAGCTTTAACCCACAAGTAAATGCCTCCAGTCTTTATGAAACTGAGTTTTCTCCACTGTGCTCATCTGTCTTACCTCTGCACACTCTCTCTGTGTCTTTCCTTTCTTTGTTGTGGTTCCTGCGCGGGCCGCGCTCCAGACCTGCGTAAAGTCCCGTCACTTTGCTGGACTGACAGCCACTGCTTTCTCCTCACAGTTTATGTAAGATTTAAATATGAAATGGAAAACTGTCAACAACAAGGGACAGCGGGTGATCTGGTCTCATATAACTACAGCATATCAGCCACTCAGGGTGGCACACGGAGGCTCAGAGCCCGACTCTGGGAAAGGTGAACAGGATCAAACCACTTTTGAGGCGGGGGAGGTTTGCTGCATTTTTGTTGTTGAAATATAACGTTTCAACCAAGCACTGTTTGTTTTTAATATTTTACAAGTGGTTTTAAAAAACATATAGAAAAAATAAATGTTTTTCTAATCAATTTCCCTCTGGGATTAATAAAGTATTTTTGAATTGAATTGAATTTAAATTCTCGATTTTTGGGGGGTGGTGGAAGTTGATTTAGGGGTGCTTCAGCACCCCCAAAAATGGGCTTAAAACACCCATGAGGGACACACAAAAATACAGCAGAAAAGAGATACCAAACAACATAAGGACAGTAACAATGTATACTGAAAGACACACAGTAATAATTAGTTCATGGTGAATTTATTGCCAACCACCGCCCAAGTTAATGTGTCAAAACACTGAGTCCATACCTGTGAGAACACCTTGTGAAAATCTGTGTGTGGGGGGTCAACCAGCAGCTGTCCAAGAGACCAAGGAGACCATAATGGCAAGCTCTCAGGCCTTGCTCACACCAGGGTGGATCAATGGGTGCTCAGACCCCGGCCCAAGGGCCCAGGCCCCACCAGGCAGCGCCAGGAGCTAGCCAGCAGATGCCACAACAACCGGACCCCAGACATGAGAGCCACCAATATTCAGGCAGATGAAAGCCCCACTCACTGTCAAGATGTGGCAGGGTGACATTTTTTTTTCCAGATGTCCCAGTATAGGGCGGCGTCCAAGACCAAACCTGACAGATATGCAGTCACACCTTTCCACTTTCCTGCTCACTCATAAACAAATCCAATCTAATGATACACAAAAATGAATGCCACACAGCCACTTCACACTCTACACACACACACACACACACACTACACACTCTGGTCTACGTACTGCTGCATAGAGGGCACAGCCGGTCCTGGACCCAGGAGATGGTCCAGTTTTACTGAGGTAGCGATGAGCGGGTCACCCTGCCCAACAAGCATCCTTGTCATTAGGTCACGTAACCAGAGGGGGTTGTAAAACCTGGAAGTGATCAATATGACAAAGTGTTGATTTGGAAAAATATAAATTAAACTTTTGTTATCAGTTTATTCATATTATTAGGTTTTTCCTTTTAGCCCTACTGCATACCATCACAGATGCATTTTGTTCTAGTTTGTTGTGCTTCTCCATGTTTTGATGTTCTCCAAAAATTAATAGCATTTCTTTACTCAGGAAGCAGCTGTGTCCATCACTGGTGGCTATCATGGGGAACCCGATTAACGATAAAACCATTACCTCTCACCACGGCTTCATTGGGGCACCAAACCGAGACCGGACCTCAGAGAGACTCAGTCAAGGTAAACCAGGCCAGCTGGAACCCCAGAGGGTTCCTCCTGTTGGAGTCTTTCTGGTCTCTGCTGGTCTGACCCTCTTCTCTCATCAGGATTCAGCCAGGAGGTGGACTGCTCTGGTGGCGGAGTATCTGATCAAGGCAGAGGCTCTGGCTGCTCCTCTAATGCCCCTGCCAGGATAGCTCCTGTTGTTCGGACGGTTTGTTACATCGCGGCTGAACTAGTACGTCTAGTGAGCTGTGTGGAGTCGATGAAACCGGTCCTCCAGTCACTGTACCACAGGATCCTGCTGTACCCACCCCCCCAGCACCGAACTGAAGCCATCCGCATCATGAAAGAGGTAAGAGATGGAAGTTTTTCTATCGTTGACAAGATTAGAAGTGACCCTTAGAGCAGTGTTTCCCAACACTTTGCAGCTTGCTGACCCCCTGAGCCATTTTCTCATACCACGAGCACCCCCTTAGTCAAACGTGCTGACAATTCCCCAACAGTAAAATGTACAACTGATTATTAAATGAAAATTATTTCATTAAATCTCCTAATGCTGAACCTTCACTTGGGGAAGGGAGGTGGTCATAACTGACCCAGTGTCACTTCTTGTGTGGCTCAGGCATAGTATTAGCCAGCAAGCCGTCTTGCTGTCATTTGGACGACCTGACTTCAAAAATGGCGACCTAAATACTGAGGGACGGCATTTAAGTTTGATGGCAAGCTGCCCCCATTTTCTGTAAATATCTAATCTCAAATTTGCATTTTGTGGAGGTATAATAAAAAGCAGACCATTGCACAAATCATTTGGCAAACATGTTCAAGCCTGTACTACTGGACATACTCATTGCAGGGGTTAACCCAGTGCAGGGTTCAAATTATGGGAGAGTCTCAACTGAAAAGATGACAGGCTCCCCTAGAAGCCCTCAACTCACACACCCAGGGAGAGCCCAGAAAAAGGACTAGTTTCTACCTATATTACATTATTTATATGGACTCTCAGCATTGAGGATTCTTTTTAAGCAGTGGGTTGATTTTTCATGTGCTCCGCATCCACAGGCAGCTGCGTCCTGCACATGGCCACCCAAAAAACATAAGACACAATTGCTCATATGTTCTGGAAATTTCTGTCTTTTATTCGTGCCTGACATGCCCCATTGCAGAGTATATTACCCGTGTTCAGGTGACTTAACCTCACTGGCACGACGATGCAATGTGCACTGATGCACTCCAATATTTTTGTGGTTGTTTGAACCCTTTGGTCTGCTTCTTCTCTCAGAAGCGTTTTCCTAACAGGAAGTGTGGATGAAATACATCTCCACCATCGACATATAAATATTGGACAATGGGTTTCCATAAGCTCCAAAGGAAGAAAAATGGGAGGTGGCCACCACCGCCATTTTGACCGTGTCACAGGTTCCGTCAAGCCCAGACAATTACACAAAAGGGAAGAGAGGTGGAGCTGAGGGTGGGGCTGTAAGGCTGGGATCAACTGAAGACACCCAGTCGAACTAGCTACAAGCTAACCTAAAGCTAACCCAAAGCTAACGCAGAGGTGGGAGCTAAGCTAATGGTAGCAACCTAACTACAACCGGAGTTAACTGTGCACAACACCAGAGCTTCTGAGGCAGAGATACGCCGGGCTGACTGCTGGGTAAAACCGGGTGGAACACAGAGGTCTCCCGAGAGCTCCACAAGCCGACAGCCCGCACAGCAGACAAGCGCCGCTGCAATCTGAGATGCGCAGAGCTGCCGCTGGGTAGACCCGGGTGGAAAGGTTTCCATCCCAGAGCTCCACAAGCCGTCAGCCCGCGCAGCAGACAGAAGCCGCAATCAGACAGAGATGCGCCGAGCTGCGGGGAGGGGAGAACCGGGTGGAAATCATCGGTCTCTTCCATCCATCTGATGCGGCTCTCTGTGCTTGTAAAATAATGACTGGATATTTAAATAAAATGCTTTATATTTTACTGCATTAATTTTACATCTGTATGCTAATTCTAAATGTAAAGATTGTCTGCGTAAACCTGAACAGTTCCAACCCGGTCTTACTGTGAGACCGGGCTGACGGGTCACGCTTGTGCGTAATCATATCGGCGCTTTCTGAGCTGAAGATGTGAGATTCTGGGATTCTCCTCAGATGGCTCCTGGATGTGTCGCCACATTGGAGACAGGAACAAGCACTATTCAGCCAAAGTTTCATAATCAGGGAACATTTTCTAAGTGACAAGTCTCCCTTCAGTCGGAGGAATTTTCCTGCATGCGCTCTGGTTCTGCGACGTGCTCCAAGCCCCTCTCCACATCTTCAGCTCGCTGTGCGCCGTACGTACGCGCTGACAGTGAGCTGCGCTGAGCAGTGTCCAGCTCAGATGTTGAGATGGGAATCTTTTCTTGAGTGATTTAGCTACATCTGCGATGTGCGAAATGAATAAAATGTCAGTTCGTCTGCATGCGTCGGGGTAATTCTTTCTATTCTTTCTCCGTCAAAATAAACGGTCAAATACGGGAACTGTCCGGTCAACACAAGCCCTGCTTTTAACTGTTTTGTTTTCTTGTGAAAATTGTTGCAAAGAGATATAATTTAACTTGATTAACACCAGAGCCAGGAGCACTGCACCGTTATCTCCGTCGCTGTAAATGAGGGAAAAACAAATTGATCGGATCCTTTTCTGACCTTCCCCACCTACAAAGTTTAATTACAACAATCAAACGTGACAGAGCCTGGATTTGTAATCTGAACAGTCTAAACATGTTTTTAAAAGAAACGTATGACAAAAGTGGCACCTGCTCAGTAAAACCACCAACAGGGTGAAAAATATCAAAATATTGTCGGCAGAGACGGGCTACAACTTCTGGATCCACGTTATAGAAATCGTTTTATTGATTATCGTCTTATGAAAGATAGCTTTGACGTACACGAGCGACCGGTACTGGCTGCTGTCACCTGTTGTGAGCAGCGCTCTGCTGTCTGTAGGCCCCGCCCACAACGCCGCGGCTGCTGCGGTGTTTTCTTTACTGTGGGAAACGGGTAATAATGGCTTTTTGATGGGAACAGGTTGCCGACCCCTGCCTTAAACCCAAACTAGGTCCGTGTAGCCATTGTTACCCCGTCATCTGTACTGCTGCTCTGCGCTGCAGCAGCTGCAGTCTCTAGTCCAAAGCTAACGCAGCTCGACAAAAATCTTGCAGTCACTGTTGGCCTAAATAGAATATGGTCTCAACCATATATTACTTTGTATGATTTTATTTGAGTTTTCATTCAGCACAACACATCCCAGTTTAATGTTGATAAAATGGTTGATAAAATATAAATGTTCCCACTCACAGAATCGCTGCCTTAGAGGAACAGGCCTGCAGCTATTTATAGAATCAAACCTAACTGGTAGAATGAATGTTTTTGTCTGTGTTAGATTTTAGGCTGCCCTCAGCGGCTCTATGGCCTGGTCGGACCCTGTGCAGCTGAGCCTGAAACCAGGAAGCGCTCCTTCTCAAAGAGGAAATCCTACCTGGACCTGTTGAAACTGTTGGTTTGATCTTTGTGGTTATTAAGTAAAAGTTATTTATGTTTCGATTTTTAATAAATTAGACTGTGTGTGGATGCATGCGTGTGTGTGTTTTCCTGATGAGACAGAGTGATGGATGGGATGACTGAGGCTTGTATGAAGGGTGGCATCGAGGCCTGTTACTCCTCCGTTTCCTGTGCCTGTGCTCTTCTTGGAGCTCTGGATGAGCTGTCTCAGGGCCGCGGTGTCACACCTGAGCAGGTACGTTTTTGAAGTGAAGCCTGACTCCTTTTCCAGCAGAGAATTGCAGCAGATTCAAATACCATAATCCTAGAATTTTTCCTGCTGCAGGCTCAGCTCCTTCTCAGGAGAATGGACGACCTGAAGGAGGGGTCTGAGTCCACCCGGGAGTCCATGGAGATCAATGAAGCGGACTTCAGGTGGCAGAGACGCATCCTATCCTCAGAGCAGTCCCCGTGGGACCACAGCTCCTCCTCCTCCAACATGGCGACCGCCAGGGCCAGTGAACGCAGCCCTGACATCAGCATCAGCATCACTACGGAAACGGGACAAACCACCTTGGACTTGGAGATGGGGGACCTGGGCCTGGGGGAGGGCCACACCACCCCAGAGGCGCTCTGCCAGGACCCTTGCTTTCATTCTTCTCTCTTTGGAGGTCAGGAGGGCACCAAATGTGACATGAGCCTCCGTGATAAAGGAAGAGAGAGGGAGGAGGGGGGAGGCAGTATGAGAGAGGTTGAAGTTCAAGGAGAAAAAGTAAAAAGAGATGCAGAAAGAGGAGGAGTTGTTCCTCCTGATGTGGTACAGAGGAGTCATGCACTCATTTATCCTGACATTACCAACTTCCTGTCAGTAGAATCCAGGACGAGGTCCCATCATGGTGGCTCCCGGTACAGCGAAAGCAACTTCAGGTAGGGCTGCTGGTACCGGCTTTTTCACTGAGTTTAATGTTCGGGTATTTGACTTTAGCATCCTTTGGTGTCAGTTTTAAATAATTCCTAATGGTTTTAGTTTGACAACAAAAGACCTACTAAATTTTAAAGGTGTAGAAAACTGAAAAAACTTTTTATAAGTATAATTTTTATGAGTATAATTTGTTACTCTTGAGTATTTCATGCACATGAACATGAAAAAAGTCTCCTAGACCTATCTCCTGCATTAGCTTCTGATGAAAAATATGGTGAAACGCAGATCTACGTCACACTGTCACTAAACATTCATGGACTCACTCATCTCGTCTCACAGCGTGGAAGGCTGCTGTCGTTTTAGCATCCAGGAAACAGAAAATCGCGACATAATTGATGCAAACTGCTACTATTAGCTAAACTCCTCTAGGCTTGTGTTATTTGTCGAGATAAAACATCAATGTTGCAAAGTAAACAGTCAGTTGAAGAGTCACATGGCTGTTAGCCAATCAGAGGTGAGATGTCCAAATATCAGGAAGTAAGACTCAAACTCTTGCTGTCTGAAGCTCTCCTCTGATCTAGCGATCTTCTAGATCAGGGGTGTCCAAACCTGGTCCTGGAGGGCCGGTAACCAGCAGGTTTTGTGGTTTTTCTGCTTCAGCACGCTTGATTAGCTGGTTGAATCACCTGTGCAGCAGCTCATCAGGCTCTGCAGAAGCCTGTTAATCACCTGCTGATTGAAATCAGGTGTGTTGAAGCAGGTTAAAACAAAAACGTGCTGGATACCGGCCCTCGAGGACCAGGATTGGACACCCCTGTTCTAGATCCTGAAACAGGCACACCAGGGCTATTTGCACTGCACTGATGTGAATAGCAAATCGTTTTTGTTTAATTTTGACTCAGTCTGTTTTCATTTAGCATGGAGGAGCAGGAATTGTCTCGAACAGAGCTTGACTCATGTGATCAGTACTCCATGGCTGCTGAGAAGGATTCCGGACGCTCCGACGTGTCCGACATTGGCTCTGACAACGTCTCTCTAGTTGATGAGGAGCAGCAGACGCCTCGGGACTGCCCGGGCCACCGCTCCCTACGCACTGCCACCCTGTCCCTCAAACTACTCCACAACCAGGAGGCCGACCAGCAAAGCGCCAGGCTGTTTATCCAATCCCTGGCCGCTCTGCTGCCCCGCCTGCTGGGACTGACTACTGCCCCTGAGGTGGACCTGGCGCTGCAGAACTTCTCCTCCAGATCCTGCTCTGGAATGCAGGCTGGTGAGACGGGGGTGGGGTGTGTGTGTGTGTGTGGGGGGGGGGGATTTTTTGATAGCCAGCCAGGTGTGTAGCACTCAACCAGTCCACTTACCAGCTTTTACTCAATCACTGACTGCACTATCAGGTTCCATCAACCTGGTCGTTGCTCATCACTATTCATGATCAGTCCATCTGAAAGCATGAAGATGGACATAATTGCAAAGGCAGCAGAATGACCTGTAACTGTTTAGTTGCTGTTCTACAGATCTGGATTGATGCTGATATTTTATTGTTAATATCTTTTGTGTGTTTATTCTGTGTGTTTCCTCTAACTGCCCCCAAAACCGTCAAAATAGACAACCAGAACACCCCATCATGGCAAAAGAAATCAGCTAAATCATCAGCCCACTATTAGGCAACACAGAACAACATTACAAAAATAGCACAGAACTGGCAAAAGAACAACAAAAGATTACAATATTACAATTACAACGTCGTTCTAATCGCAAACAATGTTACATCCCTGTTTACAAAACCACCAACACCAAAAACCATTGACATAGTAGTTAACAGAATTAGACGGGACAAAACTTTACACTAAAGAATACACCTCACTGCAAACAACATAGCACAACTAGTAAAGCTGGTAGCAAACTCCACATGCTTCACATACGATGGAACAAAATACACTCACCTAAAGGATTATTAGGAACACCTGTTCAAATTCCCCTTAATGTAATTATCTAATCAGCCAATCACATGGCAGTTGCTTCAGTGCATGTAGGGGTGTGATCCTCATCAAGACAATTTCTTGAACTCCAAACTGTGGGTGAAAATGCCTTGTTGATGCTAGAGGTCAGAGGTGAATGGGCCGACTGATTCAAGCTGATAGAAGAGCAACTTGGACTGAAATAACCACTCGTTACAACCGAGGAATGCATCAAAGCATTTGTGAAGCCACAACACGCACAACCTTGAGGCGGATGGGCTACAACAGCAGTAGACCCCACCGGGTACCACTCGTCTCCACTACAAATAGGAAAAAGAGGCTACCATTTGCACAAGCTCACCAAAAGTGGACATTGTAAGACTGGAAAAATGTTGCCCGGTCTGACGAGTCGATTTCAGTTCAGACATTCAAATGGTAGAGTCAGAATTTGGTGGAAACAGAATGAGAGCATGGATCTATCATGCATTGTTACCACTGTGCAGGCTGGTGGTGTAATGGTGTGGGGAATGTTTTCTTGGCACACTTTAGGCCCCTTAGTGCCAACTGGGCATCATTTAAATGCCACGGGCTACCTGAGCATTGTTTCTGACCTTGTCCATCCCTTCATGACCACCATGTACCCATCCTCTGATGGCTACTTCCAGCAGGATAATGCACCATGTCATAAAGCTCCAATCATTTCAAATTGGTTTCTTGAACATGACGATGAGTTCACTGCACTACAAAGGCCCCCACAGTCACCAGATCTCAACCCGATAGAGCATCTTTGGGATGTGGTGGAACGGGAGCTTCGTGCCCTCGATGTGCATCCCACACATCTCTATCAACCGTAAGATGCTATCCTATCAATGTGGGCCAACATTTCTAAAGAATGCTTTCAGCACCTTGTTGAATTAATGCCACGTAGAATTAATGTAGTTCTGGAGGAGAAAGGGGGTCAAACACCATATCAGTATGGTGTTCCTAATAATCCTTCAGATGAGTGTAGAAACAACTGGAAGGCTTCGCCATGGATAACCAGTTATCAGCCACCATTTGCGAGTTTTTCATAGAGAACCTAGAACAAAAAGCCATAGCCACTGCCCCCCTAAAATGCAAAATAAAACGTTGGACACACTATGTGGACGACATTCTAGAAATCATACCAAAAGGACAAACATGGAACACTTGCACAATATCGACGACACAGACAACATAAATTTTCATATGAGGAAGAAATAGAAGGCAGCATAGCCTTCATGGACATTAAAATAAGCAAACAAAAAGTTGGGATCCTGAATATAAACACATACAGGAAACCAACACACACACTGACCAATATTTATTATGGACATCAAAACACCCTACTGTACATAAAATGTCAGTAATCAGAACATTATACCACCGAGCAAAGATAATAACAGAAGAACAAGACTTTAAATAATCAATCAATAAATCAATCAATACTTTATTAATCCCAGAGGGAAATTAGAGTTTCAGTACACACAATTCAGAGATCAGACATACATGGGCAAGACACATGACAAGAATTGGTGATGTCAAAAACTCTAAACACAAAATACTTCAATAAACGGGACACACGTCTTTCCTGCAAATTCAATTTCACTGGTGTTGCTAATACCTATGGTCCTTCAAGGGATGTGCTCAAAGAAGAGTTCAACATTATGAATACAATATAGTGTTTCATTTTACAAATACCATTATAAACACAAACTTACGTCTTAAGAAACATTATTTTAATAACGAAACTGCTAAATTCTTTCCAACAGTATAGATGTGTAGTGTATTTTGTCCGAGTGGGTTTGCCGTACTTTGACGTCATCGGCATTCGAAGGACCCCGAGCCGATTTTGCACCTGAGCAGATCTTGTACCGACACCGGCACGCCAGCCTGCGCTGTGCAGCGATCATTTCGCCGTCTGCTCTATTTTTTCACGAGCCGCGGGTGAATCGCGTCAATTCTGGCAGGAAGTCAAACCTAGACATAAGAGGCAGGCCGGTAAATTTAACAAAATAATGCATTTCAAAATAAAATTCTGCAATGGTCAAATGTGTTTGTAATCAGACACTGCAGAAAAACCACACGAACACCACACACACATACACACTCATCGAACTTGTGTGCGTGTGTGACCACGTGAAGGGGTGTGGTTTTGGGTATCTTTTTTTCCGGAGCAAACAGGACAGAGAGGCAGAAAGTCTGAGGCAAGCAGTTAAGATGGATGACTTTAAATTAATTATGGAAGTTGAGAAACACAAGGAGCTGTACGACCCTCGAAAAACATGCTTATTTACGTACCCATTTCGGAAGAAATTGCTAGGATACAGCTGCAGAATTGGAGCGGGTTCCAAGAGATTCAACTGCATGGACGTAATTTTGGGGGGGGGGGGACATGTCCCCCCCACTTTTTCCAAAGTTAAGCTTTGACCCCTGCACTTTTTACCATCCAAAAAGAATATTACGCTATTTTAAATTGACACTGGCCGAGCTCTAGGACCAAGCGTAAAACAACCATTTGTGTTGAAGCCTGTTTCCCATTAGAACATACTGTAAAGATCCCCCCATGCCCCCCCCCCCCCACACACACACACACACACACTTCTAAAGTGAAAATTACGTCCATGCAACTGGCAGAAACAACTGGTTCATACCATAGGTTCACACGCACACACACACACGTACAAACACTCAAACGTAGAGGAAAAGAGCTGAGAAAAGGCAGAGAGGAAATGGAGGACACCAAGTGTTTAAAAGAAAAACTACAGCTGAGCCGAGGCGCGCCTCGACTGGGGCGCGTCTGATCTGAACTGAGGAGCAGCGAGCAGCGGCCGAATTTCGTGAGCGATTCGCTTCTCGGCGCTTCCGCAGCCGGTGTGTCTATATTTTTACCATCCTTCTGACAGGCAGAGATTAGTTTGAGTTCTAAGATGCAAATGTTTTTAATTCGTAAAGTTTTGTTTCTCAGGTGGGATCCATTCTCCTGGTTTTGAAACGAGCAACTCTCTGAGCTGCCAGTCTCTGATGAATGCCGACGGGCTCTACCTGGTGTCGTACTACTCTCTGCTGCTCAGCCTGAAGCTGTACTACTCTGACTACTTCAGATGCAGAGAGCTTCCCCCGGGCATCGGCCTGGTGAGGGGCCTGTAAACACCTCACGCCTTTCAGTCACTTGAGCTCAGCTGAAAGGATTGTGTTGGTCTTGTGCAGAAGGAGTTTGTGCATGTGATCCAGAGCAGCGGCGTGCTGGTGGTCCTGTCTCAGGCCTGGATTGAGGAGCTGTACCAGCAGGTGTTGGAACGGAACCTGCTGGCCGAAGCTGGGTACTGGGGCTCTCCAGAGGACCGGACCCTTCCACTCATCACCATGCTGACAGGTCAGAACCGTCCTCTGCAAACTGAAACACTTTGAGCACAAGCTGAAAACCAAAAATTAAGAAAATGAGAATTACGATGTTTTTATGTTTGAATTGGAAACAAAAAAAGATTTTTTTAATTTAGGTCTTATTCAGAGTGTTTTTACTGAACACCTCACCAAACTCAGTAGATGGAACAAAGTTTGTTTTAGCGATCCCTCCTTTACCCACCTGTTGCACCAGTACAGTCACACATTAGATAAGCTGTTAATCAAACATCAGAGGAGAGAAATAGTGTGTGTGTGTGTGTGTGTGTGTGTGTGTGTGTGTGTGTGTGTGTGTGTGTGTGTGTGTGTGTGTGTGTGTGTGTGTGTGTGTGTGTGTGTGTGTGTGTGTGTGTGTGTGTGTGTGTGTGTGTGTGTGTGTGTGTGTGTGTTTGAAAACAAAACATTGAGATGATTTTATTCCCCATAACATTTGAGGAAATGATGAATCATTTAAATGACCCCAAATACATGGCCGAACAAAAAAGACCAAAGATTTTTTTTTCCACAGAACCATCTCACTAAGAGCTCATCAAGTCCAGATTCTGTAGAAATGTTCTGGATTAACTATACAGAATGTATTATCAGATGTTTTTCTCCTCTGTTTCTTCCTTCAGAAATTGACGGGCTGGGCAGCAGCACAATCGGAGGTCAGCTGATCAGAAGGCCATCCAGCCAATCAGCACTCAGCAGTGAGAAGTCAAGCCGTGATGCCATGGCAGCAGGTCAGAACGCATCGCAGAGACCTGCTTATCATGTTGTGGGTGTGCAGCCAGTCATATGTCTGTCTGCTGCTGCAGATCGATTAAGTCCCAGATTGTCTTTCTCTCCACAGAGAGACTCTCGTGTGGAGCTAGTGTTTCGATTTGTGCGTGTGCACCACATGATCTATAACTTGTGTTTACCTTTTGTGTGAAACGTCAGCTCCTACACCTACAAGTATGCATGCAAGAATCCCCTCATTCACACTGACAAAACCATACTTTGTGTCTGCCAGAGGATTAGTGCATGTGTAATTAATGAATTTCTAAGTATTTCTTGTACATATGGTTTATGATCAGTGAACCGCATTTTACTTTTAATTTTGTGTTCTTCTCTGCTCCTGTTGTGAATCTGCTTTGCTGCATGAGATGTCCAAGCTGCAGCTGTTCTGTGGTATCCTGTCATGTATCCGGTCCATAATAGTGTGTTTATATTGTTTTTTTCTATTTGAGACTTTCTAACACGGACAAATTTGTCACTCATTCTCCTCCACCTCTTCATGTCCTCACCACCTCTAAACCCATGTTTCCCGTAATTTCCGTCCACAAATAAAATGCTTATCTTTTTACTCCTCCAGTCACGGGGAATTAAACGTTCATATTTTTAGACTTTTTTCTGCGGGGTATTCTTTAAGCTTCACCGTGTCTGCCGCTAGATATCCTCGGCTCTCTTTATGTTTTTGAGGTTGCAATGGTGGCGCTGTAGACAAGAGCGGCATCCCGACCAATCACAAGCTTGTGTTCTCTGTCGTGTTGAATGGATGTTTAGAAAAGAGAGCTCGACTCCGTCCGTCCTTGCGAGCCTGTCGGAGAGCCCTCGAAAGTATAATGGCATTGCGTGTGTCCATCCTGACGCAGAGAAGTTTAAATTAGACTTCACAGTGACTCCTAAATACTTGAATCCAGAGGTGCTAAGCTTAAAAGGGGTATCAGATTGTTTAATTGCAATACCTAATGGATTTATTGGGAAACATTTGCTCCTAGAGGGATTCATCTTGTAGCCAGATAAAGAGCCAAATCTTTAAACCAAAGACACCATCAGTGGTACACAGGACAGGGGATCAGAAACATACAAAAGCAGGTCATCCACGTATAGGGAAAGTTTTATTTCAAGGTTTGATCAAAAAATACCACTAAAATGAGAAAGGGACTTTAAGACCACCAATAGGGGTTCAATGACAATAGCAAAAAGTAAAGGGGACAATGGACAACCTTGACTTGTGCCATGTGACAATGTGAAATAGGTGGCGAAAACACCATTCATGCACACACTGGCCTGGGATGACTCATACAACATTCGGATGCATAAAATAAATTTTCTCACTTAGGTTGCACTTTTGATTGAGAGGACTAAGCATGCGCTGACGGCCGATCACTGGACACACGGCAGCGTTTGAAGCAGATGGCAGCTCGTTAACCAAATTCCACAAACAATTAAGACGCATTTTCGCCTAATTTATTCACTGGCAAAAAATTAATAAATCTGGTAAATATAACACACTCAACCTGGAGGTAAGTGGAGAAAATTTAGAAAGTTTGCAAACATATGTTGACAAAGTTTTTGAGTTTTTTGTCATGGGACCGAAGAAATCAGCAGCTGAGACGGAAACACCTGGGACCAAGAGGAGCCGTCCCCTGAACTCGCCCGAAGCCTCATCTCCTCGTAAGGATGTCTTAGATTTACTAGAATCCATAGATAAACGGCTGCTGGGATTTGAGGGACAACTCCAGCTGCTAGAGGTGCTTCACAAGGAGTTCCAGGACCTCCGAACATCTCTGGAGTTTAGCCAGGAGCAGGTGGAGCGACTCGCGGCAGAGAACGCGTCTCTGCGGGAATCGGTTTCCTCCTTGACTGCAGGATTAGATTGGATCTCCCAGGACAACAAAGCTCTAAAGGAGACGGTTCTGTATCTCCAGGCACACAGCATGAGAGACAACCTGGTGTTTGCAGGCCTTCCAGAGCAGACCGGAGGAGAAGCAGAGGATTGCGAACAAACCATCAAGAACTTTCTCCACACCCACATGAAGATACCTGAGGAAACTGTTAAAAGCATCACCTTTCATCGGGTACATCACCTTGGAGCCAGGAGAACAGACAGCAGAAGACCTCGCCCCATCGTGGCTAAATTTGAGCATTTCAAGCAGAAAGATCTTGTTAAAAGCCGCGGGAAAGAGCTTAAAGGTAAAGATTACAGCGTGAATGATCAGTTTCCCAAGGAAATTCTGGATCGCCATCAAGTTCTCTTCCTGCTGCGCAAGAAGTTCATCCAGGATGGGAAGCGGGCTGTGATCTCCATAGATAAACTGTTTGTGGATAGTAAGATCTACAAAGAACGAGGAGTCACAGACTGGCTTTATTAGACAAACATCAGGTACAACTTTATTATTATTAACAGCATTCACTGGGTTTGAACACGTCAGGATTTATTAGCTGCTAGATCCGTGTTTAGATATGTTCACCTGTTCCCTCACCACCTCCCACCCACAACAATTTTTCTTTTCTTTTTTTTTTTTTCTTAACCTTTATAATTCCTTTCTTTCCCTATTTTATCTGCTTCTGGATCTTTACATCTGCATGGCACAATTAGCTTTTTTTTCTCTACACTGCAGCAACACACACACAACGTGCGCGCGCACACACGCACACAACGTGCATGCGCACACAGGCACACACACACAAACACATATAGAATCCATACACACAGTCACTCAAAATAAGTAGCCTAAGGCATTTCATTGCATCAAAACACACTTGGGCTTGTCTTATTATTACTATTATTATTATTATTTATACTTTATCATTATCAGCATTAATATTGTAAAAATATCATCAGTATTTTTAATATTGCTACTATTATTTATTATTAATATTGCAAATGATAATAATGATTATAATGATACCCTTATTATTTATTCTCTATTATTTACTATCAGATTAATGTATGTGTTTAATTACTTATTTTATCTCATACACATGAAGGCATCATATTCTAGCTACTCACACACACATTTATAGGTGCACTAAGGTTTTTCTCATGGAAAGTACATGGAGCTGGCTCCAGAGAGAAGAGATTAAAACTTTTTGATCAGATAAAAAGAGTGTGGGAACGAGCCCGACTTACTGCCGGCAATGCGGACCAAGCTCTGACACCGGTCATACAGGAACCTAACAGCTCGTATCAGAGGGCCTGGTACCCCATACTCCCGGAGTACCCCCCCCCCACAGGGCCCCCTGAGGGACGTGGTCAAACGCCTTTTCCAAATCTACAAACCACATGTAGACTGATTGGGCAAATTCCCCCACACCCTCCAGGATCCCCCTAAGGGTATAGAGCTGGTCCAGTGTTCCACAGCCAGGACGAAAACCACATTGCTCCTCCTGAATCTGAGGTTCAACAATCTGATGGACCCTCCTCTCCAGAACCCTTGAATAGACCTTATCAGCAAGGCTCAGAAGTGTGGTCCCCCTGTAGTTGGAGCACACCCTGCGGTCCCCCTTTTTAAATAAGGGGACCACCACCCCGGTCTGCCAGTCCAGTGGGACTGCCCCCGATGTCCATGCGATATTGCAGAGCTGTGTCAGCCAACACAGCCCCACAACAGCCTTGAGGAACTCCGGGCGGATCTCATCCACCCCTGGAGCCTTGCCATGGAGGAGCTTTTTAACCACCTCAGTGATCTCAGCACCAGAGATTTGAGAGGCCAACCCAAAGTCCCCAGACTCTGCTTCCTCACTGGAAGACGTGTCGGGGGGGATTGAGGAGGTCTTCGAAGTATTCTGCCCACCGATCCACAACGTCCTGAGTAGAGGTCAGCAGCACACCGTCCCCACTATAGATAGTGTTGGTAGCGCACTGCCAACCCCCCCCCCCCCCCCCCCCCGGGCGCTGGATGGTGGACCAGAATCTCCTCAAAGCCATACGGAAGTCTTGCTCCATGGTCTCACCGAACTCCTCCCATGCCCGGGTTTTTGCCTTGGCAACCACCCGAGCCGCGTTTCATTTGGACTGCCGGTACCCGTCAGCTGCCTCTGGAGTCCCACAGGCCAAAAATACCTGATAGGACTCTTTCTTAAGCTTGACAGCATCCCTAACCACCAGTGTCCACCAGCGGGTTCGGAGGTTGCCACCAGACAGGCACCGACAATCCTGCGACCACAGCTCCGGTCGGCCGCCTCAACAATGGAAGCACAGAATAGGGTCCATTCAGACTCAATGTTCCCCGCCTCCCCCGGAACATTTTGGAAGTTCTGTCGGAGGTGGGAATTGAAGCTCCTTCTGACAGGAGACTCTGCCAGACGTTCCCAGCAGACCCTCGTGATACGTTTGGGCCTGCCTGGTCTGTCCGGCATCCTCCCCCACCGTCTGATCCAACTCACCACCAGGTAGTGGTCAGTTGACAGCTCCACCCCTCTCTTCACCCTAGTGTCCAAGACATGTGGCCGCAGGTCAGATGAAACAACAACAAAGTCGATCATCGAGCTGCGGCCTAAGGTATCCTGGAGCCGAAAGCACATATGGACACCTTTATGTCTGAACATGGTGTTCATTATGGACAATCCATTGCTGGCACAGAAGTCCAATAACAAAACACCACTCAAATTCAGATCGGGGGCCGTTCCTCCCAACCACGCCTCTGCAGGTCTCACTGTCGTTGCCCATGTGAGCATTAAAGTCCCCCAGCAGAGCGAGGGAGTCACCGGAAGGAGCACTTTCCAGCACCCCCTCCAAGGTCTCCAAAAAGGGTGGGTAGTCTGAACTGTAGTTTGATGCATAAGCACAGACCACAGTCAGAACATGTCCCCCCACACGTAGGTGGAGGGAGGCTAGTCCCTCATTCACTGGGGTAAACCCCAACGTACAGACACCAAGATGGGGGGCAACTAGTATGCCCACCCCTGCTCGGCGCCCCTCAGTGTGAGCTCCAGAGGGGGGCCCCGGTGACCCCCGTCCGGGTGAGGGAACACGGTTTCCATTTATATAATTCATCATAAGAGGTCTTTGGGCTGCTCTTTGTCTGATCCCTCACCTAGGACCTGTTTGCCATGGGTAATCCCACCAGAGGCAGAAAGCCTCAGACAACTTAGCTCCTAGGATCATTGAGACACTCAAACCCCTCCACCACGATAAGGTGGCAGCCCAGGGAGAGGTTAATTTCAGTAATTAAACTACACTGAGAGACCAATTAAGGACTCAGAATCCCTTTACAGGTTTTTCTTTTTGCAATTATACATTTTTGTTGATTGGGGTCATGTTTTATATTAGAATAGTGTAATGTTTTCTTATAGATCCTCCTTGTAAGTGCCCATTTATTTAACTTTTTCTGTTTTATAATAAACATTTGGACACATTTTGTCACGTTCAAATCTTTTTAGTCCTTTATATTTTAGTATTACAGTAATTTTTACTAAATTAAATAAGTTTAATTGGGGGAAACCCATTTTTCTTTCATTGTTTTGTAAAAAAAAGTAACAAAATTGTTATTTTTCTGGTAATTAGTTACTTTTATTATCTTGTAACTCAGTAAGTAACTGAGCTGATTTTTAGACAAAGTAATCTGTAAAGATCTTAACACTGGTCGTCATTAAATGTGATAAAGTTGTTGAATGTGGATTTAATAAAGGTAATAAAACTGTCATGTGAGAGTGGAGAGCCCTGAGTTAAATGATCTATTTGTAATTAACAGAAAGGAGCAAACACAGCTAATTGTGTTTTCTCAGTGGGACAAAAAAAGAGCTCAGAAGTGACAGTGTGGATAGAGGGTGTTACCATGGTAACTGCTGCTAACGATGCAAATGATGCTCTGTGTATTTTAGGATCAGTGTTCTCTCGTTTCATCCTGACTGGCGTGTGGAAGAACCTGATCGATGTTCTGTCCACGCCGCTGACGGGCCGCATGGCGGGCAGCTCCAAGGGTTTGGCCTTTATCCTGGGAACAGAGGGGCTGAAAGAGCAGAGCCAAAGAGAGAGAGACACCATCTGTCTGAGTTTAGATGGACTACGGAAAGCTGCTGCACTCAGCTGTGCTCTGGGTGGGTGGAACCAGCTATCTGTCTGCAAAGACAAGAGGAACCTTTCATTAAATCAAATGTTATTTAGGTTCAAATCACCTGGCCATACACTGAAAACCCAGTAATCCAGATTAAAAGATGTGAAAGGTTTTGTAGTTTTGTTATTAGGAGCCTGCCTCTGACCTACACAGGGAGAAAGCCCATGCACTAAGGGGTATTCACTTCTAGGTCTGGAGGTCCGATATCCAGCCCATTTTAGTGGTTTCTCCAATTCAACACACTTGATTCATCTGTTGCAGCAGCTCATCAGGCTCTGCAGAAGCCTGTTAATCACCTGCTGATTGAAATCAGGTGTGTTGAAGCAGAGTTAAAACTAAAACGTGCTGGATACCAGACCTCGGCCTGATTATTCTGTTTTATTTATTTATTTTTTTAATTATCTTTTATAATAGAAATTTTCTAAAATGATGAAAATGTAGCTTGTAAATAAAAGGGGCTCAAACCAAAGGAGCAGAATGAGGGAAAGCAAAGGATTTAAAATAATAACTGACGTAGTTTATCTATCGATCTATCTATCTGTCTGTCTGTCTGTCTGTCTGTCTGTCTGTCTGGATTAAGACCAATAGCACCTTTCAAGACCAATGAAGAAACTTTTCATTGATGGTTGAAGTCCTATCGGGGTTTCACAGCTATGCACTGATAGTAGTCTGTCTGTGTTTCAGGTGTTGCTGCTAACTGTGCTTCAGCTTTAGCCCAAATGGCTGCTGCTTCCTGTGTGCAGGAGGACAAGGAGAAGGAGGTGGTCGAAGTGGGAGGCACCATCACACAGGGTACGCACAACAACGGCTACAAAACAACCGCTACACTAAAGCTACATAACAACTGCACACTACAGCCACACCAGTACAACCATTACACACAAAAATCACTTTACAACAACCCCTAAATAGCAACACTACACACAACGACTACTACAAAAACTGCCACACAACCACAACACACAGAAAGCTACACAACGCCTCACTATTGTAACATCTGTTTGAGTCATTGTACCCTGAGAGATGACTGTCAGGTTCAAGGCTTCTAATCACAATGTCACAAAATAAAAATGGTAAATGGCCTGTATTTTAAAGTCTTGGAACCCCCAAGGCACTTTACAGCACAATCAGTCATTCACACACACATTCACACCCAAGTGGGGATGAGCTACAGTATAGCCACAGCTGCCCTGGGGCACACTGACAGAGGCGAGGCTGCCGAGTCACCGCCACCGGTCTCTCCGACCACCACCAGCAGGCAAGGGGGGTTAAGTGTCTTGCCCAAGGACACAATGACAGCGACAGACTAAGCAAGGCTTGAACCTTCAACCTTCCGATTACAGGATGAGCACATAACTCCTGTGCCACCGTCGCCCCTCCACAAAGTCCAAATTAAAAACTCTCAGCTCTGATGGAGTCAGAAATGAACCTTTACTGACATTTACTGGTCACTTTGTGAATCTACACTTCTGAATACTGAACACTCGTAGCCAGTAGAATGTAGAATATTTGCCTTTAGACAACTGTGCAGTAAATCACTGTTTTTAATGTAATAAAGGCTGAATCCTGGTTTGGATGGATCTACCTGATGAGGTTTTTCAGCAATTAATAAAGATAAAAATAAAATGAGGTTTTTTTCTGAGTAAACAACAAAACCTGTAAACTAAATAAGGTGGAACCAAAGCCTGAAGGTTCTTCATATACTCTACATGTTACAGAATAAGTGTACATGTACCGTGGCACCTTTAGTCAAAAAAAAGTGTGTGTGTGTGTGTGTGTGTGCGTGTGCGTGTGTGTGTGTGTGTGTGTGTGTGTGTAGTAAAGCAGCGTATAGAGCAGATCAGAATGCCTCCGGGCATTCGTCTCCACACGGCTCACGTCTTGTGCATGGATGCAATCCTACACGTGGGGCTGGAGATGGGCAGCCACAACCACGACTGCTGGCCACATGTCTTCAGGTACACACACACACACACACACACACACACACACACACACACACAAGTTATAATATTGTCTACCTGTGTAATTTTCCTTCAGAGTGACTGAGTACATCAGCTCCCTGGAGCACACACACTTCAGTGACGGTTCCTCACAGACGTCCTCTCTCACCACCATCACACAGCAGAACCAGCAGGCGGCTGGCATCGACCAGGGCCTGGAGCTGAGCTGTGAGCCTAGTTCAGACGCTGGAGAACTAGGCCTTAGCCAGCCTGTCATCCAGCCATTGTCCATTCAGGAGCTGCTGAAGGAGAGCAGCAGGGGGGGTCGTGGTCTTGACCTGAAGAGTGGCAGCCTGATGACTGGAACAAGCGCCGCCAAGGCTGTGTGCATGCTGTCCACGCAGGTAGACAGGTAGGTCAGAACACACCTGGCGGAGGAGCAACACAGAGAGGGAGAATAACTACTTTACTTCTGGTTCAGTCAGTCATTAGATTCATGTGTCAGAAATTATGTTGAGTTCTTCTAAACTGAACTTTTGTTTCATTAACTTCAGAGTTCCTTAAAGAGCAAGTAACGCCTGAATGAACTTGTTTTGCTGATAACCTGTATAGACGAGTGTCTAATAGTGCTGTACACATGTGTAATCATTAGTGTGGCAGTTTAGTGCAACTTACTTTACATTTAATATTTCAGCCCAAAACCATAATTATAACTCCATCTTCAGGTTAAAACTCTGCTCCATATTTATGCAGAACCAGCTGTGGCTGATGGCCAAGCTGAAAAATGGTGTCAGCAGGTTACTACGTGGCTGCACTGCACTGGTCTCCAGGTGAGGCAGCGGCACCTCCACCTGGCTCAGCCACTCACCTGCTGATATGATACATTAGCGCTCGGAGCCGCTTGCCTCCGTGAAAAAAATGCCCTCCTCCCCCTTTCATCTAATGATCGTGGTTAACATGAAATCCTCCAGAATGCTGCAGAATCTGTGTCTGCTCTTCTCCTGAGCGGTAAGTCTGCTGTTAGTGTGTGCTTGCATGCACTCACGAGTGCGCACGCGCTTGTGAACAATTTTTTTTTGACTGAGAAACTTCGACAGCACATGCAGGGGGGTTGAGTGGGGTGCTGTCTATCACTGCCTCAGTGCCGCTCTCTTGGTCCACCAGGCGACACCTCATTCAGAAGCATTTTCCTAACAGGAAGTATGGATGAGATAAGGAGAAGAAGAAGAAGAAAATATCATTTCTATTGCGCCTCTCAAGATAAAGATCACGAGGCGCTTCACAAAAACAAAAAATGTAAAAAAGAATTTAGAAAATTGTTAAAAATATATTTAAAATGAGCAAAAAAATAGACAATTGTGGCTTAGATGAGTAAAATAGAAGTTAAATTCAAGTAAATGTAATTTAAAACTGGGTGTTACTATTACCAGTAGACGGTACCACACTGCAGTCACATTCAGTAACACAGAACTGTGTTAAATCGATTCTAATTTCAGGCAGGCTAAGCGTCTAAAATGTGTCACCTGCTTTGTCTCTCCTCATTGCAGAAATACATTCCTCAGACAAGTTACGCTGACTTAAAAAGGCACCAAGTGGTTCCATTGAAGTCTCCGTCTCTTCTCCCTCCGTTTCCTCCTGTAGAGACTCAAACATCCCGCGAGATGTTGCCGTTTTACCGTTATTATTCATGCCATTATTACAAGTTATAGAACACGTTATTTTGAAAAACGTTCTTGTTAAAATGTGAAATAAATCAGGTTTTAATGAGAGTTTCTAATTTCAACAAGAAAGTATTTCGTAATAACGAGAAACTTTGTCGTTAAAACGATATTTATTTCACGTTTTAACGAGAACATCTCTCGTGATTACGAGATACTGGTCCTGAGTTTTTTCCCCCGCACTGATGGTAATACGCTTCCGTAATTTTTTCATAACGTCACGTTTCACATTTCTGTTTGTGTAGCATTAGCATAGCGTGCTATTAGTGCTAACAAAGGAAGGTGCAAATATAGACATGCACAAGTATGAAACAAAGCAGCAATCCAGTTCAGTCTTTCTAACCAAACAATAAAACGTGGCCCAGCCAGCTGGGGATGTGGCCGAGACACAGCTGAAGTCCAGTGCAACCATGTAGTATGGCACAGACGTCACCCTTCACCTCTACAGTCATCAGCTGTGACTGATTCTACATCAGTGTGGGGCAGAGTTTTACCCTGAAGATGGAGGTACAATTACGGCTTTGGCTGGAATACTAAACAGCACTATTAGACACTCATCTTATGTGTTATCAGCAAAAAAAAGTTAATTAAGTGTTACTCACTCTTGAAACAAACACTTTACCATTTTGGCTTGCTTTTAGCAACCCCTAGTGTCCGATTTAATTCACTATAATAAAACTAAAACGCTCCTCCTCACTGTCCATTCCAGTGATGGTAAACTCTGTTATTTTCACTGAATCATGTTATTGAGTCTCTCGCCAAAATTAATCAGGCTTTTTTGAGTCCCTAAATCAGTTGCCCAGAGTGCAAAATAAATAAATAAAAACTACATTTTTGCTCAATCATGGGTGACTAAAAAAAGACAACTTTCCATTTTAAGCTTAAAAAAACACCCCTGAACTGAGTGAAACTAGTGAGTCCGATGGAAGAAATTAACTGTACACACACAATCACATACACATTGCCAACAGCATCAAAGAACACTAAGACACACACTTACACAGAGTCTAAGACACTGTGTAACCATACAGTTAGATGTAGACACAAAACCACTATGTGATAGAAGTCGCAGCTCAGCAAATACTGGGTTCACCTTTGGGTTTGAAAGCTAAGTGATAAAAGTGGGCATTTCAGGTGAGATTTAAAGAGAGGAAGTGACATGGCCTGCCTGATCTGCCAGCAGAGCATTTCACAACCTGTGCCCTGAGAATACAAAGACCTTTTACCCTCTTGTTACGCAATGCACTTTTGGGACCTCGAGTAATGACTGATCTGCTGATCTCAGACAACAACTCTGTGTGTCAGGCTGAATGATGTCCTAATGATAGGATGGGGCCATGAAGTGTAATGCTTTAAACACAAATGAAAGAATCTTAGATTTGATCTTAAACTTGATTTTCCAGTCAGGAAACGTGCTGCAGTATTTTGCACCAGTTGCAGGCGTTCCAGTATAGCTTTCAGCCCCCCTCACTTTGAGTAAGAAGCTGAAATGCTATATATGCACAATGGGTACTCTGAATGCCCTAAATTAAATTACACGGTCAACAGAAATCATTCTGTCATCCATGGCACTAATCAGCCTCCATACGAGCATAAGATAAGTCACCCAGTTCAACTATAATTTTGTTTCCACTTGCATTCACAGGAAAATTAAAACATTGTAACTTTTAATAAATTGTCAATAGAATATAAATGTATTCAATAAAATGTAATATTCCATGAAAATATGGATTATCAATAATATTGACCCTTTAATATTCAATTGATGATGAAACTAGGTACTTTGGTTAATCCAGGGAAACAACACTTTATAATAATTTGACACAGAGACAAAAATATAGTTTATAAAAATCTATTTATTACTATATTAATGATGATGAAAGGCTAATGATTATTAATGATGATTCAAAGTGATTTTAAATGAGACAATGAATGAACTCTGTTGAAACATGGAGATCCGGTCTGCAGGCGAAGCCGTCTCTCAGAGCAAGTGAGTGGACTTCTGATGTATCTGATGATCGTAGGCACCCTCAGCATACGCACGACTGGTCAAAAGATACTTTCCAGGTGGCTTCTGGCAGACAATTTCACGTCTAATGAGTGTGTGGTTGATTGAGAAAATAATAATTGTTCATTCAAAAAGGATGTGCAAATGCCGCTAAAATTGTTCCACTGAAAAATCTGGTTTGATTCCCCTTAGAAAGATCATGAGCTGTGAGCTTTGGATGAACTCTGAGCTCTGGCAGAACTGAGTTCACTTTTAATGAAATAGTTGTTTATAAATTTTGACCAACCAGAGAAATTTGTATAGGTGTTTACCAAGACCCTCAGGCACTCCCCTTTCTGTGATGCTTAGAAAGCTCATTGCATTTAGTATATGCAGTAAATCTGTTCAACATTCATTTGTTAACACAGAATATGATTGTAAACCTATAGATTGAAAGAGATTTTTATGAGACCAAACTAACAATTGTTTTATTAAATTGAGTAAGAGTCTCGTCTTCTGCATTAGACCTTGGAGTTGCAGCTTTTTGTAAATAGTGGCAGAAAAGAAGTCAGGCGATGGAATTGTTTTGACTACCTTCTCAAACAGCAAGGTTAGAAGCGGTGCGTTTTCTGCTTTGGAGACCAGACAGTTGAGATGTGGCACAATGTCTGTTGACCTCTGACACTGCTGTGGAAAAATAACTTTGTTTGCCATTTCCAACGTTACAACATAAATTCCAACTGTATCCCTTTGACATGGAACCTCAACAAAATACCCCCCTGAAAGTCCATCTATAGCACCAGAACACATTTTAAAAGTCTCTGATTGGTGCACTCTCTCTCACCCACACACAACCAAATAGTCCACAAAAAAAGTAACATAAAAAATGCAGCCGTTAGCAAAAGGAAACAAGTGCTATACCACCAAACAAAGGATGGATCTCACCGGGTTCCACAGGTATCAACCCCAGTCAGCCTTCAATCTGGCTCTACTGCACCACAGTCAGACAGGTAATCCCCAAAGGCATCCTCATATGACAGAAATGTTCCGTCACTCGGCACTGTCTGTCAGGTATTTCCTCTTTTTAATCTCTAGGTTTAAATTTTTAACAGTCCCTTGTTCAGATTTTTTACTCTCAGGTAACATAGGAGACTTTTTGGATCAAATAGTCTTTAGCAAGACCCCCTGACACCTGCACCACACCCCCGCATGCTCAGGTTTTGTGTTTCTCTCTCCTCTCTCCCCCACCTGACGCATTCCTCTTATTAGCTCGGAGCGTGGTAAGCAAAGGGGATAAAAAGAAAATGAACAAACCTGGTCTATTACAGAAAATCACTGCTGTAGGGTTTACATTTACACTCCTGGATAATTGATAAACATAACTAATATGCTCTGTGTAACAATATATTTCCTAGAATATTTTATTCTTTTTGGACCTGCCTAATGTGGCGGTGTCACACCTGTGAAATCCCATAAATCAACACGTCCAGTCATCCATTCTTTATGTTACAAAGTCATGGACTATGGTCTGAAAGCTGCATCTAGAAAGAATCTATTTTACTTAGGCTAGATGCCTCAACTGTAAGAAACAACATTTAACCACCGAGTTCCCCTGATTCTCCAGTTTCAGCTGCAGGTCAATCTTAACTCCCAAGTTTGTTATGGTGATCTTCTCTAATGCTGCAAATACATGAAAACAGTTTAATCCACAAAGTGGCAGCATCCACACAGAGGTGTGCGTGCGTATGTGTGTACTCATCTTTATATGGTTAGGTGGACAGATTTGAACTTTAAAGGTGCAGTATGTAAGAATATAGTGAGAACTTTACAGTGAGAAAATCCCAAAAGAGTCTAATGTTTCGGTCATTTAGAAAGGAAGCTTATACTGAAACATTTCATATCCAGCTGGCTGCGGGGATTGTCAGTTTTTCTCATTTCAAAACAAAGGAATGAGGGACATGGGGTTGCCGTCTCTCTTACGAGCCAATACTGCAGCGCCGACTACTGTATTTTGAAAATGACCAGCAAAAAGCTCCTAGTTATTTAACGTGGTTGTAGTAACCAACATGATGTCATTTTTACTTCATTTCTACACAGTGCACCTTTAATCTGTAATGTAGCATGTGGACATTTTTACATTGTGGGGACATTTTGCTGGTCCACAGTAGAGCATCCTAAAACATGGTTTTAGTGGATTAGTTTAGGATAGGATTAGGAAGAGAACAACATTGGTTATGGTTAGAGTCAGGGTATGGGTTAGGCATAGTGGAGTCACTAAAATCAATGGAAGTCAATGGAGGTCCACACAAACATATAAATACAAGTGTGTGTGTGTGTGTGTGTGTGTGTGTGCGTGCGCGTGCGTGTGTACGCGCGTGCGTGTGTGTTATGAGGATCATCTCTTATGTAAGCTCTTATCTGGGCTGCATTGGGAGAGAATAAAGCCGTTCTTTTTCTGATTTTTTGGAACAGATGGACAGAACACTTTTACAAGCTGGAAATGGTGGCAGAACATAGTAAACACCTCACAGCCCCAACCCAATAAGCCCGGCTTTGCACGCAGTGCTGTTAGGCTTCAGCTGACTGTTACTCATAAGCTCTTTCTGTTTCATAATTTTTATTTAAAGTATGCATACAGAGTAACAGGAAATATACTTTCGTATTTGTTGTAACTGTATACCACCTTGTTTTCACATTCTGTGGTAAATGTTGAGATGAGAAAAGAAAAAACAAAACAAGAAAAGCAAACAAAAAATACTATATGTATTTTTTATAATTATATACAATTGCAAGAAAGTGTGTATGTTCACATATCTAAAGTATAATGCCATTTCCACCTGAGAAAACTCTTAGAACATATCTCTGTACATAAATCTTACAACATACACAATGTGCCTGGTTACTGCACGGCAAAACTCAAACCTTGAAGTAGAAGCATTAATAGAATAAATTGGTAAAAAAGAGAAATGAAGAGGTGAAGAGAAAAGAAAGGAAAGAAAAGTCCAGAAAAAGAGGTATCAAGAGGAAGTTGGAGGGGAGGTGCCAGGTGGATTTAAAAAGATCAATAAATGTTTGTCATTTTCTGAAGAATTTTTTCAGACTGCGCTGTCTTGAATACCATAGTTTTTCAACTTTTAAATAGGACACAACCTCGTTCATCCACAGTGTGCGGTACGGCAGCGTGGTAGATTCCCACTTCAGGAGGAGATGTTGTCTCACCATCAGGAAAGTGAAAGCCAGAACCTCGAGTTGTATTGATGAGAAATTGGTGTATTTCTCAGGAAGTCCAAAGATTGCTACATGAGGGGAGATATTAACAGTTTTAGGAAGTACCTTTGACATCAAAGTAAAACCACCAAACATTCCCTACAGCTGGACAGGAATAAACCATGTGGGTAAGATTGCAGGGCGAACTGGAACATCGATCACAGATATCAACGGCATTAGGGAAAATTTGAGCCAGTTTAGTTTGAAAATAATGGCATCACATTTTTGGTAGTTAGATGACAATCATAAGATTTTATAGTGCCATTGACTATGTTGGTATGCTCCTGCTTTATTCATTTGCGTCGCCTAGCTAAAATTAAGCCATTGCTATCACAGACCCACTTGGAACAAATGCTCCATGCCCTTGTGATATCAAGGCTGGATTACTGTAAGGAACCGAACTGTATTAGAATGTTTACTGTGTGAAGTGCCTTGAGACGACCCTTGTCCTGATTTGGCATTATATAAATAAACTTGAATAGAATTTAATTGTGCTAGTATTACTTGGTAGATCTTTCCACATCTGTGGAATGACACATGAAAAGAGTCTGGATTGTCCTGAGCGTGGTGTAGGCACTGCTAGTCGACAATCCTTCGATGACCGGAGTGGCCGGGCCGTGATGTAAGCCTTTGCAAGAGGATTCAGGTAGATGACAGTTGTACCATCCAGGACTTTGTATGCTAATGCTAACATTTTGAATTTGATGCGTGCTGCTAGCAGTAGCCAATGGAGCTCAATGAACAAAGGGGTGACATGCTATTTTAGGCTGATTGAAGACCAGATGCGCCGCTGCCTTCCGGATCGTTTGAAGAGGTCTCACAGTACAGGCTGGAAGACCAGTGTTATAGAAATTTTATGTTTTATTATTTTACGTATTTGTTCTTTGTTTTGTTGTTTTCTATTTGTTTGGTTACCCTATTCGGATAAACAGGAGGGATTACGTTATAGAAGTGGAGTAATCATTAATCAAATAAATCCTCATTCGTTTCTCATTAGTTGCTCATTAGGTAGGCCAATTTTGAGACCATTATTGTAAAATATTCCAGATTATTGTCACAATAAAAAATATGTGTAACATGTAATGGTCAGAGTTCACTTAAAACTGTCAGTTAAATAAATACAAAACTGAAGCCCACAAGGACAAGACCAAAATATTTTTTGTTAAGTGCTTCTTTAGATGAAAATCATAAGTTGCTTCACAAACACATTAAAAAATTTAAAAAAAGTTTTAATAAGTTAATAATGGGAGAACATTAATAGCTTTAAATGGTTTTATGCTGTGTGTATTGTTGGAGAAGGCCATAGAATGCAAAGGTTAACACAATGTCCACAGACTGCTTCATCAGTGTGTCACACATTAACTGTCTGGTCTCCAAACCAGAAAACAGCTCGTGACCTGGCCAACGGGAGGTACAGTCATAACAGAATCTGAGCTTCAAGTCAGAGACAATTTATTAAAAGTAACCACTTACAAAATGTTACATATGATTTTTATGTGACTATACTGTATATAATGTGTTGAACCTTGATTTGAAGAAAATCATGAATCAAACTGAAATCACAATTTCTCCTGGAAATGTTTTTCTTTTTCTAAAATCGTTCGGCCCTAGTAAGATATTGGTTTTCATTTTTGATAGAACATTCTGTTTATTTTATTAGGTTATAAAGTTGACAAAGGAAAACCTGTTTACTGATGTGTTTAATATGGAGGTTTGATGTTTGTTGACAATGAAGTAAAAATTCATTAATAGATCTAAAAATAATTCTGCTGCTTGCTTTGGGTGTTTTTCCCTTATTGTAATTTGATGCAATTTATTCTATGAAATTAAAAAAAGAATTTTTATTCTATCTACATATAAAACACACATTAGTTTTAGGAGTAATAGGGACTATTGTTAAAACTTCTAAAGAGCGACTTATGGCTCCAGACATGCATGTTGCAGACCCCTGATATATTCAAACTGCTTTTCTGGGTTACAAATGCTCTAAATGTGTGCAATAAAGTTGTCACGTTTAGGAGGGTAGGACCCAAATTGCAGAACCCAGGATGACACGAGGCAGGAGTGGATATGTAAAGTAAAAATCCTTTATTTGGAGGAAGAACAAAAATAAATCCAAATGTGAGGGAGCCAAAATCCAAAAATCCAGGGAGTCAAAAAACACCAGAGGAACGAGCAGACTGACAGAACAAATAACGCTGACAAACAACAATGGACCGACAAGAACAATGAGACAAGGAGGGCTTATATAGACAGGGAGGAGCAATTAGGGAAACAGGAAGCAGGTGTGTGGAGTGAGGCTGGAGGGAAGGCAGGTGACAGCAATTATCTGGATGGGGAAGAGAACCAGTGGAGGGCAGATAAACTTAACACTATATAAAACACAAAACTAAACCTAAAGACTACGGGAAAAACTCACACAAACACATACACATACTGACACACACAAACTCATACACACATACAATGAACTGGGGAACAAGAGGCTGTGACTACAACTTAAGACACACAACAGAGATGCAGACAAAGGACACATGAGGGCGCTAAGAGAACACAAAAGGGAATCCAGAGAGGGATGGAGAAACATTAGGAGACACATGGGGAAAGACGCAGACAAAGGACACATGAGGGCGCCATGAGAACACAAAAGGAGAACCTGGAGTGGGAACTGGAGGGGCTGGGGAACAAAGGGACACAGAACATGACAAAAGTAATATCTGCAATAGCTCCTCATCACACCAACAACATCTCACTAAAACTTTAATCTATAAACCTCAATAATATCAGAAATCTTCATGTGACAGAAACAGACTAGACCTAATATTTCTAATAACTCTCTCTCTCTCCCTCTTTGTGTGTGTGTGTGTGTGTGTGTGTGTGTGTGTGTGTGTGTGTGTGTGTGTGTGTGTGTGTGTGCGCATGCACATGTGTGTGTGTCAGGTTATTTGAAGAAGCAGTTACGAAGCTGAACTTGGTCAGTCTGGTTGGGTTCCTGCAGCAGCTCAGAAAAGCTTCTCAGTCGCAGCTGTTTGACTCTGTTACAGAAACTGGAGATTACTCTCTGGCAATGCCAGGTACACTTGTGCACGCACACACACACACACGCACACACACAAAAATCTATACATTTTTACATCAATGTTTGTGAGGAAATCACAGATCAGATTTTCAAGCCTAATCTCATATTAAAAATGAGTTGTCATATCATTTATTTGTTGGAAATAATAAATATTTTCCCAGTTTTGGAAATAATATTTGTATTTTTCTTCTGACTACAGAGCCCTTCATATCCAGACTGAACCTTCTCTGTTGGTTACAGGAGAAGCCAAGTCCACGTTGGACCGACGCTGCGCTCTGCATCTCTTTCGTCTGGGTGAGGCCATGCTCCGGGTCGTCAGGAACAAGAACCGGCCCCTGCTGCACATGATGAGGTCCTGGAGCGTGGTGGCGCCCCATCTGGTGGAGGTCAGGAACTGCTAACCTGATGCTCCAGCTCCATGTTTATTAGTTTATTAATACATTCATCTTTGCACTTTTGAAACCCCATCTTTATTTTTTGTTGTTTGTTCATATTTATTAAAAGTTCTGTTTTCGGCTCTGGACCTTTTTTAAATACAGTGCAAAAAAGAATTAAACCTTAAACCTTTGATGCATAATGGTCGTTACAGTTGACGGGTATTCAAAATTGTTATTTATTTACTTATTTTTTGCTGTTAAGCACAACTGTTGAAGACTTTATTGCATTTGAGCCCCTCCTTTTGGACTTCAGTACGTCAAGCCAACATGTTTCATGTTCAGAATGCATGCTGTCCACTGAGGTGGACATGTAATAAATTATTTGTAAACTATTAAATGTTACAAAAAATATTTGTTGAAATTTGTTTCATTCACACCTAAAGATGAATGAAAAAAATAGTTAAAAATATCATGGTTGAAGATTTCATAATTCATGCGTCAGAGGGTTAAAGGCCAGAATTATGCTGGAGTCAGGAAAACAAAACAAAACAAAAGAAATAAACAGCTGTTTTCACTGATGGTTCTGGTGAGACCCGTCTCCTTAGTAACAGTCATGTCTGCTTTCGTGTTTGTTTCTTGTTATCTTCCTGCTGACGGGCCTTCCTGTGAGATCCGTGTTTTGTTTTCCTCATGGTGGCTCTAATCATTTGGATTCCTTCCAGGCTGCATGTCACAAAGAGCGCCACGTGTCCCAGAAGGCCGTTTCCTTCATCCATGACGTGCTGACCGAGGTCCTGACGAGCTGGGCTGAGCTGCCTCATTTCCACTTCAACGAGGCACTCTTCAGACCTTTTGAGCACATCATGCAGCTTGAGCTGTGTGACGAGGATGTGCAGGACCAGGTACCAGACCCCGGCTCATCCCCAGGGTTTAATTCTACTCACTGACCCGTTTGTGTCGCGCTAGGTGGTGACATCAATCGGCGAATTGGTGGAGATGTGCTCCCCCCAGATCCTGTCGGGTTGGAGGCCCCTGTTCAGCGCTCTGAGGACCGTGCATGGCAGCAAGACAGACACCAAAGACTACCTGCTGGGGGAGTATTCCATGGGTGAGTCTTGTTCTACAAACAAACATTTGACCTGCATTTTTCTCATTCATTAAATCTTTATGTGCTGCTTGTTGTATTAATTTTATTTTCTTGTTCCTGATTAAAATAAATAAATTCATCATCATATTTCTTTGGTTCCAACGAACATGTGAGTTGATACAAACTCAGGGCAGGTCCTGTTGTACCAGCAAGCACATTTTTGTCTTTGATGGTGCTGAGCGTTAGAAGAAATGACGTAATCGAGGGGAACACTGACGTGTCATTGGTGCGCCGAGGGGGAGGTGCCAACACAGCGAGCACAGTATTAAGGGATCAGACTAGTGGTGCAGGCGGTCCCTCCCACCACCACCAGGGGCATGGGGGTTGTAAAGTGTCTTGCCCCAGGACACAACAACAACAAACTGAGTGGGGAGCAATCCTGCAACCCACCTGTTAAGTGGTGGGCACTAAACTCATGGCCTGGCATTCCAGGCAGAGTGCAGCACACAGAACAACCTTTTGACTTCATACTAAGAAAGTGCCTTTTGTTTACAAATCAGATGGCTTTAGAGAATTTTGGAGCGTTAGCCTCCTTTACCTTATTTTTATTGGCATGTGTTTTTTTATTCCTAGCATTCGATCGTATGTTATTGACAATAACAGCGTCTACAGCTAAAGCTGCTCGGATGCTTTTCTAAAGCAGAAATCTGGTTTTCTCTAACATGTTACTCCATAGGCCAGTCCCAGGCGCCGGTGTTCGATGTCTTTGAGGCATTCATCAACACCGACAACATCCAGGTCTTTGCCAACGCAGCCACCGACTACATCATGTGCCTGATGAAGTTCGTGAAAGGCTTGGGTTTGTCTTTTTACTGTTTCGTTCACATTTCAGGCTCTTCTGAGTCTTCCAGGCCTCTGGTTTCATTGGTAACTCTCATGCTGCCTGTATTTCAGAGGACTTCTGTGCTGTTTGTTGCTAGTTTTTTGTGTTTCTGTCTCCTGATCGCTACATGCAGGAGAAGTGGACTATAAAGAGATTGGAGACTGTGTTAACATGTCCGGTTACTCCTCCACCGACCTCTGTGTTCCTGCTCTCGACTACCTGCACAAATGTTCACAGGTGCTCATAGGTCAACCATGTTACCTGCCTTTTACTCTCTTCCCTCCCTTCTGTAAATTAACTAATATAATATCTTCAGCTGCTTGCAAAGATCTACAAGATGCCATCCAAACCAGTGTTTCTTGGCGCTCGGCTGGCGAACCTGCCACAGCAGCGCTCCATCAGCAGTGAGGATGAGGTCGACTGCTTCATCCAGGAGTTTGATGATGACACAGGTGAAGAGGAGTACCCTTTCCTCCATCAGACTATTCTCAGCTTCTCTAAGCTCCGGTCTATCCCATGTGATCCGGCAGGTCTAATTCAGGTGTGGATTTTATTACTGGAGCAGCTCACGGCCGCCGTGTCAAACTGCCCCCGACAGCACCAGCCTCCAACCCTGGAGCTGCTCTTCATCCTGCTCAGAGAGGTCACCATTGTACCAGGTGACACACACACACACACACACACACACACACACACACACACACACACACACACACACACACACACACACACACACACACACACACACACACACACACACACACACACACACACACACACACACACACACACACACACACACACACACACACACACACACACACACACACACACACACACACACACACACACACACACACACACACACACACACACACACACACACACACACACACACACACACACACACACACACACACACACACACACACACACACACACACACACACACACACACACACACACACACACACACACACACACACACACACACACACACACACACACACACACACACACACACACACACACACACACACACACACACACACACACACACACACACACACACACACACACACACACACACACACACACACACACACACACACACACACACACACACACACACACACACACACACACACACACACACACACACACACACACACACACACACACACACACACACACACACACACACACACACACACACACACACACACACACACACACACACACACACACACACACACACACACACACACACACACACACACACACACACACACACACACACACACACACACACACACACACACACACACACACACACACACACACACACACACACACACACACACACACACACCACTTCTCTCTTATGGAAAGTTGTTTACACCAGATGTTGCCCTCTGGATGGGAGGCTGAGTGAGCTGTGATGCATTTAGAGGCACCTGGGAGAAACTTCTTCCTAATAATTGCATATAGACTCTGAAAGTTCATTAAACATATATTTGGTAGCTGTGAGTCAGTCAAAGGTACAAATTGAGTTCCTGAAAAAGCTGTTACCTTTTGAACACTCATAGTCTAATGGATTGAGTGAGGTTTTTCCAGGATTGTACATTTCAAAAGCAATTACATTTTTCTTGACCAAACGTTTGATAAAAATAGTTGCCATTGGAATTTGAAGAGTAGGGCTGGATGATATAAAAAATAAACATACTGAATAAAAAATTCATCCATTTTTATCCACTTATCCGGAGTCGGGTCGCGGGGGCAGTAGCCTAAGGCGAGAGGCCCAGACTTCCCTCTTCCCAGCCACTTGGGCCAGCTCCTCTGAGGGAATCCCAAGGCGTTCCCTGGCCAGGTGAGAGACATAGTCCCTCCACCGTGGCCTGGGTCTACCTTTAGGTCTCCTCCCGGTTGGACGTGCCTGAAAAACCTCACCAGAGAGGCGTCCAGGAGGCATTCTGACCAGATGCCTGAGCCACCTCAACTGGCTCCTCGATGTGGATGCCAAAAATCCTAAGCCCCCCAACACGGGAGCCACGAACCAAGGCACCACACTCCACATCAAATGTGGCAGGGGGAGGGTCGGCGAAGATGTGTAGCAGCACAAGAAGTCCCAGGAGAGGGGAGGAGTCAAAGACCCCACCTGACATATACAGTCATACACAAACACAGTCACACACTCCATTCCTCATGCTCTCACACACACAACCTAAGACTTACAAAAATGAATGCTAGACACCCACTCACTCTCCCCATACACACCCTATTCACTCTGGTCCTGGTACTGCTGCACAAAGGGTACAACCATCACCGGTTACCAGAGTTAGCCCCTTTCTGCTAGGGTGGTGATGAGCAGGCACCCCCACCTAACGCCGAGCAAAGCAACCCACCACCCCAGACCCCAACCAGACGGCCAGCTCCCCCTCCTAGCCTCCAGCCCCGGGAAGCCAAGCAACGAGAGGTGTGCTAAGACCCCTAGTCTCCCTCCGCCTGCCCAAATCCAGTGTTGATGCATGTTGATGAGGTGTATTCCATGGCTGGGGGGAGTGGGCAGTGCAGGCATCGTCTGACCTATGCCAGTTGATGCCACCACACAGCCCCACTTCCCCCCACAGCCCTCAGTGTCTAATTGTAGTTTAAAATTGAAAGTGGGCACCAGCACTCTAGGTGAGGCTGAAAGATCTCCCTGCCAAATGCCGTTGAGTGTACTCACTCCCAAGGCCCTAAGTGTGTGTTTGTGTGAAATGACGTTGGTGGAAGTGTTTAAATGCAAATAAAACTGGGGGGCAGGCTGCCACAGGACTGCAGAAATGGGATCCATACCCAGGCCCCCTGATTTGCCCACCCCCCAAGGTCCTATGTGCATGCTTGTGTGATGGTGTGAGGGAGCAGGAGGAGGAAAATGTTTGGGGATGGGGAGGATTGGAGCCAGCTCCCCCACTTGCCTCAATAGGCACCTCCATTCCCAAAATGCCACCCAGGACATAGAAACCCCAGCCCATCTAGCCAGGGCCCAAAGTAGCAGCATCGCAGAACCCCACGGAGCCCGAGGGCACCCTCCAAGCCCCACCCCAGCAGAATATCTACTCCCATCCCTGCATTTTCACAACTTCCAGAATATGTAAGACAAAAGACATCCAGGTAAGGTTGGGTCCTCCCCCTCCTGGACATCCCCCTCCTCCATGATGGGACAGAATTGTTATTATTTCAGAGGAGCCAAGGTCCACCTGAGGCCCCTGAGCCTGGGCCAGGCACTGCCGCGTGTTCCCGCCTTGATAATAAATATCTCTGAACTTGACCATTATCCATATCACAAGACACATGTGAAGACACAAGACTCCATCTAAATCCTTTTGATAAAATATATTTTCTGTCTCATAAATTGACTTTCTAACTTTACAAGTTATTACAATCATATTCGGTGGTACCTACAATATGGTTTTAAATCTAAAGTGTTTTAATAATGTTGAATATTCTAAAGTAATGAATAATGACTTAACAAATGTTCATTCCTATGATGATTTATTCCAGATCTTAAATTACACCAGAATAGTCTATTTGTTGCGTTTAATTGATTTTTATAAACTATATGTTTGCCTCTGACTCAAATTGTTATGAATGTGTGATTTCCCTGAACTACCAAAAAAACCTGGTTTCATCTTAAATCAAATAGCAAAAGCTCAATAATTCATATTTATATGGAATATCACATCTTATTGAACATTTATTGTAAGTAACCACTTACATCATGTTGCACCTGACTCTTCCCTTCAGGTCCCGGTTTTGCCATCTTTGCTGTCATCCAACTCCTACTTCCTGTGATGTCATTATGGCTGCAGCGTAGTCATGGCGACCACTCATACTGGGACATGGCAGCGGCAAACTTTAAGCATGCGATCGGCCTGTCATGTGAGCTGGTGGTGGAGCACATCAACAGCTTCATTCACTCAGGTAAGACCACCATAATGGTGGTTACCATGGTGATCATAATTAGTTACAGTTGGTTTCCATGGTGATCCTAATTAGCTACTGGTAGTTACTATGGTGACACATTTCTACTACCGATTTAATCAGCCAAACATTTAGTCAGATTTTCACTGAGCTGTCATAATCCCAGTCAGCTGCTACATGCCTTTAATACAGTGGGTACGGAAAGCATTCAGACCACCATCAATTATTGCATTTTTTCCCTCATTAATGTACACACAGCACCCCGTATTGACAGAAAAACACAGAATTTTAGAAATATATGCAGATTTATTAAAAAAGATCAACTGAAATATCACATGGTTCTAAGTAGCAAAAGCAAACTTTTGGGCTAACACAGGCATGAGTAAAGATGCAACAAGTTTATTACACCTCAATTTCAAATTCTTTTCAAATTCAAAAATACTTTATTAATCCCAGAGGGAAACTGATTGCTGTAGTAGCTAAGAATAATAATAATAATCAAGAACAATAACAATAGTAATCATAATAATCAATCATTTGGAGATCCTCTGCCATTTCTCTTTGCAAATCCTCTCCAGTTATGTCATATTGGATAGTGAATGTTGGCAGACAGCTATTCTCCAGAGAAAACCCTGGGCCATTCAGGAACAGTCACAGAGGTGCAGGGAAGCCACTCCATTATTTTAGCTGTGTTCTTAGGGTCATTGTCATGCTGGAAGGTAAACCTTTGGCCCAGTTTGAGGTCCTGAGCACTCTGGAGAAGGGTCTTGTCCAGGATATCCCTGTACTTGCAATCAGTTGTCCTGTCTCTGCAGCTAAAAAACACCCCCATGCTGCCACCACCATGCTTCACTGTGGAGACTGTATTAGTGTTAATTTTGACAAGGATTTTTAATTTAGTTTTAGTCTTTCGACTAAAATTCTTTTTAATTTGAGTCATCCAATTTGTTTTAGTCTCATTTTAGTCGACTAAAATACATGAATTTTTCTTTTGATGCAATAATTTTGGTAAATGGCCTGTATTTGATATAGCACCTTCTAGAGTCCTGGAACCCCCCAAGGTGCTTTACAACACAATCAGTCATTCACCCATTCGCACACACATTCACATGCTGGTGGTGATCAAATCAAATCTCAGAAACAGATAAGATAAAAACAAACAAGATAAAAATAAGATAAAACAATTAGACGTTTTTATTGGATAGAGCCTATGGTTAAAATCTGATGTTAGCCCAGATCTAGACAAGTGGGGGAGTAGAGGAAGGTGGAGTGTACAGTCGGTAAAGACGGCTCTCCCTTGCCCTGCCACATACCTCCATTTAAAAGGCTAGGTTATCCAGAGTTATCTCTGTAGTTATGCTGCTATAGGCTTAGACTGCTGGAGGACATACTGAAGGGAGTGTTTTTCTCCTCAGAAGAAGCTACAATGATGTTCTGCTGAGCTGTGGTGGCCTCAAGGAGAGGGCCATTGGCTTGAACACTGTTGCTAACCACTTAAACATTCTCCCTCTCCTGATAATAACTTTTACTTTCTTTGACATTGAATGTGCTACTGCTAGATTATCCATTTAATTATAGATTCACTAGGATAAGTAGTTTATCTCTCACCAAATAGAATATTTACTAAGAAATCAGAATGTAACCATAGAAACACTATATGGTATATATGTTGTGTGTGTGTGTGTGTGTGTGTGTGTGTGTGTGTGTGTGTGTGTGTGTGTGGGTGTGGGTGTGTGGGTGGGCTGGTGTTGGTCTGTGCGTGTGCTTGCTCTGTCTTCTCGATCCCCAGTGAGTCGTGGTGGATGGCTGCTTATACTGAGCCAGGATTCTCTGGAGGTTTCTTCCTGTTAAAAGGAAGTTTTCCTCTCCACTGTCACTAAATGCTTGCTTAGTATGAGGATTGCTGTAAAGACACCGACACTAGTCAGTAACTTGATGCAATCTGCTGGGTTCCTTATATAGGAAACTTTTTACTGATTGGCTTAATGAACTGACCTGTATTGGAATGTTTATTATGTGAAGTGCCTTGAGACGAGTCTTGTCGTGATTTGGCACTATAAAAATAAACTTGAATTGAAGTCAATTAGACATAAAGGCAAAGGACTGTTCTCATATATAATATGTGCAAGCAATCAAAACAGACTTAAAACAGTTTTTAAGTCATCAGAAGCAGGTACATTCTACATGAAGGCAGATAATGGAATGTAGCTTCAGTGGTTTCTGCAGCTCATTCCAGTCATTGGAAGCAGCAAACTGGAACGAGGAGTGGCCAAAAGAGGTGCGAACTTTGGGAATAACCATAGAGATTAATCTACTGGAACGTGAATTGTGCTGATTGTTGGAAGTGATGAGTAATGAGCGAAGATGTGATGGGGTTCTACTGATGATTGTTTTGTATATGAAATGATACCAATGTAACAACCTGCAGGAATGGAGTTATGACCAGTTAACGAGTGAGTACTGATCACAATGATGAGTAGTGAAAGGGGCACCAGTTACGAAACAGATTGCTGAGTGATAAATGGCATTGAGTTTATGAAGAAGTTTTTTGGAATCAGTCTTATAAATGATGTCACCATAATCTAAGATGGGAAATGATTCTTATTTTGACCAAGGCTTGCTTTGCAGAATGAGTAATGGATGACCAGTTGCAGTAAAGAAACTCAATTCTTGACTTGACTTTAGAATGTAATGAATTAATGTGAATGTCAAATGACAGTGTGCTGTCATCAGGAGTCACCAAGATGTGTTCCAATGTTTGTGTTCTACCGAGACGTGTGTTCTCCGTTTGTTAGCCGTTTAGCTAGCTGAGCAAGGATACACGGGATGTATCTTGTAGCCTAGCCTTGGTTAAAAATTTCCCAGAATGCACCGCAGTATTTTCTAAAGGATGGCAGATCAGAAGCCGGCAGCTACTTCGGGGCAAATTTCTAGTTTAAAAGTATGTCAACTAATTTAAAATGTTTTTTTTAATCCAAAGTAGTTATCTATGGTTGGTTAGTTGCTTATTAATTGCAGCTTCGGTGGCTAGTGAATATATATTTAAGTTAACAAATATATACACCATTTAAAAAGTTAAATGTTCGTTATATATTTATATTGAAACTAATACGTATAGCAACCATTTTTCATTCAGACCTATTAATCAATCCCTTACCATTTAATAGTTTCCATTCTTTTGAACATCTTATTCTTAGTTTTCCTAATCCAGATTTCTAAAATGTAAAACCACTCGTTAGTAGTTTTGTATCGTCCACCAGGCCATTACTCTGAGTTTTTGGATCAGATCTCTGATTTTTTATCTGATTTGGTGCTAAATACTGATAAGGTCATTGTAGTGGGGGATTTTAACATTTATGTGGACACTGAAACTGATAGCCTCAATGTAGCCTTTAGTAATATCTTAGACTCAATTGGTTTTACCCAAAGAATACATAGCTCCACCCACTTCTGCCATCATACATTGGACCTTGTGCTGACTTATGGCATAGAGTGTGAGGAAATAACGATCTTTCCACATAATCCAGTCCTCTCGTACCACTTTTTGATAATCTTTGAGTTTATCATAACTGAGTTCTCGAGACATGAAAGTCAATTTCACTATAGTCTGTCTCTATCTGACAATGCAGTTGCATCTTTTAAATCAACTGTTCCATCTTTACTGCCTTCAGTATCTCAGAGGAATGTAGCAGAGGGCAATATTTTCCTTTCTAGCCCTTCTCAAATTGATGAGTTAGTTTATAATAATACTTCTTCTTTGCATGTGGCATTAGAAGATGTTGCCTTACAGGAAGTTGGCTCCCTGGTTTAATTCTGATCTACAAACTTAAAAACAAAACTCTAGAAAATTGGAGCGAACATGGCGCTCTACACACCGGGAGGAATCGTACTTATCCTGGAAAAACAGTCTTGTGCTTTATAAAAATAAGCTTCAACAAGCTAGAACCGCATATTTCCCATGGCTAATTGAGAAGAATAAGAATAATCCAAAATTAATTTTCAAACTTACACAGAATCATAGCTCTGAACCATCTGATCCCTTAGCCCTTGTTGTGGAATTTATTTTAGAGACTTAATAAAAGAATGAGAAAGCTGTCCATGATTCAAAAGGGTTTAATTTCTATTTTGCAATATCGAAATGAGGAGACAGTCACAGAGGCTCTTCCCAAAGCAGCCTCCGGAGTAAGTCCTCCTCAGTAGAGGCCCCCACACTCTATAAGCCCCCCTTGAAACCCCCCTCACCCAATGGGTGAGAACAAAGAAAGGCTCTACGGTTTCCACTTTTGGTTAAGCTCTGAAGATGTTTGCAGCCGCAAACAAAACGTCAGCAAGGTAAAGAAAAACCTTGTCTGTGTTTAAAAAAGAACCAAAAATGGAATTTGAAGACAAACACAGCAAGAACTTACAAAAGCTGTTTAGGGCTCTACACAGTGTTATCTGTAGGTGTGATCTGGACCCAGACCTTAGGGCTGTGCTTACAAGAGATGAGGGTGTAAACAATGTTTCTCCTGCCCTTTGAAGCAAAACTCTCGGGAAACTGTAGCTAAAAAGAAAAACTTTTATGGCTGTCATAAAACCAACTCCTCTGGCCCCACTGTAAGTTTGTAAGGGTCAAATAAGTAAGAGAGATCAAATGTATCCATTACACCCTCAGCAGCAACGACTTTATGGGATTTTTCACGAATAAAATTGGTTCTATTGAAACAAAGTCTGTTACATCCTCCCTAATGTGATTTCTTCTTCCTCAGTAAGTTATGCAGCATCAAGCTGTAATATTCCTTTTAGTCGAGTTGATACACAGTCCATCCTGTGCTAAATTCTCTCTGCAGACATCGGGCACGAGTCTCTGATCAACCTGATGCTAAAGGATCTCTTCAAGCTGCTGGTGGCTTGTGTTTCTGAACCAGCAGAGACCATATCCAGAGTGGGCTGTTCCTGCATCAGGTCATCACACACATGTTGAAGAAATAAATTACAACTTTTTTTATAGGCATCTTATTAAAAGCACAATTCCCTTCCTTTATATTGTTTCTCTTATTCTCGTACTTGTCGTCTTATTTTCATGCATGTTTGGGGCTGAGATTCAACTGTCCTAGCACAAAGCCCAGTCCACTACCACCCAACCCCTCATGAGGCCTCCTTTCACTGAAATGTTTTTGTTCTCAAGGTACGTGTTGGTCACTGTGGGTCCCGTCTTCACAGAAGAAATGTGGAGGCTGGCCTGCTGTGCTCTGCAGGATGCTTTCTCTGCTACGTTAGAGCCTGTGAAGGTACGAAGAAACACACACACACACACTTAGTCTGCAGTTAGGGCAGTTATGTTGTTCTTTTTCTCATCTCTCCTGATTTAAAGTGGAAGGAGCCTAATTTAATCTTAAATCTGAGTTTTTTCGAATTTTATGAGTTTTTGATGAAAAAACAGGTTTAATGTGACTCTTAACTGAGACCACAGATGGAATTGAGTCACTGTTCGGGTATGGGATGGAACCAGAACCAGTCAGCTCCATGAAAAAAAAGTGTGTGTGTATATGTATATATATATTATACACACACACAAATCTTTAAAATAACATTTATTAACAGCAGAGTCAGTCGACTGATATCAGTTTGTGTTGTGAATGTAAAAATGTATCTGATTACTTCATCCACTGTAACAATCATATTGATTATTTAGTAAGCCCTTTGATCAAAAGCCAGCACTAAAGCATTTTGGTCTTTTGTTTTTTTCCAGAACCTCCTAGCGTGTTTTCACAGTGGCTCAGACAGTTTTTCTGGAGATGCCTGTGAGGTGAAAGTGGCGGCTCCGTCTCATTCTCCGTCAGCTGAAGCAGAGTACTGGAGGATCAGAGCCATGGCTCAGCAGGTCAGTCAGAATTTTTTTGTGTTTGTTTAACTACTTTATTGACCTAAACTCATTGGAGTTTAGCATGATTGTAGAAAGTTCCTGAAGTAGCCGAATGTGTAAAATCCCACATCTTGTTACTCCGTTTAATCAGAGGTAGATGTGCCTCAAGCACAGAGAGGGGAGCAGGCTGAAAAACAGGAGGAGGAGGAAGGCAGGAGGAGAATTTTGTTTAAAGATGTGGTTGCCTAACATTCATTAAAACCATTTTATTGATTGTTCCTTATTATAATTATTCAGTGAATTTTTCATGAAGGCTGAACTCGAGGGCCTTACTTCTGACCTACCTCGTGGATTAGCTTGTGATAGAATAGTTTGTGAGACTCTAGGATTTTAAAAGCTTGACAGAGCTATGTCACACTGTGATATAGCATTCACGGACTCACTCATCTTGACTCACAACGGGGAAGGCTGTTGTTGGTTTGATGTTCAGGAATAAGCAGACAGCGTTTCGACCTGCAGAAGCTAACCACTAGCATTAGCAACTCTAAAACATGGCAAAGCTTTTTCAGCCTATGGAGATAAAACATCCATGTTGCAAGTCAGTGATAGAGACACATTGCTGTTATCCAATCCGAGGATAGATGTCCAAAATATCAGGAAATAAGAGTCCCAAACCTGCCATCTGAAGCTCAGCTGTGATGTGGGAACATTTCAGTTTCTGGTAATGGTGCACCAGTATGTTGTTTTCCTTTGAGACTTACGAGGCATTTTTTCCTACTAGAGACCAATGCAAATGTATTGATTAAATAAATCACCCTCAACCATGTATATAGCTGGATGCCGCTTCAGCCAATCAGAGAGATTGATTATTTTTTTGACCTCTCTGGGGTTGGTAACTAGATGGCACCTGTACTTGGAATAGCCACGGTTACCGGCTACCGGTTACTTTTCCTAACTTTTCTCTGCTAGTAGGGCTGCAACAAATGATTATTTGGATCATTGATGATTTGAAAATTTGTTTTGAGATCATTATGATTTTATGACTATTTATTTAGTTTGGATCTATGTGAAGCACTTTGTGATTCTATGTCTGTGATAACTGCGATATAAATAAAATGTACTTACATATGTAACGTCCAGAAATGGTCAGTTTTCACCTACATATTGACCGACACAATGTCCGGTCACCTACAGACCTAATTCCACTATCTGAGTGGAGTTTCTATCCCGCCTTCTAAAGCCCAGAAGATTCTGCAGCCCTTGTTGACATTCAGGGGGAACAAGATGTCAGCCTATGTTCCCAAACAAAGCCTTTTGATAAGACCACAGGATTGCTCACTCTCATGAAAGAACTTTTACAACTCATAAGTTAAATAATCATTAAATAATAATATGGTTGAAGGAACCAATGTTATATGAATAACTAATCATATTGTAACAAATCTGCAATTGGCATGACAATGCAGAGCTAAGCACTCCACCGCTCCTCTCAGCTTCACTCTCTTGATTATAAATCCGCTGCACCTGTGCGCACTCGGCTGCCACACCCTAAAAGGAAAAAAAAAAAAAGAAAATGCCTTCAAGCTCCACGGACTCTCTTTCACCTGTGAACAGAGTGACGTGAACACAGGCGCACGTAGTGATTTCTACCGAGTGAACAGGCTGTTTTTCTAACCAAAGAGGCTGTTAATCCCTCAAGGATTTGAGACAGACAGATCTGGAAGTTCAATATTTTCAACAGTGATGTCGTCTGGACGCACTATATTCACTTCAACTTGACAACTGATGTAAGTTCCTACCGACTGTACTGAAAAGAAAAAGAAATGAAACCAAAACTTATCTGAAAATTATTTTAAAAGGGATTGCTTACCGTCACCGGATTACCAATTGAAGAGATTCTTCCGTCACGTAAACGATTTACTAAAATGTGAGTTTAAGAAACTAAACTCAGAATTTGGGTTTGCTCAATGACAGGATGAATATGGAAACGATTATTTTAAAAAATTATTTTCTTTGTAGTGGGAACGTGTTTTTCAAACTGCTCATCACTCTGATTTATTAAACGACCCCTGTCAAGTAAGTTTATTTGAATATTTTGTGTATATGTGTGTATATAGAAAAATGAGTGTATTATAAATACAATTTCTTTGTGTGTTTATAGCTTTTTCTATACGAGAGTAAAATTCTTCACTCACCTGAAAGCACCGCTTCTCCTTTATGGATGAAGACAGCTCAATAAACTGAATCTGTGAAACTGCCCAACCTGATTTTCCTCTGGACTATTACTTACATTCATTTCTTGGCCAAACAACTTAACATAAGGGTATATGTCTGGTAATATACAGTGGGGCAAAAAAGTATTTATTCAGCTACCGAATGTGCAAGTTCTCCCACTTAAAATGATGACAGAGGTCAGTAATTTACATCATAGGTACACTTCAACTGTGAGAGACAGAATGTGAAAAAAAATCCATGAATTCACATGGCAGGATTTTTAAAGAATTTATTTGTAAATCAGGGTGGAAAATAAGTATTGTCACTTCAAACAAGGAAAATCTCTGGCTCTCCACAGACCTGTAACGTCTTCTTTAAGAAGCTTTTCTGTCCTCCACTCGTTACCTGTATTAATGGCACCTGTTTGAACACATTATCTGTATAAAAGACACCTGTCCACAGCCTCAAACAGTCAGACTCCAAACTCCACTATGGCCAAGACCAAAGAGCTTTCGAAGGACACCAGGAAAAGAATTGTAGACCTGCACCAGACTGGGAAGAGTGAATCTACAATAGGCAAGCAGCTTGGTGTGAAAAAATCAACTGTGGGAGCAATTATCAGAAAATGGAAGACATACAAGACCACTGATAATCTCCCTCGATCTGGGGCTCCACGCAAGATCTCATCCCGTGGGGTCAAAATGATCATGAGAACGGTGAGAAAGAATCCCAGAACCACATGGGGGGACCTGGTGAATGACCTGCAGAGAGCTGAGACCACAGTAACAAAGGTCAGTAACACACTACAATGGCAGGGAATCAAATGCTGCAGTGCCAGACGTGTTCCGCTGCTGAAGCCAGTGCATGTCCAGGCCCGTCTGAAGTTTGCCAGAGAGCACATGGATGATACAGCAGAGGATTGGGAGAATGTCATGTGGTCAGATGAAACCAAAGTAGAACTTTTTGGTATAAACTCAACTCGTCATGTTTGGAGGAAGAAGAATACTGAGTTGCATCCCAAGAACACCATACCTACTGTGAAGCATGGGGGGTGGGAACATCATGCTTTGGGGCTGTTTTTCTGCTAAGGGGACAGGACGACTGATCCGTGTTAAGGACAGAATGAATGGGGCCATGTATCGTGAGATTCTGAGCCAAAACCTCCTTCCATCAGTGAGAGCTTTGAAGATGAAATGTGGCTGGGTCTTCCAACACGACAATGATCCCAAACACACCGCCCGGGCAACAAAGGAGTGGCTCCGTAAGAAGCATTTGAAAGTCCTGGAGTGGCCTAGCCAGTCTCCAGACCTCAACCCCATAGAAAATCTGTGGAGGGAGTTGAAAGTCTGTGTTGCTCGGTGACAGCCCCAAAACATCACTGCTCTCGAGAAAATCTGCATGGAGGAATGGGCCAAAATACCAGCTACTGTGTGTGCAAACCTGGTAAAGACCTATAGTAATCGTTTGACCTCTGTTATTGCCAACAAAGGTTATGTTACAAAGTATTGAGTTGAATTTTTGTTATTGACCAAATACTTATTTTCCACCCTGATTTACAAATAAATTCTTTAAAAATCCTGCCATGTGAATTCATGGATTTTTTTTCACATTCTGTCTCACAGTTGAAGTGTACCTATGATGTAAATTACTGACCTCTGTCATCATTTTAAGTGGGAGAACTTGCACAATCGGTGGCTGACTAAATACTTTTTTGCCCCAATGTATATATTTTTGGTTATTGAATAAGCAAAGATTCCTTTAAACTTCTGATTCAATAAATAAACTTTGCTATTAAATTTAATTATCTTAAAATTAAAAATTAATCTTTGGATTAAAAATAGACCAAGCTGGGACTTGATTAAAAATTTTAATCTAATTAATTACAGGCTTTGTAATTAATTAATCTAAATTAATCGCATTTTAATCATTCAGGGAAATGTGCTCTCAAAGTAAAACTTAATTAAAATTATGAGGCAGAGAATCAAACATTAGACATGGTTATTACTGTAAACTAAAGCTTTTAGTAAAAAATGCATTTTAATTATTCAAATGTCACTGTGTGATATGAAACAAAACCCAAATCAACTAAAATTTATAATTACAAATGGAAAACACCTGCAAAGGGTTCCTGAGCCTTTAAATAGTCTCTCTGTCTAGTTGAATTACTGAAATAAATTTGACTTTGCACCAGATTCTAATTTTTCCAGTTTCACTTGTTTGTATAATTGGGAGTTTTTATTAGCATTTCTACTCGTAATGTAGTAAAACACATAAATAATAATCCTTCAAAATGACAGTAGAACAGGCACAAATATGATCTAGGACTTAAATGTACTAATTTTTAACACCAGAGCAGGCATGGCATATTCTGAGAATTATCACGAACACTAACTGGTTCCAGTTGGATGACTGGAGGATGATGGGATGATAAAAGATCATGGCGAGGAAATAATGATGTGACGAACAGGTGAGCGGACCTTCCTTACATGGGAAGTCCTGATGTCACGTTAAGAAGGGGATGCTGCAGACCCGCAGATTCACGCCTGCTGCAGCTAATCTGGTGTGATCTCCAGCCTGATCACAACTTCCTCGTTCCTCGCTGCCCCTGATACACTTAAGCATCCGCCCCTTAGCTGATGACAGCTTCAACACACCTCGCTGCTTAATGATAGTAATGCATGTGATGTTAGACAGTGACTCGTCTCAGAAACATATAACTCCCCAACAGAATTGTTTAGAAAATCATCAGAAAAGTTTCAGAGTGTTTCTGTTTTAACTTAAACTTCTGTTTTCAACTTTAAGACACGTTGTTTGTGATTGTTTACAGAGTAGTGAGAACACGGAGCGTTCTCCCAGCGGCAGCCAGGTGCCTCTCGTTTGTCTGACTACTTTCATAAACTACTGTTAGGACACAGAATTATTCTGTCTGGTGCTTTCAGCGCTGCACAGATGTTACGTAAATGTTAAAAATATAGCTTACCACTACTTTTGTAAAGTTTCCTGTGCCACCGGGCAGCTGCAGCAGAGACGATCTCTGAAAAATGTCCGCGACACGGACTCCGTTGTTGTCTGGAAGTTTTTTTTTCCAAGTTAAGAAAAGAGGCGGACGTGTTTCCTAAATCCTGCATCAGTCCAAGCAAGGCAACTTCTTTCTCTTTTAATTCCGTTTTAGTAGCCATTAGCACTGTGCATTGTTGTGTGCGTCAGTGATATTCGGTCTACGAGGAAATCGTGCAATGACAAAGGTTCCGCCATGCTTGAAATGCAAGCTGCGATTAAATGCGTTAATTATTTTAACGCGTTATTTTTTCTAATTAATTAATCGTAATTAACGCGTTAAAGTCCCGGCCCTAGTAAATATGTGAGATAAAAATATGTTTCATGCCACTGTTCTGAAATCTGTCTCTCTCTCCAGACAATTACAATTTTTTTCTCTGAAGCTGAAGGCGCTAAAGGGAAGTTTCTTCGCTGTGGTTGGTTGCTACAAACCTCCCTCATCAAATACTGTATCATCCCTTATTAGCATCATGTTCAGGGGGAATGCACACCTTCCTACAGATGTTCAGAGTCAGAGATATATGCATGGCATATGTTGCGTCTTTGGTGGATTAAGCTGGTTCTGACTGCATCACTGGACCAGTCGATCTACCACCAGTCTGTGTGCAGGCTTGTCACTGTCCTGCATTAAACCTGACAGTGGTCCTGATGTCATGTGGGTAAGAGTTCTGGTGTGTTAGGTTATGTGATGTTCAGCAGTCATGAAAGCAAATGTCTCTGCAGATCACATCGACGGGATCCACAAAGATTTTATTACTATTAGCAGCTAGCATGTCCCTTTCTGTCCCAGGTCTTCATGTTGGATACCCAGTGCTCTCCAAAGACTCCAAACAACAAGGATGGCTTTGAGCATGCTCAGTCCTGTGTGCTCATCATTGAGCTGCCATCTGACCAGCAGTCCAATGGACACGCTCAGAAGAGGTGGACACACACGCACACACACACACACACACACACACACACACACACACACACACACACACACACACACACTTGTGCTGGTTTGTCTCTCTGGTTTAAGATTGTGTGAATTATTTTACAGACTAAATCATTATAAAGTCACATTAACTGTCTCTGCTTCTGTCTCTGTTGCTGCGACGCAGGAAAATTGGGTAAGGCTGTTTTCTGTGACCTTGTGACTGCATGTGTGTGTGTGGGGGGGGGTGCATTAGTGCAACAGATGTTCACATGCAGCAGCAACATCTGCAGCAGATTCATAATCAGACCACATAAAGGGGCTAAAAATACAGCGATTGGATGCATTATTAAACAGATTTAGATTGATAACGAGTCAAACATCACCTGCTTTTTAGTGAACCTGTTTTATTATTTAATGTACAAATTATTTTCCCTTTAACCAATAAAGCGTAAAAGATCCGTAATCCTTCCTCCACCAGTCCAACTAAATTGGACTGCTCAAGCCTGGCGTAAAAAGACTTTTCATTTTTTATTAATTTTCTGCAGAACTATGCAAAACAATCACACGTTGGTGTTCAGAACTGTTGTTAATTATGTTGATTTTACTCATGGTTAGCCTAGTTAGAGAAAAGTTAAGCATTAGGTCACATTCTAAGTTCTCTAAACCTGTTAGAAAAATGCATTTGTAAAATTTGTATTCTTACTGTTAGTCTGCACTTTAATTGTTAAGCTCCGGGGGCCTCATTTATCAAGCTTGCTTACACACAAAACGGGGTCGGAAAACTGCGTAAGCAACTTTCCATGCAAACTTCGGGATTTAAGACAAACTTAGCGGGAAAATGTGGCAACTTTAAGCTGACTAAGGACCTGGCCTACGCACATTTTGGACATGGAAAGCACCTGCAGTGCTACTGCTGAGAAGATACAATTATGAATTCCAGCAACATTACTACTTGTACCGCTTTGTGTGCACACAGAACAAGCCCCCCCCCCCCCCCCCCCCCCAAAATCAGTCACAAAGCAATCAAATGTCTCTTCTTGTTGCTGCATCCGAGAGTGGAAGACGTACCTTTCATACACAGTGTTTTTCTGTGGCGAGCAGTGTCCATCAGACTTCTCAATCACCTTGTCATACTTGGTTCTGTCCGCTGCTTCTTCAAATTCAAAGGTGTTGAAGACTTCAATGGCTTGAGGACCAGCTACAGTGAGTCGGTCCTGCAATCTTTCTTGCATCTGGTTTGGAGTCTAGCCCCATGGCAGCCATATACAGCTCAAACTGCTGCTTAAAACACCTCCAGTTGCTGTCGACATTTCCCACCAGCTTCAGTCCTTCCGGTGGCTTCAAACTTTCCATCTTGATAGGAACTGTTGCCTGGTATCTCTGTCGGCCTTCACCTTCACAATCCCACTCCTCACACCATGTTTTGTCCTTTAAGGGTTAGTGAAGGATCACATAGAAGACCATTCCGTGCCTCTGAGCCTCCAGCTCAAACAAACATTTCTTTATTATATCAACACCACCTGTGGTCTTCTTCCTTGTGCTACCCTAATGTGCTCTTTAAAAAAACAGCGATCTCTGCGATTTGGAAACAATTTTTTAAAATGAAAACTTTTGTCTGAGTTGTCTACTAGCACATAAGTGGAAAAGTAGCATTAGTACGTTGCGATTATTTTTTTATTGTGAGTCGAAAATGGCATTGATATACCGTAAATCCTCTAAAACAGGCCCGGGCCTGTATTTGACTCAAGCTCATCAAGCTCCAGGCCTTTATTGGAAGGAGGGCCAGTATTAGAGGCAGGCCTCTATTTCTATTTGAGCAAAATGAACTAATGGTTCGCTGGAGTTTTTGACAATTAAAATTGCGCCCACATTTTCAAAGTTAAACACATTTCTTTTAACAACGGTAGTTTCTGCTTCAGCCCTCTCCCCCCTCCCCCTGCGCAGCGGCCGCAAACTCACTGATGCGCCTGCAGCCTCTCGGAGTTCCTGCTGCTCTAAACATTAAAATAATTATTTCATTTTCTGTTCCTCACTTCTGATTACCTTCAATGGTGTCTGTTTGTTGCAACAGCAGGTACAAAAACTAACTTGTTTTTATTTGACTATTTTTCTGTCCTGCCTGTTTATTATCTTCCTGCATCTCCTCTCAATCCTAAAGAAAAACTGCTACCAGGGTTCATATATATTCACCTTATGAGTTACCTTTGAACTGCAGTTCTAAAAGATCTACCAACCGCAAAAACAGCGGAGTGCTCGCTGCTTGGCGGCCGCATCAGTGATCGGTGCGTCGGAGGACAAGGTGATGCGCCCCGCTCCACAGCATGCAGCGAAACACATCAGGCGCAAATAAAAGACAGAAAACATTAAAGGAAATGAACCGACATGAACGATCGCGTGTCAGTACCGACGCTCTGGCACAGCCCCCCCCCCCCCCCCAGCGCAGGGGCTTGTCACCTGCTGACAGCAGGCTGCTGTCTTTTCCGAGGGCTGCATCTTGCCGGTCATTATCACGTGACAGTGACTAGTCGACGACAGGCATAAAATGTCACTATAGAGCAGTGAAGTCGACTAGTGACTAGTTCATACAACCCCTACTACTGCTCCCCAGAGTGTTCTGCAGCATAATCAGCACGTTCTCTTTGAACTTGATATCAAATTTTCACCTCCTCTTCGCCTCCTCACGGTTAAAGTTACCCTCGCGGTCTATCACCGGCAAATCAAAAGTGAGACAGATGACACAACCGCCCCCCGTACTTGCTTGTTACCACATTCCACCCGGCCACAATAAGAGACCGGCCATTATTCACCTCCGCCGACACCGGCCAAAATTGGAGACCCGGCCTTTAATTGAATACCGGCCTGTATTAGAGGATTTACGGTAGTTGGCAACAGCTGTTGCCAGTGGGGCCAACAGCAAACTTGTTAAAAACTCGAGACGTTTGTAGGTTAATTCTCTGTGTCTGTACCGGTTGTTTGTGTCACTCCACTGTGGAAACATCAAAGTGTATCAGTGAAACAGTTGAGCATAATTTATATTTCTCCCATCTGCAGGAGACATGCCCACATTTTTAACTATCCTTCGAAAGTGACACAGACCGCAAACTTGTGATCGGTCTCACGTCGCTTCCTTTTAAATTAGTCAACAGCACCGCCATTGCCCCATATGAAAGTCAAAAAGCAACAGACATGGAACAGATTCAAGAACGCCTTGCAGAAAACGTCCGAAAATATGCATGTAGCGTTTATTAACCTGTGGCTGAAGGAGTACAAAGATATAGAGCAAAAATTTGATTTGTGGACAGAAATGTCAAAAAATGTGGGTTTATAGGAATCGATTGCATGAAGAGGTGGAGGAAAAGAGGGTCAAACTCATTAGTGTTTAAAAGGTGTCTGAAATACATTAAAACAATGTAAACACATAACAAGATGGGTTACATTGTCTTGGACAGGATACGTGACTGGGCCACATATGGCCCTAGAGCCACAGATTTCAGACCCCTGATTTGATCAGTGTAACGGTATGAAATTACTATTTTCCACCAAAAGTCATTTTTCCCCTCTCCTCTGACACAGAACTAGTCTGCATGAGATATGGCCTCAAGGTCTCATGCATTTGCTTCTAAACTGCTTCTTTCCAGCTCAACAGAAGAATGAAGAAAAGGACTCTCTCCTTTAAATAAATCAAGGAACTTTATTTTTAATAAAGCTAATCAAACAAAGTGTTAGTCAATAATAAGATGTGACTGATCTGTGAAATCAAAATATTAATTACTTTATTATAATCCTATAGAATATAATAAGTAATATGACTAAATGTTTCCACTAGGACTGATCACACGTAGCGTTAAAAGACGACACATTGCTTTTACCGATCCAAACAGAATCTGCCAGATCTGACGGAGGCGTGGTTTTGCTTAAAAAGGAGGTCCGGATCCTTTTTAGCTTTGAGTTGAATTATTGCCAGTGTGTGATGTTTATAGAAGACTCCAAAGATGTTTGTGAGTTTTTAAAGCCCCTAAAAGTGGTCTGACCTCCGTTCAGGATCCCGTTCCGGACCATTGTGGTGAGCCTGCTTTCCCACCAGGTTCTGCTCCAAAACCTCCACGACATTCTGCTGGAGGAATTTGTCAAGAATCCCGAAGGCAGCGAGAGGATCACTCCTATGACCTCCGACCCCGGCAGACCCACAGCCAGCTTCCTGCGCTACATCTCCATGACAAACCTGGCCATAATCCTGGACCTGCTACTGGACTCTTACAGGTTCTGGCTGATTTCCTGCGTTATTCCAGATGTTTCATCCTGTTGCTCGGTTTTGAGTGTTGGGTTTTATCTGCAGGACGGCACGCGACTTCGACACCCGGCTGGGTTTGAAGTACCTGCTGATGAAGGTGTCAGGTGTTTGCGGAGCAGCTAATCTGTACCGTCAGTCCGCCATGAGCTTTAACCTGTATTTCCAGGCACTGCTGTGTGCCACGTTGAGTCAGGCTGAAAGCATGACAGCTCAGCAGGTAGGAACCAATCAGATCCACTGGTCCAGACCACTAATCAGATCCACCAATCAGATCCATTTATCATATCCAGATTTTCTTCTTTCTGCTCTCAGCATCATGTTTTACTGAATGGCTTAAGTTTAATTTATTAATTAATTAATGTATTTATTTATTAGCTTAACCCAACCAGCCATCCCTCCAATTAAAAATAAATAAAAATGTTTTATTTATTGTTCTAATTTCAGTCTCAGCCACAGTTTCCATGATGAAGCAAATTTAAACTGTTTAATTAAACCAAATAATCACGAAGTAACAGAGTAGTACACGTGGAATTTCATCCAGGGAAAGAGCTCCAATGCGAACAGGCGCACGCACACTCACACACAGAGAGCTACTCTCTTCTCCCGTTCCCACACTGGTCGGCAGCTCCGTAACGGCAGCTCCGTGCTACAGACAGAGGTTTACTCATCAACACCCAGCATGAAAAATGAATCGGGCATCCGGGAAAACCCCCGCTGACTCTTTCCTCTCGCAGATCAGAGGCGGTAGGTGTAATTTCAGCTGGCCAATCAATCTGTAGTGTCGCCTCGGTCCTAGTCTCACCGCTGGGGAGAAGGTCTGAGAAAAAGAGTCGCCTCGGCACCGAAAACGCGAATCTGACCGGTGTGTGAAACCAAATTCCGATGCAGTCCGATACCTTTTGGGGCCGTGCCGACGCTAATGTGTACGCACCAAAAGTCTTTGGTATGACCCAACCAGGAATTGAACCCTGATCTTCCAGTCTCAGGGCAGACACTCTACCAGTAGTCCACTGAGCTGGTTAAGTTCTGTTTGGATTTTAGCATCAAAGAATTAACAGATTAACATGAATTTATCAAATTTTATTAAAACTTCTAATTATATGTAGGACCTTTAGCTTGACGAGCACTTGCGCCAAAGGTCCCTCCAACCACCACCAGCAGACAAGGTGGGTTAAGTGCCTTGCCCAAGGACACAACAGCAGCATTCTTTGGTCGGAGCCGTTATTGAACCTGCAACCTTCCGATTCCTGTAAAACCCGCTCAGCCTCCTGAGCTACTGCTTTACTGTCAACACAGCTGTCTAAGATAAGGTAAGGAAGACTGACTCCTAATTTTTAAGTGTTTTCTTGTGTTCAGGTGAAGAGGATCCTGTATGAGGAGGAGGGGAGCTCCGACTCCTCTCATCCTGGATCCGCCTCCTCCGAGGATGAGGATATCTTTGAAGAAACAGCACAGGCGAGTCAAACATAGGGAAACAAACCTTGATGGCAGTTCAAACTTACTCTCAGTTAAAATACTGTCAAGAAACCAAAGACCCTGGTTTTGTAGATTTGCCCATTAAGACAGAAATGATCCCTCTATAATTCCAATGGTAGGGTTATCTGAACAGTGGTAGAACAATAACCCCAAATCCAAAAGTTATGAATGAAATGAGTGCTTGATCCCTTTGCAAAATGTGCTTTAGATCTTGATGGACAGACATGTCCTGTAGTTCTCACGAGTTTGGTACACAACTCTCCAAGTCCACAGGTTTTCTGTGGGATTAAGAATCAGGCCCAAAGATTTTAGTTTGCTTCTTCCTGTTGCCTCGGCCGAGTGTTTTGGATCATTGTCACGCAGGAAGCACCACCACCACCACTCCAAGCCCATGTCCAATGCCCTTGCTGAGGGAAGCAGCTTCCCACCCACAAAATCTGATAGTAAATGGCCCCAGCAGAGACAGTGGGGACAGAGGGGATGGTGTCTTAGCAGTGTTCCTCCCCCTCCGAACATGAAGAGTTGGGCTGATGCCAAAGCACAGGATTTTGTTCTGACCACAGCACTTTCACCTGGTTCTCTGAATCATTAGATGTTTGGTGGCAAATGTCAGACAGGCCTGTCCCCGTGTCCTCTGGAGTTTGTGCTTGTTGTTCTGTCTCTCACTGTTAAAAAAAAACAGATCACTGAGATCTGAGGAAACTTAACTGATGCCGAAATGTTTGTCTCTTACCTGCATCATTTTGCCCATGTTAACATATTGACTGTTTTAAAGGTAGTGGCCAGACTCAGCATTAAAATTGTAGAAATACAGTATAACTACACTTAACCATCTATATAAATATGAACTGGGTTCAGTTTTCATTTTGTTAAGGAATTTAGTCATAAATCATTACAGAAAATCAAAAATCTCTCCTCCAGGCAGTGAAGAACTGTGTTCAGCATACGTCACTCACACACGTCATACTAGGTAGCTGCTGTTGCTAGCATGGTAAATCACTGTATTTTGTTTACCATCTTGTTCCTAATTAAAACAGAAAATTGCGTTTACAGCTGCAGCTAAAGGTCTGAGCCATATGTCCGTGTCCTACACGTATTTTTAACTAACATAGGTTTAATCTAAAATAATAACCTACATCTATAAATCCATTTAGAACCGCACCCGTATTTCTGGACTCCAGCAGGCGAGTCCCGTTATCATGACTGCCGCAGCACTAACTGTGTTAATGGAGTTCAGTTGAGCGTCTCCGGTAATCCAATATCCGTTCTCGTCGCCGTATCCCAGAGAAAATCCAAATCTGACCGACTAGCGAGGCTTCAGAAGCTACATCTGACTGATGACACATTGTTCTCTGCTATTACGCTACCGCAGAAACACCGGAGTCAGGCGTTGTTTACTATCGCTGTTTCAGCAGGTCTCCTTGTGAAACGTCACCAGCTGCCCAGGGCTTAGACCGGAAGTTAGTTCCTGTTTTTCCCACGCCAGTAAAAAACGTCAGATTTTCTTTAAATTCCAGCCGTGAAAATCCAAAAACCTGTTTCATCTGAGGTTTTAATACTTCTTTACACATGCCATTGAATGGAATTTTGCCTCTGGCCAATATCTTTAAAAAAATGAAAGTGTATGTTGATGATTGTAGCGTATGACAGCCATGGATAGGAAAGGTCATGATACTGGCCAGAAGCCCTGCTTTCCAAACCAAAACACCGGCACTGTTTATGGCCTCGTCTTCTGGAAACCCTCATGACAAAGCCTTTTCTTGTTCCCTTTACTTGCAGTCACAAAACTCCTGGAGGACGGGACTTTTCTCTTAACCTTCATAAAAGGATCACATTCTTTCTATTCTAATATTTCCTCACTTTACAGATTGTTACAATCATAGACCAATTAATGTTTAATCTAAAGTCACTTTAATTAGACCTGATTGCTTTACAGTAATATTGAATCAAGATAACTATTTATTGTTGAAATGCAAATGAGTCTACTTGATTATTTAATAATGATTTTATTATCAGTTATGTCACATATCATTTCAGTATATTAATAATGACACATATTTAGATCTCGCATATTTAGATCTCGCATAGTAAGAGTAATATTTTTTAATAAGCCTCTTACGAAGGATGTGATGTCAAGGGACTTTAACACCTCCTACATTTTCTGACCTCTGATTGGTCCAACACAGACCCTTAAGAGAGGGAGTCACTTCCTCAATAATTCAGTTCTTGCAAAACGCTGAATGAGAATCTCTTGTGAGATCCAGCAGATCTCACACTTTTTAGTGGCATAGAACCACCCTTTTTCAGAGCCAAAACTACTATTATTTGTTTTAATCTGCAAAACTTCATCAGACGCAAACAAGCCAGCAGGAATACCAGAGGGTATGTCACTGACCAGCCGTGCGGATTCAGGGGAGAACTCTCATCACACGGGTACCGTTGCGCTGCACTCTGGCGTTGGATGGGTTAAGATTAATTTGATAACTAATCAAACATCACTTAATTCAGCTAGATTATTCTTATTATTCCAGACATCACGTTCTTTTCCAAGACACTGAGACTCTTAATAACATCCAAGGTCATGTTTCTTCAGAGTAAGTTACTATCTTAGTTGATTTCACCTTGAATAATCATTTAACTACAGTTATTCTGTATAATCGTTAGTCGTAGAAATATACCGTAATTTCCAGACTATAGAGCGCACCTCAATATAAGCCGCACCGGGCTAAAAGCCACAGATATCTACTGAATTGAAAACATAGTTTAACTAAACGTAACTGAACTGATCAGTATCAAACAAAACAGAAAAGTTATTGATTAGTTTATTCATCGTCCTCCTGCGCACTGAAACCACTGAAGTCATCTTCTTCAGTGTCGGAGTTGAACAGCCTCAGAAGACCTTTGTCACATACCTTTTCTGTGGCGATGTCGGTGTCGCTCTCCATGTTGCTGTCGTCATCCCGGGGTGAAGCTGGGAAAACAAGCAGCGCCGTTTTACTGTGAAAATAATCCTCCTGGGCGCTTTCCGTAGTACTCCTTTAACCATTCCTTCATTAGACTGTCCAGCATCCATCCTTCCTGGTTGACTAAAGCCGCACCTCATTATAAGCCGCATTATTCAAAGCGTGAGAAAAAATAGTGGCATATAGTCCGGAAAATACGGTAGTACTAAATGTGTTCAGTCCTCACAGGCTACCGTAGAAGGAAACACGGCGTCTAATATGGCGTTGCCCAGAGACTCGTATCTTAGACCTGATTTTTATGGTTATATGCTATGAAGCCACCAATATTTTCTAACAACTGGGCATCATATAATTCATTTCCAACAAAATTTAGAGGAAAATGTCAAGAGATTAAAGGTGAAACTACACATTGTCACTTTAAGATGCTGAGTTACCAACTGGATGGGTTGGAGTTAGGGCTGCAACAACGAATCGATAAATTCGATGAAAATCGATTACTAAAAGCGTTGGCAACGAATTGCGTCATCGATTCGTTGTGTCGCACAACTCTTCCAAAAGCGCCCCCCCTTCCCGCCCGCCGTTGCGCGCAGACCAGAGCAAGTCAGATCAGCGCGAGGGAGAGCCGCAGATCAGCGCGAGGGAGAGCCGCAGATCAGCGCGAGGGAGAGCCGGTACCGGCAGATCAGCGCGAGGGAGAGCCGGCAGACTTGCGCTGCTGCGAACCGGTTCCGCATTGTCGCGCAGCGATCCAGGCAGCTGCTTCCAGCGCACGGTCCATTCTCAAAGTGGCGCAACCAAAAAACTATAATTAGCACACGATTGTTCATGTCCGCACATGTTCTCTATTTTCTGTCTTATTTGTGCCTGAAGCTCGCTACTGCGGAGCTCATCACCTGTGCTGTGGTGATGTCACCTCACGCAGCATCGAAAACGCGCTCTGCGCTTTTCGGTCAGGAGATCCCTTTGATCTGCTCAAAAGTAACTGATGAGGTGAAAAGGTAAGAATCCAGGCAACAGATTTTCTGGAGAATTATGAGGAGATGCAGGAAGATGAGAGACAGACAGGACAGGAAAATAGTTCAATAAAAACAAGAAAACAAAACAAAGTGTTGAAAAGTCAAATGTAGGTAGATTTATCTCCACTACACGTTTTTACCAGTAAAAAACAATAAGTTATACACATGTCATATTTATACATCTGATACTATTCAGATCACCTTCAAAACTCAGTCACACACCCAGGGTCGTTTCAAGACATTTTGGGGCCAAGGCAAAATGCCCCCCCCCCCCCCCCCCCCCCCATAACTGGGCTCCCCAGAAGCCTCTGTGTAATTCAGGAGTGTTAGTTATACAGTGTTTATAAAAGCCCCTCAGACATTACTGACATGTTCTAATATGATCAGATGAAAAACTAAATTATCAGACATGCTGTCTCATCTGCTTCTTTTAAAAACTTGCAAAAAGTAACAAAACCATTTGAAAGCCACTATTTGTGGATTCTCTGAAAGTTTCCATGGAGTGTGTGACAACTTATTTTTTCATTGATCCTATCGTCTAATCTCACAGCTGAAACAAGCATCCTTAATCATCTGTGCACAGGAAGCTTACCGATGCTGTAGTAAAACAAAAGGTATAATAATTTATTATTACTAAAACCTTGTTGCAGCACTAAAGCATAAAAATGAGATTTTGCATTAAATATGCAAAATATTTACATATGAATTGTTTTAGAGCCCTTTAATTGGCAGAATCTGATATTAATTTAGTTCTTACAAAAAATGGGTCCCAACATGGTTTGTGTGGCGTTGCCATAGTGTGACGTCATAGGCACAGATCCCCTGTCCTCTTGTTTGGAAATGGAAATATGATCACCCTACATTAAACAAACTGTCCACCCGGGCTTTTGCGCTGCACAGAGACGCTTCGCTGCCTATGACTGAACGTCAGTTGAGAGTCAGTCTCATGCAGACTGACCAATGAAGAGAGGGCCTCAAGTTAAGACCCTCTCCTCATTGGTCAGTCCACACGAGGTGGGTCAAAGGTTACTCTGGGCGGGTTACGTGTTGTCAGGCATTCAAGTATTGAGTATATTTACTGCATATTACAGTAAAATATTCTGTATGTGACCACATTATGGTGATCCTTGGGTCGTGATGATGGAGCCCTTGAATATTGTTGCCCACGGTACAACAAAGTGTTAATCTGGCCCTGGTTCCGCCGTCACATTCCCGCAGAAACTGGTTGATCACACCGGGGCCAGACTACTAGCATGTGGTTTTACAACCACAATGTCCTCAGAAGCAAAAACGCTTTTAAAAGGGAGGGAGGAGTCCTAACTGTTGCTGCAGGCGTGTTGTGTGAGAGTGCAGTTATATACTGGTTAATATATTTTTGGGTTCAGTTGCTTTCATGTGGCCTAATGTGAGTCTATTTGGGATCATTGGAATGATCAGCAGCATTTCTTGATGTGACTTTATGGCAGTTGCCCAGGGCATCATCGCAAGGAGGATGGCATTCATTTACTTTTGTTTTATTTGGTATTTTTTCAGTCAGTTTTGGAAATAGTGATCAATTTTGATTAATTCACAGCCTATGTTTAATTACATTTAAAATAAATGTCAACAGATGAGATCAAACAAAACAGATGAGAATTGCCCTTAAGCTGTTTAACTTGGACCAAGCATTTTAGGTCACAGATAGATGTAGCTTAGGGTCTCTGTCTATACACCTTATAAGTCAATTTAGGTGATGGCATGTTGTTTTTCTGCTATTGAACTGTTTTCTAATAATGTTGTGTTAAATAAAGTGAAGGAAGGAGAGAAATAACGTTTCCCTAGCAGTTTTTAAAAATTTCCCCATGTAATCCGATTAATCGATTAATCGTGTCGAGACCCCATCCGATTAATCGATTATCCAAATAATCGTTTGTTGCAGCCCTAGTTGGAGTGACTTGACTGCCCATTCCCGGTATTTAACAAGAAGGGAAAGAAAGTGAGGAAATGGAAGATGGTTCAAATGATAAAGAAGTGGGCGGAAGCCAGTGGCTGCCACTGACTTTGGAACCGGAAAAAGGCTTCTCCACAACCAAATCTATCACCGCTACCACTCCCTCTAACTGCCGCTGTACCAGTAGTTATTGAGTTCTAATTGATTTGAGGTCAGATCGCCCAGCCCTGATTAAAATTATGGGGTGATCATTTATGAGTTTGTAGGCAAAGGGACAAAATCAACAGGGGGTCTGATTATGTTTGTCAGCAGAAAAGTCGCTGTAGAGATTGATCCTTCAAGACTGCAATATAGTTGAGTCTCTCTTCCTCTTTTCTCCGTGTAGGTCAGTCCCCCTCGCGGTCGGGAGAAGCGCCACCCCTGGCAGGCGCCAGTCCCATTGCTCAGCGTTCAGCCACTGGGCAGCGCTGACTGGGCCTGGCTCGTCAAGCGTCTCTACAAAGTGTGCATGGATCTGTGCAACAGCTACATCCAGATGCACCGGGACCTGGAGAGTACTCTGGAGGAGACACCACTCCCCAGAGGAGGAAGAGGAGATCACGTCTTCCTCTTGCCTCTGTTCCAGTCTGAGACTTCCACACCAACGTCAGCAGGTGGGCTCTCAGCGAAGGGGACACCCTTAGAGGAAGGAGGGTTCAGGTGTCAGGGGATGGACCTGAGTTCACCTGGAGAAACACATACACAGAGTCCCAGTTTCAGGTCTGAGATCTGTCATAATCAGTTCTAGCAAAAATCATCATCATCATCACTAAAATCAGCTGTTTGTTCCGGTTCTCAGCTTCACAGGAAGTTTGCCTCATCACTTCCAGATCAGTGGAGACAGGAGGGACTCCATTACAGCGGGAAGCTCGGTGGGAGGAGCTTCCAGCACAGGAAGGAGGAAGGAATGGTGGGAAAGTGCCGGAAACAAACTGTACACCATCGCTACAGACAAAACCATCAACAAGCTGATGATGGAATACAAACGCAGGAAGCAGGCACCACAGCAGGTTCAGCAGAGCCACATCAACCTATTCATGAAGGAGCAGGGTCGGGCGGCAACAGGAGACAGGAGGGACCCCGTGGAGCTGCAACGGCCCCAGCAGCTGGTGGATCAGCAGGGGCCCCCTCTGAGGCACTCAGTCAGTGCAGGGCCTGAGGTGCTGAGGCAGGAGAAAAGGCCACGGTCCGGCTCTACCATCAGCTCCCATAGCATCTCTCTGAAAGACTCAGAAGCTAAGATCCAGGTTGGTGCCCTGGAGTAGCATCAAAAACCACTTCCTGGTTTGGTCTCAGCTTAATGTTCTGCTTTTAGTTTTTTTACTCAGATTTCAGACATGAAACCAAACTTATACGTGAAACTGTCAAATAATTTTATTTTATTACAGTTATAGCAAATCTACAGAACAAGCTAGGTTTTAAACGCAAACACGGTCACGGAGCACTCACCCCTCCCCTCGGGTATCTTCCCTGAGATGCTTCTGCCAGAACCGGAAACCCACAATGCCAGAGGAAACGAGAAAATGCTAAACACCAGTCACCGTTTTCTAGGTCCGTCTTTGTTGTCCGTGACTTCAAGTGGCTTTTTGAAGTAGTTTAAGCTAGCTGTTTGTCCTTAGATGATATCATTGAGCAGACACATAATAGCACATTTATTAACTCACTATTAGTTATAAAATGGGGCAGCAGTAGCTCAGGAGGTAGAGCGGGTTGCCTCATTATCAGAGGGTTATGGTTTCAACTCCAGCTCCCGCCAGGGGTACTCTGTTGTTGTGTCCTTGGGCAAGACACGTCAGCCAACTTGCCTATGTTGGTGGTGGTCAGAGGGACCAACGGCACCAAATGGCAGCCTCGCCTCTGTCAGACCGCCCCAGGATGGCTATGGCTACAACGTAGCTTACCATCACTAGCAGTGTGTGAATGTGAGAGTGTGTGAAAACGTCTTTGAGTGTCCTAAAAAAGCGCTATATACGTTTGATGCATTATTATTATAATTATAATTATTATTATTATTATTATATAAACATACATACAATAGAGCCGTAGCGAAGCGTCCATGATGTTGACGGCTTGATTCTAAAAATTCGTCGACGTCAGATCCGGTAGTCGACACACCACGCCCACTTGTTGCATCCCCAGGAGTTTGTAAATAGAGGAGGAATCTGCCTGTTTTTCCTCTAGTTCGCCCTCTTCTCCGCCTTCACTAACATCTCCGCCAAATACCGAAGACCCGGAACAATGTCCGTCCGCTACTAGGTTCCTTTCCTGTTTTGCCCGCCTTCATTTCCCGGCAATGGACAACAACTTCCGGGGTCAAATGCGCTGCTCCGTCTCTATCGCAGATGCAGAAAATCACCGGGAGCATTTCTCTCTTCATAAAGAAGCTTCTTTCAGACATTAGGAGAGCTGTTTTGGTGGTAGCAGTCTCTCCTCCGTGCTGGTCTGTTTGCTGCTGGGTGTTTTTGGTTTATTTAAACTTGGTAACTTGAACTTAACATTGGTAAAGCTACTGTTAGTATCTTCGCTAACAGCTTCTTGCGTTGGGATAAGCTGTTACGTTTTGGTTTAGAGTTCATCGTTTTTGTGGTGTAGATCTCCCTTTTATTACATTTAGAGTGTTGTTGGTTTTCGGTTTAGTTTAAAATATCACCTTGAGTTTGGTTTAACCACCCAGTTTAGAGTTTGGACCTTTGGAGATCCTTACTTTGGTCCAGAACCCTGTAATCTTTGCCCAGTGAGACATCCCTACATATTTGTACTTTTGTTTTAATTCCCCACGGGCAGAATTAGTTTTATTATTCCCAACCTGTGGATGGAAAGATTTATGGGGTTTTTTGTAGTGTAAATAAACCTGATCATCATTTAAACTTTTAAATCCCGTTATTGTCCCTTCCTTTTTGCACACGAGCCAAACTCCCCAGGAAGGGTCGTAACACCACTCGCCTCACGCACATAAGTGACCAAAACAAAGCAGCATGGAGACATTCCGTCTTCTACCACCTCTCAGGCAGCAGCCTGCACTCCCAAGTTCTACACGTCACCAGAACATAACCAACCGCAACACAATAAAAGCAGTGTTATACAAAATGGAAGGCCTGGAGTGTTTATTCTCTTACAGTAACAATTTATCAATTTTTTGAGGGATTTATTAGAGATTTTTTGGTTTTTATTAATTGTGCAATAGAAAAATAATTGTTTGATATTATTGTCTAAGTAGTCATTAGAATAGTCGACTATTCGATCAAATAATCGTCAGAATAATCGTTTTAAAAATAATCGTTTACCCCCAGCCCTATCTGGGCATAGGAAGTGTTTCTAGTTGAGCTAAAGCTGTTTGGCAGCAGCTCACCTGTTCCACACTGATCGGAGAAATGCTCTCATCAGCAGCAACAGACACCAGCCCCAAAAAGACAACTAAAACCGCCAACCTCAGAGCGGCCCATTGGGCACTGCGCCGAACGGAGCCTGTTTACGCCTGCCATTCTCGTTAGACAGGAGCAGCCCATCACGTTAACTCTCTAACTGCTTATTAGTGTGACTAGATTCTACAAAGTTTTCATGAATAAACACACGTGTGTGTGTGTGTGTGTGTGTGTGTGGTTAAGAAGTGGAGGGGCGTCTAATTACTAATGTGCTTCTCTATGTTGATATGAACTTTCTATGACTAAACTGTTATAAAGGTTCTAGGGTGAAACGTGATGACATCTGTTTGATCTGGTTCTGATGCGTGATCGTTCTTCTGCAGGCCTGGACCAACATGGTGCTGACCTTGCTGAACCAGGTTCTCCTTCTGTCCGACTCGTCTTTCCTGGCCCTGCAGCCGGTGTTCTATCCCTGCCTCAGCCAGCTCTCCTGTCATGTGACCGACAGGCGCGTCCGCCACGCCCTGAGGGAGTGGCTCAGCCGTGTTGGCAGACTCTATGACATCATTGTGTGACATCACAGCGATGGAGGCTGCTTAGTGGAGGACAGGCAGGAAGAGACGGTGTTTTGTGGTCCTGCTGATGTCTGTTTACTGATCAATCTGTTTGTGAATGTTTCTGCTGTTGTTCCTCTTTAAACCACGCTCTCATCAACCCATAGCTCCATGATGATCATCATAATTCATTCATTCTGATATGAAGGTTTTTTTGTTTTTAGATTTGCTGCTAGTTTTCTTTGTGCATTGCTGAGTATTTTGGTGTCAGGAAGACAAAGTCAGATTTCTCTTCTGTGACTGAGACGCTTTCCTTCTGCATGTCCAGACTAAAACCAGCTCATTTCCTTTGTAACGGGACTAAAGCTCCTTGAGGTGCCTTTAGGTTGGTTTAACCCTCCCACTGTCTTTATAAGTGACCCCGCGAGGAAAGTTGAGGTGGTGCTTACTCCTCACCCTTCCCACATGGACCCAAGGGATAAACCATCAATCCTGCTCAATGGTCAACTTTCCTTGCGGGGTCACACCCATCAGGACAGTGGGAGGGTTAACTGCTTCTGTTCAGCCACGTTTGTCCAATAGAAAAAGGACTGAACGGAATCAAATATTTTATTAGTTAATTTTCTTTGGAATAAGATTGAGATGAAAAGGATGAAATGTAATCAGCTAATGTTTAAAGGTGTCTCTGTGTAATGGTCTTCTGTGCTGCAGCGTCTTTCAGTTGAATCGTCTTATTTATTTTAGCCAAATTCACCTACGTGGTAGACGTAGTTAAAGACTAAGACTCTCTTTTCCTTCTGTTTGTGTCGGAATGTTTCTGCTTGTGTTTCAGCTGAGACCCTCTGTGTCCTCATGATGAACAGCAGCTCAGACACAACTGGTACAAACATCTTTGAGTCCTGAATGAGTGTCTTCAAATAAAATAAAACCAAATACTGTGGAAACAACAGGTTTCTCTCTGTCTGTCTGTCTGTGTGTGTGTGCGTGCGCGTGTGTGTGTGAGAGAGAGAGAGGGAGGAATGGTTCAAATGGTAAGATAATCATGCCGATTTCTAACTCTATTCTCTTCTTCTGATAATCTTAAACTGTCATGTTCTGTGTCCCTTTGGTCCCCAGCTCCCTCCTGGCTTCCCTCAGGTTCCCCCTAGTCACTTCACTTGTTTTTAGTTTTCTATATGTTCAGATTCTCTAGTTCGTATCTGTGTTCTCCATTTAGGTCATTAGTTTACTTATCTTTAGCTCCCCTGTGTCTTAGTCCTACAGTGTTTAGGTTTATTTTAGGACTTGTCCACACGTAGCCGGGGATCTGCCAAAACGTAGATATTTTTCTACGTTTTGGCCTGTCATCCACAAGAAAACAGAGTTTTTTCACACGAAAACGGGTCTTTTTAAAAACTCCGGCCAAAGTGAAGATCTGCGTTTTCTCCATTTTGGGTGTCTGCGTGTGGACAGACAAAACCGGAGTTTTAAGGTCCGCAACGTCACTTTACGCGACAAAAAATGCTGACATCATGTGTGCGACCTGTGTTTACACTAGCCGACAGCATGGAAGCCCTCAGAGCTGCGCTCTGTCACTACCCGATCCATCAATTGTCCAAGCGCTTTCTGCTTGTTTGTTTTTGCAAGCGGAATTACTGCTCCTTGAGGAAGACCACAGACGAAGGACGAGATTAAGAACGGGGGAAGTACTGCCGCCTACAGGTTTGGCATGTCCTTAACAACGTATTTATCCGGGTATGTGTGGACAGAGTTTTTTTTTTAAATGCGGTGGTGTGGATGCAAGTTTTTGGAGGGGCGGATATTCGTTTTTAAAAAACCCCGGCTACGTGTGGACTAGGCCTTAGTTTAGTAGCTTTGTTTTACAGGATTTACATCTGGTTTTCTCCCCTGCTTGTTTCTACTCCTCCTCAGTTTATTAGTCTCACCTGTGCACAATTCCCTTAATCACCCAGCCCCTGTGTATATAACCCTGTCTTGTCTGTCAGTGTTTTGTTGGTCCATTGTCTTTGCCAGCATTGGTCTGGTTAACTTCCTGTGTGCTCTAGGTTCCTGCTCATAAGTTTGAGCTTTATTGAGGCTTTCAGTGTTTTGTATGCGAGGCTTAGATTCAAGCCTTCGGATTTTTTTTACAACTCCTCTTAATTAAAGGATTCTTATTTTTTGCAACCGCTCCTGCCTGTGTATCTCTGAGTTCTTGCATTTTGGGTTCAAGCCTCCTACCCCCAACGTCACAAACACCCTAAATACTAAAGATAATTTTATTAGGGTTGGACGATTTGTATAATTTTTCCCACTGCCAGTTGTCAGTCAAAAAAAGATGATGGACGATTAATTTGAGCATGTGACGCCATGATGCACGGACAGATTTGCGAACACAGAAGAAGCCCAAAACAAATATGTTTTAATGGAGGGAACGAAGGTTGAGACTAAAGAGGAAATACTCCGACGAATCACCAGATCAGAGCTGATAAAGCACTTTGAATCTGTTTCTTACCCATTAATTCAGGAAGCGAATAGACTCCCCTGCACACTTTCTCATTTCAGGGAGCGACAAGGAAGAGCTGAGTGGTGTTGGATTTTTACCTCCAAGAGTAACTATGTACAAGAACGCAACGAGCCGGAGACGGTACTGGTGCCTGTACCAGTACCGGTTCCAGTACCAGAACCAAGACCAGCACCTGTGGTTGACCTCAATGAACCCCTCCCAGAACTACCAAGTTTTCTTCCTTCAGACGCCAACGGGCCAGTGTGGGTGAGAGCTGTGCCTGCTCCGAGAACACAGCAGATGAGTGTCTGGCCGGGACGCGTGCAGTACCTCCCCCAACTTGCCCCTCTGCCTGGTCCGTGGTTTCCAGGGTCATGTTGAGAGGAGACTCGGGGCAGATTTGCTGATAACATGGATTCAAGCCTGAGCCGAGCTCCTCTGTGTGGAAACCTCTGACCTCCAGCTCTACTGACCCACTCTCTCCTGCACCCAGTTCTGTGGAAGAGAGCAAGCTGACAAGGATGATCGGAACCAAGACGCCAAAAGTGTGCACATATGACTTCTCAGAAGCCACAGCAGGGAATCTAAAAGGTCAACTGAAGGGAGCTGCATGTGTGAAGAGGACAGGAAGAAAAGAAGATGGGGCCCTGGGTTGCCTGGGCGTAGAGGCGTTAAACCACAAAGATCAAGAATGGACCTGCAAAGGTGGAGGGAGAGTAGTTTCTGCTGGGTCTAAAAGGTGTGTGTGTAAACACAGAGAGCGTGTTCTCCTCGGATCTGCTAGAATTCTGTTTTTTTTTTTTTAATAAGAACTTTTCCTATTTAGACTAAGCTGTTCTTCCTTGTGTTGGATTACCTTTTTTCCTTTTTGAGTGTGAAATGAACTTTTCCCTCATTCGGGAAGAAATTAAAAGTAGTTTGTGCTGGCCTCCTTTCCTTCTCTGGCACAGCAAAAGGTGAGTTTGCTGGTTGCTTCATTCCATCCCAGGTTATTACATCAGCATTCACCTGATTAGAGGAGAAGCTGACGAGGGTCTGTTCTGGGCGTGATGAGCTCATGCAGTGTGTTCTGATCAAGAGTCTTCCTACAGCAAAATAATGTGATTTTACCAGTAATAAAAGACGGTTGCACAAGGTAAAATATCTACAGAGTAAGGGTGATCGTCAGGAGGAGTCTGAGGTCAAGCCCACCATGAGCCTTGAGATTTAACACCTAGAGTAAAGGTTGGTTTATGCTTGACGCGTCCGCGAGGTTCGTACGGCTCCGCGTGGCAAAATTGCATAATTTTAACAACCACGCCCCTCCACCGCACCTCCACCCGGCCCAAACTTTCTGCACCGCGCACCTAGGAAATTTTCTAACCACGCGGACGGTTGGACACGGAAAAACATGGCGGACTGGCAAGAACTAGTATGGCAGAGGTTCGTAAATACAGACATTTGTATGATTCAGCTCTCAGAGATCACCGAGATCAACATGTTAATAATTCTTGGAGAGAAATAGCTCGCACTGTCGGAAAAGACGAGGACGCTGTTAAAAATGCTGGAATGCCATGTTGTAAACAACAGTAATTTTTACTCCTACTACGGTGTAGTGTTGGCGTGTTAAGGTGTGTGCTCTATTTTTTTCGCGAGCCACATCAATTCTGACAGGAAGTCAAATCAAAAAAGAGGCAGACCGGTAAATTTAACAAAATAAAAATAAATTTTTCTAAATAGAACACTGTGATTGGTCATTTTTGTGTATCTAAACAGACTAGAGGGATGAAAATGAACACAAACACACAGTCCTGCAGAAAAACTTAGTCCATTATTCCATAATTTTAAATACAGTTTTTTACAACAAATGTGAATACAAACAAATAATTTTACTCCAAAGGTAAAATATACAGTAGCATTGCACACTACCACAAACACTAGTTATTTACTTACCAATTTAGAAAGGAATTAGTCTACAAAACTGCTGATTTGTAGATCTGCAGGATCAGCGCAGATTCTGATATTGACGAGTAGGGCAAACTGGGTACACACTGGGTACACACTTCCTGTAGTTGCCCACTTCCATTATGTTTTATCAATAGGAGCAGTGTTCGCCATTATTGCTGCATTCATTTACTGATTCCCATTGACCAACAAATTAACACACATTAAATGAACAAATTAAACCTATCGATACCACAGGGATGGAATATCTAATTTAGATACCACTTTAAGCATCAATTTATATCTAGGCATCGATTTTTTGATAACACTAGCTGCTAGAGTTATGTGAAATCTTACTTCTGATTTTAATATATAAAACATAATAATAATCAACTTCTCCTTCATGTTTGCTCGGAGGTGTACGGAGCATCCTGTCCGCTCATTGGAATGAAATCTCCCTTGATTGGTCCTTGTCCGAGTGACAGCGATGAAAAGTTGAAAATATTTCAACTTTCTGGGATTGCGTCGCTGGGTCGCCTGTGCACGACACGTGCACGAGCGCAAAATTTCACATGAACGATTTTCGCGTTTCGCCGCGATTATCGCTTTGTCGCGCATGTCTCATTGAAAATGAATGGAGGAGAGGCGATGTCGCCTCCCATGTGTCGAGCCCATAAATGATCTCTGCATGACGTGAGCCTTCATTGCGCTTCGCAGCGGATGTGATCGAGACCATAGGATAACAAGGGCACCAAATAGAAGCGCTATTTGTTTGACGTGTTTCATGGCGCATCATCCCGCTTTGGCGTCTGAGTTTAACCAGGAGTAATGCAGAGTCCAATAGAAAAGGTCGGTATTTTCCCCCAACTTTTCAGTACCTTCTTCATAAACTGGTACTAGTGTACCGAGCTGTTCTAAAATTACGATGTGAAGCACAGCCTGTAAATAAAAACAAAGAAACACAATGACCCGAACCTGCTCCGGGTCATGACGAGTCAGAATAAAGTCCACCAGACTGGACCTGATTAAAGACGGGGATGGGGCTTATGTTGGGAGATTTACTCTTCTGTTTACAGTTAGATTACTTTCCTCTGTTCCTACACATTCAGTAATTCTTAATGTTGATCTTTGTCTTTGTTTCTGCATCAAAGAAAAGTGTTAAATCAGTCCTGATGTATTCAGATTAAAGCAGAAAGGCTGGATGTTTATCAGCAGAACACTGTCCACTTTGGTCTAAGTTTTGGTCCAATGGGATGACTAGGGTTGGGCAACGAGCATCGATTGGAACCAGGACCAACTGTTAGTTTTTCCCGAAATCATTCCGTTTTCAATTTCAATCCTAGTTTCGATTCCTAGTATGACGACCGGAAGAGGAATCTGCGGTCGATCTCTGTGAAAAATAAATGTGATCTGCAAATTCTGATCAACGCGTTTCAGAGCATGATCACAGCAGCTGTCTGTATGCATGCACCGAGCCCTCCCCCCACCCGGCGCACAGCGGCCAAATATAAACAAACATGTCTGCCGAACTTTTACTCCAT